CACAAGAAAAACAACAAAGAATTGACAAAACCAAAGGATGTTGGGAGTTATTATTATTATTAATCATTTCTGGCAATGAAACCAAGGATTCTTCAAAAGCGCCCTAGGCACTGTAGCTCGCAAGCCTGAAGAAACCTGTATAGTGGAGACAATGAGACGAAGTTACAGTTTTAGAGGTGGGAGGAAAAGCCCAAAGGAAAACCCACGGAATCAGGCAGGGACTAAAAACCCAATCCACATGTTGGCCCAGGCGGGATTCGAACCCGAGTCACAGCGGTGGAAGGCAAGGAAAGTACTGCTACGCCAACCTGACCCCATCACCCAAAAAATAAAAATAAAAGACACAAATAAGAAAATGACAGGTACAGCCCTGTATGACAATGATAAAGTAGGCAGCACGGAGAAGACTGTCGCCATTTGCTAGCCTCCACCAATCATGAATAATTCATATTTGTGCAAATCAATATTCATGCCGGTAGCAAGACAAAGAAAAACAGAGAGAGGGGAAAACAAATCAAATGCCACACAAGCAGACAGCACATATTAGCTTAATGGAAATCAATGGCGTGTGATTCATAAATTGGTCCGCCGCTGAATGTCAACATATGATTCATAGCGCAATCCATTTTGCGTGGACAAACATTCGTAGTGTAATCAATGTGCAAGATGTTTGAGATGCTGTTTCTTTTGTTGATCAAGAGCAACATGCACAAGCAATTGCCAAAAAAAATTTGTACTTAAAGGTTATTTTATCATTTTGATAAAAATTAATGACACGTGAGATTAAAAAACAATTTTATTCCGCGACAATATGGCGTCCAGATGACAAACGTGATCTTTCCAAGGTTGCAATTTCCAATTCAGTTTGCTTAATCTTTTATGCATAGTGTGTACGTTTGGTTCAGATCGGGCGTATGAAATGAAGACAAAACAAATGGCAAAATAAGAAGCATTTGACCAATTGATTAACAACAGTTTTGTTTCAACTTGTAGTTCAAGTTTGATTGAACTTTTTTGTGCTGAAGAGATTTTTATTATGAATTCTCATATTGAATGGCACAGGCATGCTATATAAAGGGCTTTAAGCTGTAGTGATATATGTCTTGGGTTCGAGGCCAACCAGGGGATAGTGGGGCTTTTGTCCATGAGCTAGATACCTTACGGTTTAATACCACAATTTCTTTCATCTATACAAAGCCTATGGGTATCTTTTGAACTCACAATGTTGTTCATTTTATCGGAATTATTGTAATAACACACTGTGACGCAAACGCTTTCAGCGATTTGCTCATATTTCTTTTTCAAAATATGGACATTCCCTAATCAAAAAAATCTAAAGCATTGCAATCCATTCCAGAAGGTTTCCCAGTAAAATCTAATCGCATAGAACATAAAAACAGAGGAATAAGTCTGATAAAAAAAATTGAAGATTAAAGCAGCAAAGGAGAAAACCTGAAATGAACATAAATTTAATGACTTTGAGAGTCAACCGTCTCTATGCCATTGTTAGAGAACCTCCCCCTTGCGCCAAGTGTGCAAATATGACATTATTGGTAGAATCGTCGTCAGGGGAATGAAGTGCTTCAGTCTCTGGACGGTCATAAAGAGACACCTGGGAACCACCTGGCCTTCCCTCAAACAATCCCGTCCCACTGCCTCCTTTTTATCATTTAACTCCCCTCGTTAGCCTTTACGGTAAACATTAGTCCCCCAGGCGATATTGCCACGGCAACGATATTGGATCCTGAAGAGAGATGCAGTCGCCAAGGAATTTGGGTGTTTATTATCTTATTATGGCATACTTGTACTGAACGTAGTGCCTTAAATCATATAAGTAAATAAAGAGTTACAAATGTATTCGGATAACAAATATGTAAGTGTCCACTTAGATGTAATTCAAACATGCTAATCAAGTGGTTGACATTAAACACATTGTGGTTTTCCAACTTGATTGCTGTTCTCTATTTGGTCACAGCAAATTTTATGCTAATGTCATACTTTTATGGATTCAGGACTGTTTACATAGAGTCGGCCGCAAGTTCGCAACTACTCTGGTTGAATTTCCAATTTGGTTGAATTTCCAATTTGGTTGAATTTTCAATTTGGTCGAATTTCAAAATTTGGTTGAATTTCCAATTTGGTTGAAGCACTTAGAATTCCCCATTACTCCATTGAACGTTGGCAAAATTTTACAGAATTTTAATAGGAATATTTCTGAGAAAAAAATCCTAGGGAATTTATAGGGCTAGCCTGAAATAATTAATTAAATAAGTAGATTAATTATCAACATATTAAGCTAATGAAAGACAGGTTGTTTGATTGCACAATAGTAGACAACTTGAACTCAAATTCTTTTTTTTCCTGAAAGATAGCTCCACGCTTTTTTTTCTCTCTGCTTCCAGAGATTGATGCATGTATGTTCTACTTTGAGGAACATACGCAGTTTGTATATTGACGACAGTGTGAAACTTGTTTCCTATTTGGGTTGAAAGTAAAGGTTCTACAAATATTGAGCAGAATTGAGATCGGAAATTCTGACAGTGATGGATTACTTTCTGTATTCATCCTCAACCCCAGCACAGTTGTTAAGGCTTTCATCTCAAAATCTGCAGACAAAAACAAACAGGGGGGGGGGACTGGAGAGTTTCAGCAAAGAGCCACTATTTTGATGCATGGCTCTTATCAGTGCTGGATGATCGATAGTAATTTCTTGTGTATACATGGGCACATTTCCTGAAGCTGATGTACATACAGTGTGTATTTATAGCCAATAATATGCCATGCACAATGGCTCCTGCACGCGCAATCCATACTATTTGTCACCGTGGTAACATCTCTTCATGAAGACTCAAAAGCATGTTCCTCTTTTATGAATTATCACAAATTGTGTCCCTCTCATGTTTGTTTCTTGTACCACTGTCATTTGCCTCTTAAGAAGATCTTGTTAAGATCACAAATGTCTTATTTTTTTGAATGAGGTAATTTCTGTTTTGAAAATTGATTCAGTAGTTCCTAAATAATTTTTGGGACATGCGTAGTTGGCAGTATTATCATGAAAAATAAATGAATTGCCAACTAGCCTGGAGGAAAGGAAGTAAAACATTTTATATAATATATTTCTTGTTGATATTGCATAATATTTAAATTAATTTACATTTATCTGTTTTGAATACCTACTACAGCCTTGACCAATGTCCAAATGGCATTAGAAAAAAAATATTCTGAGGATCTTGTTTCTGTAGAAACGCAGCTGCAAAGTTTCACTTGATTCTGTCATTAAATTCTTGAAAAAGAAATGGTGTCCAATATGAGCTACCGGTGCATGTACGTGTTCACTCCAACTTAATCTCAACTTTTGTCAAGCGTATTACGTGTCAATAATTTCCCACTATCAGAACAATATTAATTTATTGGCTGATATTTCTGAAAATGTCAAATTGTGGGAGCGCACAAACAACCTAGATTGAAAATTCGAAACCTGGGGTTGGCTGTCATTGAGTCAGTAAAAGCCATATTTGCTCTCGCTGCTGCTGGAAATTTCTTGAGAAGACAGAATACAGGAAAGGGGGCTCTGCGGTCTTTCTCAAGGCCATTAGGAGGAGACAAGTAGGGAGAGGTCAGAATGAGAACGGATAGTACAGACCACGGACAGGTGCATTTGGTTATTACTCAAAAACCTGCAAGGATAAAGCTGTCGTCTCATTTGGTGATGGAGAGCCACGAATTCGCGTTTGGGCTATTTGTGAAAGGGAAAACGAAAGAAGTAGGCAGATGTTTTATTTCCTTCTTGGGGATTAGGATGTAGAGCGTTGGGCACTTAAGGCACAGCATGGTGGAGATTTGCATTTTTGTACTATGTCCTCTTGCTGGTTAAGAATATTGCTGCTTCGGAGTAAAGATGGCATGGATTTAGGCAAGCCAAGCGAATCTGCTTTATGACAGTCGAAAGTAATTTTGAAAACTTGTTTTGCAAACCTTGCACATTGGTCATGGTTTGGACAAAAGAGTTTTCTGTGCTTATCATAGGGACGGGGCAGGGGATGGGGGTTGTTGGAACAGCTTCTTAAGCCCGGTTCATACTCCACGCAAATGCGAATGCGAAGCAAATTTGACGTCATGAAACATTCGCTGCGAAATTCGCCCGGGTTGAAATATGTTCAACTTTTACGAATTCGCAGCACGAATACTTGCCATCACGTCACAAATTCGCATTCGCTTTCGCTTTCGCGCCGAGTATGAACCAGGCTTCATGTTAGTTTTCATTCACAGTCTTCATGTTTTGTCGTCATACAAACTTGATGTTTTTTTGGTTTTTTTGTGTGTTGTTGCATGATTGTTGTGTTGTACCCGTAATACTGAATCCTACTTTTCATTAGTCTCAATATATTTGCGAGTGAAAAGATGTTTGATAAAAAAGAGGTATCGTTGAAAATTGACCTTCACTAGTTCCATTACATGTGTTTTATGCATGAAGGCATTAATAATAATGGTCAGTGGGACAGACATAGAAGTGGGAAAAAAATTGGTGCTAGGTTTGGCATGAGAAGATTTCAATTTCAATTTTCAATTTCGATAACATTTATTTCCATCAAAAGCAAAGAAAAGCAGCATGAGAACAGAAAGTATTTATATTAAGATGGAGGCATGATTTCAGAAAGCTGAAGCTTTATAGGGGGATAACTTAAATACAAAACTGCAACAACAAAAATCAAAGATATTTAAAGAAAACCTGACAAGATAATTTCTTATCCTACATTATTTTTTTCAGTCAAGAAGAAAATCAACTGCACCATGTACAATCTACTGAATTCCTAACCAGTGCTCTCCCAAATTAGCTATCAAGTCCATAGATAAACAGTCTCTCAATGTTTCAGTGTCTTTGTTCTGAGGCTAACTATTGTAGTGAGCAAAAGCTTGTTTAAAGCTCTCTTATGGTCATATTATGTGATGGCAAAACCAAACATTGTCAAATGTTCCAGATTGTCCATGTTTGTCAACAGAACAGAGGGCGATTACCGCGACGTTTGATGGTACCTCCTACATCAGCTACAGTCTTGCCCTCGAAGAGGTCAACACGCTCCAAGATGACATCGTCTTTGACTTCCGCACCCAACTCCCGAACGGCTTGCTGCTCTACGTGGGACATGAATCGGACTACATCTATGTGGCAATGGTCAACGGTCTCTTGGAGATCGCAATCAATCTGGGGTCGGGGGAGTACTGGAAGAGCATACAACCGAGGCGGGAGATGGATGTCTTCACGGACAACAACTGGCACAAAGTCCGCATCTCCAGAACCAGAGCAGACGTAAGCAAGATGATTTGTTTAAAATCTGCTCCTTATTCCCTGTGATCGCAAAAGCAGGATTTGGAAGGCAACTAAATGAAATTTGAAGAATTTATGATGAAATTCAATAACTAACTTTTGCCATTATACAGTGTAAATGTTTCTGCATCATTTTCCTATGTTACAAGGATTCTGCTTGGATTGATATGTTGGGCTAAAGCTTTGTAATTACATGTATGAACAACGGTGTTTCGATCTACGTTATCTAAATCATGAAATAATTATGGTCAGTTCTGAAAACAATTTTGATAGCATAGCTAGTTTGGAAGCTTAGTCAAAATGAGTTCAATGGTCATTCTGTGTCAAATCAACCCCCAAAAATTGAAAGTTTAAACCCCACCCCCTTCAAATTGGTTCATATTTAATGCATGGGGTACTTTAGGCTGAAAAAGATGAAATTTTAAGTTTCAGAACAATTGGACCAACGGTTTTTGCACTACCTCAAATTTTTGGATATTTTGTAGAAAAATAATGTGATATAATTTTCATCCGAGTTTGTCTCAAAATCACGTGATCCACAAGGTCAAATTCAAGGTCAAAGTAAATATCAAAAGGTCATCATACTTCAAATTTCTCAGACATGAAAAGTAATGATAAATTTGGATTCATTATGATGTTACCTTTCCAAACAAACCAAGATCAACAAATTTGGCAAACAGGTTATGGAGATATGGTCATTTGAAAATTGGAGGCCACTCTCATGTTGGTCAAAATCACACACAAAAATAGCAGGCGGTAGTGCAGAAACCTGTAGTCTGATGGCAATAAAACAGATTTCAGCCTTTTCCGCCTAAATCACCCCGTACAACAAATATGAACTAATTTGAAGGGGGTGGGGTTTAACCCATTGAGTGATTTGACATGGAATGACCCCTCACCGTTGTGAGAAATGGCCTCTTCAAAAAATTGAATTTAAAGTAAAATATTTTTAAGTATAAAATAAATATATCAAAAACTATATATTCAGTAACACAAATTTAAAGTCACATATAAATCTCACTGCACTTGAGCTTGAGTTGAACCTTTTTCATGGTTGAAATTCCCAAACACAAAGTCTGAAGACGTTTGCAAATTTTATACATCAAATTCTTTTTCCGGTGCATTCGGAAAAGCCTCTCCATCGCTAGTATGCATTGAAGCAAATGTGATGGGGAGATAAAGTCATTGCATCTGGCTTTGAAGCATGTGGAGTCCGCCTGCATCTGTCATGCATAATTCCCCTCGTCTTTGCATATCTCTCTGCCAAGATAAACTCATCCTTGTTTAGGCGGAATTTCGATGAGCTTCTCAAGTGCTTTCATCCGCCTGATGCTAAACAGTCCTTCTCTGGGTCATGTTATTTGTGGTCAAAATTTCTTCTTCTTTTTTTATATCCAGATTTGGGAATGACTTTCCGCGATTTGGAAAGAAAGAAATTGTTTTTTTGAAGATAAACCACTTCTATATTTTACACCTCCTGTCACATTCTTTGAACAAATGAAAACTAAATGCAGAATTTTTACCTTGCAAATCCTATTTTCCTTTCACCACAATTTCCTCTTGAATGTTGCAACATGGACATATTGAATGTGAAATTACGATGATGGAAAGGATCACAAAGGGAATTGTAGCCTTTGAGCAAGTTTGCTCAGGAACTGTAGTTGAAAATAGTTAGACTAACTCTGATCGAGCGCTGGTTAGTAAAAATGGATGGACTAGTTAAGTCAACTATTTGCATCACAATGAACAGTGGGATCCAGGACCAAGAAGTGATGATTATTCGGCCGCTATTTTGACAAGTTTGGGCAGTTGACAATACAGATATGAGTACCGGTACATGTATTCAAGTTGTCTCATGAGAAACGAAAACAAATCCACTGACTTACTTGGTTTATGGCACTAAACTCCCTGGTAATGGCACTAAACTCCCTGTGAAATTATTCTTTCTGGCATACTGTCATTTTGAAGAAAACAATGAAAGAAGGCCATTTCCAACTCCAACGATGCGTCTAGTGAGGCATTGTTGGAAATTTCCGTTAGTAGTTGGTTTTGTAATTCGGCGCATCCGTGAATGGATGCGCACAAGCGTTGACACTACGTATGCACGCCCGGTTGCTTTTATTCGTCAGTTCAGTGTGTGACATGGCATAGCTACAATCGGCTGAATGAGAACGTGTCCCGGATTTCGGTCGCAATTCAAAACATGACTGGGCAAATACTGCATTGAAATCGAGATCCTAGAATCTTGTTTTTCTCGGAATATACAGCATTCACAGAGCTAAATCTTCATCAGTTTAGTTGTTACGCACCCGTCTAAAGATTTTGAGCACTTTTGTTGCTTCAAATGAAAAAATGCACAAATGACAAATGATCTACCCTACCTTTAAAGATGCACACAATTTAATATACAAATCATTCTGTGGCTGTCACTTGCGACAAACTTGAACACTTAACCAACGAATCGGAGGATGTTAATTACAAAGACTCCAAAAAAAGTGCACGATCAGAAGAAGAGTCAGGATTTGCTCCCATGTTTATTTTAGCAATTGAGCACTTAAATTGGGCAGACAGAGTGATCGCTGCAGTTGAAGTAGAGTACTTAGCATACACCGTGGATCGAAGTGATTGAGCTTTTGAGAAACTCAACAATCGGCTGGGGGATGTTTTTGTTCTGTCTGACAATATAGTAAGAGTGTGGATGGAAGCCTTTTGGCATTCTGGCAGGCTGGATTACCCTAAGTGCTGTCCAGAAGCTTGTGGAGCCTCTTGCGCAGATATATCAAGTCGAAAAATATCAACTTTTCTGAATTTATTCACATTTTCTTAGCCTTGAAAGATCGCTTTACAAGTTTTAAATGTTTATTTCCTAATTGGTCCTTAATTTAAACCTTAATCTCTAAACAAGAATAGTCGAGAGGTACACTTTGTATTTTGTACCATGTTCTGCTTGTAGAAATCATCCTAAATGATGTGAATCTCTGACATACACCCAAAAAACGATTATAGTAATAATAATTATCTACCTCTAAACCGCATCTTGACCCTTAGATTTTGACCTGTCAGCAGGCACTTTATATATCGGGTCCTCGGTCATTCACCCATGGTTGCGTCATAGACATCGATAAATAAAACCTAGACACGACAATAATACACTGTGAATTGAGCAAACAAAGGCTGCATTCACGCGCTCTGTATTATGTTACCCGTACGCCCCGCCAAGCTTGTCTAGGTTTTATAGATCTATGCCGGAATTGACCAATCAAAACTTAGTCAAGATTTTGGAATGAAATGACGTCACGATTTAGTAAAATTGACTCCAATAGGCTGGCGCACAGCATCATATAAATTTGCATGCTTAGATATACATGTATCAGACGTTTGACCGGAGACAGGGCTCCGTGGAGAATGGGTGATACGCAGACTACCTCTTAGCCTGGGGTGGTTGGGGGGGGGGGATGGGGTTGGGAAGAGTCAAGTGATCACAAGTCCATCACAAGATGATCGCAAGTCAATCACAAGTCCTTACATGTCAATCACAACTATATCACAAGTCGTCAAGTCTGAAGTCAAGTCATAAGCTATTCAAGTGAACAGTTACAAAGGAATACCGTTGTTATAGTTTGTCCCCTGTCCATCCTTGTGACAACACTTGTGATAAACTTGAGTACAACTCTGGTTTTGGCCAACCTCCATATAAAAATACTAAATATTTGAATGACATGTTTGTATACATGTATATCCCTTTGGTCCCATGACAGGTCAGAGTTCGTGTTGACGGTAGTCTCTTAGCCTCCGGATCAGCCGGCGGCAACTTTGGACGGCTGACGGTGGGCAATGAGTTCTACGTGGGTGGGAGCCCCAACCCAGCAACACTGAGTGGCTCGCGGGTCGGCGAGAACTTCCGAGGCAACCTGAGAGATGTAAGTTTGGATTACACTCTTCTTGTATAAAATTATTTTCTTGTTTAGCCTGCAAGATTCATGTTTTTGCCTTCCCTTTAAGTTTCTTCTGTAAATAATATCGATGATAATAATATTAGGTATCCCACGAGCGCGAGTGGAACACGGAAAATGTAGTGCGTCTGTGTCCCACATACCACTCGGCCTCCACTTGCGCTCGCGGGATAACGAATTTATCTTCAAGCAAACTTGACGCGCAGTACAGTTGGACCATTGCTTTACACGAACCTTTCAGCGGTTTAGCGCATGCAGCTGGAATGTCACTCGCATCTTGGAAAAGCGCAATACGCAGGGTGCGATATGGACCGTGCAATACAGCCTCATATCACACTGTTGTTGCCATGGATCGACCAATCAGGATCGAGGATACAAGTTTGCTTGAAGATAATAACAAATGTCTGACTAGGTAAGGACCAGACGATGCTTTCTCTGCTTTCTTTTTCACGTTTTCTGAAAATCGGGTGAATGCTCGCCCACTGTTTAATTTGCTTCTTTTCTGATATATTGCATAGAATACAATGACTTCAATGGAACCATATTACATTTAAGGATGGAGGGAATTTTTATGAATTGGCGTCTATAATTCTTTGTGTATTTTGAGTAAATGCTGGTAGCAGCCTGCTATCAACTCCAACACTGCCTGACCTAAAATGTCTCCGCTTTCGAATTCTTCTATTTAAACCTCCAATCAATCCATTGTAGACTTAGGCAACTTTATTCGGTTTCGTTCTCATGTGCAATTCAAAACTGAATATAACAATTATCCTGGAGCTAACGATCGCTGCAGCTCAGTCTAAACAGCTAACACGCTTCCTACCCAAGTCAATGGGCAATTTTGAAGGTGATATACACTTCTGTTTGTCAAATAAAGTCCTCAGGAGTATAGTGTAGAGGAAAAACTGATGCTTCTGAAAGCGATCTGTTAAAGTCATTTATCATAGGATAAGCCGCATGAGTAATATATCAGCCAAAATGTGATCTATGAGACTTTAAGTACAAATCTGTTATTTGTGAAAAGTGTAACATTTCAAGAAATTGGCTGAAAGTCTGGTTTTTCTATATTGGAGCCTTTTTAAAATGAATCTTTATCAGCTCAAAGCTTTTGATGTGGCCTGTGTTCAAAGAATGCAAAAACAGTTTCATTTTGTGCTCAGTATTAGTGTCTGTGGTACGATAAATTTAATAGACCCCAGCGACGTCATCTTCGTAGGAAAATTACCACTGCGTATTCAACGCCATCAGGTACGTGTGCGCGCAGTGTGCAAAATGTTCTGAACACGTGCATGTTGCTCGAAATTTCTTCAAAATATGGCATGGCACAGCCGATGCGGGTCGTGAAAATGCTGATGCACGTGACAATCTGTAGGCAGTGACGTCATTTGGGAGAGACCCATTGTGTAAAATGTTACCAGGTATTCAAAAATTGATCAGGTATTACCACATTGAAAACATTAATCCTTACATTTTTTTATGTATAACAGTTCAGGGTGAAATGAGAAAAAAAATTGTACAATATTAATTTTGAGAAAGGTTTTGTAAAATAGTAATTTTTGGCAATGCAGATGCTGATCATTAGTTGAATCATCTATGTAAACATGTAGCACAAATGTAAAAGCTCGCGTCTGTGCAGCGGATACACCTCATTTGCCTGAAGCACATTTTGTTTCCCGAGAGATTGTGTTTATACAGTTCCGATCTGGACTACTCTACCGAGAGCAATAAATCCAATATCTAGAAGAGTAGGCTAATATTTTGTCATCATTTGTGTAGTTACATCTCCAGAAGCCATTAATCATATCAGTAGACATCATTTGTTACATTTATCTTTTAACAGATTACATGTATGACTTCTTTTTTTTCTTGTAGTGTTTGTTGGAAGCTGATGTATAGTACATAGTGGCACTTGTATTCATAAATGTTGTGATGATTTGTAGAAAACTATGTAAGGCAAGCCAAGAAAAGCGGGTCCCAGATGAAGCACACAATTATTGTGTTCAGATTCAGAATGGCTTAAACGTCTGTACAATAAGCCAACTTTTTGTAGAAAAGTCCACTTTTGATGTTTGCAAGGAAAATCTATTTACATGTACTGCCTACAAATATAAAGTATATGTACATTTCAAAACAAGGTTGGCCAGACTAGACAGTTAGTGACAGTCAGTCAGTGAGATAGGCAACCAGTCTAAGTCACAGTAAGCAACAGTGAAATAGGTAACCAGTCTAAGTCACAGTTTAGTGACAGTCAGTCGGGGAGATAGGTACCAGTCTAAGTCACAGTTAGTGACAGTCAGTGAGATAGGTAACCAGTCTAAGTCACAGTTAGTGACATCAGTCATTGAGATAGGTACCAGTCTAAGTCACAGTTAGTGACAGTCAGTGAGATAGGTACCAGTCTAAGTCACAGTTAGTGACAGTCAGTGAGATAGGTAACCAGTCTAAGTCACAGTTAGTGACAGTCAGTCAGTGAGAAGGGTAACCAGTCTAAGTCATAGTTAGTGACATCAGTCAGTGAGATAGGTACCAGTCTTAGTCACAGTTACTGACAGTCAGTGAGATAGGTACCAGTCTAAGTCACAGTTAGTGACAGTCAGTCAGTGAGAAGGGTAACCAGTCTAAGTCATAGTTAGTGACATCAGTCAGTGAGATAGGTACCAGTCATAGACACAGTTACTGACAGTCAGTGAGATAGGTACCAGTGTTAGTCACAGTTACTGACAGTAAGTGAGATAGGTACCAGTCTTAGTCACAGTTAGTGACAGTCAGTGAGATAGGTACCAGTCTTAGTCACAGTTAGTGACAGTCGGTGAGAAAGGTCCAGTCACGGGGAGTGGGGGAGTCAGTCAGTGAGATAGGTAACCCGTCTAAGTCACAGTTTGTGTCTTAGTCAGAGTTACATGTAGCGACAGTCAGTCAGTGAGATAGGTCTAAGTCACAGTTAATGACAGTCAGTCATTGAGATACATAACCAGTTTTAATCACAAGTGACAGTCAGTCAGTCAGGCAGTTGATCTGTCAGGATGCTAGTGCCTAGTGGTCCTTTGGGACCAGCAAAACCCAAGTAATCCATAAGGAATACTCGTCTGGATTAATAGTCCAGCTCGTCCGCTTAGTTTTTATTACAGTAGCTCTAGGATTGACCCATCAATTCCTCTAAAACAATGCATCAAAGCATGACATCAGCTGGCCAGATGCTTCCGACATTGATCTTCAAAATCTATAAAACGGACTTCATCATCATGCCAACAAATTCTTTGCATGAACCCACCCCCTTCCTCCCAATCATGCATTCTGTGTGCATGAACTGTATGATCTTGTTTATAATCATCAATATCCGAAGGAAATTCTCCGTGAGCGCGGACATTTGTATTCATGGTCATGCATGTAGTTTTTGTTGTTGTTGTTAAAGAAAATAGTTGGGATCGGGAAGGATTTTGATCAGTTTGACTATTGAAGAACAAAAGTGAACACTGCTTTTGCATGTTGCCATATTTTCTTAGTTGGCTTAGTTTGGTCCCCCCAAAAGATGTGTCTACATAATTTTTTTTTTTTAAATGTAGGCTTAATAAAGTTTTTAAAAAAAAGGAAATGAAATTGTTGCAACATGCTTACTGACTAGATTGATCTGATATACATGTGCAAATCCATAGTGGGCGTGATGTGCCAATGTTAGATGAATCTCTCAGAAAGAAAGTATCAAACAGAATTTGAAGTTTACAATTCTAATAGGTGATAATTATTATTCTTTTTGAATAAAGCACAAAGGGAAACTGACTACGTGCATTATAATAATTTAAAATAGTTAAAAGTTGATCGAAGAAATTGACTTTAGCGAGGTTTGAAGTTGCAACCTCCGGATTACCAGGCTTAGCTATCCAGCCCTATATTGACCGTTCCCCCATTTTGTCCGTTCCCCCATTTTGTCAATGTCTGTGTTCAAGGACGCTAGTCAGAAGCCATAAATATACCTTTTGCCATATTTTTAGGATATGGCATATCTAATATAGTCATGGCATATGTGTAAGTTCACGGTAATGCATGGTACCTCTTGTCAACAACGCGTTTATCTTCTTCAAATTGTATTAATGGAAACCCAGCTTGTACTTCGCAATTGTGTCGTCAATTGCATACTAATCTCATTACAAACAAGCCATGACATTGAAGCCTGCAGAACCAGCGCTACGTCTTTTCTAAGACCATTAGCTCCCATCAGAATGTCCAATGGAAGTATTTTACATTTGCAGTGACGTCTGAAACTATTAATGGGTATGCACATTTTGAACCTAATAGGATTCTTAACCCCTTGCGTCACTTGGGAATAGAAAATGTCATAGACACTGGCCTGGGGGATGCGACGACAGCAGTTGCTGGGATTAAAATAGATAGATTAGAAAATGTAGAGCAGATGAATTGGATGATAGGAACTTTAAAGCTGTAAAAACTTAACATCAGGAAATGTGGAGTTGGTATTCAGTGATTTGAGGTGCAGAGAGTTAAAACTGTCAAAGTTTGAAATTAGATGAAGTTGTAAGAGCAGCCATCTTGACTTCAGAATTCAGAATGATAAATTGTGTCAGCTATGACCTCTCACGACTGGAGAGATGGTAGAAACATCTTTCAAGTGTTCAATTTGACATTTGTCATCGCGGCCATTGCAATTGCTTCACTGGCAAAAGCTGGATGTTTTCAAACTGCGCACTCGTGTGTCCACTAGTCACTCACTAGACTCATCACTCCTTAATGTCTGTCAGACAACATACTGACTCCACAAACCATCAAGACAATGAGGCAAGACTCCAACATGGATCCTGGTGGTTCCTAGGAGTCCAAGGATGGTTGGGGGGGGGGGGGTGGTCTCGGTTTGTGCTCCTTGGCTGTTGAAAGACGTCCTATAACCATCCAGACCCTGTTCCACATTGCCGTCTTAGAACAGATTTGGCACTCAATGGGCGCGCCGAGCAGATTTTCATTTCACAAGAACTGTCAAGAAGTTTTAGGGGAAAAAAGCTAGTACAAAGTAGCTACATGTCTGCATTCTATTGCTTACGAATGGTCTTAATTCAGCCCAAAACAAGAGTAAATTCCTTCGTAGGAAACACTTACATTGTGATGTATAGAGACAAAGGGAACGATTTTTGGCCAACATAGCTGTCAGTTTGCATTCAGTTTCTTAAAAAAAAAAAGTGCTCAGGCAGATGTCAAAAGAAGCATGAACTGAAATTTCTCTGCTTTTAAAAGTGGGAAACTACTGGTGATAAATTTATGTCGAAGCATTTTTCTAGAGCTAATGTAAGTAGAAAAATTTGCTATTTGTTAACTGGTGCTACCGTATGCAGTGCCTACATTTGTAATTTCACATCTGCACAATTTTGCTCACCATTCTGTGAATGCAGCACAAAAACACAAAATATCTACACTTATCCTGTAAGCGCACCCAGGCCTACCTTACATACCTAGTGTATAGTGTGGACATTCCTTTGTGTTTGTGTAGTTAAGAAAAACTGGAGAAACAACTTATTTTACTCGCCATGTGAAGTCTCTTTCAACCCAATTGTTTTATCATAGTTTCCTTGAGTGGTCCTCTTCATTTTTCAAAAGATAACCCTAACCAAAAAATGCCTCTAAACCTGTTTTTCAGAGAGGGGAAAACCTTGTGTGGACCTGGCTTAGTCCACAGACTGTTTTGTTTTCAGGTCCACACAAAGATCCTGCATCGTGAGGACCTGTTTATTTTTCAGATCCACACAAACATAAATATGGCAAGGTTGGCGTAGAATTGTTAGTTATAGGATGCACACATGTGCATGAGCCAACATTCCTTGACAACCAATGAAATATGCGCAAAACTTTCTGCTGTTAAAGCAAATGTTCTTTGCTTAGGCCAAAAAAAAAGGTCTCCGGTTTCTGGTATGCGCACGCGTCGCCGTAGCCATGCGCGTCGGCAAAATGAAAAAGTTTTTTTTTCAATGAAAGATGATGTCTCAAAACCGCCAAACTCACTGGTTTGACTGGAATCCTGCTGCTGCACAATTTTAACGTGTTTTTAGATTGGGTTATGGTCGAGAATAAGCTTTATGTGGCCTCTCTGGACTCCCATATATTTGCACTAAGTTTAGTCGGGCACCATTTGCAGTCATCAGCCGACATTTGAAGCAAAAAAATCAGGTAAAAAAAAAAAAAGCCGCGTCGCCGCACCACTTTTTGGGCAAGCTCCATACCAGAAACCGGAGACTTTTTATTTTGGGCCTTAGGGTAAGCTGAGTGAAAAGGCCTGTTACCGGTACTCAAAAGTAACTCTTCCAAATGTTCAACTCATGTGTTGGGTCACATACTGTACATATATGTCACACATTATCATATAGCTTACATATTGATAGTTGAGATCTTTTAAGTTGTTTAAATTTATCTTTAGTCTCTTGATTTAGATTTTTGTTGTTGTCTTTTTTACACATCTAGGTAAGTTACTACGGCAACATAGAAATTGATCTGCTGGAGAAGGCGTACAGCTCGGACCCGTTGATCTACATGCTCGGTGACATCCTCTTCAGGGAGGAGACGGTGCAGGGCATTGATCCCATCACATTCCTGACCGAGGAATCGCTGCTGAGGTTACCACGCTGGAATGCGGAGGTTTGTCATTCAACACCGCGTAAAGGGGTTCATTTTACTTGGCTCGTACTACTATCCTCTCGACTTACAGATGTTGCAAATGCTTTTTTTTTATTAACTATAAGCTGGGACTCTCATTCCTCACTCTTACAGTCACTGAACTTGAAATTATTTTTTTTGTTCATGAATTTAAAGACAAGTTTCCCCTGCATCCAGACCGCTTGACTACAGCTTACAGTTACACGTGCATCTATCTGTGTAAGCAAATGAATTAAGTCACTTCTCATAGCAATGTGTGCTACCGCCAGCAGTTTTCAAGTAATTCGGACGGATGCGACCCTAAAACATTGCTGTTTGTGGGCCATCGCAAATAATAATAAAGTCGTAACCTAAAAAACCCTGTAAACCCAAAGATTCTTTCCGTCTTAAGTGATTTATCATTTCACAACTGTACATGGGGAAACCGTTGAAATAACTCAGATCGAAAAGTAAGAGGTGTAATGTGTGAGCCATCACAACAAGATAAAAGTAGTTTGTCATTCATTTTGTGTGCTGAGATATGCACCTTCTTTTCCCCAGTTAATTAGATCTTGTAGTCAAATCTCTAGGCATTTCACACTATGGTTTGTCCACTTTTATTTAAATCAACACGGGCCCACTCTGAGCAGACCATGGTCCATTCAAACATGGGTTGAGAAAGCACATTTGGGTCAACTATAATTTTCATTTTTCTGTAAGGAAGAGTCTCTCAATCCTGGTCCCCACCAGGACTGAATCTTTAACCTGTCTAGAGTGCTCACTGGATCCATGTAGAAGCCGTGTTGGCTTCTTGCTAGCGTGAAAGGAGTTGCCAAAATCTCAGGATTTGACCTGGATCCAACATGTAGAGTTTTATGTAGAGTGCAAAACCATGAGGCCAATTTTAAAATTGTTTGACTGTGCAGATACTCCTAAGCCTTGGCCTCAACCCCTATGAGTTTCATTTAATTTCAGTCACGCATCACTGCAGAGTTGTCATTTGATCACAGCAACATTTTTTGGACACTGTGACCAAGTTCCATGCCGTAATAAATTTCAGTGCTGTTTTTATGTAAGCTGTGTAAAATCCTGCATGTTGTGAAAAAAGGCTGATGTGGTTTCGGATTGGAATCATTTGCTCTTGAGCATTAAACTGAGGTCTTGCCATGATAACTGATAGCCAGGCAAATGATTCCAATCCAAACTGCAGCCCTTTTCACAACATGAAGGATTTTACACAGCTTACTTAACACAGTACTGAAATTGAATAAAGGCAAGGAACTTGGTCACAGTATCCAAAATGTTGTTATGATCAATTGATACTTGTGAAATGATGGGTGACTGAAATTAAATGAAACTCATAGTGGTTAAGGCCAAGGATTGGGAGTATCTGCACAGCTAAAAAAGATTCAAAATTGATCTCATGGTTTTGTAGTTATTTCAAAATAGTCAGACGGACACTTTTTGGGGGACAGTCAATATAGTGTGAATTTGCCTTTTGAATTTGAATGTACATGTAACAAACTTTTTTATTTTTGGCTAGACCCAGAGAGCCAACCTGACTGACTCACTGTTACTTGTGATTAAGCGTGGTTGTTCGCTGATGAAGACAGCCGGGCAGTGCTGTTGCATAGGATTACACTGTAATGGACTAATCCCAGCCTATTGTGTACTCCAGATGCACGACAAGACATTCCAGTGCACAGCCCTTCTGAGTCAATTGATTAGAAATGTTTGCACTCTGGGACCCGCTTTACTAGACTTGCCTTGTCCTGTTGTTTGTTTTGACAGTCCAAAGGCTCTCTATCCTTTGATTTCCGTACCAACGAGCCCAGCGCAGTCATCATGTACAGCAGTGGCTCGGACGAGATGTCGGACTTCCTAGCGTTTGAGCTCCTGGAGGGATACCTGTACGTCATCCTGGACTTGGGGTCCGGTCCTGTCCGAGAGAAAGCTTACACCTTCCCTCTCAACGACGGCGAATGGCACCACGTTGTCTTTGAAAGGGATCTGGCTATCGGCATTATAAATGTAGGTATTTTCCACAAATGTCATCCTGTACATTTTGAATATAAAATTTGATCTGGTTCCGTTACACAGAAAGTGTTATGTACACCTGGCACAAAAAGACACTAAGCAGTTTTTATAATCATCCTTGTTTTGACATTTCTCGGTGAACAAAAAATCTGAAATATACAGTTTGTCACAGAAACTTTCCGGTTCAATTTGATACTTCGCTTGGGAACACTGTGTAAGAAATAATGAGAGCGCAAGTGCTGAAGCTCCTGAAACCCCAAAACTAAAAATTTGCACTTAGCGAGATTTTCAATGGGCATTGCAACACACAATTGAATGCGGGGCCTGCATCATTTTTTTATCTTTCATGAATCAAGAATAATGACTACAAAATAATGGTCTCAAGACTGACAAAAATACCAATAATCTAAATAAATAACAAACACTATATTATGTATCACTTAAAAATTGAAATGTAAGCCATCCCAACATGCCGTACAATCATTGCAATAAAATAAGCCTTAAAAATGAAGCAAAAGGTTATTTATTGCAAATTTAAAAAAAAACGCACAGTTGATGAGTTTTAAGATGAGTTTTAAGATAAGACTTAAAATCCCAGAGGTACTCAAAGATTGGATTGCAGTGGGTAGTCTATTCAACAAACGGGGAGCAAATATTGAAAAAGATCTCTCAGCAAGAAATGTTTGCTTTATCGGAACAGAAATCCAAGCAGAAAACAAAATACATAAATTTCGTTGATGTGCAATGTCTATTGAGACAGAAGCCATTTAAAGAAAAGGATAGAAGCCCTTTTCTTGATGGGACATGATATCCGTGCAATGTGCCCGAGGGCTGCTTACATAGGCTACGTCGTGTTTCCTTCGTCGCGTTAAAAACACACGATATACCTCGCTTTTAAGTGCATATATTACCCGCAGCAAGGGACCTGTTTAGATAATCGCGTTTGTAGAGATTTGGAGAAGACGCCATGCGGAAGACACCGTCAGAGAAAGACTGTATTGATTTGGTTGATTTTTTTTTTGTTCCGGTCAAGAAATTCCCCATTTTTCAGGCCAGGTTCATTTGCAAAGAGTGCAAATTTGAAATGCAGTTTTGTCTACAAAGATGACATTAGAATGATTTTTTTTTCTCCATAGAGTCATAGAGGGACTTTTAAACTTATTTTCTTCTTGTTTTGTTTTTAAGGATTTGCTCAAATTCATCGTAGTAAATTTTGTTGCTTAACCTCGCATTAAGTATGAAAAATATTTTGTGAGTGATTTTTAGAGTCATTGCTGAACTATCATTCACAGATTAGCACAATCAAAAATGGCACGATCACTCTTCTAAATGGTGTAGAGTTGCATTCAAGTTTAATCCATCAAAGACGTTGTGTAGTGACAGGATTTGGTGGGGGAATAGTCAACTCCAACTCAAAAACACTGCCCCCCCCCCAAAAAAAACCCCAATGACAACAGAAATAGTACTGAAGCTACTTTTTAAATCAAAAATTAACATATCACTAATAGAGGACTCTACTTTTTGAATTTCCTAGGGTCGGAAATGCAAGGTTTTGTTTGTTTTTTGTTTGTACAGCCATCCCTAATGAAATTTTCTTGCAATTTGCCACAACCTTTCTACGGCTGGATATAACACGTGGGTCTGTGGACAGGGCCAGATTAAATGTTCCATAGGCCCTAGGCACCAGTGTTCCATAGGCCCTACTCCGCACTAGGCTATACTAAGCAAGCTAGGCCTAACAACTTGCTCTAAAAGCCTGTTGACACACTGTGGTGTTTTCGTAGGTCCTCAAATTTTTTGTAGGCCCCCAATTTTTTTGTAGGCCCCAATTTTATTGTAGGCCCTAGGCACAGCGCCTACTGTGGCTACTGGATAATCCAGGCCTGTCTATTGGAAGTGGCTGCAGCGGCTTCCATAGTTGCGTGTGCTAATTCAAGCCGTAGCCAAGTAATTTGGACACGTCTTCACACTCCTATCAAAGTTATTTTTCTTTCGAAAATGCACTCAATAAACTGAAATCCTCTTTCATTGTGTTAAAGAGGTTGTGGAATGCTCGAAGACATTTGCGTCATTTTTCGGGTATATGTAGCCTAAGGTGGGATGAAATAAAAACTACTATCGTGTCTGTTATGAAATGAGTACAAAAGGTACTCCCGATGCAGTGTAGCATAAACGAGTCCTGTTTATTACGTCACGATTTACTATGTTTGTTTTTGCTGCCCCCAACGACTGTTACACAAATTGCACGTTCGGGTCGAAACAGGACCTGAAAAACAGCTCTCAAAAGTACCTTTTGTACTCATTTCATGACAGACACAATAGTCGTTTTTATTTCATCACACCTTAGGCTACGTATACCCGAAAAATGACAGAAATGTCTTCGAGCATTCCAAAACCTCTTTAAAATGCACGTATGGATGTATGTACGACCAATTAAATATGGATATTCATTAAACTAATTAAGCACAGTCTTGGCAAATTTACAGGTGATTTTCCTCAGATAACCCAAATTTTAACTACAACACTCTGTCATTCTCGTTATTGACAAGAATTTGTACATAAAAAAAATGACAAAAGTGAGGGACTTCCCTTGAGACAAAAGTAAAAGATTTTAAAATGAATCGACTGTAACCCTTGCATGGGAATTCTTTTAGCTCAGTGGCAGAGCTTTGGGAAAAAGAAGAAGCACTTAATACACAGTGCTTTTTTACTTCCGTCTAGGCTTTTGCTGTGAGCCACAATTTGTCGGGTCTCTGTGGATTATCTTTGTCTGGAAGTATTCATGTATTTTTGATGTCAGAGTGTCTCTACAAGTCATGTGCAGCTAGTAGGCTGAGGCCCGTGCTATTGAACCTCAAATGATATGTTTACTATGTAGCGTGTTTAAATATTTTACCGACAAGAGCTTGAACATGCAGCAGGTGAAAGCCTTTAAAGAGAAACCAAAATTGTGTGAATGCTCACATGATATATAACTCATGCAGACTGCACGTTTTACATATCGTTAGTAGTTAAAGCATAAGCTGTAAAATACTGCGCAAGGTTATATAGCAAACATTAAATCATTATGGAAATTAATAGTTACCTTTCAGAGTCTATTGATTAAGCAGGACTTAGCTTGCGAGTTCGTCATGACCTCTTCGTTCAGCATTGTGGCTAAATCCCTCTGCTCACATGACCTGTGCGAGATAACCACTTAGGAGCTATTTGCGCAGTAACGATCAGAACCAGAACTAGAGGACCACATTTGGGGAGGTCACGTGAGAGCAGATCGTCATAGAACAGGGGCAGATGATATATCCCGCGTCCCTATTGGATGTTGGGTTCTAGGTCTTAAAGCTATAGTCCATCATTTGTAATTAGTGCATTTTGTTCGTTTGAAGCAACAAAAGTGTTCAAAATCTAATGAAGGATACTGAACAACGTACTTGATTAAGTTTCAGCTCAGCTTCAGCTTCATATTCCGAGAAAAACAGCATTCTAGGATCTCAATTTAAAATCAAAAGTTGCTAAATCATGTTTCGAATTGTTTTGAATTGCAGCTTTACGCGATGTCGTGCACTGATCCGACGAATTATAGCAACCGCGCACGCCTGTGCGTCGTTCCAATGCTTGCGCCCGCTTCGCCGAATAACAAAACGAACTACTAATTTAAATTTTCCTACGGTGCGTCTTAAGACGCACCCTTGGAAAGGCCTTCTTTCGTTGATTACTTCACAGGGAGTTTAGTTCACTTACTATCTTTCAACCAAGTATGTTTTTCAACAATAATACGCCAGTTACTTTTTCGGATGGCTGCAAATGATGGACTATAGCTTTAAAATACTGCTCAAGGTTATATAGCAAACATGAAATCAGTATGGAAATTAACCTTTCAGAGTCTATTGATAAAGCAGGACTTAGCTTGCGAGTTCCTCACGACCTCTTCATTCAGCATTGTGGCTAAATCCCTCTGCTCACATAACCACCTTTGGGGTGGTGACCACCTTTGGGGTGGTCACGTGAGAGCAGATGGTCATAGAACAGGGGCAGATGATATCCCGCGTCCCTGTTGAGTGTTGGGTTCTGGGTCTTAAATCAGTAAGTTTGTATTTCCGGATAAAACCCAGAGTTCCAACGTGCCTAAAAATTCTTCTCTTGTCGATAGGTGGGTTCCTCGACGTCCCACAAGTTTGAAGTCCCCGGCCACAACGACAAGCTCAACCTGGAGATGGATTTGATCGTGGGCGGCATCGAGCCCCTCCAGTCCCTCCCACTGGAGCTGTTCTCCGGCGCCTTACGCCACGGCTACGTGGGCTGTATCCGCAACATGGCCATGAACGGGGAGACCCTGGACCTACCGCAGTACGTAGAGGAGCAGTCGGAGGACGGGAACATTGTCCGGTTCTGTCGGGAGGAGGACCCGCTGTGCACCAGTGATCCCTGCCAGCACGGCGGCTCCTGTCGGGAGGGCTGGAACCGGTTCATCTGTGATTGCCGCAAGACGGGGTACACAGGAGAAACTTGTAAAGATGGTAAGAATATTGCAGACTAGAGGCTGTGTGTCCCTTTTGTTTGCTTCTTTTCCTTCGTTTGCTTTGTTACAGAGAATGGACAAGGAAGTGTAGATTCATGCGAATTTGCCTCGTCCATTCTGGTATGAATCTACAGTTCCAAGTCTATTCTCTGACTTTAACAATTTTTTTCAAAACAACAAAGGTTTATTCAAATGAGTCCCATGCATCACCTCACTCTCCATGTTTGTGAATAAGTGTAGATTCGTAAAATTACTCATGCGTACATATTTAGTCAATTTACAACAAATGGAAGGCGTCAGTATAGTAAGGTTCATGTCTCACTGCCAAAAGCAACTCAACTTAGTAAGTCATGTCTGCTAGCGACAGTTCTGAATTTTTCTTAACAATTTAGGTTTGTTTGTCATAGCAAGTTGATGCCCAAAGATGTGTTAATATGTTCTATTCAATAGTCACCCCATTTTGTGACGCTATTTAATTCCATGACCCTTCAGAGCAGACAGTTGAAATTTAAAGAATCCCAATTGATAAGTTTTGTGCTAAACTTTCATATTTTTATGTCTTATTTTAAATAAATGCTAAAGCAAAAATTCTACTGCAAAGTTGCAGTGCATGTGCCTCCATAAAAATTTGTTATTTTCCTTGGAAACTGTGCAATAAGCAAAGATTTGTCGTTATGCACAATCATAGTTAGTTAATCACAAGTCAAATCACAAGTCCGGTCACAAGGAACAGAGGATGACCTGTGACAAAGAAATGATTTTGTTGTGCAGGGTGAGTAAAAAAAACCCAAAAACCCAAATGGCAGGACCAATCTTTGAATGAAGTTTTCACATGCATCCCTATGAGAAATGTTTTTGTTCTGCTAAAAGAACACTTACTTTTTTTGTGATCCGTGGACAGATCTTTAAAGCAGTGTTTGTGTTCAAAATTCATAACTTGAAAAGTACATGAGCAATTTGAATGATTCTTGTAATAAAAGAAAGCTTAATGACTGGGCTTTCATATCCGAGATTTTGAAAGTGCTAGAGGCAAAACTTCATTCATAAATTGGTCCTGCCATTTGGGTTTCGTTTTGTTTTACTCACCCTGTAGTTCAAATTTGAAAAGTGTTTCACTTTGACTTGAGACTGGATGACTTGTGATCGACTTGTATTGTGATAACCTTTCTACAACTCTTTACAGCTAATACCTTTAAAAATAAAATCAATTGTGTTGCCATTCCCCCATCAAAACCCAAAATGTTTCATGTTCACCATCACTAACATGTGTTTCACTGTTTATAACATGTGTCTTCATTTCACCATAACTGCCATGTCCTCTTTGTTTCACCAACTAACCTTTAAAACCATCTTTCTCCCTGAAACTGCTCACTCATTCCACTTGCCAAATGTTTCCATGTGTCACACTATCTGTCTGCCCATGTGTCTACCCATTCGTCACTCTCTCTCTCCTGGTATCTACATGTACCTTCAGCTTATGTGTATAGAGGGGCAGGTATGTTGCTGCATGTTAAAGAAATCATCATCAAATATATATTTTATGTTATATACTTATCCAAATGATTCTAGAGATTTTTACTGTAAAGTTTGTGTTTTTAAAATTTGTTTGTGCTTTTTTATTTAAATGGGTGAAAACACTTTGAGCTCATAATATACAAGCTCGAGATATATACACTTGCCAAAATTGCTTGCTTTCTCTTTTAAATTATTTTTTGTGCACAACAATGTTCTCAAAGTTGACATGTATTATGGTCACTTGAATGGAATTGCTGCTCAGTGCCTACGTGCAGTGGTGTAGCCAAGGGGGGCCTGGGGGGCACGTTCCCCCCAACAAATTCCCAGTGGCCCCCAGGTGCCCCCCCCCCACAAAAAATCGAAAATTTCCCACTTGCCAAGAAAGTGTCTTTTTAAATTATTTGTTCGAGTTATTAAAGCGGAGAGAAAATCTAGATGACTATTTTTGACTTCCCTTAACCGCGTGGCTTTATGAAATGTGAATAAGTTGATAAGAAAAAAATAGTGCCCTCTTGGATCAAAAGAGGTCCAGTCCCCCCCCCCCCTCCTAGCTAGCCCCCCCCCCCCCCCCCCCCCCCTTCGATTTTGCAGCACTTGCGGTGGCCTGGAAATTTGGGGGAAATGTTGTTGTTGGTTCACCATTGGTGCCATGCTGGTCCCCTCCCCCTCCTGCCCCCCCCCCCCCCCCGAAAAAAATTCCTGGCTAGGCCATGCTGTAGACATGCTATCACTGTTCACTGATGGAAGCCCTCTTCAATGGCAGTATTGCCCCACTTTATTGTTCAGATAATCCATCATAGAGCAGTTGCTTTGTTCAATAGCTGGTTCCGCCATTCGTGGGGGCCTCTGTAATTCAAAAATAAGGGGTTAGTATGTGAAGGTGATGAAACTGAATACTCTCAATGTGGATCCATCTTGAAGGGCAGATCATTAGCTTGATACCTCATGTGCGTCTCTGCATTCACAGATAACTGAGCACCATTGATTAAAAAATAAAAGAGCAATAGTACTTGCAAATGAAACATAGCTAGAAACACAAAGACAAATAGCCAAAAAAAAGTGACTAAATTAAAACACAAAAAAATTGAATTAAATCCACCAGATATCTTGACAATAAACTCAAGAACTTTACACATTTTATAAAAATATTCCTTGGACTTGCTGTTTTCTGTCTTGTTTTGTTTTCATCACTTAATAAGTATTCAAGATTTCTTCCTTTCATTGTTATTGATTGTGTAAATGTCGATCAACCACGGAGTTGTCAAGGCTTTGATCAGACAAAAAAATGAGAAGAACATACCAAAAATAGAAAAAAAAGTAGATTTGATCAGATGCGCGTCTTTGAGTAAACAGCTTGCGAGTCGCTGGGGACGTCGCAATCGTCCTCGTCAATCAATGTGATTGCTGCCGCTGAAAGCTTTGTGAATGCAGCCCGGCTCCGTCTCCGGCATCTAGAGCAAAAATCTAACCCTCGTCTCCGCTCCGGCAAAGGTCTAAAGATCCCTGGGTTGATAAAAGGAAGAAACGGGGGAGAAAAAACGAGAAGGGATAATGAGTTTTCAGAACAGGAATCAAAACTCCTTCCCAGGAAAAAAAATTTCTCCTGAGACATGTTGGTCTGTGTATGTGCATGTATTTATGATCATCTTCAATTTTTGCATTTCTTTTAAGGGAGGGGGCAAACCTGGGGATATATTAGTAAGACTTCGTATATACTGATCAATGTTTAGAAGCAGTGGAAGTTGTAGAAAAAAAATTAGAAGAATGGAGGAGTGAAAATGGAGGTGTGAAATTTTCATGCATTGAGCTTTCAGTTGAGAAATTCCCCTATACACTTCCCCACTCTACTGTGACCACAATAACAACTTTTGCAAATTTGTAGTGTGAAAACTTGCCCTGACGTCACAAATTCGCTTTCGTGTTTGCTTTTGCGCCGAGTATAAACCGGCCTTTACTCTCACCACTAAAAGGTTCTAAGTACATATATGGTAACATTTTAACGCATGAATCAGTGAGGCTATTTTCCAAGGGGGCCAACTGGGGCCATGCCCCCCCCCCCCAAAAAAAACGAACCCAATTTTTTTTTTAAGTGACGTCGCAATAAAGGCAGGAACTGTGTACACCACCATCTTTTCCTCAAAAAAAAAATGGTCAAAGTGGTCAGAAATTGCCTCAGATCGCACCACAGAACATCTAGAATCCAACAATTTTGGGGGCCCTTAAGCGGGCCCCGAACCCCACGCCATAATTTTTTGGACCCACTTTTTGGGGGACCCAAATTTTTTTGGCCCCCCCCCCTAAAAATATGATGTTCTGGATCCGCCCTTGCTATTTTCCTGCCTTACTAGGTCATGGACTCATTCATCCAAGAATGAAATGTGCAACCTCAATCATGGTGAAAATTAATCGACAGCCATTTTGTTTCAAATGGAAAGGCTAAAGCACCACATCTGTATATCGCACATGTGCACGATAGACGTAGCATATCATAAACCCTTTGGCAGTTGAATGACATTGTACCACAATGTATTTTCTCCTTTATTGAATTCATAATACCATAGCGTGCTGGGGCGGTTTTTGGTGGTATAAGGAGTTACAGACAGTAGGGCGGTACAGGGACTAATAAGCTAAGCATACTGTAGCACAGAATATTCATCAGCATTTTATGAACCATGCCAAAAACATCTTCTTTGGTATCAGTGACAGTTTGATTTTGTTTTAACTGTTCTTTCCTTCTCACCCGTTTTCTTCTTTTTAGTTTTAATTCCGGTTTTGTGTCCCTTTTCCTCAACAGAGGTTGCGCGACTGGCGTTCAACGGCAACCAATCTATGCGCATCACTCTCCGCGAAACCACGCGCAGCAAGGTGGAGGAAGTCTTCTTACGATTCCGCACGAGCCACCCGGACGGCATGCTCCTAGCAACGACCTCTGACACCATCATTGACATCCTATTGGCCGAACTGTCTCACGGGGAGGTCCGGGTCACAGCCAATTTTGGCACCGGCAGCACGACTATCACGGCAGGAACAAATCTAGACGACAACATGTGGCACTCGTTTGCTATAGAACGGCACGACAGAACGTTACGACTGACTGTGGATAATTCTGACAAAGCAGAAGGTAAATATTATAACAAAATTTACATGATGACAGAATATCTGAGATCTATCTTACTGCATGTATTTCTTTTATTTCACAGTAAGCACATGCTTAGATTTTAGCTTTAGGTAAAGAAGTAAAAACTCCATAACCTACATTAAGGTTTCCTTCGGCATCTTCATTTATTTTAAACATCTTGATCTTTGGTTTCAAGGTTCTCTCGGATGAGATGTTTTCCCACAAAAATTTCAATTTTTCCAAAACCAAAGTTTTTAAATAAAAGTGTTTTAAATTGAATCACTTTGAAATATAATTCCCACAACTGTTGAAATCTTAATTTCATCTTTGGATTTGATCTCTTCAACGGATTCTATAAATGTTAAAATCTCCACTTTTCAATTTTTTTTTCTCTCAAGTTAAAATAAAAAATAGCCTGTTGATCGCTACCCTCACAGGTACCCACTTACACTCCTGGGTGGAGAGAGAGGCAATCTAAGTAAAGTGTCTTGCCCAAGAACACAAACACGATGCTCCTGTAAGGGTTAGGACCGAAGTGACATTGCACATGAGTCAGTCACTAAAACCATTGGACCACAGTGGTCCTCCAATGTTGTTTTATTTTAATTTTGTTAACAGGATTGTCTTTCATCAAACAGTGGTAGTTTTTCCCCCTAAATCAGCTTTCTATTCACAGCTGAACTCACAGATAAAACACTTTAGAAGGAGAAATGTCAGCCAAAAATTCCTGATTTGCAGAAGTTGGTAAGAAATAAAAATGAACAACAGGGTAAATATTTCAAACACTTACTTAAGTTTCAAGATTCCTCTTAAGTTTTTTGCTCTTGGTTAGCGAAACACGCTTTTCTACTTAGTAGTTTGAAATCTAAACACTAAATGAACAAATTTGACATTCTAATTGTAGAATTTCCTAACCTCACAAAAAGTTGTATCAACCAAATGATAAAAGGTGAAAAAAATGATAAAGAATCACTTATGCCTTAACCAGTTTAAGATTGGAAGTCCAATTCTTGTTATCCCAGTTTTTTGCTGCCACTTTTCCCCTTTCCCCCTTTTCTCTACTAACTCATGTCCACTATTTAAGGCTTTGTTATTTGTCTTGTTGATACCATGTACATGTACCTTGTTTTGCACCGATCTACCGCACACACTTTGTCTAACCGCCTCACTCTTTTACTTTCTTTCGCTGCCATTTTTCTCTTTTGTCAAACTCTGGAAAATGCTTCTGGATTTTTTGCCATTTCCCAGCTTATAATGTATCCAGTCGAGGTAAGTACTCATGGAATTGGGAGGACAAAAAAAAAAGACAACGTGGCTCCCAAAAAATGATTTAAGATACAAAATATGGACCTATTTTAAACACTTATCGTAAACAAGCACAGAAAACCTTACAGTGAAGTGAAGAAAAAAAAAAAAATCCACACAAACATCCACAAGTTTAAACCAAAACCAAAGTCCTTTCAGAAAGCCCAGAATTTTTTTTCCTTTTCTTAGTATTGAAATTGACACACTGTTGCACATTTTACACGTTTAACCTGCAAGTTTTCCCAGCTGCAACCTTTTTCAAATGTAATTAAGCGTGTACCTTTTTATTACACTTTTATCTGTGAGGGGCCCATTAAAAAACAATTTTGACAATAATGCCTCGAATTGCCTCCAAAGTTTGAGTGAATATTAATTTTATGAACCCAACTCATTGCATTACTTATCCTACGCGAGACACTGTTTTTTTTTATGAAAGAAACATTTTTCTGAAATGTGTTGTTTTTTTTACGTGGGAAATGGGGTCGGTTTAGAGTCGAAATCAGAAACATTTGAGTGGCAGCCAGTCATTTTTGGGGGTGATATATTGAGAAGAGGTTACCTTAGTTGATGGGTCCCAGTTTTGCAAAGTATTGAATAGTCTTGTATCCATACATCCATATTTACATAATTTTGATGTAATGCGATCCTAAACAAAAGTCAAGTCAAATCATTATATTACATCTTTAGTCCGTGATTCTTATAATCACTAAACTGTTCAAAACTATTCAGATTATTCAGTGTTCTACCCTAGTTCTTGACATATTAAGGCAGTCACATGTCTTTAAGGATAACTCTAGCGAAAAGGATTTTTTCCTTTGATATCAGATGAAAATTTAATTGGCATTTTTGTCCCTCTTGCAGTCCTACTCAAGAACTTGATTGTGCCCCACTAACCCTTTCGTTTACAGCGTCAGGACTTCTACTAAATTGGAAGAATTTGATGGGGAAAAAAGGAAAACTTAATTTAGAAACAATATACAATTGGAAAAGATGGACAAGGATGTCCAGAACTTGCTGCAGATGCCATCAAAATTTGTGACACAAGGATCTTGGTTTGTATAGAAAAAAGGTAGACTTATTACTTATTGAAAACCTTAGACCTTAGACCTTAGACCTGTATAGACCTTAGTTTATGAATCTGTTTGCAGAAAGTATTTGGAATTGAACAACCGTTTGTTTTTGGTAATGAGGATTAAATTGTGACATGGGTGGTCACCAGGGTACGATGGCATTAAGAGCATTTTGGTGTGTAGGAGGTTAGAATTGTTTTAAATGTAGGAATAAGTGAGTAAAATTTTAGAATAATCTTCCTTAGAGACAATGCCAAATCTTGTAATGTCTGATGGATTGAGTTACCCAGGATCAAATGATTTTTTTTTAAAAGCCTACCAAAGCACAGAGATAGTACCGAAAATAGCTTTCTTTTATAATGAGGATTTTGTGCTCTGCAAATTAATGCTCTAAAAATAAACTACCAGATCAATATCTTCATGCTTGTAAGTGAATAATCTATGGCATCATTTAGTTATGGCAGGTGCGGATCTAGAGAAAGGGGGGGGGTCAAAGGAAAAAAAACCTTGCCCTGACACAAAAAAAAAGGAAATTATCACAATTATAGTAATAATAAAAAGGATGACATTCTGCAGCGGTTATTATCTGTATCTGACCCCCTTACATTCCTGGATCTGCCTCTGTGTCGTGGGCAAAAAAACATTTTATTTATGTCTGATGGAGCTTTCGGAACATTTTACATAGTGTATTAGATTAATTGATCTATTACATTTATTTTACTTACAGTACCACAGATTCCAAAACAAAATAAAATTGCTAAAACTTTTCCTACAATTTTCTTGATAAAGATATATTTAAAAAAAAAGGATTTAAGTTATAAGCAGGGATAAAATTACATTAAAAATAAGAAGTATTAAAAGAAATGTCCACATTATAGGTTGAAGAAAAAGAAGTCACAATCCTGACGCAAGGGGAAAAAACAACAAGTTGAAGTAGGAATATTTCTACTTACAATCACTCACAAAATGTTTCTCTCATTCACACTATTCTAAAGAGTTACAACCACTTTAGAATTAAAGTTCCATGTTCTTCCAAGATAGGCATCCTTAATTATACTTTGGGTAAGAACACTTTGAGAATAATACTTTTAGTAACAATTAGTTCTCTAATTGAAAGACTGTTCCAGATTATGTTCCTAAGACACAAACTTTGAGTTCACAACTGTGAAAAAAAAAATGCTATCAATGTTCTCTTTCTCTTTCTCTCCATATTTCTTTGCATGCAGCCGGGGACGACTTTGAAAGTGGCACGTTAGATTTCCGTTACATCGACATCGGGAGTTTGCTGAGCCGGCCGCACCTGACAGGCAGCATTGACCGACCTCCCAATTTCCAAGGTCACATGGAGCAGCTCATCTACAACAACCACCACTACTTTGACCTGGCCCGGGATGAAATGCCCGACTTTATCGAAAACACGGCCAGTTTTGGCGAGCAGATGAGCCGACGCCCCATCCACGACCCCTTTACCTTTCACACCCCGGAGGTCATAGTCCAGCTTCCTCAGATCAAGACCTACCCGAGCCTCTCCATCTTCTTTCAGTTCAAGACCACCGAGCCCGACGGTCTAATCTTCTTCACCGAGGGAGAACTGGACTTCCTAGCGATCGAGCTAGTGGACGGATTCATCTACTACACGTTCAATTTAGGCGGAGGGGCCAAGACCTTACGAGGAAACAGTCGTGAACGGCTCAACGACAACCGTTGGCATGAGGTGGGCATCTCCCATGACAGTCGCGACCGACAGGTCCTGAAAGTCGACTCGCGGTCCATGAGGTCTCGGGCTACCATGGAGGCTAATCATTTTGACTTCACTGAGAATTTGTACATTGGAGGGAAGGAGACATTTGAGTTTTTGCCAGAGAAGATCCAAGCAACTCAGGGATACCAGGGATGCTTGGCGTCGCTTGAGATTAACGGACGACATGAGGATCTGATGGAGACAGCTGTTAGTATGGAGTTGAAGGAGGAATTGACAAGGGGATGTGAAGGTACGGCGGGTTTAACATGGAAGCACTGTCTCTGGATTTTCAACCACTCTGGAAAACAGGGAGAACCTTGAAAATGAGATTCCATTTTCCAGTCAGGGAAAAGTCAGGGACATTTGAGAAAGACACGAAAAATCAGGGACATATCAGGGAATTTGACAGTGACCCAGAAGGGAAAGGTTTTCGCCAGTTTGGCATATGTGTGTCTTGTGCCCTGACTGGCTCTCCTGGCTTTTTAGTGTTTATGCAATTAATGTTAATGAATATTACACACCTTTCCAGACAATAACAATTGGCTGTGCTATACCACCTCCTGACTTCCCAACAGCCTCGTTAAAGTTAAGATATTTCTCGTGGAATTTTGGACATTTCTCAGGGAAATATCATGGAAAACTCAGGGAATTTTGTTATAAAATGCTGAGAACCCTGTATCTTTAACTCACACCATGTGAAGTGACTACCTGAAATAAAGAACAGGTCCTTGGATGACCAACTAGAAAGCCAGACCTGATTCTTTTCACTCATAAATTTTATCCCTCCACCTCAAATTGATTGTGTGATTACTTCTTTTCCCCACCTTCTCTCAGACAAGCGAGAGTTATGCATTGACCACATGTGTAACTTTGGCGGGATCTGTGTGCCTGGCTTTGATTCTTACACCTGTGACTGCAGAAGGACAAGTTTCACCGGACAGTACTGCAGTAACGGTGAGTGTAGGCTGGACCACAGACATCTTAACAGACCTGAGGTGTGCCTAGAATTTCTGACACCAAATTTGAACGCACATAGAACACAATCGTGGTTGCATCAAACGCAAAATGGAGGTGGTCGCATGACGAGTTTCACATAACATGGCGGCTATAGGGTGCAGTGCGTGGGGCCTAAAAACACAGAGAGAGGGCCAGACTATATTCCTTTTTGAGCCTCACTGACTGACTCACTGACACTTGTGAGCTTGGCAGTGCTGTTGTATAGGATTACCCTGTAATGCCAAAGAATGGCTTAATCTGGCCCATTGGTAAACTCAGATGCATGAAAAGACATCCAGTGCATAGCAATTCTGAATTGTTTGAATAGAATTTTGTGGGCTCTGGGACCAGCTTTACTAAGCATGCGTTCTCTTGATTTTTGTTTGTTGTTTATTTGTTGTTGTTTGGTTTTTCAATCTTAGTGAGTATCGGTTACCAGTTTGGTGAGGATGGTGGACTCATCTCTCTAGAGTTGCCCAGGGATCAGTGGCTGCGGTCAGACAGGGACAGTCTTAGCTTGGGCTTCGTGGCCGAGTCTCTGGATGGCATACTCACTCATATCAGCAGCGCCAACTCCCACGATTACATTGAGATGAAACTGGTAGGTTGTCAACCGCTGCAGCTAAGAACCTGGGCCCAATTTCATGGCGCTGCTAAGTACACGATTTTATGCTAACAGAGCCTCGGTCTGTTTCATTGAGACCGTAAGCAGCAAGCGCACTAAAACGCACGCTTACCTGAGTGGAAACAGAAATCTCCATGCGCATGCAATTAGCACATGAAAAAGTTCTTAAGGTTAGCACAATTTTTCTGCTATGATAAGCACACATTTTTTGGTACCTGTCAACAGCGTCATGAAATTGGGCCCTGGAACCAATTTCACTAAGCGGCTTACCATGTAATTCTGTGCTTAGAATCATCATTTTTTTTGCTTACAGCTGAGCTTACTCTGTTAGCACAGAATCCTTACTTGCAGGATCTATGTGTGGTGCACAAGCCAAATTTCCCTGCTAACTGGTGAAATATGCTTAACATTAGTGCACAATTTTTTGCTATAAGTAGGGATTTTTTTTGCTTACAGTAAGTGGAATTAGGCCTAGATCTGTCCTGAACACCTTCTTACTATGGCCAAATTTCATGAAGCTGCTAAGCATACAAATTATTCGCTTAGCAAAAACAGGTTACCAGCCAAAATATCACACGATGTAAATTGCTTGAGGCGGGTTCTCACGTTTTATGCTTAGCACCAAAATTTGCTAAGCAATATTTTTCTGTGAAAATGGGCTCAGGAATATGCCCCTTCCTCCAAATCGAGCCCTCCTAATTTTTTACAATGCACTGTCAAGACCTTATCAGTTTGTAATGCTGATTTTCATGGTTTTTTTTCCAGCTCTCCGGCCATTTGTTTGTCAGATACAACTTTGGTGCCGAAGACCACGTTATCGGAGAGAAGACGTACCGCGTGAGTGACGGCAGATACCACACGGTGGAGTTCACGCGCCGGGGCGAGAACTCTACGCTACAGGTGGATTACTACCCCAAGGTGGAGCTTTTCCAAAACTACGGAAGAAGTAGGTGTTGGTCAATAACGTCTTCTTAGATGTAGGTAGTGTTAACAGTGGCAGATCCAGGATTTTCCAATGGCCAAAAGTCAAAAAGAAGATTTTTGGGAAGGAAGGGTGTGAATGAGGAATTGCGGTCAACATATAACAGACCAAGGGTCTGAGGCAGTGAATCAAAATTTGCAATAGTGATGATGGTATTTAGGGAACGTAAGGAAATTGGGGATTTTTTCGCATTATGTTTACAATTAACATTGGTCAGTCCAGACTGGAAGGATTGTGAGCCACTCGAACCACCGCCTGTTGCTTGATTTGTGCCTGTGCACTGTAATGGCAATGTGTGAATGTCTCCAGTCAAACATCGGTCAAAACGTCATCATGATGCTTTGGGTTCTGGCTTCCTTGCTATGAAGGATGATGCGCACGCTGTATCCAGTGATGCTCCAACCTTGATAGGCTAGTCCTGAATGGTTGACTTGACTAGCCCACCATGGGCTAGAAAGATTGCAGAAATGTGGCTTGCCCAAACTTGCTCACGACTATCTTTATTTCACGCAGAGGGACGAGCAAGTTACTTTGACGCCCAATCAAAGATCAACATCGGCGCCACCAGCTCCGCCTTCAGACGGAAGCGGCGGGCCATCATGTACCCTTTCCAAGGCATCATATCCGGCCTGGCGTACAACGACCTGCGAGTTCTCGACATGGCAGCATCCGGCGACCCCCGCATCACGTTTGACGGGGACGTGTCGCTTGTGTCGCCGTACACCATCTGGGAGTATGTGACGGAGCCCTATCCAACCATGTCTCTAACGACTGCTAATATCACGGAGAAGCCAGTCCAGCCGGAATTTCCCGAACCGGACCCGTCTCCGCATGTTGGTCCCAACAAGACCCTGACCGGACCAACTAAGGTTGGTGATTGGTTGCTCCCTGTCTGTGGCTCAATACTTATTGTTGACATTGATATGCTACATTAAATATCTATGGCTATAGATATTTACTGGTTTGCACATAGCCATAGGTCCATTTTGACATGATGGACCTCATGAATATAATCATAAAATAATACAATTGAAGAAGCATCAACTTTGGCAGGTAACTAAAATGGCTTCTTGAAAAAAATATGTATATTTTAACCACAAGACACATTTTGTTCACAGATGGTCATGTCTACAGCCACAACTGATGGTGATATTGACTTTGGCACCGATCCCGACAACATCTTCGTGACCCAGTCTGGGTGTGGCTCGGTCGACGACGAGGACTGCCAGATGGCATCAGGTAAGAAGATGGGTTCTCATCTTTAGATAACAACAACTGCACTGAGTATACAGTGTTCAAACGTCGGTGAAGGGCAAAACCTAATTTGATTTATATCACCCCGACGCAAACATTCCATCTTATAATAGTTTATGCGGTACCCGCTGCTATGTACATCAGATTCGAACCAGCCAGCCGATCCCGTTAGCTCGGTGGTCGAGTGGTAAGACATCTGCACTAGAAAGCAGGAGGTCGTGGGTTCGAGTCCCACCCGAGTGATTTTTTCCAACTTTCACTCGGGAGGTAACACACTGAGTATACAGTGTTCAAACGTCGGTGAAGGGCAAAACCTAATTTGATTTATATCACCCCGACGCAAACATTCCATCTTATAATAGTTTATGCGGTACCCGCTGCTATGTACATCAGATTCGAACCAGCCAGCCGATCCCGTTAGCTCGGTGGTCGAGTGGTAAGACATCTGCACTAGAAAGCAGGAGGTCGTGGGTTCGAGTCCCACCCGAGTGATTTTTTTCCAACTTTCACTCGGGAGGTAACACACTGAGTATACAGTGTTCAAACGTCGGTGAAGGGCAAAACCTAATTTGATTTATATCACCCCGACGCAAACATTCCATCTTATAATAACAACTGCTCTTGCAGTCAAGACATTTTCAGAGACGTCTTGAGACTTTTCATCAATGTCTTGAGACTTTTCATCAACTTTGCAAGTTTTGCACAAGTACCCCCTCAACGGTTACAAAGGGAGAGTTGTGGGAGACCACTGGGAGGGACATTTGAATGCATTGCCGACAGCGCTTCACACTCATGCGAAGATGCTACCGGTTTGTGCACATTCAGAATTAAAATATGTGTGTACATGTACTTTATGCCATATGCACACGAACCATTATGCGCACACAGTGTGTCCCTCCTACTGGGGATTTCAAAAGTGGTCACAATGCACCATACTGTTCTAGCAACAAGTCCATATGAGCTCATGTTTATATTAATGCAAACTGTTCAACAGGTTGAGAACAATCATATTCAATTTATCTCGACTTAAAACAGCACAACCACCAGCAGCAGTGACACAGTGCAATGGAACTTCTAATCACAGTGCAATAGAACTTCCATTGCACTGCGCGCTGCGCGCCACGCGCGCGCCGTGTGTTGGTACGAATAATTCAATGACATGTGATCAACGATCCACCAATCAGATGACGGGGATTTATTCAGGTGTTGTGTAGTTTGCATTATTCCATGAGGGATGTACTTATGCACACAGTCCATAGTGTAGCCAATTTTTTTTTCTCCTGAAATTGAATCCCTGCATGCTGTGTTTCATCACTGCATGGCACTGTATAGACAAATCCGGCGGCAGCGTGAATTGCGCTCAGGTAGTACACACGCACTCAGTGCTCCTTTGACCAATAGGAATACCGAAGTGAACACGTGCAGCATGTGCTTGAGCGTGACACCACCGCAGTAAAAGCCTATAATTATTGTGGTCGCCGGATTTCACTATACCATCCCTTTCATAAAGGCTGGTGTCATCAGATTTAATGGCATAATGAACAATGTTATTATTAGAATAAGACCATCACGTCTGGATAAGCATAATGAAACTTCAGTTTTCATTCTATTTGCTGCACTTGGCCTTCTAAGCATAGACCATTCCGTTAAGCCCTGCCCCACGATGTTTTGACCAATCACAGCGTGATTCTGCTACCAAATATCAGACAGAAGTCCGACATTTGGGCTTGTGACATATCTCTGTATGACGTACATGACTAGAACATGAAGTGTAAGGTTAAAGAGGTGTGCATGTTGCCCACGTGCACATTGGGCAGGGTTTAACGGATTAGATGGACTTTATGCATGAACTGCATGGGCTTTGTAGCCATTTTTTGAGTGCCCCAATAGGAGGGACACATCCACTGATCTTTATATAAAGACTGGATAGCATATGCTCATACATTTTCTTATTTTCGCTTTTTGACCAGTTTGCCCTGGTCTTCCAAAAACGACCGTCGATGTATGAAGGCTCTACCCGTACATACAGCACACGCTGTTTCAAGATTTGAAGCACGTTGTGTTCATGTACACGTTCTGAAAAAGGACAAGTTTCCGTCATGATTAGATTTCCAAACATTGCAAAAAGTGAACTGCAACATTCAAAAAGTGAATCACGGTCGACGTTTGAAAAACTGTGAACCGTGGGAAGTGGTGATGGTCAAAAGGTAAACCAGGTGAACCACGATGTTTATACAAAAGTGAATGCCTAAGATGGCAACTTGTCCTGTATAGAACACCAGCCAGTCTCCCTAATATGGCTTCAAATGGCTTTCTTCTGCGGTTCTCTGTACACTATCCAGTCTTTATACAGAGGTCAGTGGACACATCGCACGCAGGTACTGGTTCACACCCATATTGGGCAAAGTATGCACAACTAATTCCAATCTGAATGTGCACAAACATGCACTGTCTTCACGCAGTCACCAAGCATGATCTGCAATACGTTCTAGAGTCTCTCAAAGAGGTCTACGCAAACCTCTCTTTATTACCTTAGATGGGGAAACCCATGCATGGCGTCCATTTGCTATGTTTGATAAAGAAGTTGTGGAACTTCTGTATGACCGATTTTTATTTTCAGCAAATCGGTGGAAAATTAGGTTTCTTAACTTTAGTGGTCTGGCAAAATGTGACTGAAAAAGGCAGAGGTCGAAATGAGGGTTTGGAGGTATTAGGAAAGAGAATAACGTTCTCCTTACAATACTGTTTGTTGCACTTCAAAATTAAATTGCACATTAATCAAAAAGGAAATTGCAAATTAATGTCAAACAAGTAAAATAATGAGAAAAAGACCTTTAAAGTATCAAGTTTTGTATTCTTGAAAAGAAAGGTGTCAATTGGTTTTCCTAAAAAAAAGTTATATTCCACGATTTTTATATACTATTTCTATAAAATATGTGTCAAGTAGACAAATATCAAAGATTACAAATATCAATAAATCTGAAAACCCAAGGAAAAAAAAATCACGCCATTTTGTTTTTGCATTTTTCTCCAACAAGGCCTGTTCCCAGTTCCGTCTCATTTTTGCCCGAACGTCTCACAATTATCTAATTGTATTGTCCACATGGCATCACTCTAGACATTATGGTGTCGTGCACAAATGCACCTATAAGAAGAGAATATACACTTACATGTTTTGTTTCTGCATTTTCTAATTTGCTGTCTCTTCTTCCTCTTTGTAATTTTCTTTGATTTCCAGTAACAAAAGGTAAAAGTCACTTCTGCTTTATTTCTGTTGCTATGCTGTGTCTCATTTTCCTTCTGTTTATATTGGATTTTTGTGATGGCATAGTTTGGAATTTGTTTTCGTTGATAGAGGACACTGTAATTATTTTGGGTACAAACAGAAAAACAATTTCAACGGTTTGTTAAACTTTAACAGATGTAATTTTATAATCATACATGTTTGCGTTGCATACCTGGTTTGGACATTCCTTTGTTTTCGTGTGGTTAAGAAAAATCTGTGAAAAAAATAACTCATTTTACTCAAACTGTGAAAACTCTTTCAACCCAATTTTTTTTCCCTGTGATTCCCTTGAGTGTTTGTCTTCATTTTGCGACGGATAAACCTAACCCCAAAATGCCTCTAAACCTGTTTTCCAGAGAGAGGGAAACCTTGCGTTGACGTGGGCAAGTCCACACAACGTATCTGAAAACTGGTTTATGTGGACATCTTTTGTTCGGAAGTCCACACAGTGAATGTAACGCTTGTACAGTGTTGTCTGAAGGCTAGTGGGACTCCAAAAGTTCCAATGACATTTGGCAATTTTTCCTTCACTAAAAGTTGAAAAAAACGTGGAACAAAAATATTGTTGAAACTTTCTTTGTGCCCCAAAATTACATTGGACAGCCACCTGTTACATGGATTTCATTTTGAGTATTAAAGATATTGCATTAATACCTTGCAATAAGTTTTTTTTGAGGGGGAAAGCAGGTTTGATTTAAATGTTATATATTTAATCCTGGAGATACTATAACAGATAATAATTTAGTATTCTTTACCAACCTACCGAAGTTCTAGTAATGTGTGTACTTTGGTTTTGTACATTTTAACCTTCTAGAATTATTTTGTGACCTAACTGTGTGTAACCCAAATTTTCTTCTATTTTTCGTGCACGTAGTCTTTTTTTTTATCCAGCACAATTGATGTTTGATTCTTTATACATATTATTCAGTTTTTTCCTCCTTCTTTACTGCAACTCTTGGGTTAAGCTCTTTTACCTTCCCAGAACCACAAACTCTTCCAGTGATTAATACTAACATGTTTCATATCTCATATCCCGTATTAATTCCAATATCCCTCAAGTCCCGTCTCTGAGACCCTGTGCTGGTCTTCATACGGTTGGTTGAGGGTCAGAAACCTTATGCCACACGCTTTGCTGGTACCACACCATCCCATGATCTATTGGCATCAGTTATCCGGAAACATAGTCATACCCCTGAGCCATATGATCCATGGGCATCTGCCACCAAAACCACACCCTATGCCAGTCCAACACCATGATCCACGGGTATCTTCTACCATAATCACACCCTGTGCTGGTCCCATACCATATAATGTTCCATGGTTATCAGTTATCATAAATCATACTCTATTCTTGTCCTGAGCCATACCCATGATCCATGGGCGTCTTCCACTATATCACACCCTATGCTGGTCACGCACTTTGCCTGTGGTCCTGCGCCATCCCATGATTTCTGGGCATCAGTTATGCATCTGTCATACGCTATACCTGTCCTGGGCCATACCCATGATCCATGAGCATCTCCACTACAACCATGCCTTATGCTGATCCCATACCATCCCATGATCAATGGACATCAGTTATATTCTAAACCAAATCCTTTGCTGGTCTTGAGCCATACCCATGCTCCATGGGCAACTTCTACCATAAGCACACTCTGTGCTGATCCAACACATTTCCATGATCCATCGGTATCAGTTATCCTGAAACATACCCTATTCTTGTCCTAAGCCATGCCCATAATTCATGGGCATCTTCTACCATAGTTACACGATATGCTGGTCCAACACCATCCCATGATCCATGGGCATCAGTTCTCCTGAATCATACCAATGATCCATGGGCATCTTCCACTGTATCACACCCTATATCGGTCCCACATAATAATCCATGGGCATCTCCTACCATACCCACACCCTATACTGGTCCAGCAGCATCCCATGATTCATTGGCATCATATGCTATCCCTATCCTGAGCCATACCCATAATCCATCCATGGCATCTTCCACTATAACCACACCCTATGCTGGGTCTTTTATGATGGTCTCTAGTGTTAAATGTAACCCTGCCCTAATTTTCTTTTCAATATCAGTCAGCTACTATCAGTTGGCTAATATGTCATCTTAAAAGCCCACATGAGAAATACCCAGAAGCTATGATGCTCTTATAACAACCAGCATTCTTTTCCTCTTGACTTGCATCCAATTTTTCTTGTATCTTAATTTTGTTACGTTACACTTCCAACTACTCTATCGACTCAAAGTTTTGTATTTTTTGTGCGTGTGTGTATGATATCCTGTTGATTTTCCGTGGCAGACAAAGAAGTGAGTGTCTTTCTTTCTCGCTCTCAGGAGACGGTGCAATATTTACTCCTGTTGATGAGATGGAATCCACTACAGCACCAAGTATCACCACATCAAGTCCAAGCACTGCCATTCCGACTACTCCAACCCCTAAGATGTCATTACCAGACACGGTCATCTCGGGGAGTCCATGCAGTGACCCCGACGATCCCGGCTGTATCTCCGGTGATACGACACCCAGCACCACCACAGACTTCAACTACACCACTTTCACGAGTAAAGCCGCGCCCACCCCTCCAGCCCCCAAGATCACCCAGAAGGTTGTGCCAACCACCCACAAGTCCACCCTGGGGTCCCACTTGCCGGAAGAGACCAAAGAAGGTGATGGGTTGGGATTCCTGGGCCAAACCTGGCTCGTCATCGGCTTAGTTGCCGCCGGTGCTTTTATATTCCTCTTTCTTGTCATCATTTTGTACAAGTTTAGAAATAGAAACGAGGGCTCCTATCACATCAACGAGAGTAGGAATTACAGCGTCAGCGACGCCACGCGCACGGCGCTGCTGCCCTCGCAGCAGCAACCGCAGCAGCCAAACACCAACGGCACACTGCCAACCAAACCAATCAAGCCAAAACTACCCCCAGAGTATGCAACTAAAGAATGGTATGTCTGATATTTATTGTCAAGTTCCCAAAAATTAATTCTCTAAAATTAAACTTAATTTTTTTCTTAAGCAGTATGCATATAATGTAGAATTGTTTCATTCAAGTTCACCTTTGATTTTTTATACAAGAAAAGAAAGAAGTTGGTTTTGTAGATTCAAATATGACTGTGTGTCCTTAAAAGATGTGTACAGTATTGGTTGAAAAAAGAAAAGAGTCTAGGATAGTTTAATTCCCTTAACAGAAGTTTACAAGAGCAAAGAAGTTAGATTTTTGACATTGGTGTTCAAAAACTATAATAAAATGTTCTATGGTTGTAATTCCCCATGTATTTTAATCCTCAGGTTCATACCAGTTTTGCAATTCCGTAGTGAAAGAAGTCAATCACAAGTCAAATCACAAGGCATATCATTAGTCAAATCACAAGTCAAATCACAAGTCAAATCACAAGTCAAATCACGAGTCAAATCACTAGTCAAATCACAAGTCAAATCACAGGTCAAATCACAATTGTCAGGTCACAAGTCAAATCACAAGTCAAATCACAAGTGAAGTCACTGGTCAGGTCACACAAAAAACAGTGGCTGAACAATAAACAGGGAATGCATTGTGTCCGTTCATTTGAACAGCTTGTCCATTGACATGAGACCGGATGACTCATGATTGACTTACGATGATTTGTGATTTCAACCAATTTTTGGGTGGGTTTTTTTTTGGTTGGGGGGGGCTTTTTATGTGACTGTACCACCAATTTATGAAAATTTGTTCAGTTGAAATTGAAAACAAATTCATGTTCTGGCATTGTTGACTTCTTTCACAACTTTACAATGTCTTAACCCATCTGACTTGGATTTTTAAGCTGGGAAAACCTTTATAGAAACAAGGGCTGTGCAATTTCAAAAATAATTTAGTATCCAATTTTCCAACTTGGATTTCATTAAATATTTGAATATTCTATTTGAAGATGCACTGATCAAGTTAAACATATGCCAGCCTAAATAGGCCGCCGATTGGGATTTAAAAAAAAATATTTGAATAGACAAAATGCTGCTGCCAATCAGTTATCCGTTTGATGACCGAATATTCAAATGTTCGGATATTCGGCACATCCCTAATAAAAGTGTAACTGAAACTGAGTACATTTCAGTTTTTTGCCTCTGAAGATCTTAAGATCAAAATATCAGGCGCTCTTAATTTCTTGGATTTGTATATTTCAGCTCAATCCAGTCAGTGAGCAGTTTGCAGCAGTTTTGATTCATTCAAATTAACTCTAAGTGAAATCGTTTTGATCATGAACCGTTCAATGTTCATTATAATTGCAAATTCAATCATAAGACAGCCATAAAGCTTCATAGAAAATTGCTGCTACTTTTCACATTAGTTTTACTTTTAATGTTTAATGATGCAGTACACTGCACATTAATAAATATCCAATTGAAATCGATCAGTGGCAAATGACAGTTCAAAATGAACTTGAATTATGTACTTGCCAGTAACACCCAACTCAGTATTTTATTTACTTGGTAAAACTGTTGGATTGTAGGGTGCCATTGAAATATATGTTTGTGTATATTAAAGAGAATTGAAAAGGAAAAAAAATGTATTTAAAGTATATACCTTATATTTAAAAACTGCCGGTTCAGTGTGAGATGAGATACGAGATTTGCTGGAACACAATTCCTATGCCATTACGATTAATTTGAATTAAATTTTGTTGAAAATGTGAATTTCAGTGTATTTTGTATTAAAAGACTTAAAAAACAAAGATGTCAAAAAAATTATGTAAATAAGTCAACTATTGCTTGTTCAGAAAAACATTTATGTGTTGTACTTCATGATTCTATATATTTCAGCTTATATCAGTGTTGCGGTCACATAGATAGATATTTTTTAAAACAACTTATGCGGATTACCAGATTTGTAGTTAATCTTGTGATTTGATCGTATGAGTGTAGAACTCAGAAAAAAAATAAGGGGTTCTTAAATCCAATTTAGTTTCATGTTGAGGCCTGCTTGTAAAACAATCATCAGTTACGTCTTTTTGTACCATTTACCAAGCACTTTGAAGTAAAGCAGAGATTGTTTTTTTTTTATTTGTGGAACTTACAAGCTGTATAAAAATTCTTCTATGAATGTCTTCTTTTTTTTCAAAAAAGGGGAGATGTTATGATTGTAATTATGTGTGATGAATGTGTTGTGCACGGTGCATTAGTTGTGCATTATGGCGCAACATTACGTAGTACTATGGAATTCACTTTCTGGGTGCAGACAAGTAATGAATTCGCATAGGCCTAGGCACCAATTAGTAAATTCACCCATTTCACAAAATCAAGGGAAAATACCACTCTGAAACCAGTCCTGCCCGCCATCTTGGATGTTGTTTTATGCACAATGTAAGCATTTAGGCCTAATTAAAACCAAAATTGTGTGTGTCCCAAAAGTGTTCAATCTCTACTTGTCTGTATCTGGACAATGAAGTTGTTTGTATGGAATAATGTAGTACATAGCCTTTGCCTTGTTCATTTTTCCTTTGAAATTTGATACCCTTATCCATCTTGTCGCTGAATATCATTTCATTTTTTAATTAATTAAGATATGCATTATTGAAGTATGATCCAGATGTTAATATTACTTTTGCTTTTATACTACAGAAGATTGTGGTCAATAATGGTATAAGATATATCGTTGTAGAATTATTTTAAATAAGAATTTTGCACGGCCAACTAGATAAAGGACAGTTGTAAAAAAAATGGTAAGAATTAGCATTTAAGTAGCTTAAAGTTCACGGTCCGGTTTTTTTTGCTATGTACCTGTAGTTGGTGCTACTTTTAATTTTGAAGTTGTTTATGAAACTGCCTTCAGGTATATTGGAGGTTTACCACATTATTGCTACACCATGTACATGTATCTACTTCCACAATTATGCTCTGAATTGTACAGCATCCACTCTTTGTATTTAACAGGCATACATGTAGTGGCCATCTATAGGCCTTGTTCCTGAGCAATGGACCGGTCCAGTAAGCCCCGCCCACTGCGCACTGGGCAAATTAACACGTGCTCCTCTCCCAATGCCACTCTGCATTTTCCTGCCGCGCGCAGCATACGCGCGTGCACGCATGTCGGTCTTTTGTGTACGCACGCCGGACATAAATCACGGCTGTGATTGGTCCGAACACCATGGGCGGTGCTTACTGGATCGGTCCCTTAAGGGCGCTGTAAGACGACGCCATTTTGGGTTGAACGAGCTTTACACATCGCTACAGCTCAAAAAAATACTTTTTGTAGCAGTTTTTATCGTTTGGATTCCTGTCACTTTGCTATATTTGTTCAATAAACGGAAGTTGTTTTATATTTACACCCAGAAAGATGGCGTCTTTGTAGCGCCCAGGCCGTGTCCGGCATGGTATTACACACGAGTCTACGGGAAGTGGCTGCAGCCACTCCGCGTAGCCTCGTGTGTGATTGCAAGACGTAGCCAAGTAATTCGGACACGGCCTATGGCCTATATTGTGCTGGTCGTAATTGCCACTTGAAAAGTAGAGACGAGATTTTAGCACCGTGTAAGTATTACACAGAACGTAGTGTAATTCTATCTATGCATTCCAATGTTAATCTGTAGATTAATCATAGAATTATGGAAACACTGTAGCCGATAGACTACGATAGTTTCAACTTCTAATATGTGCATTGGTTTACGAATTCTAAAAGGGTGTTGAAGGTCTGCAAGAGTAAAAAAAAAAAAATTTAAAATTAAAAAACCTTGGCAAGCCTAGTAAAGTAAAATGGGCCGGATTTTTTCCCCATTCTTTTGTCAGTATACCATAAAACTGCCCGGCTCATGGGGGAGTCAGTCAGTCAGTCAGTGAGACAACAAGGATACTAGCCTGACCCTCGGGGACCAGCAAAATAATATCTGGTAGAGTGCATTACGCTACAGCACTTATGATGCATTGGTGAAAGGTACTTCAGTGTTGGGCGGTTTTTTGGTACATCCGTTGTTGATTTGAATCTGAAATTTACAGGCGAGAGTATGTTTTGAGTATACTCCCTATCAGTTTGTTCTGATGAGACGATGTTTCTCAAGTAGCAAGTATGAGAAATTTGTCAGATGATTCTAAGGTGTGTGCGACCTCTATTTATGGAAATAAGAGAAAAGTATTTTGAAGATAGACTTTTAAGGATAAATGTCGTAAAAGTTGAAGCGCCGCACTGTCGCGGAAGGATATATAAGAAAACTCTGAGACTTGTGATATTCCGATTCGTGAAGTGGTCAGTGTTCCGGAAGTGTGTTACTCCGCATCGAGAGAGAAGAATTTATAAAAATCATTTTGAAATGTGTTGTGTTTGTAAACAGGGTATTAAGTTGTTGTTTTTTATGTATATAACGCGTGATTTTCAGAACGGACTAGAAGTTTGTTTTGGAATTGAATAAAAACAACCGCCGTGAAGAAACTTGGTGGTGTATTCATTCTGCAAAATTCCAAGTTGGAATTTTGTTTCTTTACATTGTAAGAGCTTGATTTTAAAACAAAAAGTGATAAATTTTCTTGGAACCCTGTTCTGTAATTATCTGCGCAATACGGGTGTTAATATAGCAACTGATTACGAAGTACATTTTAGTTGGGCATAAAGGGAAACTTTGTAGCCTGCAGATAAATGTTGTGCTTCAGTCACATAAACTGTCTAGTTGTAGTTCTTTAATTTCGTAATTTTCAGTGCTCAGAGTTGCATTTGATTCACATTTTTGTTAATACTATTACTAAAACCATTTTTGTTAGTACTATTACTAAGCCAGATTCATGCCCAAACTGTCCCTTTTTATAATTTCTTTCATATTTTCATTTTTGTTTCGTTTGGTATACTTAACTTATTATTTAAAAAGAAAAACTGTTCATGTACTCATGTGTGCTATTTATGAAGAGTTTCTGTTAAATTTATGACATTTTGTTGGAATGTGAGATTCTGATCGTTTATAATACTGCAATAGCCTACCAGTTTTATGTGCAAATTTAAGGCTGAAACTTACAGCTATAATAGTTTTGGCAACTCTTTTAGTTATAATACTCTTCGTGTATATGGAAGAATTCATTACCTTTTCAGCCAGAGCCTCGGCTGCATTTCGTTAATCACAGCAGCAGTATTCGGATAGAACATGTGCAGCCCTGTATATACTTATAGGAACCATTAATTAACGCCAGTATTAATTGATGAATGTATTAGGCATAATTATGTTCTCACATAAAAACGGTTCTTTTGTTAGCAAAAAATATGACATCATTAAGGAGTGGGAGTCTCCAATTGCAAAAAAAGTGAACCCTGGTTGGCATCTTGTTTACCCTCAAAAATGCACATTTGTTTCAGGGGAAGGTACTTTCATATAATTCTTGTTGGATTATTGAGAGAACAAATTAATTCGCATAGAATTGTTTTTAAGCTTTTTGTATTCTTTTGCTTTTGTAATGACTGCCGACCATAGTTGCTTTTGTTAACCACATGTTGGCATAAACTATGACCGTGTCTGTACATTTGTATATTGGATCCTCTTAGTACTGGTATATTCCAATTTCTGCGCACATAATCCACTAATCAGCTGTTTCATTGAATGTCTTTCAGTTTTAATGGTCATACATTTCTATCCTACTGTTCTAGATGCTTCTTCTCTGTGATGTCACACTATAGTCATCCTGTACATGTACATTAGTGTCGCCAAATACAGGCACCGGCAAGCCAGCAATAAATGTCACCAAGAAATCGTAATAGCCCTGTGATTCTATGACTGTCATTGAAAAGGTTTTCGTGTGATGTCCGAAAGTTTCCCTGTAGGAATTCAAATGGACTTTGATAGAGGCATTCCATTGTTATTGTTGAGCCATCTGTTACTTGCGACCTAAGACAATGCACTGACAAAATTGCCTGGGTTAATTTTACCCAAGAAAGGGTGAAAACTGCAACTACCCAAACTTGGGTTGTTCTATAACCAATTGTTTGGGTTAGAATTTATGTTAAATTCAACCATAAGTTGTAGGCATACAAGAACAAATTAAATTTGGTCTTGAGTGACCACAAGTTTTGGTTGAATTTAGCAGAAATTCTAACCCAAACATTGGTTATATAGAACAACCCAAGTTTGGGTAGTTGCAGTTTTCACCATTTCTTGGGTAAAATTAACCCAGGCAATTTTTCAGTGTGACTACCGTACTGGTAATGGCTATGTTAGAACCTGTATTCCTCAGTACAAATTCCATAGATGGCACAAATAGATGCCACAAATTAGTACCCCCTCAATGATTACGAAGAGAGGGTTTGGGGAGACCACCACTACTGAGGGACTTTCGAACGCATTGCCGACGGCGCCTGACGTGTCATCATCTCATCTAGGCGCTTGCGTCAAGTAGATCTGACATTGCGCACTCTGCAAGTGTCCTCCCCTGCTGCCTGTCTGATGCAATGTGCCAAGTGTGTTGATCTTTGATGTTGACCAGGGTGACCGTAAGGTCATGCCCAAATTCTGCTAAATGCACTTCAAAAATCTGCCAGATTAATCAAAAATCTGCCAAATTCCCCAGAATCACTCGAAATACACTATAAACACTTAAAATCACATCTATGTTGTAGTATTGCCTTAATTAAGGTTCAAATTATATTATAAACAATCTGTAGTCACATAAAGATGTTATGAAGTTGCGTAAATTTCAGGCAAAATCCGGTGACAAGTGAACCTCGGCAGCTAGACCAGGCAACCTGTCCCATTATGCAAGGGTTTGCTTGAATAGATTGAAGCTTTTTTAAACAAATTACCATTTTTTTCAAATTTGCTATGTTTTTCTGTTACATAACAATTTTTTGAGAATTCTGCCAAAAATCTGCCAAATAACACATTCTGTCAAATTTTCTGTCAAACTCGTTTTTTACGAAAAAATCTGTCAAATTTAGCCGAAATTCGGCTAAAACGGTCACCCTGATGTTGACCCTAGTGGTTGTCGGGTCCCTGTTCACTCTTTTCAGCCACGTGGTTCGTTGTCCACCGCTTGGCAGCTTGTTCTTGCGGATCGCCTCTAGAAGCGCTTGTTTGGCAAATGTTTCCCCGGGCAGTCACAGGAGATGGCCTGTCCACCTAAGACGTCTTCTGGTAATGGTTATACTCCAAGACATCTTTGGTTTTCTTGTAGAGTTATTCATTTGTGATCTTCTTTGGCCATTTAATACCAAGGATTGAACGCAATAGCCTTCTGTGAAAGGCATCAGTGTTCTCTTCTTTAGGCCAAAAAAAAAAGGCACCGGTTTCTGGTATGGGAGCTTGCCCAAAATGTGGTGCGGCGACGCGGCTTTTTTTTTTTTTTTACCTGTTTTTTTTTTGCTTCAAATGTCGGCTGATGACTGCAAATGGTGCCCGACTGAACTTAGTGCAAATATATGGGAGTCCAGAGAGGCCACATAAAGCCTATTCTCGACCCTAACCCAATCTAAAAACACGTTAAAATTGTGCAGCAGAAGAGTTTCCAGTCAAACCAGTGATTTTGGCGGTTTTGAGACATCATCTTTCATTGAAAAAAAAAACTGTTTTCATTTTGCCGACGCGCATGGCTACGGCGACGCGCGCGCATACCAGAAACCGGAGACTTTTTTTTGTTGGCCTTAGTGACTCAGTCTCTGTCCATAGCTTCCATATTGTGTACAACAGTGAATTATTCACTGTTGTAGGCCTACTGAAATATACGGAAGCTATGAAGGCACGAAATGTTTTTTAAAGTTTCGTGTTGTTGGAGATTGCATCACTGTTAAAGACATTCCTGAATTTGTTGAAAGAGGCCATCGAAAGCATTTTCCTCCTGGAAAATGGTTTCGATGGCATCTTTCAAATGACAGTGTGCAAAATCAGTCGTGCGTACTAGTCTTGTTCATGCCATACTACGGCTCTCGAAGCGCCCTCTCTCCTATAGCGCACGGAGCCATAAAAAATAATGCGCGCGTCTAATCTATTCTTTTGAACGCGACGAGCTGCAAACGCGAACAACACAAAAAGGACGCACAAGACAAACGGCCGAAATACAAACGTGAACTTTGTTCTGGTGATACATTTTTTGCAAATAATAAGCTTACAAGTTTGGAATTTCAGCCAGCTTGTATTTTTGTTGAACGAGGACAATAACTGCTCGTTACAAAACTGGGCCTATACACGTGTCGTTTGGGATCTCTTGAAGACTGCCTCTGATTGTGCTGAAAACTTTGAGAAGTCAAAATGACAGGTAAGGTCATCACACAGACACATGACAATTTTGAAATATCAATGATATTCTAGAATAAAAATCGTTACGATCTAACTGACGTTAGGCTAGTTGTAATGTAACCATTGTAACAGCCTGCAACGGGGTGAGCTAGTTAGTGTGATTGTTCTATTCTGTGTAGAATAACATTATTTAAACGTTTGCATGCAGTAAAACGTCTTGAAGCAATGCAGTCTCACCACCCCCTTTTTTTTTCTTTCCCAGTCAATCAACTTGCGACACATGTCCCTGACTTGGTGATGGTAGGAAACCAAATCAAAGCTCTTCCTCACAGTCAACGGTTTGACGGCGTCCTCATGTTTGCTGACATATCAGGTTAGTGGGTAACTGGTTAAATCTGGTTAAACCTACGTAGGCCTATGTTAACCAGTTTAACATGTTTAAAGAGTATGGGCCATCGACTATAGCGGGGAAGGCGAGATATGTAAGGTTTGTCGTTACCTGCCCCGGTTAGACGCCGTCCTTGTTGCAAAATGAATGATTGCGTGGTGTGGTAAGGGAGTCTCCCTCATCTAATCGGTAGGCCTACCTTATCATTTGCTGAAATTTCAGGTTGGTGGTTAAACAAATTAAATTTTTGAAAAAGAAGGGGTAAACGTTGGAAATAGGCCTTCAATTCAAATTGCCTACACTCTTTGGCAATTTCTTCCCAAATTTTTTGGTAAATTTTACCCGAATTAATCAACAATATTATTTTAATACCATTGCACCAATGCAAATGACATTAGGCTACCCAGCATTATTATTACTCAAACTGTTAAACAGCAGAGAAGGCACGTAAGAAACTCCAGCCAAGGGTCTAAGGTATCCTCATAGTCTTATTGTTTTCATATTCAGGTTAATGTTTTTAACATGTGTAGTTAATCTTGTGGAGATGTTATTGAGTCAACTGGCAGGGAAACTAGTAGGTTACGATTTTCTACCAGCTATACAACACAAAATAAAAAAAAAACGTGCCAACTAACTTTCTCCGACCGTTTTTCCATAGTTGATTTAAGTAGTTGTCTATTTTGAAATCTTCACGATTTTGACGAAAACGCAAAAACATCCTTGCCGGGATTCGAACCCGGTGTCACGGTCTCACTTCTCCGGCGTGCTAGCTTCTCCGAGAGGGAAATTTCGCGTCAACACGCATGCACAAAATTGCGCAGTAGTGTACATTGGCCAACTTTGTTTGTGTGCTGAGTTCTTTGGGGTTGTACTGGTGCACGTAAGATCTTAGGATATTTGTATGTACATTACAGGGTACCAGTCGAATCCATAATTTTCGTGGCGCGCGCAATTCCCAGTGACCAAAAAGACTTCAAGGATGCCTGGCTGTGCACATTTATTTAAAACCGTGGTTGCAAAAATATAGACAAATGTGATGGACCACGAACGAATACCACAGACCAAGGATTTATAGTTTTTAATTATTCCTCCACGAACACGCACACATGACGCTGGGAACACAAATCAGAATGCTTTCAAGACGGCATGGAATGACTTGACCCGCATAAAGTGTTACATAACACATTCTTGGGTGTCCCTCACTGTGATGCGCTTGGTAAAAGTAAGCACAGCGGACACATGAGCATGTATCGTGCTCATGTAACGTGCACTGTAACGTGCTCAATTATCCGCCGAAACCACCCGGAGAAGCTGGCACGCCGGGGAAGTGAGACCGTGACACCGGAATCTTTGAATTAGAAGTCCAACGCGCTGATCCATTACGCCACAGGGACTCTATACAGACAGAACAAAATGGGCGTGCACCGATCATGATTTATACGAGTTTATTAGTTAAAGGTAGAGTCCATCATTTGTAATTTGTGCATTTTGTTCGTTTGAAGCAACAAAAGAGTTCAAAATCTAATGAAGGATACTGAGCAACTAACCTGATGAAGTTTCAGCTAAGCTTCAGCTGTACATTCCGAGAAAAACAGCATTCTAAGATCTCAATTTCAAATCAAAAGTTGCTGAATCATGTTTTGAATTGTTTTGAAATGCAACTATACGCGACGTCGCGCACTGATCCGACGAATTATAACAACCGCGCGCGCGTGTGCGTCGTTCGAATACTTGTGCGCGCTGCGCTGAATAACAAAACGAACTACTAATTTAAATTTTCCTACGGTGCTTCTTAAGAATCACCGTTGGAAATGCCTTCTTTCGTTGATAACTTCAAAATGACAGCTTCCCAGAAAGAATAATTTCACAGGGAGTTTAGTCTCCTTACTATCTTTCAACCAAGTTAGTTTTTCAACAATAATTACGCCAGTTACTTTTCGGATGGCTGCAAATGATGGACTCTACCTTTAACGTAGTTAGCCTAACCCTAAACTTGTTTTGTACATCTCCTTCAGGATTTACTGCCCTGACTGAGCGGTACAGCATGAGTTCACGCAACAGCACATGTGGAGCAGAGAAGCTGTCTGCTGCCCTCAATAGTTACATCGGAGATATCGTAGACAACATCATCGGGTCTGAAGGAGATATTCTGAAATTTGCAGGTTAGGCGACCGTACAAACGTCAAAATATGGAGTTTGAAATAATGACAAAACGATTCAGTCCATGCTAGGTTAAGTTCAGCCCCGAAAAAGGATTTACCTAGCAGTGCAAAAGTTATTCGCTGTAAATGAGACATCGAACAACAATGATCGGTCTACGTCACGTTAGGTAATACTTTACGGGTCGGCAATAACTCAGTTCTCGCGCGGTAGACCGGATCGGAAACTAGTCTCGAGGGTGGATCTGTTTGTGTGCAACAGCAAACCAGTAACACGCGCCCTTTGGCGACAGTGTTCACTTTTTAGTCTTCTCCTGTTAGGCAGCCCTGCACTGTCTTTGTCCCGTCTTGTCAATTGTTTGTTGCTGATGTCTTTATGTAGTAGCTTTTAAAAAAAATCTCTGAATGTACTTGTATGTGAACAATTTTTGTGACGAGTTAAAGAGTAAAAATAAAAACAATATCATCCCTGCCGGGACTCGAACCCGGAACCTTTGAATTAGAAGTCCAACGCGCTAATCCAATTGCGCCACAGGGACTACACAACAACCCTTGGAATAAATGTGTTATGAAGTAAAGGAAAACACTATACCGCATGCACACATTGAGAATTATGTAGGGCCCAAGAATCCACAGATTGATTTTTTTTTATGGGACCTGATCCTGTGTCTGGATTTGAACTTGCAATTATTTCTCCCAATCGTTGGCTGTAGGAGACGCATTCCTGGCTCTATGGAAGCTGAAACGAGATAGCCTGGACTACACACTGATGAGGGTCATCAAGTGTGGGCTGCGCATCCAGGAGAGGTGCGACAATAGAGAGACGGAGGTGGGCGTCAAGCTTCGTGTCAAACTAGGTCAGTTATACCTTTGTTTTTCAGACACCTCGTACACCGTAAAAACTCACCAATGCCTGCCAGAGTTGAAATCGATTCACAAGTGAATCATACGAGTCAGGTCAAATGTATAGTAAAAAGGGATGCACAACAACAATAATTTTCTTTGTCAATGATTATTTGGATAGCTTGTGACTTCTTCTTCCATAAAAATCTGTTAAAAGAATTAGGTCCCACCGAGATTTGAACTCGGATCGCGAGATTCAGAGTCTCGAGTGCTAACCGTTACACCATGGGGCCATTTGGTAAATAAAGTCATTTGATGGACAACTAAATCTATAGAACAGCGCGGGATTGCGTCAGCCGGTGAAAACATTATGGCACATCTTCACCAGTTGTTATGTGTTACCGTTCGCCACTCCAGACTCAAGAACCATTTAGTTTAATGAAAATGGGTCTGGGAACGAGACAAGGAGATTTCAAACGTTCCTGGATGTCCGGGCTGACCTACAGCCCGTATAAAGCCAATATTTGTTCGATGGTTGTTTATTTGTAAGAAGACAAGCATCACTATAATTATTCCCATGTTCAAATCGAAAAGGAGCACTGGTAGGAAGTAGAATATTGATCGAATACGCTTCCGGCTGTTGCTCACACATTCAAAATCTGAATCGGTAAAGGGTGAACAAATGTTAGCCAAAACAGTGGTATTTAATAAAAGCGAATTGATAAACTATAATCAGACTGCGGGTTTCAACTCCCAAACTCCCTAGTCTCATGACAATCCTTCTGACATCCTCCCTAGTCTCATGAGAAATCATTTTTTCGGTCAGTAAAACTTTTCAGCGCTTAGAAACTGTAAGACCGTTTCACCATGTTGCCACCAGGTGTGTCTTTAGGCCCTGTTCGTGTGACCACAGTAGGCAACGAGGAATCTCGTCACTACGTACTGAGCGGGCTGGCTGTGGACGACGCTAACAAGGCTGAGAAGTTTGCTACCTCGGGATCCTTGGTCCTGTCCCCCAAGACGTGGGCTTATACGCCCGACCATCAGTTCATCGAGCACCTTGTGCTGGAGGACCGTAGACATGTCTCGGTTGGTTGGAAATTGGGAAAGTGGGATGGGGATGGGGTGAGGTTAAATGGTATTGAGAGTGATCTCCTGCCCTAGGGACGTCATTTTCCGGAGACGAATACGCAATGGGTTTGAAACAATTAATTAAAAGCTCATTTTCCCTTCTGATGGGCGTGCCATTCCCGCTTGCGTTTGCGTCATATGCTTATATCGTCCGTAGGTCTGACCGACTACTTTTTGTGTGTTAATGCTGTTGTTTGTTAATTTTGCCGAATTGGCAGGTTTTGTCAATGATTGCCGAGCCCATCAACGACCCCGGCACCAAGATCGATCTCAGTTACGGCAACCAGTACACAAGAGACATGAGGAAGAGCGGTGATAACCTGACCGGTAAGAATTCATGGCCCTGGGGTAGAGGTTATTATGGAGTATCGAGCAACCATGAATCGAACGCGCCTTGCACAATTTAGGCATGACATCGACTCTGTGTTGTTTTTTTGCAAGATAACGTTGTGGGTTGAGGTTATCGTGGGTCGACGTATTCTCATCAAGTCAAATACATCAGCAATCCTTTGTGTTTCTGCATGAACAAAATTATTTGAATGACACGAGGTATAAAATGGTGATGATGTTGATGTTGATACGGGGGTGGTTTCGTAACGGTGATGAGGGTGGTGCCGAACCATCCTCATCTTTCTACTTGTTTGATACCTGTTTTAGTGACACCACTCAAAATCCAAAGATGAATCTTAAAAAGCTAACCTGTTGAAGTTTCAGCCCAGTGGATATTACACTTTGTGAGAAAACAGTGAAAAACCATGCACAACCCTTTCATCATGAAACCGATTTCGTCAAAAGCACTCTTTATACCGAAAATCTGTATCTGTCAATTGACTGATCGTTGAAAATCAAATCCATTTCTTGCATGATTTCTTTTAAATGACAGCAAGCCAGACTTAATAATTTCACGGGGTTTTTAGCTAGTACGATCTTTAATTCAACTAAACTTGTAGATAATAATTACTTTTAGGGTAAATGCAAATGATCCTTTATGCCTTCAAGCATCATTCATTTTCACCGATTAGTGTTTTCGTGTTTACTTTGTTAAGCGGGACCGAGTGTCACCGTAGTGCGACTGTCATGTTCCAAGCCGGCCTCGTCAGATGAACACTACGCTGATGCGGTCGGCAGAAGTAAGTTTCGTCATATAACCGTACATGATTGTGCTACATCACCGAGGTCTTCTCGTCACACGTAGCATAAAACACTCAACCTTTTTTATTTGTTAAAATTTCACTACTAAACTAAAGACATAAAATCAAAACACGGAAAGACTGCTTTGGAGCAGGTTCTTTCAAATACAAATGTCACAATTATATTCATTTTTCTCTGATGCCACAAGAAAAAACTCTTAATGACGGATACTCCGTTTAGCCAACTATAGCCTGTCCATGTAACAATTACAATCAGGGAGCCAGTCGCTGTAGCAATAAGCCAGTGACCTTTGAGTGACGTCACGATCGGGACAGCATATAAAATTACTGCGAGAAGCCCTTCTTAATTCATAAAGCATGCGATTTATTCTAGGTACATTTCTTTCTGTTTGTTGATCAAAAGTCATACACAACTTCATGATAGGCAGCTAGATTTAGGCGGGAAAATTGAATTTGAAATAATCAACAGATTTTTAAAATGTTCTTATGTGTATTATTCAGAACGCGAGTGTGCCTTTCGGTCGAGCACGGACGACGAAAAATCCCGACTGCGCATGTACGTCATCAAACCGGTTCTGCAGAAGGTAATCAACCTTGCACAACCCTTGCACCACGACGAAAGCCGGAATGTTTGTAGCTAGGAAAAACATTTAGAACATAGATGACTTCTTGTATATCACATACGTTTCTTCCAATGTGCAGTTTCTATTTTCAAAACGGCATTCGAAGATTATATAGGACCTAACGGTATAGCTATCTTGAACAGACCACATTATTTAACACCTCATATAGAACTTTTCACGATAACAGCATGTTCATTAATTGCACCGTATATATACATGTTATTCTTGGTTAAATATCTTAGTTTTCTCAAGTGCATACTTCGTTAATAAATCGCGCATGTCCATACACCCCATGCATTGAGTGCCCTCACAAAGGTCCTCTGTGGTACGAAAAAGTAGACACTTGTACTTTCATCGTCACTGCATTGACTAACAAACCCTGCTCCAAGAGAGACAGGTTTCTTCTAGGAAATTATTATGATGGTGATGATACCTCATTTCCCGATCCACTGAATACACTTCATGATTTTTGACCAATCACAATCGTAATAATATGATAGGCGCGTCATAATATGACCACGTGTGCAGTGGGCGGTGCTTACTGAATCGTCTCTATACTGAGTTGAATCGTAATATTAAGATGGTTGCCATTTCCATTTTTTGTGTGCCATAGATTGATGACGGTCTGCCTTTAGAGTATCTCTCAGAGATGAGACAGGTCAGTGTGGTCTTCATTAACTTGGTGGTGACGTCATCAGACCACGACAGCGAGAGAAGAAACCTCCACAAGGCGTTCAACGTGGTATATGACGACATGAAGGAATATCAAGGTGAATACCACACATTCGTAATACGCGAACAAACGATAACGTTCCCAACGTTGGCAACGTTTGCACAAGTGGGACGAACAGTTTGCAACCAACGTTTGCGAACGTTAGCAACAATAGCGAACGTACGTGTGTGAAAATGGCAAAAATAAATTGTATATGTTGTCAGACCTAGTTGAATACCAATGGGTGTCTTGAAACTGAAGTATATAGAGACTTAAATCAGCTTCGTGGGCTGATCACTGATACACTGACTGGATACCACACGCGCTCACTAAAGAGCACGAAATTAAATTCGTAAGGTTTATATCAAGTTGACGAAACAGTTTTGGGTTTTTTGATTTGTTGGAAAATTTACCATCAGATTTTCTTGGTTTCTTTGTACAGGATGTGTGAACAAGGTTTTCATGTTTGACAAGGTATGAGATCATTCTACATTTAAATTCAATAAGTGACGAACACACATATTTTGAGTTAGAAAAACAATTATACGGTGGGGAGCGGCATGCAGGCCTACAGTTCCACAGCTTTTTTTTCTCTGAAAAATAACGTTGAGTTGTTTGCCTACAGAATAAATTCGACTCTATAGAAATAAACAGTGAATGTATTGCGCCTGGTGGCGCTATATAAGATAATTACATAATACTGTGGCGGAGAAATACTCAAATTCATTTCTATAAAATAATCCATGTTTCAAGATAAATTTATTGAAGAAAAGGGGTCTTAATTCACATCTGTCGCATAAAATACATGTACCAACTTTGTCTAAATATCACTTATGAGGCAAATATTCTTTTAGTTATTTGTGTAAAAGATAAGATTAATTTGTTGGTAATGACTGCTAACTGTTATGGACATATTTTGGCCTGTCTGTTAGGGATGTACATTTCTTGCCATCTTTGGTCTTCCCGGGTACAAGCATGAGGACGACTGCGCACGCGCACTTCAGTGCTCCTACCGTCTACTGGAACACCTGAAAGCGACCCCTAATGTCACGTGAGCATGATGACTTGGAATTAGACTGGTTAACGACCTCACTGACTGACGGTAACTTACCTAACTCTCTGACTGACTGTCACTTTATGACGCTTGTCTATAGTGTACGCGATGTAACATCTACACTACATGTGCACTAGTCTGGCGCCGCTTGTTTCATGTACATGTACTGTCATGATATATGTAAGGAATAAGTCCAGTCTCCATGCGACGGCAAAAGTTGATATTTCGTTTCCACCAGGTTATACCACTGCAGCTTATTATTCTATCGACGACATTTTTAGCCATTCTCAATCAATTCTGAATTTTGTGCACTCTGGGACCAGCTTAACTAGGCTTGCCTTTTATTGTTTCAGAAACGAAGACTCGAAGCCATTATTCACTAGTCTTCAGTAAGGGAAAGTATCATTCATTACAGTTATCTTCTCATGTAACAGGCAAGCGTCAATTGGTGTTACCACAGGCTCGACATTTTGTGGTGTGATTGGCCATGTTCACAGACACGAGTATACCGGTGAGATCATTCACTGTATTATACCAAAGGCTTTGGTCTTAGCTTAGTATTGTTAATTTTATTGTTTGAGGTTGCTTCTGAACATTCACTGGTACCTTACTAATTGCAATGTCTCCAACGCTAAATATCAGTGAGCACAAAGACAGATGTTATGATTTTGTACATATTATATCAGCTGATTCAGCTTTATTGAATATCAACGAGTTATACGTTGATGATGGACAACAATATCCTGTATTTATCTTGAAACCATGAGCCTAAATCGTGATATGAGAAAGTCTGTGCTTGTATTTGTAGTTATTGGGAGGAAAGTGAACATGGCAGCCCGTTTGATGATGCATTACCCAGGGCGAGTATCATGCGACCCGGAGACATTCCATCACTCAAAGCTTGCCAGACACTTCTTCCGTGAGCTGCCTCATAAGGAGATGAAAGGAGTTCGTAATGCTGGCGTCATCCAGGAGTTCGTGGAAGGAGAACAGTAAGAAATTATGAAGACCAGGCGTAACCCAACCCAACCAAGCACAACACAAAACAACCCAACCCACTCCGTAGCCCAGCCCAACCCAAGCCCAGTCCAGGCCAGCCAAACTCAGCTCGACACAACCCATGTTTGCAAATCAACAGATTCGACGCATCCCGGCTAAAACGAATCCCAGCTATCCCAGACCAATTACCCCAGCCAAGACCAACCCCACAAAGCCCAACTAAAGCAATCTAACCGGTAACTCAACCCGAAACTCCAACCAAACTTAACCAAATCCAATCCTTCCCACCCCAGCCCAAACTCACCCAGGTCAACCCTGCCCAGGCATCCTAATTCAACCCAACCCAAAGCCAACCAAAGCCAATCCTACCAACCTAAATCCAGCTTAAATCCAAACCTAAATCAACCCAACCTACCCAAGCTAACCAAACCCAACCCAATCCAACCAACTTCAACCAAACTCAATCCAACCCAACCCAACCCGTAAGGCACATTCTTAAACAACGTACCAAACCATATCAGATTCTGAACATTTCTCAATCTTAAGGATGATGTAGAGGGCCTAATTAAATTCAACTAATCGAACCACACAAACTTTTTCGATTCTACTCATCGAAAATCAGTATGCTGAATCGCCATGTGTGTGTCAGATTGTCTCTTTTTCATGTTGCAGATCTGAGGTTGTGGTGGGAAGCACTGTGCCAGAGTTTGAATATCCATTACTCGGTAAGAACGTCTTTATTATGGACCCACCCTTGGGAGCAATGGGTAAAACAACCTGCTACAAAACAACATCATTTTCTATCATTTTACCTCCTAAAAGTGACAATAATCATTACATGTACAAAATGAATGCATTATGAACAGCAATTATAAGGCCCAGCCGAACTGGACAACGACACAATCATGTGGTTGGAGACGATAGACTTTCCCGTGTGACATTGCAGTTGTCGATTCAAACGATCGGACGACGAGCACTTTTTATACAAAGCAAAAATAGGGACAACTCTTAATGTATTCATACATTGTACTTTGAAGGCTTTTCTACGTATTTTGGTAGCACAGGACAAAATGAATGGTGTGCAAAACACAATGGATTTCAATCCATCGCCTTAAACCACTCGGCCACCTCGTCTTATGACTTGCGGAAATCGCTTCAATTCGTAATCGTTAAAAGGTCAACATATCTTCAAATTGAACAGACAAAAAACCTCGACGAGGAAGGGATTCGAACCCACGCGTGCAGAGCACAATGGATTAGCAGTCCATCGCCTTAACCACTCGGCCACCTCGTCTCACAATCAACCATTCAAACGTATCCAACCAAAATTCACAGATCCCATCATGCATATTCAATTTCCTATCACCATTTGTATCAAGTAAAACAGCCCCATTGCATCTGTCACATAATATATAAATACATGTACCAAATTTGTTTAAATATCACTTATGAGGTAAATGTTCTTTTAATCATTTGTGTAAAAAATAAGAAGAATTTGTTGGTACAGATAAGTAACTGTTTAATGGACATTTTTTGGCCTATCTGTTAGGGATGTACATTTCTTGCCATATTTGGTCTTTCTGTGTACACGCATGAGGACGACTGCATGCGCACATGTACTTCAGTGCTTCTACCGTCGACTAGAACACCTGAAAGCGAAAATTGAACAGACAAAAAACCTCGACGAGGATGGGATTCGAACCCACGCGTGCAGAGCACAATGGATTAGCAGTCCATCGCCTTAACCACTCGGCCACCTCGTCTCACAATCAACCATTCAAACGTATCCAACCAAAATTCACATATCCCCTCATGCAATTTCAATTTCCCATCACCATTCGTATTAAGTAAAACAGCCCCATTGCATCCGACGTCACATCTGAGGGCAGATCTTTGATCCTTGTTATACGCGTGAGTACTTTCAATCTCATCGCATTTAAATAACACAACTCCTGTTCTCAGTGTAAGGTGTCTGTTATTTGGTACCGTGTAGGTCGTGATAAAGAAATGGGCGTATTCCTGAACGAGCTACAGATGATTCAGGAGCACAGGGAACGAGGCGAACACCGGAGAGTCATCATATTTGACGGTCAGGCGGGTATTGGTAAGACCAGGATGCTGGACTCGGTCATCGTGGAAGCTGCTCGCCAGGGTAACAGGTAGGACACTCTGAATGTTGTTTGTTGTGCATTCGTTGTTACAGAAATAAATAAATAAATAAATAAATAAATATACACCAAGGTGGCTGCTGTATGCAAACGGTCCACATAGACCTTCGAAAATATCGCATGTGTGATTTGGTATATATTTGGTGAAAAGGACTGTGGCTGTGACAAAAAAATTATCTGTGGCTCTTCCCTTCTCAGAATTGTATTAGGTTAATAAGCGAAATCACCAAAGCAGTATTTGCGATAAGGCTTAGGCCTATGGGCCATTTTAGTCAATGGACATTTTACTGCGTTACTGCGTTAACACCGAATGAAACTGAACCTATTTCACTTACAGAAATTATCTGAACCGATCTTGCCTGTAACTGAATTGGCAATGATAGCAGACAGTTAACACAGGTCTGAATAATTTTGTCTAATTGTTTTCCTTGATATAAGGGTGATATCTTGTGCCCTGACGATGAACGACGTCACTGTACCATACTATACCGTCAAGCATCTGGTCACCATGCTACTGGAGATGGAGGACTGCGTCAGTCACGTGGAAAGGGAGCATGCGCTCTTGGAGCATATCCAGAACGAGGCTCTGCGGGAAGATCTTTGCCTGTTGAATGACTTGCTCGTTCTCAAAGTAAGGACTGTATACCAGAACGCTATAAACGTAAAATAATGAAAGTTATAAAGTGGGGATTGCGAAGTTTACGTGCTAAAAAGTACAGTATGTAGGCATTCCTCGAAAAAAAAAATCATGTTTCATAAGTTTCTCATTCCCTCAAATAACTTACTGAGAGCCATTTAGCCTGTATGGGTTGAACGGTTGAGCATCATAATTACTTGATTGTATACATATTTGCTCGTCCTTGAGCTATGGTATGTTTATAGTATTCTTCTCTTGTATTCAGTTGCCGACAAATCCTAGGTTTCACAACATGAAGAGCGAACAGCGCATACAGGAGTTGCACAGCCTGATCGGCCAGATTGTCCACCAGGTAGTCTAAACTCGAGTAAACTTACCAGTAATATATATTTTTTAATGTAGCTGTGCTTTAACCATAACCAGTTCTGAATCCTCCACTTTTAATATGATTGTTCACACACCCTACGGGAGTTAGGAGTAATCAACCTAGAACTATACTCAACTCGCTGGGGGAAATACGTAAAATGTGTTGTGTTATGTGGGCCTCTTTTGCCCGGGAAACAGTGACTACATAACTTAAATTGTCTCAATCAAACTGCAGCACTGACTTCCTGAAAATGTACAGAAAGACAAAGGTTAACATTCTTTATCACCAAAAGCGTGCACACAGAAAATAAGACAATGAATTGGCAAGGCCTCGTAAAGCTTGTCCCAGACATAGTAACTATTTCCATAAATGGTATAGAGAGGTCTGACATGAACGACAAATAAAGAAAACCATGGCCAAAATCATTAGCCTAAAATGCCTCAAAATGACAGCAGAAAATGACAGCACGTAGATTTTGATTTTGCCCCTGTCCCCTCCCTGACACCAAAAGCTGGATACTCGGCTGGACTCAAGTAAAAGTCAGTCAGTGAGATAGTTAATCAGTCTAAGGCGCAAGTGACAGTCAGTCGGTGAGTCATTAAGTCGGTCAGTGAGGACTGTAGGCTGGCCCTCTGGGACCAGTAAAAATCATTTAAGAAACTGCTGTAACCTGACAACAATAGAAGTTGCCCCGAGGTTAACAATCAACATTGTCGGCATTATCTTTCGCCTGAACATCCAGTTCACATTGAGCCAGTGCGTGATATTCGCCGTGGACGACGCTCATTTTATCGATCCGGACTCCTGGGACTTCCTGACGGACTTTGCCGAAGACTCTTCTGCGGTCTGCGTGCTGACCATGCGGCCGTTCAAGCCGGACCGGCCGCCGTGCGTCGCTGCCCACCGCGTGCTGCTCCACGCCAACACGCTGCATATCAAGCTGGGCGGTCTGAGGTCGGCGGAAATGGCGTCATTGGCTTGCCAGTTGCTGGATGTCGTAAGCGTACCTGAGGACCTTGTTCGGTAAGATTTCAACCGCCTCCCTTCCATCCGTTCACCGTGATACAATCGTAATTCATTGTTTTTATGCCCCATTTAATTATGTACACTGCACTCTCTGGATCATTTTCCGGATTATTCTGTCCCGGAAACCTTGGCGAAAGTGTCATTTCGACCCAGAAAAGTGCCATTATGACTCTGAAAAGTATCGTGTCAAATAAATTACGACCCAGATTCCTGGTCAGATCTGACCCGGAACTTTTTGGAGTGACAGTCAAAAAGATCAGCGTGGATTTTCCGTAGAGGGTCATACTTATTTTCATACAGCAAAGTTCGTTGTACAAGCAAGTAGGCCTATTAAACCTAACCTACCAAAATGTGGTTACTGGTTCATTAACTTGAATCCATTTTGCTGATAAGAGTTAGAGCATAATGACCGAAATTTCGGGTACACACCCCTGGTTCGTCTCAGATCCACGTTTCTTTTAGAGTTATTTATGAACTCATTTCACGTGGTTGGCAATGACGCTCTCAAGTCAATGGGTTTAATCATCTACCCTTGTGTGTAGTATACTTCAGAAGAAAAGCCACGGCATAGCCTCCTGGTGCGAGCAGCTTCTCCAGGAGCTGACGGCGGCCAACCAGCTCCTCATCGTGCCAGAGGGAAGCCTTCAAGCCGCCCAGGCCGAGGACCAGACCAGTCACGTCACTCCAAGCTTGGCCGTGCTTCAGAAGCGGCGAGACAGTAGCGTGAACGGCGGGGCGCCCAGCCGAAGCAGGCGAAGCAGTGTGGATAGCGGGGTAGGGTGGAAATTACTAACTGTGCATTTCAAAAGTTTTGGTTTGAGAAAAAGTCTGCTAGGATAAAAACGTCATGTATCATTCCAGCCGGTTAGCAGTTTGCAGTATGAAATTCCGCATGGTGACCACGAGGGGTCAATAAAAAGTCAACAATGACTTCTGATTTGGTGTAATTTTGTTTCACCATCTACAGACTTCTCCGATGTTCCAGCAGCAGATCGCACCGACCCTCCTGGAGAGGCTCCAGGAGCTACAAGAAGAAGGCCTGGCGGCCCAAGAAGAAGACGATGAGGCCAAGATGGTGTGCGTGGTGGCCTCGGAAGTTAAGATGACCGACATACAGATACCAGACTCCATGACAGGTGTTTTGACACTCTAAAAAGTAATCTGACCCGGAATCCAGGTTCTATTTGACCTATTTCAGGGTTTAAAGAAACGACACTTTTCCGGGTCATTTTGACCTGGAAACCTTAGCAAAAGTGTCATGGTGACCTGGAAAAGTGTCATTGTCCCTGAAAAGTATTAGACAAAATGAAACCCATAGGGCCTATATAACCCAAGTAAAATCTGACCAGAAACTTTGTAGACTTTTCACATCAGTCCTTGCAGGATGCTGATGGGAAAAGAGTATATATGGAAGGCCTCCATTCTGCACAAAAGAGAGGAGGAATTTTTTTCGCAGGAAAATTGTTTACAATAATCCAGTGGTCAATTGGGAAGTTGATAGCAATATATTGTCACTGAGCAATACACACAGTTTTTCAACTGAGGTACTAATTTAAGTACGTCTTGGCTGCGTTGGAACTACTTGGCAACGGTCAGCAGTAACACACATAATGTCAGCTGCTTCCATAGTCGATTGTGTAATTACAAGTTGTGGCCTAGTGATTCGGACGCGGCCATATTTGATTACAAATCACCTGACATACTCCTCTAGACAAGACAATTCACTCTGTCCGTCCTGTTTTTCTACTAGGAATGATGCTGGCTCGCATTGACCACATGAAACCTTCCGAGCAAATGATGGTCAAATGTGCCGCCGTGCTGGGTCTCACGTTCACCTGCCGCATGTTGGAGCTGATCGTCCCCAACACCACACCCTGGAAGATCCGTCGCCTCCTCCACGCCTTGATGAAAGCCGGGGTGTTCGAGTGCGCCACGTACTACATGACGATCCACGGCACCACGCAGCGACCCAGCCAGGGCATGGCTAGCTCTGTCTCCAGTCACTTTGGGACCCTCGGCCACGGCAACCGGCTCTCCGCCGGTATCATCTGCCACTGTCCCAAGACCGAGCGACCGGAAGCTGAGCTGAGCTCCGTGGATGCTTCGGCTGGTTCCTCTCACATGTTCGTGACTGACTGCAGTAACCTGCGGTTTACCAGCGCCTTCATGCAGGAGACGGCGTACGGCCTGTTCCTGGCCGAGCAGCGGCGCAAACTCCATCGCCAAGCCGCCGAGTTCCTGGAGTCGCAGGCGCACAAGTGTGTGGCATGCGGCGGTGGGGACTTCCTACCAGGAGGCCATCAACTGACTGAAGAGACAACTCTCAAAGTGGCGACGACTAAGAAAACTAGCAGTGATCACGCACAACACGAAGAACTGCATGCCAATAAAGACACCAATGACAAGCCTGGAGGAAGTCATACAAATGCTGGTAAAATGATCAACATCAAACATCTGTACACAAATTATTATATTTTATCAATGCTTCACATTCATATTATTTTACATTGTGTAAAGCTGGACGATTAGAAATACTGCGTATCTTGAGTAAAAAGTGAAACATTTTCCAAGAAGATACAAATCAACGCAGTGACGCCGAGCAGTGAGATTGTGTGATGGCCGAGCAGTGAGATTGTGTGATGTTTCGCCAATACAGTTGCATAGATGCTTTATAATGAAGTTTGAAAAAAGTCAATATTTGGTAAAGACTGAATTCCGTTAGGAGAACTTAACAAAAGTAAACCCATCATTTTAAATGACATAACGTAACTTTTTTGTCTCCTCTTTTGGTAGGTCGTAATACTCGGCATGTCAGCTTTGACAAAGTGCGGACAGGTAAAACACTTTTGATGAAGTTATGAATAAGTCGCTGCAGTCATCATATTACAAGCTTGTGGTTCAGGGTTGGAGACCTTGTAATTTAATGAGGTGTCCCGTTTTAATTTTGGATGCGTCTTGCTTAAGAGGCGTTAATGAAATCATCTTAGGACGCGTCTTAGCTATAGGATCGATCCTAGAGGCTCGTCGTGGTCTGAGAGGAGTCGTAATGTAAGACAAGTTACGTGAAGTCGGCCCGCGCTTTACTAGGCTTGTCCCGTCTTGTTAATGCCGTTTGTATTCACTCTTCGCAAAATTTGAACAAGAGAGAGTCTGCACTTTGCCAAATTCTCACGCGTCAGTATGTACGGATTTGCCTTGCTAACACGAAAGAAATAAACTGTGAGGGAAAAAATACGTACGCTCGACGAGGATGGGATTCGAACCCACGCGTGCAGAGCACAAAGGATTAACAGTCCATCGCCTTAACCACTGCTTCAAGTTATTATTTTGTGAAATTCCGTAATACCTTAAAATAATTATAAAAAACTCGACGAGGATGGGATTCGAACCCACGCGTGCAGAGCACAATGGATTAGCAGTCCATCGCCTTAACCACTCGGCCACCTCGTCTGATGAGCTTTGAAAATAGCTTCAATTTATTATTTTGTGAAATTCCGTAATACCTTAAAATAATTATAAAAAACTCGACGAGGATGGGATTCGAACCCACGCGTGCAGAGCACAATGGATTAGCAGTCCATCGCCTTAACCACTCGGCCACCTCGTCTGATTGATTTTCTAAAAAGTGTTTTTTGTCTGTTGCAGTGAATGGCAAATTTCTTTGCTTGGTTTGAATTACTCCATAAAAATGTCCTGTAAATGTGTATTTATTTTTAAGAATTCTAGTCGGTACCTGATTTAATATCTGTGTTTATATAAATAGTTTGCATATTTTTCTTCTTGCGGTAAATGGATTTTAAAAGTGGAGAGCGATTAAAAAAATAACATTTTTTTAATGGAATATCGGTATTACTATAAAACTGTATTGCAAAGAGGATTCGTTCAGGAATGTGCTTTATCTTTATGGAATTTTGCGTCATAAAGGCTATCTTTGATCGGAATTAATTATAACAAAGTTAAAACTGCTACTTTTCAGAGCAAGATACATTCGTACAGGATCGGACCGAGAATATGATGGGTTCCCTCAAGAAAAGTCTGAAGCGTCGCAAGGTGGCCTCCGTGTCGCCCAACACGGAGGAACCTGACGGCTCACACATTCTGATCCACGAAGAGGAAGATAGTGATGATGAAGTGAGACAGCCCGCGACCAAGCCCAAGACCACGCCCAGAGGTGTGCGGGGAAGAAGAGGCACCCTGGTCCTGCGTAAAGGCTCGTTAGATCGCAACATTAGTGTTATCAGGTGCGTACGACAAGTTGATCTGAATTATGGATGCACTATGGCGCTTTTTCACCACTTTCAAGAGCCCATAGACTTGACTCAAGTCGGACTTCAGTCGAAATCCATAACATGTATGTTAATGTACATTTTAAACTTGTATACCGATCCATTAGGCCCCACCGACACGCGTGAACGTGCGTATGACGCGCGCAGCTTCAATTTACTATGTATCCGGTTAAGTGACTGCGTCATACACGCGAACTTCCGCACCACTGATTACTAGCGCCCATATTAAACGGGCTAACACGCCACTTTGTACTACTTCCGGTGTCATATGAAAATCGGAGTCGTATGAAAATCGGACTCTTTTTCCCTTTTATTGGTTAAACCCTCTCACGTGACCGGTCCCTCTCCTAATTATCTATGCATGAGCATGCGCAATACCACCAATGAGTCCGTATTTCATAAAATTCATGCTACATCGGCTCCAGTGATTCCAACAATGCTACTCCGTGTGTAGTGGGCGTGGTTTAAGTTGAAATGACGTCACACTTACGAACTGGAATTGGCATTGGTGAGGCGCACGTGTTTTTTTCCCCTCACGTATATACGCAGGCACTGTGGGCGGGGTGTAATGAATTGGTATCAACTTGATTCAAACTCAAGTCACCTTACATATGCCTATAAAGTCGGATATTAACATGTTACCAGCAGAGCGCTTCTTAATCGACATTTCCCCCCATATACACATTTCAAATATCAGCTTTGGTGAGGTGTTGGACTCGCCGGCCGGCAGCCGTTCGGGTAGCCTCACCACCCTAGACTTTGAGCAGATGGATCTGCGTGAGTGCCGGTGTACGGACGTACTCAACTCCGTGTACCCACAGCTCGTGCGGCACTGGCGCGCTGCTTGCCACACAGTCAAGACGGTGCATTTCTTGTCGGAGGCTGGCAGTGCGGCAGTGGCTACCGGCAACAACATGCAGGTATATGACAAACACAGAACTATATGACAAACACAGAACTGCATGAGTTAGGCCTACCTTGCTTTAGGGTCTTAGGACGGTTTAAACGTGAAAAGAAAATCTTGAAATACTTCGCCAGAGTTCAAATGTGTTCCAATTGTGTGACTTCGCAGCACGGATATTACCAAATCACAGATTCGCTTCGCATTCACATTCGTGTGAGGAATGAACCGATCGACCTTTATTCTTGTATACCAATCTTAATGGACATTAGTCGCCGGAATACCCATACCGACGAAATTTAATTGTTTTTATTATGTTTTAAACAGATTTAAGTACAAGTGTAACAAATGGCCAATAAGACAGTTCGACAAATTACCAAGAATTTCTAACACCAATAAGCGATGGGTGTTCATGTTGAATTATATTATCTACCGGACAGCTTACTGAATAAAGTTGAAAACACACACAAAAATGGAGGTAATTGCGACGAGGATGGGATTCGAACCCACGCGTGCAGAGCACAATGGATTAGCAGTCCATCGCCTTAACCACTCGGCCACCTCGTCTGATATTATTTGTAAAAAGCTTAAAGTCATGGTTTTAAAGCTTCTACATGCCTTAACATGACAACAAAAATACGACGAAGATGGGATTCGAACCCACGCGTGCAGAGCACAATGGATTAGCAGTCCATCGCCTTAACCACTCGGCCACCTCGTCTGATATTATTTGTAAATAGCTTAAAGTCATGGTTTTAAAACTTCTACATGCCTTAAAATGACAACAAAAACACAGTTTTCTCATGAATATGGAAATTTGCATTAGCATAAAAAAAAAAAAAAACGCACAAAAATATCCTTAAAAATGGCAAAACGAAAATTGAAAACATGGTTCAATGGAACACAAAGCTAAACTGCATTTTCAAAGACTGCATTAAAACAATTTATTTGCATGGACCCTATGCAGGCTTTGTCTTACTTGCAAGAAGCTGTCGACATCATTAGTGACATCGACAGAGGGCACAATCCCCTGACGGACGATCCGACGCAGCTCGTCACGATCGACAAACAAGAGCGCGCCAAAATTGAGAGCACCATGGGTCAGGTCAGTCCGTATTCTAACAGGCCTTAGTCTTGTGCAAATTACTAGAGCGCTGTAATGAGCGACGCCATTTGGGGGTAGAAACAGTATCGTGTTTTCAAAGTTGTTGACGTTATTTTGCATGTTGCTAAAATTCCAAACTTATATTCTTACTATATTAAACTTTTCGATGTAAGTTAAGTAACTAATTTGCTTCAATAAGCTTAATTTTTCTAGTGTTTGTACCCAGAGAATTGTGTTGTTATATAGCGCCCTCATTTGCTCAAAAATAGGCATATTACTTGCATTGTCGTAAGACAATTTTCATGGGCACCTGTGAACAGTGCCGTAACTAGTCAAATTTGAAGGGATCACAGGGTTTTTTTTTTTTTTTTTTTTAAGAAAGGGGGCACTCAGTGAGTAAGTTTTGGCGACAAAAATCTCTGTTTTTGTACAATGGGGTTGGCATAAAGGTGAAATGGATATCGCTGTTAATGTTAAAAACTAAAAGACTGATCAATAGGTTTTGTCTAGTTGCCCATTGGACAATTTGAACTGAATCAAATATCGTGATATCAATGTGTTTATAATTTATTGGTGTGGTGGGTAATACTTATAATCAATGTCTCTCCAATATAATCGAGATCAGCGGGGATCAATTCACTCGATTTTTGTCCATTTTACAGGCTTTGTTCAAAATGAATCGACTGGACGAGTCCATGCCGCACTTTCACAAGTCACTAAGGCTCCTTGGCAACCGTCAGCCATCTTCCAGAGTTGGCGCGCATTTCAAGTTATTCATCGCGAAATTTCGGCAGCTCTTCCATGTCTGGTTCCCAGAGCACTCCTTTGGAAATCCTTCGTAAGTCTGACATTCACCTCCATGGATCTTTGATAACAGGTCGGACAAGAATGATTGCTATAGAAACGAGATCGAGGATACCAAATGGAATTTGTCGGTCGGTTGTCACATTCATTTAGGTCATTTTGCATGTCAAAACCCTCAGCATTTTGATAAGGCAAATGGTCTGGTATTTTTACAAACTTTAACAGATGCACTACCCATATATTTTTGTGAATATGGTTTCTAGGGTACCATACCTCATGGTAGTCTTTAGAATATCCCCTTGCACATCAAGGATCTGTGATATTGCAAGCAGATTCGGCTATTAATTATGCAAAACAATCCACAGCTTAGTCCACATTTCTGATCGAAACGACGTCACATTTTCGAAAGTCGATTTCAATTGGCTGGAACTTCGCGGGGTTGCATAAAATGTGCATGCTAGGATATATCAGACGTTCGTAGTGTGTCTCTGCACACGTGAATGTCTGATTCTCAGACTGCACTACAATATAGGACCGGCCTACAAACAAAAAAAAGAATACATTTAAAAACACTCGTTTGTGAAGGAACATTCGAAATTCACGACACAATTACAGAGTATATAATTATGACACATAATCCATTGTTTGTTATTGTGGTAGCCAACACAAATATGGGAGGCCAATATTCCCTCCCGTGGTCTATTTTAGAGAGCGAGGTTGAAATTAAGTAGGTCGTGGGAGCGATGTTGAATCTGTCGTGGGCTGCTGTGCTCACAATGCCTTTGAGACAATCAGTTTTTAATATACAATATTCAAAGTGGAAAAGTTAATCTTAGTGCACATTTTGTTTCGACAGCAAACGGGAGAAGTATTTGGAGCAGGCTCGCTGCCTGTCGCACATGTGGCATTCGTACGACCGACAGCAGGACACTCTACGGTGTCTCCTATCGGCCATCCAACAAGTAAATCTCGCCGAAAATGCAGAAGATGACCTCCACGAGGTAAAAAAGTCGTAATTTTCCTGACCAGCCTTAAACACTATAAGAATCGAATTAAAGGATCGATTCAAACTAGGACAATATAAAAACTCTCAAGTTTTGGAATCAAGAGTAAGGAAAATGAAGCCCCGATTACGTCACAGCTGGTATTTGTAGAAGTTGAATATTTTGTTTTCTTAGTTGAATTTTCCCACAGCTGTCCGTGTTGTTCTTATTTCTGTTCTGTGTTAGTCCGTCCAGGCATCTCGCCACAAGCCAAGGCTTCTCAAAGATGCCTCCAAACCTATTATGTTTTTGCTTCTTCATGGCATCTTTTCGACGTAAAGTTTTTAATAATGTGAATGTGCAGAACGAGAAGACAAGTTTCATGTTTTACATGGTGAGAATTAATTGAATTGAATTGAATTGACAATTCCTTTACTTATTCATGTATTCTCGGCTTATATTTTTAACTTGGTATGGAAATAAATGTGAGTTTGAATTTGGATTTGAATTTGAAAAGCTCACCAGCGCTTACACCAATATGATGCTGTGCTGTCAGATGAAAAAATGGGCGGACACAGGTCGGCGCTACGAACAGATTGCAATGCGAAGGTAATATCGTTTATCAGTCTCCTGCCGATAGAAGAGGAATTATTTTTTTCTGAAACCACTGACCTTAATACGCATTCGCATGTCGCATGATTGAAGTAACAAGTCACGTGATTTGGGGTAGATTGCTACTTGGTTTAATTGATAAGGTTTTGAATTGGAGATGAGATCGAAGCGAAGTAAATTTCATCTGTTCGTTATGGTTCATGGCTCTTATCTGGCTGGAGGATTTTCTTTCAAGGGTAAACAAGTACGAGAACCATAGTCTGCTTCCGAACCTGAAGAGTTTCTTGACATTTTAACATTCTTTAGCATTGTCATAGTGCATTGTCATAGTATCTAAAAATGGATTGACGTTAACAAGCCTTCGGTTGTTGCAACATTGCTCAGTTTTATGCAAAAATCATCTTTTTTTTTAGAATTTGGGAAAAAACCAACAGGTAAACGCATTGAAAAACATTAAAGGCAAAGCATTTTACACACAAAACGACAGAAATAAATCGACGAGGATGGGATTCGAACCCACGCGTGCAGAGCACAATGGATTAGCAGTCCATCGCCTTAACCACTCGGCCACCTCGTCATGTAGGCCCATAATCTATCTCTACCGAGATCGTTTGAACCACTGAAACGTCCAAATTAATAAGAAATATCCGAAGAAATGGTGTTTAAATTGGTTGCATTATTGGAACCAAGATAAAACAAATCATACAAGCATAATTCAATCGTATTTTTTACTCTTTTGGGCAGATGCGTCGATTCACCAATCGGCATTGGTCCTGATGACCTCATTACCATAGGTCACCTGTACGCCGTCAGTACGGGCATTCGGCTTGCCAGTGGCCAGGTACAGGGCGCCATTGACACAGGTAGGCGGTTTTCTGAGTGTACCAAAAAAAAAAGGCCAATAGAGGCTATAACGTTTTGGCCAATCACAACCGTGATTTATGCACATGAATACACAAAATGTCCGACGTGCGTGCACGCAGTTGTACTTGACATTATTACGTCTGAGGACAAGGCATTGTGTTTCCCCTTGTTCTCTCTCATATACTATAGCACACAGATTTACGTTCGAGGACCGTTCTCCACAAAGTTGTAGTTCGAGGACAGCAATGTTCAATGTCTTGCTGTGCATGTACTTGGGACACACGTACACTTCTTGAGGCCCACAAAAGAGACTCAAACACTAAATGCCATGCACTTAGCTAAAATGTTATTCATAAACCAATTTTGTATTATCTCTGTTATTTGCTTGTGGGTTCCTCCGTGACAGGATACAGCGCACTGAAGATATCAGAAAAGATTCACGACATTGAGCTACAGATACAAACGCTCCCTCTCTTGGCAAACGCACTCCTTCTGGCAGGCAGGTGAGGGGTCGGTTATATCTAATGTATACATGCAATTCATGCCTCCATGATCGTCCTAACCCTCAACTTTTTTAGCTGAAAAGTTTTTACTTTGTTAGTTCATGATACACCGCACTATGTCCCAAATGTCAGCTTTTACATTCGAAAATTGTAATCATCATTACATCAAAAGCAAATTAGTTCTAATTAATGACCCTTCCTTATGGGACCTTTGACAACCAAAATGACAAACCCACATTTTTGTTTGCTAACGTTGCTAGCATCGTGACTTTGGGAGAGATCCTTTGCTACAATGGCACGTATGGGTTTATGGCTTCTGATTATAGCGCCCCTTGGGAAAAAAAGACATTGACCAACTGAAAAACCGCAAGCACAGGGAGGAGCAATCAGCATCATTGCAGGTTCAAACTCCGCTCAAGTCAATTTCCCTGTTCATCTTTATACTTGTCTTTTTGTATCTTTGTCCCGTCCATAGAATGACGTCATGTGTGGAGATGCTGGGTAAACTCTTGTACGCAGCTACGGAGGAAGAAGACTCGTTTGCCCGTGGAGCATATTACTGCTGCTGCTTAGATCTCATCCTCGAAGCAGGTATCGTTTGTGGCAATCAGTCCATCAGTTGAAAAAAATCAACAAATTCAACGATAATGACGCATTTCTTTTATTATTTCGTTCTTTGCAGACCCGAACATTCAAAAGTAAAAACCCTGACTCTTTTTCTGACGAAATTAGCGACTGACAATTTTTTTTTAGAGACTTTAAATAAACGTTTGGCGTCATTTGCGTCAGTTCCATTCGGAGGTGCCGACAATTGCACGAGGCCAACTCAGATTGACAGGTTTTGCGTACTGTATTTCTTGGGGAAAAAGGAAGTTTTCCTTGTTACAAGGTCTTGGTCAGCTGTCTCAGCTTGAAGATGAAAGGCACGTGGAAACATTAATAGTTACCTGCCGGAAATGAACCTAGACTGATTTAACACAAGAAAAAACATTGCTTAAAGTGAAGAGCAGGACTATGACCAAATATCCTGTGAATTATTCCGCCTGAAATGGTATCATTCGGAAAAAGAGAATGGTTGAAGGTGGTTATGAAAAAAAATATTTGACGATATATCTGTTAAAAAATGCGATGAGTGCCCATCCACTGGGACCTTATAGTCACATACACAAACCAGCTGAATGAGAATCATGTCCCGAGTGCTGGTTTGTACATATATAGGCTGCAAAAAAATGAGCGCAAAATCGTGCTCTCTTAAAACCTGTTTTCTTATAGCTGTATAGTATCCATTTTAATTGAAAATTCAACTCAGATTTTGAGCAATTTTGTTCCTTCCAACGAAAAAATGCGCAAAATGCTAAGGATCCTATAAAAATTATGTACCTTTAACTTTGTCGTGTTTTTTCCCACTAGGATTTGCATTGGAGAGCCACGATGCGTGCGTCAGTTTCTGCAGCAAAGTGACCACTGACGCAGCATACGCCGCTGATGCCACGCCCAGACGTTACCTGATGGCCTCATTGGCAGTGTGGTAGGAATCTTATCAGTCTGTCTCAAAATCAGAACGAGCCCAGAATTAATGAACCGATCCATTTAGGCCCCACCTACTGCGCACGTGGGCAACGACACGTGTGTATATCTCTGTAGTGGCACATTGCATGTTCCAGCTGCGCGTGTCATACGCACGTGTCTGCCTTTTGTTGATGCATGTCGGACATCAATCGCTGTTGTGATTGGTCAAAATACCATTGGGCGGGGCAATATGGATCAGTCAATTCAGGACAGTGCATAATGAACGTAAAGTCTCGTCTCCTCTATTGCGCAGACTGTCCGGGAAGAGACGGTTTGTGAAGCCATCGGACTCGGAATATTTGAAGACTTTCATGTGTTCAAAATTAAAATAGTTTTACATGCAGAAAACTGTTCGTGTAAATCTAGACGAATACCCGACTCGGTATATTTAAATTACCCAAGTTCATGGTACTCCCGTAGGGTCGACAAAATCGAACCTGGTTCAACTCTACCAACGTAGTTTACGTTGGTCTGAATTGTCGGCACAATCTCCAGATCAAATGTCTCTGACGTCGATTTGAGAACTATGCGAGAGCGAAAGAAGTATATGAGATCCTCGGGTCTACCCTATAACGATTTTCTTCACCAGCCTATCTGTCCAACTACATGTATAGCTCGAGGGGAAACACTTTCCATTATGGCAAAGGATTTTTGATAATCGCTCAACAGTCACAGAAAGCTTGGCAAAGCTGATTACTCCATTTTTCCGTTGCTGTAGTTGTCTCTCATAGGTAAAGATATTTGACAAGATGTTGAGTGACCGAATTATAGAAACTATAGGCTTTGAGGGTCAGGAAATGAATACAGTTCGTCTGGAGTCGTGAGCAGCATTTACATTTAATGACTCTCAAGATTTACTTGCGTGCATTATCCCAGGTACATGCGTAAAGATCGCTTGGATCAGGCCAAGGTGCTGGATAGGACCGAGGAAAGCCTGCCCTCTAACGGTCAATCAAGCTTCCTAGCAGTCAGGACGGGATTCAAGATCCTAGAATGCCGTCTACTGGGCTACTGCCACGCGATCAAAGCTGGTAGAAAAACGACCAAGGTTAAGACCAAATTAAAGAAGGTGAGAAGTTTTAACAAAATGTTGACATCGTACATAGACGTCACGCCATGCGTTTAACGCAAATACTAGTATCTGCCATAATCAGGATTATTTCGACAGCACGAATGTTTGCATGGTGTCACGAAAAGAAGGTGACATGGCGTATATGTACATCTGCCGTTTTGATATTAAGAGCTCGGCTCAGTGATGATGTAATATTGCCCATTTCCACAATTGCAAACAGATGATGAAGGCGTTGAAAGCAGACACCAGGCGATACCCAGGGCTGAAGCCTCGTCTCCATCACCTCAGGGCCTACATGCGCCTACTGAACGGCAGCACGCGGGGCGCCAGGGACGAGCTACAACGCAGCCTGCAAATGAGCAACCAGGCCGGGAACCAGCACGAGGCGTCCTGGGCGCAGCACAGCATGGAGGCGTGGTTTGACCCGGGTCACCATCCTCTTACCCAGGACGAGTCCTGGCAACGATCCACCGAGCAGGACTTGGACTGGCGGGTAGCTGGCAGCATTGAGAGCGGAGTTGTCAAGTACTCGCTCCCACTACCAAGATAGACAGAGACAACGGGGATCAGTGACGGACCTCAAAGTATAAAAAAATAACGTGTCGAAATAGAATGACACGACATTTCCTATACGTTCAACCTGGTGATTCAGAGATCCGTTGGCGCCGTAGGGATATATTCGGGCTGGAATCGGCACCATAAGGTTAAATCTATATGAAGGGATGTTAACCCGAGTTGAGGGTTTTGTTGCAGTTAGTTCATTGTTTTCTAGCAGGAAAATGTTAATGATTGCATTGTCATTATTCATGTTCAATTGTTTTGTTGCAGTTAGTTCATTTTTTTCTAGCAGGAAAATGTTCATGATTGTATTGTCATTATTCATGTTCAATTACTTTTGGTTCGGGTTTGAGTCGTTTTGTTGAGGAAAGGTTAAAGGGCCATTTAAGGGATACTGGCTTCGTGAATTTGCGCCCTTTTGAGCTAGCTAGCTCTAAAATGCACTTCTTACGACATGATAATAGGGGGCCTAGTTGAAGAGATCATTAAAAAGTAAACTATAGTCGTTAACACTTGGAAAACATTTCCCTGTAATTATCGCACGAATTACTTTCGGGGTATAAAAAAAATGTGGTCCTTAAAAGTCAAGTCGTTTAGGTGCTAGTCGTCATTTTCTTTAAATTGCTTCCAGGATGGCCATGAGTGTAGTTCTGAAACTAGCGTGGGATCTGATATCCTACAGGAAATGGTGGAGTTTTGAGACGCTTGGTGGCAGCAAACTCACTGTTATTCAGTTTGCGTCATGGGGCAAACAATAGACCTTTCTACGCTTGGTTGGCAAGCTGCACATTTTGCTAACCATGGGTTGCAAAACTATGGAAGGTCCAACACTGCAAAAATGAAGAAGAATTATTACAGATAACCAAAATATTATTTGATTGTGGAAATACAACATTGTCAACAAAGCTATATACAACATAATTCCTAAACATGCCTTTTAACTAAGTATTGAGGGCGTTATGGGTTTTTTTTTTTTTTTTTTTGAAAAATATATTGCCAACCACAGCTTCAATTATGCGCTTGCGGCAGCCCGTATAAAATGGCGCCAATGTTTACAAACAAAAGAAAGGTCTATAGAAGGTCCGGACTGTTTGCTGCCACCATGCGTCTTAACTAGTCGCCTATTTGTTGTACATTCTAAGCGGTTCCAATCTTAGGCTGAATTTTGGCTTAAAATTCAATAGTTTTGTTTACTAGATGGCACATATATCGCCTCTCATCAGATGTAATCAAACGGGGTTTTCACATTATTTTCTCCGTTAATGTGAGATATTTTATGAGGATTATCTGTGACCTCGACCTTTGAAATATTGCAACTAGACTTATTTATGACTACACTAATTTTGGTGATCCCCCGACGCTTTGATTTAACTTTAAGCACTTGTTAAAATAGGAACTTGTCTGTTCACATATGGCTTATGGTCGGAATCGTGACCGACTGGTCCAAACCACCAAACTTGGCAGATAGATTCTTATAGCCTTAGAGAAGATAATTATTTAGAAGGGTGACACCTGGTATTCTTTTGGGAGGGGTGCCTAATTTACATAAATCGTAAATACATATTTATTCCCACATTTTGGGATATTTTATTTCTTTCTGGTAATGAAACCAAGGATTCCTCAAAAGTGCCCTGTAGCCCGAAAGCCTGACGAAACGTTTAGAGAGGAGTCAATGAGGAGAAATTACAGTCTTTACAGGTGGAGGAAAAGCCCCGAAGAATATTCTGGAGAAAACCCACGGAATCGGGTAGGGACTGGAAACCCAATCCACATATTGGCCCAGGCGTGATTCGAACCCGGGTCACAGCGGTGGAAGGCGAGGAAAGTACCGCTACGCCAATTTGACTCCCCAACCTGGGTTGTTTGAGTCCCCATTTTATGAAAAGGATATTTTGGAGATTCTACTCACATTTCCGTTTTTAAGTAACATTTTCTAAAGCCTACATTGACTGGATAATTATTATTATGAGGACCGTATATGAAAGATCCAAAATGGCTGCCTTTATACCCTTAAGTTGCGCGCGTTACCTTTTCCCCAGATATCATCAAGTAGTCTTGCCAAACCTCATTAAGCCCGGTTCATACTCGGCGCGAAAGCGAAAGCGAACGCGAATTTGTGACATCCTGGGGAGTATTCGCGCTGCGAATTCGTAAAAGTTGAACACATTTCAACTCGGCGAATTTCGCAGCGAATGTTTCATGACGTCAAATTCGCTTCGCATTGGCATTCGCACGAAGTATGAACCGGGCTTTATGATAAAAAATTCACAAATGCCAGCTGGTACAGTTACCCTTATAAAACTAAATGGAAAATCACGTCAAAAAATAATGATAACATTATGATATTTCGCCCAGAAACTATAATCCCGGTTCAAGCCCGGTTCATACTCGGCGCGAAAGCGAAAGCGAACGCGAATTTGTGACGTCGTGTCAAGTATTCGCGCTGCGAATTCGCAAAAGTTGAACACACTTCAACTCGCTATCGGGCGAATTTTGCAGCGAATGTTTCATGACGTCAAATTCGCTTCGCATTCGCATTCGCATGAAGTATGAATCGGGCTTTACTCGCCAAATGTTTAGCCAAATAACGGACACTTCCCTTTCCCCCTTTTTTGTTTTCTAGCTAACGATCATGATGTTATCATTGTTCACATGATACTGAGGTTTGGCAAGATTTCCTGATATCTGGGGAAAAGGTAAATGCGCGCAACTTGTATAATGGAAGCCATTTTGGATCTTTCATAATGTCCTCATAACTGAGTCACTTATTTGCTTCAGAAAGTAAGGGTATGTAAGTAAAATTTCCAAAATAGACTTTTTACAAAATACAATTTTTTTTTTAATGCCAAACTACGTTTCAGGAATAAACGTTTAAACATACAGGATAAGTAAAAAAAAACCGAAACCCAAATAATGTTTTATTGAAGTTCTGCATGTAGCACTTTCAAAATCTAGGACATGAAAGCCCAATAAGCTTTCTTTTAGTACAATGTACAAGAATCTTTCAAATCACTTATGTACTTTTCAAGTTACGGAATTTTAAACACAACCACCGTTTTAAAGTTCTGTCCACGAATCACAAAAAAGGCGTGCGTTCTTTTAGCAAAACGAAAACAATTCACACACATCCCCGTGTGATTTGTTTTCGTTTTGCTGAAAGAGTACTGAACTTTTTTGTGATCCGTGGACAGAACTTTAAAGCGGTGGGTGTGTTTAAAATTCTTTAACTTAAAAAGTACGTAAGTGATTTGAATGATTCTTGTACATTGTAATTATGAATTGGGCTTTTATATCCCAAATTTTAAAAGTGCTACATACAGAACTTCACTAAAACAATGGTCCCGACATTTGGGCTTCGTTTTTTTTTTACTCACCCTGTATTACACGGCTGTAATTTATGTAAATATTAGGCTCCACTCGCAAAAGAATTTCAGGTGTCACCCCTTGGGCTATACAAATCTATCTGCCAACTTTGGTGCTTTGGACCAGTCGGTCACGATCTTGTCAAAAGTTGGATAAGCCACTCGACTGTCAAGAACTCAATGGAAACATTTCTATTAACATGTCTCTTTACATACAGTGTTTTCACGGGAAATTCTGAATAGAGTTTGTAGGAAGACAACGGCACTCTTTACACAGAGACCGAAAGACAACTCGATCATTCCAGTTACCAGTTTTGTTTAATTTATTTCTAAAGATCTTTTACCTAATTTCCTTATACATGTATCAGATGAGTTAACCTAATAAAATATCAAAAACAAGTTGCCAATTGACAAATTGTGCATGATAACAATTTTATATCTGATGACTTTGTGTAACACGTTCGAAGTTAGTTTTTTCGTTGTCTGATCATGAGAAACAAGCACGATCGGACCTCGGAAACTGCGGTCCAACGAATTCGTGTTCATGCATGATAAGTCACGTAATTGTGCCATGTAATTTCTGGAAGTAGTAGTGGTCTGATCTGATACACCGTACCCTCTGGAGACGTGTGTACAATAGGGAACAAAAGATTGTGTACGTCTCTCCACAGGGCAATTTCTATAGATGAATACGTCTCCACAAGGTTTTCATGAAAAAGATATATGGATTTTACTCAAAAATTAGGAATTTCCAAGCTATATTGATTCATCGCAAATGGGAGAGTTTTAGAAAAGGGATATTAAGTCCAAATTTCAGCCAACGAAATTAATTCTGGTTAAAATAAGAGCATTTTTAATCTTCACTTTCAAACTCGAAAACTTTAGTACACGATAACAAAGGAATGTCTCCACAACGGTACAAATTCCAGTGTGCGTGTTTTGAGTAAAAGAACAAATCAACTTTTTGACCACAGTGATCCCATGATGACCTTTGACCCCAGTTTGGACATGTGAAATGTTGGGGCTGGGCTATGATCCTTTGACAAAGTTTGGTTGATGAGTCGGTCAAAATATGTAGGAGTTAGTTATGTAGGAGCAAAAGACAATGTCAACATTTGATATTTGACTAACGGGGCCGAGACACGATATGATTTATTGAGCTGCTATTCCGTAGCTCAAAAAATATCGACCCAATTGTTTTTGGTTACCTGAAATTTGCTAAGCACAAACTTAGCATGACTAGGTTAACAGCTAAACGTTACGAGAGACTGTTTCCCGACTGCGCATTTTAACGCAGGATAAACATATACCAGTATACTGGTATATGTTTATCCTGCGAAAATATAGGCCTATAGGCCTATATTTTTTATATACTTCCCGTGTGGTGGCAAAAATGTTTGTCCCTGTTTGTACAAATTTTCCGGGGGACAGAGTAGGTCTCTCCTAGGAATAGGTGTCCACCTGGATCGGATATTCTGTCCCCCTTTCAGATATTTTGTCCCCCAGTTTTAGGTCAAAATAATACACTGATGCCCGACTGTTGTTCGATAACATTAACAACTGATACTTTTTAAAAGCGAATTCAGAATGGGCACGATCAGTCATGATTGATTTTGTTGCTTGTGAGAGATCTAATTTTTTTTGGCGTGGTGGTGGTGGTGGGGGGGGGGGGGATCTCCTTCCACACCGGCCGTGTAGCCAATAATTCGGACGAAGCCTCCGTGCACTGTGGTGCACCCATAATACAACCCTATTTTTTTCGTAAACGGCCCATATTCAGAACTATAATGTTACCAACAGAGGGCGCTCTACTACAAAACCGTCGTCGCCGCGCCTGTCGCCATGTTTAATAAAATTGCTGCAAGACGAGGGAGAAGATAGTTCTTTGTGTTCGCCTTTTCGTGCTGTTTTAATATGACTTAAATGTCGAAATAGTTGGCCCATTATCTCTAATGCTGTCGGTAAGTTTTCGTTGTTTCTATGACCTAGTAATTGGGGCTAAAGGGCCTTTATTATGTCCACGTGTTAGCCCTATAATGTGACCAATTTGCTGGACACTGCGCGTTAACTAGCCTTGTTGCCTAGTCTGGTTCCGTGCTTACATTATCGTTGATGTTGTATCAGGGGCGGGAATGAGTCCTAATGAAATTTCGGACTTGACTTCCCTTTATACGAAAAATCCTGCCATAAATATGGCAACAAGGCTACGGCTATTGCGCAGTTAATGGGACTACCTGCCCACACTCATATGGGGGTTGGCTGATTTAAATCACGTTGATTGAATCACGATTTAAATTCAAATGTTTTTTCATAAAAATCACTGATTTATCGTCAGAGTCAGACCCCCTAAAGCTACGCGGTCCTTTTTCTACGCATTTATCTTCAATTTTTGTGTTACAATGCGAGCGCAAATGCAAGCGTTACCTGCACAGATAATGGAGGGTTGAGGATAAATCACTTTTTTGTAAAATCTGAATTTTGGCAAAATAAATTTATTGAGGCCGAATGAGGGTCCTTTTTATCATTTAAATCAAGTGATTCCACATAACCATGATAACTACAAAGTGTAACATGTGTAACTGTAAGATGTTGTTAACACATTCAAACACTCCTCCCTAAATAGTAAATCACTTTCCTGTAAAATCTGAATTTTGGCAAAATGAATTTATTGAGGGTCATTTTTATCATTTAAATCAAGTGATTCCACATACATGACATAATTACCAAGTGTAACGTGTGTAAGATGTTGTTAACACATTCAAACACCCCTCCCTACGTACATGACGTACTTCATCAGCATCGACTCAACTTATTAATACCATGCTTACATGTAGGTTTTGCATAATTCTGCAAAATCATTGTTTTGATTATTATTAAGTAAAGATCTGAATTTAAAGGTTTGTTCGAAGTTTGAGCTTGAAGACAGCACACTCACTCTAATCATGCCTTGATCTGTTTACAGCTTTACCCTTCATTTGAACATAAGTGCAACATTTTTGGATGAGGAGAATTTTGGAGGATTGAGGATGAATGCATTTTGAGGCAGGACTGTCTGAAAGTTTTGAAGAATTTAGGCGCTGTTGTAAAATTTTGGAGGATTGAGGATGGTTCCTAGCAAAAAGGCCTAGGGGGTTCGGGTTAAACTGTTCACAACAACCGGTACTCTGAAAAAAAAAGATCTAAAATATTCTGAAATATATGTTCCTGGAAAGCACATAGACTTAAGAATAACGAAATATCAATTGTATAAATGTTGCTCAAAATGTATTTTACTCTCCAGCCTTCTTAGGTATTTGAAGTGTAACTAGTATTGTCCAAGATGTCCTTTCCTCCGCCGGGAAACCCCTTCATGGCTCGGCCCAGGATGCCTACCAACCAGAATCAGTTCCCTCCGTTTGGAGGCATGCCATCTGGTAAGTTCCTTGGTCCATGTTTTCCCTTCTACAGCTGCTCTGCACCCAGTTAGACAAAACACAGTTGTGGACTCTATGCATGATCAGCAGGTGGCGCATTGTGACCATTTTTTAGTAGTGGTGGGAGAAATTGGATATTTCCAAATCCGGTTATCCTATTTATTTTTTTAAAACCAAATAAACGGTTATTCAAAATTTTTCATTCAGCTCACATTCGTGCCCAAAAAAGTGACGAGTCAGATGCCATAATGCGCTCCAGAGCTGGACAGGTGAAAAATGGGTTCAGTCAAATAAGCAGGCTCTGCATGAACCAAGAAGACCACTAGCGAGTGAATGCAGTCAGAATCAGAGGCCATGGAGCAAATTGGGAGAAGTTCCAGTTGTTTAGCCAGTGCTTAAGCCTTTGACCAATCACAATCTTAGTCCTGATTTTTGAATGAAATGACGTCACGCATACTTAGATTTTTCAAACGTGAGACTTGGCTCCTTGAATAATGGGTGATACTCAGGCTACCTAGCCCCCTAGGAATCGTCCCCACTCTTGCAAAAAACACCACCATATGACTCTGATTATGGTGATATGCCTGTCCCCGTGTAAAACATAATCAGTATATTAGTGCAGTAGTCATTCAAACAGATTCCAACAAAGCATGCAGTTGGATTTTGAAGGGTTGGGGTGGTTAGGGTTAAGCCTAATAATGAAATAATTGAATATTTTGAAAACTTACTCAAAAATCAAGTAAAGTCTGTTACAACAAATTCTGGTTAAAATGAAGAATAAACATAGATCTTGTTGTGACCGTGCATTTATGTGCACAGTGAATTGGAACGGCACTCCTAATGCACAATTACGTCCAGCAGAATTCGTATAGAAGGAATTCCACTGTAAATACATTGAGGCTCTACATTCCAATAAGGATTCTCCTTATTTTACTAAAAAAAAAATAGCTATGACTTTGGCTAATCCATCTCTCAGGAGTTCAGCATACATAGATGGGAATTCGCTCATGTTCATTTCAATATTGTCATGAATATTCCATTTTTGTTGTTATAGGCATGCCAATGAATCCACAAATGGGTCTCCTACCACAGCCGCCCATGTCCAAGGTGAGTAAAAAGTAACTGCTGGAATGGAGGCTACACTTCTATGAAAGTACAGCTCTGTTACAGAAAGTTGCTCTTTCAGGAAGTAAGGCAAATAAATACGAAGCCATATGCAGTGAAACCTTGACGCATGGGCTGCGTGCTCATTGCTTCACTAACCCCTGGCCATGTAGAATATGAAAACGACGTCGATAGACTATTCAGAGCATACTGTGCACGTCATGTCACGTACAAACATTTTTTTCAAGACAGCGCAACACCTCAAAGTCCAGAAGCCTTTTTTTCACGACAGGTACATGTATTTTGTGAAACATTGTAAAAAATGAAAGACAGAGGTACACAGTACGCGCACATTGTAAACTCTAGTAACACATCTTCGAAATCTCATCTTTGGAAGGATGGATTCTAAAAATTGGAACTTAAAATTCTGAGGCCTTCACTTGCTACTACGATGTGAGCGATGAACCGCCATTGACAAGAAAAGTCTATCGACAAAAAAGTGCCACCTTACAATAAAGCGCCACAAGGTTACAATAAAATAACAGTTGTGTGTTTGTGTATGTGCGGGTTTTGTTTTTTGATTTTGAATATTCAAGCTGGCAAAAAAACGATTTGAATATTCGGTTGTCCTACCTTGTAACCATTGAGGGGGTATTTGTGCAAGGAGTCGTTAATATTAAGTTAATCAAGGGGCTATACTGATCAGAAAACAGTGCTTTTTCCCACTTGACTTTGATTTCTTGTAGTTACACTGTTAAAAAGAGAGAAAAGCAATAGCATTGCAATAATCAGGTGTTACAACTAAATGAGTAGTCATCAGATTTAGAAATTTGCTACAGCAAAACTAGGAATGTCTGATAACACATACTCAAAACCCAACTTTTCTTTTCTATAATGAAAACAATTTACAGATGCAGATGCCGCCAGGAATGCGACCCAATATGCCACACCCTCCGATGCCAGGCCAGAGGTTCCCGGTAAGCGCAGGGTGACCCGTCTAATGTTAGAGCGCCCTCTGTTGTCAGTAACCAGAAAGTGGCTGCGAAGAATTAATCACTCGTCACCCTCAACTTGAACCAGTGGTGGCGATTTTTTGTTAGCATTTGGGGGTGTGGGGCACCAGCTTGGAAAATTTGATAAGTAGGGGGAGCCACCTGACTATAGAGGGCGCTGTTCTAACATGAATGTGTGAGCATGTACATGCGTAAGTATATGTGCATTTTATGCCCATTTAGTATGCTGTTGAATTGATGTAAACTGGGTGTTGGAATGTCAATACCTCAGTGATGTTATCTGATGGAAAATAATATTTTGAACATTTAGGTTAACTTTGTTTTTAGTACATTCTTGGGGAAATTTGCGGTCGTTATCAGGTCGCATGATTTGAATTCCTGGTTGTCAATACAACCTGTTTAGGGTCAAATGAACTGGCCTGGTTAATTTAATCAGGAAATATCTGTATTTTGTCCTTTGTAACCCAGACCCATCCCCACCTCCCCTACCCCTACCCAAATCCCTTTCCCGTCCACACCCCACCCCTACCCCCTAGCCCCACCAAAAGGAAGGTTACTTGGGGTCTGCCTAAAATAATAGAAATTTGAATGTAAACTGCTTTTTCTCCCATTGTAACAGGAGTCTACAGATGGTGATAGGAATTTTACCTTAAAAATTTGTTTACTTCTTGGTGGCCTGTTATCTATGAAAGTTGTAGGTTCTTCCCCCTCCAGCCCCTTCCCCTCCCCCTTCCTCTCCCTCCCCCTTCCTCTCCCACTGTCCGCCTTGTTTATTACAAAGATTTGTTGTGATAGTCTATGTGTCATTCACAGGGGTTTAGCCAACAATTTCCGCACCCAGACTTCTTTCCGAAAGAAACAGTGAGTTGATACAAGAGCAGAAACAACAAACAAACACACATATACACACACAAATAAAACACAGACATTCTCTTGCTTGGAGAAAATTGGAGGTTCAAAGTTACTCAACTTGCCCAAACAGGGATTCAAATTTTCGGAGCATTTTGCTCGAAACCTCAGAAATATATTCCGGTACCATAACATTTGAATCAGACCAAACACTCTCATCATAAGCATTGATGGATCTCAAGTCATCAGAAGTCTATTACAAGTCAATCCCAACCCCATCACTAAGCAATCACATGTCATCACTAGTCCATCACAAGTCAATCACAAGTTCATCACAAGTCAATCATAAGTTCATCACAAGTCAATTACAAGGCAATCACAAGGTATTACAAGGTTATCACAGGTTCATCACAAGTCAATCACAAGTCAATCACAATTCACCCAGTCTCAAGTCAACTCACAAGGTGGAAATGTGACCAAAGCTGAAATGTCACAAAATCATTCCATTTTTCATATTCACCCCCTTGACTTGTGAATTGACTTGCGATGTACTTGTGATCCATTACAAAGACCTTGTTTACAACACCATTCAACGTACATGTAAATTTGGACAAAACTTTACCACAGATTTAACACTTAGTAAACCTCCCCGTTTCAAAAAAGCACAGACGCTGTTTACAGAAATCAGAGCTTTTTTTTGTGTGTCAATATGCAGGAAAAATAAAACAGATGAATGTGTAAAGTCCTGTTTTTTTTCTTTTGCAGCATATGCAGCAGCAGCATGCAATGCAGCAGCAGCAGCAACAACAGCAGCAAGGGATGGCAAGTCCAGGAGGGGAACAAGAGGCAAACGGCGACAAGCCCAAAACCACCGTCTTTGTCGGCAACATTTCGGAGAGAGCCCCAGATGCTTTGATCCGTGCCATGTTGTCGGTAAGTTGCAAAAAAAAGAATAAACCCAGAGATACCAATTGATAGAAATGTTAGATATTAAATATATGTGAGATATAGATAGATATTGAATATCAAACATCTGTTTGTGGTTTCCCCATCACCTAGTGTATTGTTTAATTTTGTTGAAATAATAGTCCACCCAGAATATTAACCCTTACCCTACTTGACCCTCCAACGCATGCCAATATGTGCCTCAAGAAAATCTCCTATGTTTTTTGCATGGCCCTCCAATATCTGCCATGTCATTTCAAGGGTAACTGGACAGGCACTCCAATACATGCCACAGAGAACAATGAGAGTCCTCTGATAACAAAGTGAGTGCCCCCAGCTGGTCAGTATCAGGCACCCTCCAGGGCCTCCAACTCCTGCCAATTGGAGCCTTCACTGTTAAGACTTGTTATCTGCCAAAAAACTGCAGCTGGAGGGCATTGGCATAACCAACTGACATGCAGTAAACTACCCTCAGAGAGTAAGGGTTAATTACATAGTATTGAATATATTGCACGAGCTATAAGTGCAATATTGTTATAGCGAGTGCAATATGTTCTTGTATCCCTTGGGGAAAAAAAGCCATCAAATATTATTATTATTATTTGTATCGGGTTGATTTGATCCGCAAGAAATAAATTTCAGGACACTTGTCTTTATTCTCAAATTTCGTCAAATATTCTTCACTTACTGAAGCAAGTTTTGTGTCGCCCGAAGCTGCCATTGTCGTTGTTGACAGCAGTGCACGTATACTCTGCTGCGTGCTGTTTCTGCTTGTGATGGTACTGCGCTACGGTCTGTTGACAACTGCGAATTTAATTTATATTCTCTTGATCGTGCAGGAACCAGCGAAATTTGTTAAAATGCCTGAATGAGGACAATATCAAAAATGATATTGTCCTCATCCGGGTACATAATGCTGACATAATATTGCAGTCATCCGGGTACTTTTTCGAAAGCAGACCATATGCTGATTTTTTTTTGCTACTGGAAGCCTGATATAAATAATAATACCCAAAACTGTGGTATTTTTGTGACGATATTCCATGGACTATCAAAATCTAATACCATGCAAGGATACCTCAATCTGTAGCCTCACCATCTCCCATCTCTCTTGTCCTCGCTCGGCAGAAATGCGGCCTGATATCCAGTTGGAAGCGTGTCCAGGGAGCATCGGGCAAGCTACAGGCCTTTGGGTTCTGTGATTACAGTGCACCAAAGGCCGGCCTGAGGGCCATTAGGCTCTTACATGACTTGGAGTTAGGCGACAAGAAACTCTTGGTAAGTACACTCTTCAGTTGTATTCTCAAGTCTTTCACTTTCCCATGTGAAAGTTGGTGGGAGTGACACAGGACACAGGGATGCAAACTTTGGCAATGTCGCTACAGAACTCAAATAAATGGTCACTGAACTCAATATTCATCATCCAACCAATAGGATTGCTTGATCTCAAGAAATAATGAATATGCAAATGTGGCACCAATTCTACAAAACGTATGGCCTTGGTAGGCAAATGTTTTGAAATTAAGACTTTTTCAGCTTTTTAAAAACTATATGGCAGGCTTAAAACAGAATCGAAAAATTTATGAAAAACATTTTTTTTTTTTTTAATTTCCCATGACTGTGGTTACATTTGTACTAGAAATAAAACTTTTACTATACTGAGAACGTATCCCAATAAATTGGTTATCACCAGCAGTAACACACATTGGAAAAGGATTTTGCTGCATCCTTGTGCACGTATGTAATTACCAGCTTTAGCCAATTAAAATTGAAGGTGGTCGTAGTTTCTACCAGACAAATCCTCATAATTGACCTCTTACTTATATTATACATAATGTATTCTTGAAAACTGTTATTAATACAACCTGCATGTGATCTTATCCCATATGGTGTGATCCACATTGTGCAGATTAGGATGGTCCATCTGAGGTCTATGCATTTTGAATTTGCACAGCTTGTCTGATCAATCGAGTCTTCCGGAAGATTAAGAGTTTAATCGGACACAGTTAATGGGACGTACATCTGTCCTGTATGACTCTTAACCTTTGTCCGTTAGCTAAAGAGGAGGCATACGCACCACTATATATCAATTTGTTGACTATTAGCTGACTATTAGTTGACTATTAGTTGACTATTAGCTGACTGTTAGTTAACTATTAGCTGACTGTTAGTTGACTATTAACTGAATGCTAGTTGACTATTAGCTGACTATTAGTTGACTATTAGCTGACTGTTAGTTGACTATTACCTGACTATTAGTTGACTATTAGCTGACTATTAGTTGACTATCAGTGACAATATTCTGATTTGTCTTGACTGCATTTTGTTCCAGGTGAAAGTCGATGCTAAAACTCGGATTCAGCTTGACGAGTATCTCGCCGAAAATGGACAGGTAGCTTTTTCCACATTTCATCTTTCCTGATTTAAGTTTATTGCTAGGCTTCGCCCATAAAGCGATAGTACTCAATAAATCGACTCCAACTTTTCCTGAATCGTGTATTGTTATGTTATTTTACATAGCCAAATAACGTAATGGGGGTCCTTTTATTAGAGTTGAACTATGGACCCTGGAAATCCTAGCCAAACCCCAGCCCTGTGACAAGAACCTCGTGTTTGTGTAATAACATCCTTAGAGTGAGTCTAGCAAGCCTCGCCACAGTGCATGGATAATCAATCATCTGTATCTGTATCTGTATCATACTGCAAGCAAACTCCACTTTGGGATTTACAGTTGCAGGCGCGTGGTGATTAGCAGCATCCCTAGATACAATTTTGTTAGTAGGCCCCCTGTCAACAAGACTCGTCAGCAAGCTCAAGTCTTGTCAACAAGCTCAAGGGACTGCTGTTTGCAGCCATCTGACGTCTACAGAACCTAAACTTGATGGATAGCAAATAGTGAATTTGGATCCTATGATAACATGAACTGAAAACTGCAGCAACAGTCCTGGAACTGTGTGGACGCAACTTTCAGTGCAAAACATAACGAATATCACAATGAAACTTTTTGGTTGGTTGACTTCATGAAATTACTTTTGTTAGAGCTTTGGCATGCTACATTTGCTATATTGTAGACTTAAAGGGAATGTACATTATTGGCTTTCGCTGTAATTTTCAGAAATGAACTATTTGGGGGTTAGTATAATAGATCAAATTTGTTACACTGACATGTTTGAAGTTTTGCGTTCGAAAATGCTGGAAAACCAAGAAAAACAAAAATGTTCAAGTAGTCTGGTTCCCTGACTCCACTAAAGATGAAATGGATCAATGCCGGAAAATTGTAAGGTAAGGGAACCAGTCTAGCTGGCCTGCACCGGGTTCATGAACATGGAACCAATAGCAAACAAAATTTGGACTGAAAAAAAAACCCGGTAAATTTGGATCAGTAGTTGAAAAAAAAGTTAGGTTTTTCCAACAGTGGTCGGCCGACCACCGTTGGAAACTATACAAAAGTACCATTTTTCTTGAAAATGACTTCACACAAGGTGCCATAATTTTACAGGATGCTTTAGACTGTCATTTACCAACATCCTAGTAAGGTATTCCGTAACAACTTGGTAGTTTTATTTTTCGATGTTTGCAAATGTTGTATTTTCCATTTAATGGCAACTGTCATCAATTTGCATTTTTTTATATGTGTGCCAGAGTTCTGAGGAGCTGGATGAGGAGACGCAAGCCGAGGACGCAAATATCCAAGCTCAAATTGAGCGACTGACCAACGACTATAAACACGCCCTCAACAAGCCACAAGGTAGGACACCAAACCAAATTGAATAAAAAAAAGAAAACTGGCATGCCAAATGCAAAATAACAGGATTAGGCAAGGCTAGTAACAGTGGCCCCAGATCACAAGCATAATTACTGTACATTGAATGGTCCAACATCATGGACACACAAATTGAGGAAAACTCGCCAAGAAGGAGATTAATTCACAACTGGAAATATGTATACGTACGTGTATGCCACAAAATGTCCGCTATGTCAGAAGTAACCATGCAGATTTTTTCAAGGTTTAGTTCCCTTTCAACCAGACCTTTGAAATAGAACAAGTAAACAATCTTAAACATACAATATCTGGCAATTTCAGGACGATATGCTCCTTTCATTATATATGTATGATTAGTTATTGGACTGTTTCCCCCCCCCCCCCCCCCTCTAGCTGAAGAGACATCCAAGGATCAACCCAAGGAGAGCCAGCCGTCTAGGGAACAGAAGGATGGGAAGGACCCCAAGAAGAGTAAAAAGGTATGCCAACGTGAACATGACCCTTAAGTCTCTACAATAAATACTAGTCAACATGACAAGCCTGTGCAGTGTAGCAAGATCCATCAGGTCAAAAATCTCAAGGCTAAAGTTTCTCAGTTGATGGCTCCGTGCAGCAAGATCTGTTTACATTGTACCCTCTGGAGACATTTGCACAATAGGAAACAAAATATTGTATATGTCTCCACAGGGCAATTTCTATAGATGAATACGTCTCCACAAGGTTTTCAGGAATAAATATATGGATTTTACTCAAAAACTAGAAATTTCCAAGCTATGTTGATGTGTTGCAAATGGAAGAGTTTTATAAAAGGGATATTAAGTCCAAATTTCAGCCAAGGAAATTAATTCTGGTTAAAATAAGAGCATTTTAAAACTACACTTTCAAACTCGAAAACTTTAGTACACGAGAACAAAGGAATGTCTCCACAAGGATACAAATTCCAGTATGTGTGTCCTTGGGCAAGACACTTTGTCACAATTAGCTTCTCTGCACCCAGGAGGAAAATGGTACCTTTGAGGGATGAGATGCTTAATAAATTGTGTTTGAATTGGCCTTTTGCACCTGAAAAAAATAACGGCTGCATCGAGCTGTATACTATTTTATGGGCTGAATGAGCAGGGGTAATAATAATAAGGGCTTTGATTTTTATTACAAGCACTATATTCAAATAGCCATTAGTAACCCAATAGAATCGTTTTTGTCTTGTAGGAAAACATTCAGGACTTGAACAACATCGAAGAGGACAAACGACACATCATAAGTCGTGAAATTGATCGCTTCAGAGACACATACAAGGTAGGTTGTCTAATAATGTGCACCTACAAAATTAAATATGTGGCTATTATGTGAATACCTTTGTGCATATTTTTAATTCAATGTTTAATGTTTGATCTGTCAGTGTTTTGGATAGTTGTGACTTCAAATTTTCCTTCTCGATTTTACTTTTTTGTTTTGCTGTATTAAAAAAACCCAATGTGTTTGTTGTGGTTCAATGTTCATCCATATTTGTTAAATCCAAACTTGTTCTTTGTTCATGCCTCATTGTTTTTAAGTGACATATCTTTTATGCTAAATCTTTTTAAACAATTTCTATTAATGAGCATCTTTAAAGTTTCAGAGGGGTTGCTTTTTGATCCATCAAAAAAAAATTGATCACGGAAATGATATTAATTTCCAATTTTGAAGAAAAAAAAATTGAGCAGAAATCTTTTTTCAGGAAATGTTTCATTTTTGTGTGGATGCCTGGGGCTGGGCGCACTGTTCACAACCAAGTGGTATCTGTAGAAAAATAAATCCTGCATTTTGACATGAATTGCTAAATGCTGAACATAATTCTGACAACAGCCGCATTTTAGGAACTCTCAATAGTACAAATGGGCATAGCACTGCCATCAACTTGAGTTGAATTATCTGAAAGAAAGAACCCTATGCTAAATAGACGCTGTGCAGAACTACCCCATCAACTGTGACATGGAGAGAAAGCTTCGCTTCGGCTTTGCCACCTGTCGCCTGCTTTGTGGGCAAGTTGTCCGCTTCACGGGCGAATGGCCATTTTGCTGGCTATCGCCTGCTTCGCGCGCAATCAACCCGTGAAGACACATGCAAGTGTGTAAACTTCTTCAATCGTGGACCCCTAACGTCCCTCTTTTGTTTAGACTTCAACTTTTAGGAAAACCTCCCATATGTTTTGCACATACATCAAAAGTGTCCCTTCGGTCAATCGTGGACCCTATTGTCCTCTATTGTTCAAGGTCCACGTTATATGTATATACAATGTATGCGTACAGTCTGAGGACAAGGCATTGTGTTTCTCTTTGTTCCTACAATATAACACTCTGCTGTAGACTAGCTCACAGACTTATGTTCGAGGACCGTTCTCAAAAGATGTACATTCAAGGACAACAAAGAATCAAGTTTTCTCTCATTGTCTTGCTGCCCTTAAGGAAGGACCCATCTGCATTCACTTTATACATTAGCTTAACCTCCCTTTTTGTTTGATTAGTCACGGACAGTCAAAACTTCAATTCTGTTCCCTGCCATGCCTTTTACACAGGCTAGTCACCAACAGTCAGATCATATTTCATGTAGGCACTGTGACAGTCAAATTCCATCAACAAACAAAGCATGTAACTGTTTTAGCCACAGCTGGCTTATCAATCTCATACAGTCAAAGCATAGCTATATCAGGTTTTATAACAATCACAGCCAGTCAATCCTGCTTTGTGAAGGCAGGTATCACTCAACTGTTAAAAAAACAGTCAGTTGATTTGTTTTGACTGCTGGGCTGGCCTTGTTGAAATTGCCAGCCAGAGAGGGAGGGCTAATGTCCCCAGGGACTGTGCCATTAAATTCCTGGGAAATGGTGGAATTTGGAGGATTTAGAACGGATAAAAAAAAATATAATAGTTGACATGAAAATATGCAAGAACAAGCTTTTGTTCCTTTCTTTTCCAAGCTCCAAAAATACCCATTTATGCCAGCAGTGGTTGAAAAATGAACTTAATTGCCCTGCCCCAGGCACCAAAAAAATGAACCCTTTCCAAATATATATGGCCCTATCAGATAACACTCTTTTTACCAAATTCCAGAAATTGATAGCCCACATATATGAAGAACGTTAATTTCAATTTGATGGAATCATAGACTTTTGTCCCCAGCCTATTATGATGCATGTGACGTAGTCGTAGCGAGCCATACAGTGTGGCTTATATCAGATGTTAACGGCCCGTTGTAATGTACCCCCACTGTGCATAGAATGCTATAGAATACCGCGCCATTGAAGCCATACAGCAGAGTGGCGTTCTTGCTGTTCATGTTCCGTAGGGGGTAATCCTTCCTCTGGCGGGTGAGTATACAGTTAGCAAGGCAGTGCAGTTTAAACTGCCGGTACGTAGTGTGTATAGTTTCTGACGGGATGAGACTCCACTCAAATCAAGTAAGCTGCTTTGCGTTTTCTCCATCTTGTTATTTTTTTATTCAGTGTCTGTTAAAGGTTTAGTTAGTCCAGAATCAGTTCTTGGCCATACTCTCTGCAGAGTTACAAACAATGTAAGATGGGTAGTTTTCAAAGCCCAAGAATAGGTTGGCCTGTTTAGCTTGGTCCGAAAAAAATTGATTGCAGCTTAGGCAGTTAAGGATGTTGTTAGACTTGGGTCAGTCAATCAGTCTGTTAGTTTCTCAGTCAGTCCGTTTAGTGAACCTGTCAGCCAGAGAACAGTAGTCTGGCCTATCAGGTCTGCCAAATAGTACAAGTTGAAGGAAAACAAATTCTCAGAAACATTTTTGGTATCTTTTGCCTCCCCCCCCCCCCAAAGAAAACAATTCAACACAGCACTCATATAAAAAGAGTAAACGATCACAATCAGACCAAAAATACTTGCAATTATAAATTTCTAGACAAGAATTGTAACAAGGTGCCCCATTTTTGTCGCTACGTCTTGTCCGAGTTGATCTTGTTTGTTTGTTTGTTTGTCGATGACCGTCGGTGGTGCAACATGACCGCTCTGAGGTATGTGGTACAATCCATTCTTCCGTAGCAGTAGAGCATTAACAACGAGAGTGATTTGTTTCAGTGACCTAACGGTTTGACCTCTGAACTTTGAACGACCCCAGACTGAGATCGTTGCAGGAATTGTGCTCGTCTACATGAAATCAGGAAATGGATTGTGCAGGTTATTTCTGTTAGAAACATGAATTTCACAGTTAAGGCCGGTTCATATACTTGGCGCAAAAGTGAATGCGAATTTGTGACAAGTACTCCCACTGTGAATTAGCAATAGTTGAACACATTTCAAATTGTATGATGAATGCTTTCAAATTCGCTTCGCATTTGCCTTTAAACTTAGAAATCAACGACCATGCCATATTGGAAAGTTTGGACTCTTTTATACACACAGATGAAAATTTGAAGGCCGCAAAAAGAAGACATGAATGTAAGCTTTGTACAATTTAAATCAGTGTTCCTATTTTATCAAATAGAACAGAGGGTGAAATTATGACAAGATATCAAACATTTACTGACTGTTTCTCATATTTCTCCCCAAAAAAATCATGCATTGTTTTTTATAAGAGCAGTAGAGTGTCAAATTGCACCCTGTGTTAACAGATATTTGAAACTTGCAATTTTCCTATAAAAGGAGGTTATTTAAATGAAAATATCTAGCAAGTTGAGTGTATATTACTGTTGTAAAATCCACTTTGTAATCTTTTACTTATTGTTAATGTTTTCCAATTTTGGAAGGAGGAAAATGTAGGTGTGAAATACACTGGTTTTGTTTTCTTATTGGTACATGGTAGCAGTTTCTGTTCGGTAACATAACTTTAAAAAAAAACTGAAGAAAAGAAACAAATACTTTGAGATTGTGCTCGTTCTTGGTCTAAGGTTGTGAAGAAAACGGAAAAGACCTTTTGAATATTGTTTTAATAAAGCACGTGTCTCTTGTGAAATATAAGATTGCTGAGAAATTTACTTTAAAATAGAATAATGGATATGGATATTGTCATTGTTATCAGTTTAAACATGAGATGAAAGTGTGGCCACATAGAAACTGTTGCCATGGAAATCAGTTCTTCCTGTTACGTTAAATATACATGTAACCTGAGTTTCCCTTGCAGGTTGAATTCATGCTTTTTATCCCGTGGTGACGCTTTGAGCGATAAATGATTTCTGTCTGCCACTCTGTAACGATGCCCCTGCCTTTGAACCACCTTTGAAAAGTCCAGTCAGAGGTTGTGTTAATGTCAAAGGTCACGACCCCTGACCTGACTTTGATGAAGGGTTGGCAGGGTCATGAATCATTACGATTCAAATGAACCGCATTTGCTTCCAAAGGAGGTGGAAAGTTCATCAAGAGAGACTAAAAAAAAGGCACAATATTTGTCGAGAAAGAAAGAGAAAACACAAATCTGGTTCAATTTGGATCAGGTTTGTTGGTTATTTGAAGTGCCAGATTTCGGTGCCCCACCTTGCCTTCCAGGGGGAGGCCGTCTTGATTAAGTTTGCAGAAACCGTCAAGATAAGGAAAAGCCAACGAGCAAAGATAAGCGATATTGGTGGTTGCACCCTCACCCAGCGCATCTACACAAGGGAAGGAGCCAAGCGTGTGAGGCCTTTGAACCGTATTCAACCTGAAACTATATTATGTGTGATTGCTCAATGATGTTATGTCGATAAAACAGTGTCAATGACGATCCTCGTCCATCTATTTGCAAGAGGCTTGTGGCACCGAGTGGACGGCAGTGCTTGCAAAATTGCCAAAAACATTGAAAAATTTGAGCATTTTCTTCTATATTTTTGTCTTTTCATTCATCAAGTTTGTCAACTAAACGGCCTTATATCCATGAGGTGGGGATATGTTGAGATTTGTGGATTGTTTGTGCTTGAAAAGATGTCAACAAATTTTGGGGGGATTTGGACTTTGACAAAACTTGGAGTTGAACTCGAGTTCCTGTTCAGTATGCGTTTATGAACTGCAATAATGATTGGTTGCACAAATGTGGTATTGTTCACCGCCTATATGTGTCTTGCAAATGGATAGATGAAATTGTTACAGTTTGTGCATGGACTTGTGTGCAACCAATTACATAGGTATCCAGACGAGTTACATATTTCCATTCACCTCAATTAAGAAGTGTTTTTCTCTGCATATTCCCTCTTAAACTTGCACTGTTTTATGCCCCTTTGTGCATGTGGCATGCTAGTCTTGAACCAAGACTGGACTTCGATTTTATTCCGCTAAGACCGGTCCCTGATAAAAGATAAAGCTGCCCCTGTGGTAGAGGTCGCTATCAACATGATGAACCACATAAGTCGTTCGAACTTCGGCAATGCTACCCAAGAAATTCCAAGCGTACCCCACGTGCGAGGATTAGCTTGAGTACAGCGCGTGTGGTATGCTCAGAATATATGGGTAGCACTGCCAAACTTCCTTTGACAGGATTCATCGCCATTGACACTTGACCGGGCTTGTCAGGGACCGGCCGTATTAGGAAATTATATTCCAAATCCAGTCTTTGGACCAAGACTAGCGGCATGTCACTCCAAAGTCAGACGTACGTTTCATGTTTTGTTATTTGCAGACATACTTGGTGCTTGGTTGTGGTATTGAGAAAGTTGACTAGCGATGCGGCACAAAAGTCTAAACAAAGTGGCACCTCAGAAAAAAAAACCTCACAATGAAGTTTTGTTTTAACCTACAACATAGAAACTCTTAGGCAGTTTCACCACATCTAACAGTTGAGACTTTCTGATTTTAATTTCCTTGTAATCATTTTTGAAATTTGAGGCTCCTCTAAGCTGCAAAGCTTCTTAAATAGACATTTTCTCTTTATCACATACCACTTTTCCCCAACACACAATGAATATCTTGTGATTAGTTTTATTTGACACAGATAAAAATTTCTTAGAAAATTTGTAACCGCTTTGAATTTTCACATCTCACGCATTTCCCCCCGTCTCTATTCTGTCTTGTCCCTCCAGGCAGCAGAGGATAGGGAGAAAGACCGGCTGGCTCGGGAACAACGCCGGGAGGAACGAGACTCCAAACGCGGGGACACCAAGGATCGCGACAAAGACCGGGAACGGGACAGAGACCGGGATAGGGACAAGGAACGCGAGCGTGAGCGGGAACGGGAGCGAACAAGGGAGAGGGAGAGACGGGACCAGGCTAAGGAGAAGGAAAGAGAGGAGAAAAGAGACAGGGAAAGGTCATTATTACATTTGCTTTTGTTTTCATCTCATTCCGTTTTTTTATTTTTTTTATTTTCTGTTTTATTAATTTGGGTTCATTTTGATTCATTTCAATTTTTCCCTTTTTCAGTGTGAATTTTTATTTATATTATTTTTTGGTCAAGAATTTAAATGAATCTGACCAAGGTAATTAAGATACTGCGGCATTGTATTTGTAACTGAGCTTGGTAGTCTTAGAGTCTAGAAATCTCAGTACCATTGTAAATTGCAAACAGTCCCTAACCTGTTCCTTACTAAACCCCTTCAAAATGTTTTAGTATAAAGCTTAACCCTATTAAACTCCCTAGGCCTTTTTGCTAGGATGTAGCCTCAATCCTGCAAATCCTCCAATTGGCCTCATGGAAAAATAACATATAGCAACAATCCTGCAAATTCCTCAATTATTTCTTGAATATGGTCCGTGGAGGGGTGACCACTGCCTGAATCCTGCAAAATCTCAGCAGTGATTGTCAATATGTCGAGGCTTGGCCAGTGACATCCTGGAGCAGTACGGATGATTTCAAGCATAATCCAGGCCTATATTTATGCATGGCTGAGCAAAATCAACACAAGGTCTGGCCCAAGACCTTGACAAAGTGCATCCTACGATATCAGTAACGCTCTTTTGCCATGTAACCTCAGTACTCCAATTCCTCCACTTTGGCAAAGAGGATTTCGTAGGATTCAGGGCAGTTAGGGTTAAAAGATGCCCCATGTTAACTTAACTGTCCAGAGTGTAACGAACGTCAATGAAAGTCTGTAGTCCTTTGATAAGCAAATCGGCAGTTGTTCAAGAACTCCATGTGTAGGCTTCTGCTATACTTGGCTGACAAGCCAAAAAATACCCTCAAAGAGCAAAAAGTTTATTGGTAATATTGCTGAATTTTTGTCTCTGTTACTTCCAGGAGGCTTGAGCGGGAAAGAGAACGGGAGAAAGAACGCGACCGGGAAAAGGAGCGGGAGAGAGAGCGTGAGCGAGAACGGGACCGGGATCGCGACAGGGACAGGGACCGCAAACGAACACTCGACAGGGACGATGACCACGATAGGTTTAACGAGGAAGAAGAGTTTGAGAGGAGGAAGCTTGAGAGGAAACTGCGGGAAAAAGAGGAGGCCTATCAACAGGTCAGTAGTACAGTATTAATATTGCCCTACTCAGAGGGCAGTAATAGTAATACTGACTGCTCAGGAGGGCAGTAGTAATACCTCAAAGTTCTATTGTCCTTACCGAACATTCACTAGTACTTTTACTGACTGCTCAGAGGACAGTAGTAATACTTCAAAGTTCTATTGTCCTTACTGAACAGTCACTAGTACTTTTACTGACTTCTCAGGAGGACAGTAGTAATACTTCAAAGTTCTATTGTCCTTACCGAACATTCACTAGTACTTTTACTGACTGCTCAGGAGGACAGTAGTAATACTTCAAAGATCTATTGTCCTTACTGAACAGTCACTAGTACTTTTACTGACTGCTCAGGAGGACAGTAGTAATACTTCAAAATGACTAGTGCCCTAACTGAAATGTCAATAGTACTACTACTGACTGCTCAGGAGGGCAGTGGTTACACTTCAATATAACTATTATCACATTTCAATATGACTGATCGGTCAGTGGTACCACTACTGACTGTTCAGGTAATGCCACTATTGACTGCTCAGGGGGGCTACAATATGAGATTTTCCTCCTGTGAAGGATGTCTGCTAACAATTTGCACCACTGACTGCCAAGGAGGGCAATAGTTACGCCTCAGTTTGACTATTGCCCGACTGAGCAGTCAGTAGCATCGCTGACTTTGACTTTACCACCTTGTGTTTCTGCCTCTCCTACCAGCGACTGAAAATGCGGGAAAGTCGTGAGCGCAAGCGCGCCCGCGAATACGAGAAGCTGCGGGAGAAACAAGAAACGGAGAGAAATGAGATGGAGAAAGAGGCCAAGAGACTCCGCGAATTCCTGGAAGATTATGACGACGAGCGAGATGACCCCAAGTATTACATGTGAGTTCAGTTGATTGTTCCTGCCAGAGTTCAAGGATTTCATGCTGCAAATCCCAATAGGCCTGAGACCTAATGACGTCACGCTTTGTTTACATGTGCACTTTCCTATGTGATAGACGGTCCCTTCTTTGTCTGGCGTCCCGACTTCGATCCCATAGGAAAGCGCATATGTAAACAAAGCCATTATGTCATTAGGTCTTAGGTCTATTATTGTTGTGTGAAGTAGTAGTTGATATGGAGGAACATATAACATATCAAGTAAGTGGAAATGTACCTTTTTAGGACTTGAATTAGGCCAAACAGAAAAATATTGTGTGTTTACAGTAACCCGACCTACCTAGAATTGTTGTGGCCAAATTGCCGACCTCAAACTTTTATTGTCATTTTGCAAAATAATTAGCACACGTTCATGGTTAATGAGTTTCAAACATTGCAAAAGAACACACACACGCATGAACTGGGATGAAAAAAAAAAACACGACAAAATAAAATTATTTCCCTACTTACCTACCTATTTGGGTTTTTTCTCAGGCTGTTACCGTAAACACACCATTTATTTTGTTTGGCCTTACAGAGTTCGTTTCAGGAGCATGCGACACAGTCACAGTCTTTATCAACTGACGTTGTTGAGGCCCTCACATGACAACGCCAGTTGATCAAGACACTGTGACGGTGTCGCAAGCTCCTAATATGAGCTCTGCAATTAAATTCCCAAGAAGTACCTCTCCATTTACTTGATTCAATAATAGGACTGGAGACAAAATTCCATGCTCCATAATAAATATCCTTTTGAAATTCGGCAGCACTAGGCTGTGCCAAATGTTGCAGCACTGTTTGGAATGTCAAACTTTGTAATCGAAATCTCGTGAATAATTTGATTTAATAGGCATGACTAATGAACGCCAGTCTGAAAAGTGGGAGGATTTGGCGCTCACATTGTTTGCTGAACAATGTGGGGTGCTGTGGTCCAATGGTTACGGTGTTTTACTCGAGTGCCGTGGTACATGGGTTCGAATCCTGACAGGGAACATGGTGCTTGTGCTCTTGAGCAAGGCACTTTACTACGATTGCCTCTCTCCACCCAGGTGTAGTAAATTGGTATCTGGTAGGAAGAAATTCCTGCAATGCTTGAGCGCCGTAATGGCAGCCGTCCTAAAGCCAGGGTAATAATAGAGCTCTAGGAGCATCACTTCGTGACGGACGGATTATTATTATTATGAATGTTCTACATGCTGTTTCAGCACGGAATGTTGATCATAAACAGACATTTCAGTGGTTAGAAGCGACATGAAATTGACCCCTACCCCTTACCAAGTCCTTTTTTTGTCATTCTGTCAGGGGGAGTGCGCTGGAGCGAAGACGCAAGGAGAGAGAAAAGGAGATTGACAGCGACAACCGGGACCGCCGACGGGAGCGAGAGGAACTGGAGGACATCAAGCGCAAACTTCTGGAGGAGGGGCACGATAATGTGGAGGAAGAAATCGAAAAGGTAAAATTGGACGTCTCAGTGCTCAAACTGAACCTATTAGAGCCTTTTGTAAACAGAAGAATTTATGTAGAGGTGATAAAAAAAAACCCCGAAACCCAAATGTCGGGACCATTGTTTTGGTGAAGTTTTGCATGTAGCACTTTCAAAATCTAGGATTTGAAAGCCCAATTCATAAACTTTCTTTTAGTACAAGAATCATTCAAATCACTTATGAAATTTTCAAGTTACGGAATTTTAAATACCACCACCGTTTTAAAGTTCTATCCACAGATCACAAAAAGGTAAGTGTTCTTTCAGCAAAACGAAAAAAAATCACATAGGGATGTGTTTGAATTGTTTTCGTTTTGCTGAAAGAATGCGCACCTTTTTTGTGATCCGTGGACAGAACTTTAAAACAGTGGTTGTGTGTAAAATTCCGTAACTTGAAAAGTACTTGAGTGATTTGAATGATTCTTGTAATAAAACAAAGCTTATGAATTTGGCTTTCATATCCTAGATTTAAAAGTGCTACATGCAGAACTTCACTAAAACAATAGTCCCAACATTTGATTTCGGTTTTTTTTTACTCACCCTGTATTTTGGATATTTAATCTATTTTAAAAAGTGAATCAAAGACACAAAACATGCATAAACCTAAAACTTGAGTAGACAATTCTCTGTTCCATTGTTCTGACATCACAGACATCAAATGAGCATAATTTTTCCAGATGAAGTTTGTTTTCAAATTTCAATGAAAAATAAAAAAAGAAAGAAATGGTCACAAGTCCATTACAAAAATAAATTACAAGTCAGCTTACAAGTAACAGGCCGATAAAGGATGAATAAATTTGGACGGGATGACTTGCGATGGACTTGTAAGGACTCATGATGGACTTGCAGGGACTTGTAAGGACTTGTGAGGACTCTTGATGACTTATGATGGACTTGCAGGGACTTGTGACGACTTATGGTGGACTTGTGAGGACTCATGACGGACTTATAGGGACTTGTAAGGATTTGTGAGGACACATGATGGACTTGTAAGGACTTGTGGGGACTTATGATGGATTTGCAGGGACTTACAGGAATTGTGGGGACTTGCAGGGACTTGTGAGGACTTGTGAAGACTTACAAGTACTTTGATAGACTCAACCACAACACCGGTTAATTTTATTTTAATTTGATTTTTATTGAACTTGTTTATGGTTTGATGATTATTTATGTTTGTTTGTTTACTTGTTTGTTTCAGCTTGAGCAGGAACGAGAGAAGCACAGGTTACCTCAGTTGGCGTTGGTTCCAAAGGAAGAGAAACCCAAGCTGGAACCCACGATGAAGCCGCTAGATGTTCCTGAAGAACCAGACCCTGAAATGGCCGTGAGTTCAGACAAAATATTGCCAAGCCAGTTTTCTTGAATCCTTGGAGCAGATTTGCTTCAGCGGTGTGATTTAGTATACACAATAAACCCTAACCCTAGGGTGGTTTGGCTAGGAACCCTGCTAAATACGACAACATGCAACACTTGTCAAAATGACAGGCCTGCTCAGTGTAGCAAGATCCTTCTGGTCAAAAGTCTCAAAGGCTTACTGCCTCAGAGTCTGTGGTCACCAACTGCAGCAGGATACGACTGTGGCATTGCTCAGTAGGACTAACTCTCATTGTCTCAGAAGCGGCCATTTGTGCATAAGTGTTGACTGTTGATGGCTCAAAGTAGCAAGATCCCACAGATTTGGACACCTGATGCACTGTGTTGTGTCTGGCAGGGTTAGAAATACTGTAAGGTGTTGACGTCACCATGCAAATCTTTCAATCTTATATCTTACTGTGCAATTCGTTCAGAAGTTGTTCTCTGGCAAGTGCTCAGTTCTATTTTAACAGAAAATTTTGCAAGCTAGCTTATTTTGGCTACAGTAAATGGATGAGCCACAAGTTTTGAGAGGGATTATCCATTAATCCTCCTAGTGGGAAGTCGATCTTCAGAGCAATATGTAACACCCTTTAAAACCTTGCAGGTCAGTTTCAGGTGAAGGGATATGAAGTGTTACAGTAACTGTGTCACACAGAGAGTCACTGCACACAAAAACCAGCACTGTGGAGAGCAGTGAAGCATGACCAAATCTGCCTGCTTGCCCCGAGCTCAACCACACAAGAGAATTGTGAAGGGATTGGAAGTGTTATCCACACTCCACAGAAGATTACCTCAAAGGAATTTGAAGTGTGGGTGCTAACTCTATGGGCGAAAATGCTTTTGCAAAACTGGAAGGGTTGTCAAATGCAGAAGACTAGGAGGGTTAATACTAAGTGTATATCTAAATTTGTCCATAACTTCCAAAATTCTCGGTACTGAAAGGTACCTTTGACACCCCTCCCCTTTTCTTCCCATTCTTCAGGCCCTGCCCCCAGCTCCGGGACCTCGAACCCCCGAGTCCTCCGACGCAAGCCCTGAGCCTCTCTCCGCCCAATCAGCTGAAGACGACAGTGACCAGCCCCCTGCAAAGGAACCACACAAGCCCAGACTCAGCTTTGGAGGTCTTAAACTTGGTCAGTCACATTAAAAAAAAAATTATAAATACATGGGACAGTTAACCTAGGAAAATTCAAAGGCATCGTTGTAGCTAATGGTGTGCAAAACTGTTGGAGTGCAGTCAGGCGTTTGAGATGAAGGAGCAATCTTGCAGATTTTGATCGTTCCCGGTCCTGTTTTCAGAAGCTAGGACGTCAATTCCTGTTTAAGCCACACATATTAGCTCCTCATCCTTTGGTTTTCAAATTCACTTTGGTTTCTACTGTAGGTCCTTTTTTTTTAATTTTCTTCAGATTTTTTCAAAATCTTTTCAAAAATCTTTTCTTCTCCCAGTTGGAGCCAATGATCCCCAGTCATCTGCTGCTGCCAAACGCAAGAAGCTTTCGGTGGTGGAAGTCTTCAACGAGGACGAAGACACGACAGACACCGGCAAGAAGAAGCGCAAACTGGTCCCCATCGACTACTCGGAGGAAGAGATGAAGGCTGTTGCAGGGGGCCAGTCTCAGGCCGTGGCCTCGGCTGCAGAGGAGAAGAGAAAGACCATCAAGAATCTGATTGAGAAGATCCCAACAGCCAAAGAAGAGCTCTTCAGATACAAAGTAGACTGGGCAATCGTCGATGAGGTTGGTATCAGTGAATGGAGTATCAGAGTTCCTAATGTAAAATGGTCTAATGGTGCTTGTGTTCTTCGGCAAGACACTTTACCACAGTTGTATTAGATGTCAAGTCCCCTGCTGATGTACCATGGTGCTTGGGTTATGGTGTCTGACTTATGTGCTGAACCCTGACAGAGTTTATGTTATTTGTGTTCTTGGGCAAGACACTTTACCACAATTGCTCATAAGGAGTGGAATTTTTCTGTGTTTTTGCCCCAGATTTGTGGATTTAAAAACCTAAATGAGAAGTTTTGTTACTGTGTTTCTTTCTTGCTGGGTCAAAAGCTTATATGAAACCATTTTAGTGGGCCGTTTTTAGGAGTTCTGTTTTAAGCAAACACATATATGTGCCTTAAACCCTGTGTTGCTCTAGGCTTCACCAAAAAAATTATGTAAGTGGCTTGGAAATCAAGGATCATTCATAGCCAATGTGTTCTCGGGCAAGACACTTTATCACAATTGTTTATGCCCCAGTAGATGCTAATGCATCTGTGGAGTGCCATGGTCCAGTCATTTTGCTGCCTGACTCATGTACCATGTTGAGTGGCATATAACCTGGCGGGGATCAAATGTCAAGTTTCTTAGTTAAGTATCTGCAGAGCACCAAGGTCCGATGTATATTGCTTCCGAGTCTGTTGGGGATCATGGTGCATATGTCCTTGGGCAAGACATTTTACTTCAACTGCCTTTCTCCACCAAGGAGTATCAGTCATTACCTGAACAGATTACTCTCTGCATAAAACTGATCTTATGTTCCAATAAACAGGGGATGTGAAAATAATGGGATGTGTAGCACTTTGAGACAGTGGTGTAAAAAACTCCTTTTTTTTTTATCCATGTTGGTTTGCATACTTATAAATTTTTCTGCCATTTTTTCCAGTCTTTGATGGAGAGACGAATCAAGCCCTGGATCAACAAGAAGATAGTGGAGTACATCGGTGAGGAGGAGGCAACGTTGACAGAGTTCATCTGCTCCAAGCTTCTGGCTCACAGCTCAGCCGAGAGCATACTGAGCGACATCACCATGGTAACGTTACGTTATAAAATAAGGCCAGTAATGGTCAAAAACCCACATCAAAATTTACGTCTCCCAGACATAACACGGATGATTTAAATTCAAATCTGCTAGCTGACCCGGCAAGCTGACCCAGCAAGCTTGGTAGTCGATTGGTCAAGACCTCTGCACTAGTAAGCAGGAGTTTGTGGGTTCGTGTCCCATCCGAGCAAACTTGTAAAAAAAAAAAAAAATTGTGCAAGCTTCTTAAACTGTCAGACAGCACTGAGTAGACACTGCAGAAAATGATATTATTTGAAGGCAAAACACCACTATTGAAATCAACATCTTGTAGCTGCAAACTCCCTGATAGAATTTTTTTCTCCATGCATTCAATTCTGAAATTAGGGTTTTGCTGTTTTTAAATAATTCAGTATTGGATTTATTCCAACTTGGACTTCATCGAATATTCAGTTTCAAAATGCACTGATCAAGTTAAACATGCTGCCATGTTCCATGCCATTTGTCATGATCGTGTTCCTAATCAATAGTTAACGTGATGCAAAGAGGCTTGAGCAGTTTGGAATTTCCTAATTTTTTGCTGACTTCTAAGTTCCATGTTGGAATAACCACAGGTTCCCTGTCACTCTGGAAATCAGGGAAACCTTGAAAATGAGCTTCCATGTTTTTCCAGTCAGGGAAAACTCAGGGAATTTGGAAAAACACCAAAAATCAGGGAAAACTCAGCAAATTTGACAGTGACATTAAATGAATTTTTGTTGTTGCCAGTTTGGCATATGTGTCTTGTGCCCTGTGTCCAAGTTGTGTCCATTGACTGACTGGCTATGCTGGCTTTTTAGTGTTGATGCAGTGTGAATATTACACACCTCTCCGGACAATAACAATTGGCTTTGCTGCAACCACCTCTTGACTTCCCAGCAACCTTGTTAAAGTGAAAATATTTCTCATGGAATTTTTGGAAATTTCTCAGGGACATATCGGAGAAATCTCAGGAATTTTGTTATCATAAAGAGATGGGAACCTGGACCAGCCTCAAGTTCATGATCTTGTACTCTCTTTTTTGAAAAAATATTCACTTCAATCTTGTGTTTTTCTTCCCTTTTTTTGCCTTGAAACCCCTGCAGGTTTTGGATGAAGAAGCAGAAGTGTTTGTTGTCAAGATGTGGCGGTTGTTGATCTATGAAGTGGAAGCCAAGAAGCACGGTCTGGTCAAATGACAATCAAGCAAGTCATCCTAGAATCAAGACCTTGGAACCATTTCTGAAACCTCGGCTGTCTTTGTGGCTCAAGTTTTTTTAAGGTTTCAATATGTACATATGTAGCAGAGAGAGAGAGAGTCGTTCTTGGGCCCTAGCTCCTATACTGACTGGCACTTCAAATTGCGGAGCCAGACCTCGAAGCCGTACCCGAGGTTTCAGAAATGGCTCTCAAGATGACGCCTGTGAAATGAAAGGCAGTAGGCTGGTACCAGCGTGCGTTTGGGGAGTCAGTGCTGAAATCACTGTGTAGGCTACAGCAGCCTTACCAAGATGTGCTGCAATTGATGAGGGTTTACATTGTATCAACAAAAGGATTTTTTTTGTCTGTGACAAGAGATGTTAACTGCATTTTTGTAATGCCCAAAATGGCCATTTTCTGATTGGAAACGCTTTCTAGTATCTTTATGGGCTCCGTGTGCAAACAAAAGAGGGCGCTTTTTTACCACTTTTGAGAGCCCTGTTGACGGGACACACAGCGCGTGTGTACTGTACTGGTTCTCATGCGAAGTACGCACGGCTGACAAAGCTATTAGCCACAGCATCTTCGCTCGAGCGTCAGGCTTGCAAATAAGTTCCAATTTAACTTGCAATGATCTCCCAGACTAATCCCTGCCTCCAATAAATTTGGATCATTCGAAATACGCAGTGGATGAATCGGAAACCAGTCTAGGTCTCCCCCAACCCTCTTTTTCTGGCCGTTGAAGGGGTACTTGTGCACGGAGCCCGTAATAGGAAATATTCACCTTTGTTACCCTAATCCAATTTATTCTCCAGTAAACTACATTTTTCTTTATACCAAGTCTTTGACGAAGCTGCATCCAAATCTTGTCTTGGACCAGAAGTAGCCTCCGTTTTCGAGTACGAGTTGTGTAACCTTTGATATTTTGTTCATTTCATATGTTGTTCCTTTTATGAGAAAACCCTATCAATGGCAAATCTAGTTTCATGCACAATTGGATACATGAATCCTGCTCTCACAAAAGGAGGGTAAAGCCACAGAATATACAATGTATTTCATATTAAATGTTTCCTGAAATGTTAAATTGCTGGATTTTTCCATCATGCCAAAGTCTCACAGTAAACTGACTCCAACACATTCATATATTATTAGGAAGCAGTGTCTCATCTCCACCCAGTTTGAACATTTTCTAAGTTGATTTCTGTGACTTTATTGTAATTTCGTGGGTGTTAAAAAGCTTCTTTACCAGTGACTTTCTCCTATGACATTTCTTGTTTTCTCATTTTTTTTTATTAATGTTATTTTTTTTGTGGAATTCATTCATGATCTCAACTTAAGTCCCCTTTTGGTCTAAAAACCTTTCCCTGCTGCAAAATGGCAGAAAAGTACGAAAAAGACACAATATATTAAATATGGATGTAATTTCAAAAAAATGTTTCTAATAAATTTTTAAAAGTCAATTTGCAGACTTCATTTTTTCTTTAATTTTTGTGTTTTCCGTTCTGCCGATGTGCATAACTCATATAAATCAGTTTGGCTTCCCTTAAAACAATCTTGTTACATATATCACACCTTGGCCAAGTATCATAACACCTGTTTTTTATGTTGTTTCTTCACTCTTTGTGCATTTACCGATCCGCGATCATTGTGCTTTTCTTTTCAGGTTTCTCTAGATTAGATAAGTGTGTTTTTAGTTTATACCGACTATCATTTTCATGACTGAAATTTTTTCATTATTTTTTTGTTACAAATTGCCACTGATTCTGATTCCGAATCCAAGATTTCATGATCTGATCATTGCTATTTGAAATGCAGTTTTGAATGAAAGCTCTCAATAAATAAGCACTTGTATATATCTTGGAAAAATACATTCGCTTGTTTGTGTGAATTTATGATTTTTTGTCAAGATAAACATCAGGACTCTGCATTCCAAGTTATGTCTCTTATAAATGTACTACTAGGCACGCAACTAGGAAGTATCGAAGAAAACAAGGACATTTCAAGCTTTAGGCCCCCCCAAAAACTCTCCGGTTTCTGGTATGGAGCTTGCCCCAAAAGTGGCGCGGCGACGCGGCTTTTTTTTTTTTTACCTTTTTTTCTTCAAATGTTGGCTGATGACTGCAAATGGTGCCCGACTTAATTTAGTGCAGATATATGGGAGTCTAGAGAGGCCACATAAAGCTTATACTCGATCGTAACCCCATCTAAAAACATGTTAAAATTGTGCAGCAGCAGGATTCCAGTCAAACCAGTGAGTTTGGTGGTTTTGAGACATCATCTTACATTAAAAAAAACTTTTTCATTTTGCCTGTATTGTATGCCTGATATATTGATCTCAATGGTTGATGCCTACATTACTTCTTGAAGTTAAAAAAAAATATTAAAAAAAAATGAGAAATTCCATAGTAAAGAGTTGCTAGCCAATATACAATCAAACATCCTCACACTGGATTTGTACACGTTTACTGTTAGCATTTAATTCCTTTGGCAGTTTTCAACTACGCTTACAAATTTATTAGGAATTCTTAGTAAATAAGCAAGACGCTCATAGTGTCAAATTAGTATTCAATGCCTAACAATGTTTCGCAATATTCTGAACAAACTACTTTATCGTCAATAGAAACCACAACTACTGGCAATATTGTCCGACTCAAAACAGTGCGTGCACACAAATAGAAAAGCTCGTGAACCATTTAGCAAATTTGATTACTACAGTTTAGCACAGCTGTGGTACATTATGACGCACTAGGGTTTGCAAGTAATTCAGGTTTCACATCCGAGTGTTGGAATTGTACTCAAACAGGGGGGGGGGGGTTTCAAAACTACATGTTTACACTGTAAATATAATATATTATTACTTACGAGGGTGAGTGGGACATTGAATAATGTAGTGTGTTTGTGTCTAATATGCCACGAGGCACCACATTTTCCATCTTCCATGAAGCACTCATGGGGTAATCAATTTATCTTCAAGCAAACTCGATGTACAGTAAAGATGCAACGTGCATTTGTTATTAGTTTTCTTATAGACCATGTGACATTTGTTTACAAAATTGAAAGCTTCAGCAAACTTTCAGCCAACGGTTCTCTTCTGTACTGCATATGCATTGTATATCTATTGAAACATATTGACTTATACTGTCTACTGTGGGCCAAATAACATGCAAAAAATGCTTACATGTACATGTTTGGGATAACCGACGGTTAGCTGTTGGCATGACGTCACATGGCACATGGTTTACGCATGAAAGTGCAGCAGAAAAAAATGCACCCATCAGTATAGCACAAGTACAATATGGACCGTGCTACATGGCATAATATCACACTGTTCTTGCTATGGATTGACCAGTCAGGTTCAAGTCTGCTTGAAGATAAACTCACGTGCCATCGGTTACATTGTGTTCACATCATTCTTGAAACAAATTGTTTAAAATGACATACAAAAGATCCAAAACAGTTATTTTTCTCTGTGTTTTTGCACTCTTATTAAGAGTTGAATGTTGTTGTGCTCAGTGCAATTTTAATAATAACTTGGTTATCATTTTGTCCTAAATATTCTAAATATCCTAAATCTTTGATTTTTACATTAGTTCCACTTACCTTGACACGGTGCACAAACTTTTTTGGTACAAAATAATACTCTACACAAAAGTCAAATGTATGTACATTTAAAAGGGCTCTTTCAATATAAATGCTCTACAAAATTCAATTACAATTGCATTATTATTTTCAGTTAAAAACATTCTAGCACATAAAATTCTGCGATGTGTAAAATGTATTACACGTACATTTGCAAATAAATACATATCAGCCTCCACATATAAACCTCTACACAAATATTCACTTTCAGACTAATTAAAAAACACATAGCGAGTAAAATAAGACAGTTTAATTAAACAAAGAGCAAAAATTTGTTTATATATGCATTCATATTTTTGTGTGGCCAGGTTTGCCACAAGGGAATTTTAAAAGTACATAAAATGTATAATTTACAAGTACATCACTACTTGTCTATCTCCAATAATTAAAAAACAAAGACCCAGAGCCCACAAAATTTGATGCAATTGATTCAGAATGGCTAGTCAATGGAAGTCTTTTCATGCATCTGGTCTACACAATGGGCATTACAGGGTTATCCTATACAATAGCACTGCTGGGCTCACAAGTGAGTCAGTGAGTCAATGAGTTATTGAGGTACAAAGAGGATTATATGCTGCCCTCTAGTGTGAACATAGTGTCCAGACACTACCCAATTTCCGATACATGTAAAGCAAGTTCAAACAAAACATGCGTATTACAAAATTTGATTGTTCAATGTTGGAAAGTATTTGTTTGTTTTTTCCTGCTTGTTGGGTCTGCATATCTTAAGAATGAAGTTGCAGCTTTTGTGAGAATTGTCTTCGCAGTGTCCTTCATTTATTGTTCTCAAACAATACTGTTTGAATAAGGGAATAACAGTGTGAGGATCCGGTCTTCACTGCGTGATAATGACCGGGTTTGGGGGTGACTGCGTCTCAGTCCATTAACAGCGGTCACCCCCAAACCCGGTCATTATCACGCAGTGAAGACCGGATCCTCACACTGTTATTCCCATTAATAAATACCTTTTTTAACGACATAAACAGTTAAAATGCTCCAATTCTGAGACTTTTTTCGGCGATATTTCCAGACTTTTTGTGTTCATGTTCAGTGGCCATATTTTAGCTTATGCGTGGTACCCTGTCTCTTCAATATGCGTTGTTATATACCACCCTAGCGGGCCCATGTTGTGCTGGACGACGTCTCCATTGCATTACACGTACAACTGACATCCAACAAATACAATTGTTTTCATATTTTTACCTGATGGAGGAAACTGAAATTTCGTTTACGTTTTCCTTGTGTCCAGAATTGCAAAGATGCTCGGTTTAGAAAGAGTATTATGTCCGTGGGCGAATTGTTTACAGAAAATAAATTGCAGATCGATCCACACTTTCGTCGTAAACATCTTCAGTACTGCAGTGTGAACATGTCAAGCACGATGGTGGTTGAGCGCATGTGTACTGCTGTATTGTTACAAGCAACCGTAGGACTGTTGTAAATTTGGCCAATCATTTGGCTTACATGATGCTGGATCAATGCTGGTTCAGGGGCCATTTGTTCGCTTGTTCTTTGAAGCTGGTCTTTTTTTTTTTATCACCGTTAATACACCCCCACGTGATCGAGTCTGACTAATCAGAAGTCATCAACTCTTCAAGGTATTTATTAATTTTGAATAAAAGATATAGCAAGTAAGCACTACCTCATTATTTAACTGGACTATTTCTACACAGAACGTACCACTGACAGTTCGTTCGACACTTCACCAGTTGAAGTTGCTTTCATATGAAGAAAAGAACCATAAAAAGCACAGGCCATAGAGAAAACGAAAACGGTTCACATAAAATGACACACAAATGTCCAAGTTCAGGGTTTTGTCCACAATTTGGTAAAAAAAAAATAACTTTTACATGTGTATAGAGATCCATTTAATGACCTGAACACCAGATATGTTCAAACCAGGCATATTTTCACTCAATGGAAAGACATTCGTTTTCAATGGATTATTAACTGTGTTTAAATAGTAAAAGTACAATGCATCAATACAAAAACCGACCAAATGCATTCCAAGCTAGCTACACTTGTTCACAGAAGAGAACTAGTACAAAGTGAATCTCCATACGGGTATTTCTTCACTACTCAAACATATTTGGTTTCAGATCTGAGGTATAACAGTATACAGATACATGTATATTTCCCACATTCTATTTCAGATACACATTCATGTTGTAGAACCCCTCTGTAGTAAAACCCCTCCAGAGTGAAGTTTTGTAGAAAGTAACACCCCCATAAAAAATTGGAATTGGCCAAAGACAACACAGAGTGCATGTGAGTGTGCCTTGTCACTTTCACATATTTTGGCAAAGTGACCAGACGTACTTACAACAGTGCTCTCTTTTGTCTTTGCCCAATAGGTATGTACAAATGTTTCTTTCTTTTTATTCACATCTAGGTTCCATTATTTCTGTTGTTCACATTTTCATTTACTTGGAGTATACAATCAATTACTTGAGTTGATCAGTTGGTTGAAGGTAAATTGTTCTTTGAATTTGTCAAGTTTACTCTTTTGCCAAGTTATCTAGAGATTGACAAGATTGAAGTTTGTTTTATGATGCTTAGATATTTTCATTATTGTTTGTATATTCACTTTTTGTAACTTTGGATGAGATTTAAGATGATATAAGTTTGATTAGTTTTTTAGCAACTTAACTTTAGTTATTCACTTCAGTTATTCATGGAAAGTTTCACTAAGTTTCCTGGATTTGAGGAAAGTTTGGTGAAAGTTTGTGGAGTTGATAACTTGGATTTCATTTATTTAAGAAACTGGACCATGTATGTTTTAAAGTAAATTGTGCTTGTGGATTTTAACATTGAATGTAAGTTTCACCATTTAGCCAAGGAAACTTCCATTGCAAGCACTGAGTGTATATAGATAAGCCGAAGCATGGCCTTGCCACGTTGTGGAGGGCGAATACTAATTAGGCTAGCTAGAACAATGACTTGCTTGTGTGTGTAGTATGGAAAGACCACCTGTCACACAGTAAGGGTAGCACTGGGGGAGCAGTAGTATGCCCCAGGCCATTGACTTGGCTGGAGTTGAGCCATACAGTGGAAAGTCTGTTGCTATAGCAACAAGGGTGCTGGCCAGCCTGAGTAATATGTTTATCTTTAAGATGGCAGATAAGAGTTCTGGTAGTTGTGGCCATGAGATTATTAAGTTAAGTTTCCCCTATAGGTTAGATAGTACATGTAGTTGGCCTTTAGTTTTAAAGTGATGTTTCTCCTGAAGTTTGATAGTATTGGCCATACTGATTTAAAGCGTTGTTATTTAGGAAACTGACTTAACCTTTTTCTTGTACATTGTTTGTTTATTATGATGTTTGAATAAACACTTTCACATATTTTGGCAAAGTGACCAGACGTACTTACAACAGTGTTCTCTTTTGTCTTTGCCCAATAGAAATAACGTTACCACATGACAGCTGGGTAACAAATCTGGCGATCTTGCCAGGACGTAGTAAATGCATGTGAATGCATTACTGCATGGCAGCTATCCTCGTGAACGTCCCTGGCAGCAGATAGTGCCCTGGAACGGCAGGAGGCAGTAAGGATGACCGGTTGGCGTCGGGAGTGAAAGGAGACACCTTGACCTGATTCAGTGACGCAGTTGAGGACGGAGCAGACGAGAGGATGGAGGCCCTGCTAGCATTGCAGCAAAGTGTAGTCAGCCAGATTGGCTGCCTGCAGGAGGAGCAACTACAGCAGGTGTGCACAAAGCTGGGTGTTGATGAACACACTGCCAGCAAGGAGAGTGCACGCCTGGCCCTCATCCGGAGGTTGACCCGCCACCTTAACAGCGAGACCATGGAAGACATGGAGGACAAAGGTCAAAAGGTCTTCGAAGACCTTCGTGACTTCCTGAAGACCATCACTCCAGGAACGTCAAGCGCCTCCAAAGACCCCCCAGCCACCCCAGAGTCAAGCTCGACATCCACAGCGGAACCGGTCCCCAGCCCCCCTGCCCTACCAGTGAACCAAATGGTTGGCCTACTGAAAAAGGAATTTCGAATCAGCGGCCAGGTTGGGGAGCCTGGTCAGAAGGACCGGCTCTCCCACAGTAATCTCATCATGCAGATTGAAAGCGGTTTGCGGAAATCGTACAAGGAGGTTGAGATTGTAGAGGCTGTCATCCGGTCCATCAGCCCAGGCATGCGCTTGAGGAGCTACCTGGAGAGCAAAGAGGGGCTAACCTTGCCAACCCTTCGGGAAATCCTTGAAGCACACTATAGAGAGGGGAATGCCACGGAGATATACCAAGAACTCTCGTCTGCCTCGCAGGGGAGTACGGAGTCAGCACACGACTTCTTGGTGAGGACCCTCGACCTCCGACAGAAGATCCTGAAGGCATCAAAGATGGAGTCCACCATCAAGTATGACCCTGGACTGGTGCAGAACATGTTTCTGCACTCATTGAATACTGGTCTCCAAAACGACAACATTCGAGGCGAGCTGAAGCCATTGCTCTTTGACCCCGCAACCTCAGACGAATCTCTCTTTCGACAACTTAAGATTGCAGAAGGGAGGGAGATCGTGAGACTGGCCAAACAGAAGAAGGCCAAGACAGCCGTAAAGGTCCAGGAAGTGAATGCCGTGGAAAAGCAACAGCTGGACCTGCTGAAGCAACTTCAACAAATTCAGGCAGACTTGGCTGCTCTCAAAGTCTCCAACAAGCAAGCAGCTGAGAAGCCCAAGTCCAGTGAAGGTGGCAGCAGAAACCCTCCATCCCGTGAATGGGGCTGCAGCAGCTGTCGTCAAGCTGGGAAGGGTCCAGAGTGTGACCATTGCTTCACCTGTGGCAGCTCTGAGCACTTCAGAAGGGGCTGCAAGCAACGGAGACAGACCAAGCAGTCGGGAAATGGCAGCAGGGCGAGCGGAGGGGATGCGTAACTGCCCTGACCTCACAACAATCCCCAACAATTCTTAATGATCAACCCCAACCCCATTCACCTAAACCACGACACCAAACGGATGTGCCAGAGAGCGTGGCCCTCATGGCATTGTCAACACAACTCACCCAGCAGGGCTCCAGGTTAGTCAAGCTAGTCGGCCCAAAGTGCACCATCCGGTGCAACCTAGGAGGAAGAGCAACGAAAGCCCTTTGGGACACTGGCGCCCAGGTTTCTCTTGTGTCTTCTTCATGGGTCAGCCAGAACATGCCTTATGCAGTTGTTCGACCAGTGACCGACCTGCTTGAGACTAATACCCTGATGGTGACGACTGCCAATAATGCCCAGCTCCCATACGATGGCTACATTGAAGCAGAATTTCAGCTTCCAGCTGGAAGCCACCAGCCCTTATTGGTTCCAGTGTTGGTGACGAGTGACCCCCTCAGTAACCCTATCATTGGATCCAATGTCCTGGAGGAGTTAGTACGAGACCCTGAGTATTCAGCCAAATCACTGTTGGCAGCCATGGAGGACACCTTTCCTGCCACTGGGAAGCAGAATGTGCAAGCTTTAGTGAACCTACTGCAACAGCCAGAATCATCAAAGCTCTGCACGGTGAAGACGGGCAGGAGAGATGTCACTGTGAAGAAAGGTTCGTGTGCCAGTATTCTATGCCGCGTTCACACCGGAGCACCTGAATCTACGACGGTGATGTTCGAAGCTGATGTAGAACAACAGTGGTCAGATGGCTTGGAGATAGGTGATGCGGTTGTGACAATCCCTAAAGGCAGCTCTTGTCGCATCAACATCCTTGTCTCTAACCCTACTGGCCATGATGTCACCATTAGGAGGAGGACCTGCCTTGGCACTCTACAGGCAATCAAATCGATACTCCCCGCAGAAGTCAAGGGTGCTCTACAACCTACAACCTCAGCAAAGATGGAAGCAGGCACCGCCGCAAGCGTGTCCAACCTCAACAGTGACAGTACCTGGGATCCTCCCATCAACCTTGAGCATCTTTCCGAAGAGCAACGGGTCATAGCAGCAAAGATGCTCCGGGAAGAATCTAGAGCATTTGCCCAGAACGAGCAAGACATGGGAAGCATCGAGAAACTTCAAATGAGTATCACACTCAACGATAATATCCCAGTGCAACGGACCTATCAATCGATACCTCGACCCTTGTACCGTGAAGTTAAAGACTACATCACAGATCTCCTAAACAGAGGATGGATCCAGAAGTCTTCTTCAAGCTATTCTTCTCCAGTCGTCTGCGTGAGAAAGAAAGATGGATCCCTGAGACTGTGTGTGGACTACAGACAGCTCAATCTGAAGACCATCACTGACAGACAGCCCATCCCACGCATACAAGATATGTTAGATAGCTTAGGAGGCAACCGCTGGTTTTCCACCCTAGATCAAGGCAAGGCATATCACCAGGGTTTCATGACAGAGGAAAGCCGTCATCTAACGGCCTTCGTGACTCCCTGGGGTCTTCATGAATGGCTTCGTATACCATTTGGGCTCAAGAATGCACCAGCCGTGTATCAGCGATACATGGAGTCCTGCCTTGATGAGATGAACAACGAGATCTGCATGGTTTACCTCGACGACGTTCTGATTTATAGTACAAGTTTTGAAGACCACGTCGAGAGGGTGAGAAAAGTTCTCCGTCGCATGCAGGAGCATGGTATGAAGTTAAGACCAGCCAAGTGTTCCCTCTTCCAACCACAAGTAAAGTACCTGGGACGTATAGTTTCAGCGGATGGCCACAGCATGGATCCAAAGGAGACGTCGGCACTTGAGGCCCTGAGGCAAAAACGACCAACAACCATCACTGAGGTCCAACAAATCCTTGGTCTTCTTGGCTACTACCGACGCTATGTGCCTAACTTCTCCAAACGTGCTAAAGTGTTGTACGATCTGCTGAAACAAGGCCAACCTGAGACTCAATGTGCTCCCAAAAACCACCATCAACGCAAGAACCTGAAGGGCAAACAGAGCAGGTCCCACAGACGAAAGAATGAACCGATAAGATGGGAGACAATCCATCAGGATGCCCTGGAGTCTATCCTCGACTGTTTGCAGCGACCCCCGGTAATGGCTTATCCCAACTTCTCTCTCCCCTTTGTCCTACACACCGATGCATCCCAAGATGGACTCGGTGCGGTCCTGTATCAGAAGCAAGACGGGAAACTACGAGTCATCGGGTATGGTTCCCGGACGCTAACAGCAGCCGAGAAAAACTACCACATGCATGCCGGGAAGCTCGAGTTTCTTGCTCTCAAATGGGCGGTGACGGAACATTTCCGTGACTACCTGTACTACGCCCAACACACCACCGTATACACAGATAATAACCCCTTAACCTATGTCCTCACCACAGCCAAACTGAATGCTACAGGGCATCGGTGGGTTGCCGAGTTAGCTGACTTCAACTTGGAGATCAAGTACCGACCGGGTAGAGCCAATGGCGATGCAGACACCTTGTCCCGTATCCCACAGAGTGTCGAGCACCTGGAAAGTGTCCACACCGAGGCGGTATCCCCAGATGTAATGAAGGCAACCGGTCAAGGGATTACGGCTCAGTGTAATGGCCAGACAGCTTGGGCACATGCACTCTCCGTCCAAGACTCCACCACAGGAACAGTACAGACACCCATTCAGCAGTTCAGTAAGCAGGAAATCAAGTTGGCCCAAGAGGATGACCCTGGCATCAAAAGGGTACTACACTACAGGACCTTGGGAAGGTTGCCAACACGCAAAGAACGGAAAGGTGAGGCACCGACAGTCATATCACTTCTACACGAGTGGGGAAAGCTCCAGGTAGACGGTGACGGAATCCTCTGGCGGAAGACTGGTGTGCGCACACAACTCGTCCTACCTCAGAAGTTCAAGCAACTGGTCTACACCGAGCTGCATGATCATGCCGGGCACCTTGGGCCAGAAAGAGTAATCCATCTTGCTCGGGAGCGGTTTTACTGGCCTCGTATGGCAGCTGAAATCGAGCACTACATCACAAAAGTGTGCCGATGCATTATCCAGAAGAAGCCAGCCAAACAAACCAGAGCGCCCCTTGTCAACATCACCACAACGCAACCTTTTGAGCTTGTCTCCATCGATTATGTCCACCTGGAGCGGAGCAAGGGCGGGTTTGAGTACATCCTGGTGGTGGTGGATCATTTCACCAGATTCGCCCAAGCGTACCCAACTAAGAACAAAAGCGGGAAGACAGCAGCGGACATAATCTTCAATGATTTCATCCTGAAGTTCGGGTTTCCTAAGAGGCTTCACCACGACCAAGGGCGTGAGTTCGAGAACCATCTCTTTGCCAGGCTGCAAGAATACTCTGGCATAACGAATTCCCGCACGACACCATACCACCCCCAAGGAAACGGTCAAGTTGAACGCTTCAACAGGACTTTACTTGGGATGTTGAGGACCCTCCCTGAGACACAGAAGAGTGACTGGAAGTCTGCCGTTAACAAGATGGTGCACGCTTACAACTGCACAAAACATGAGACCACCGAGTACTCGCCGTTTTACCTCTTGTACGGTAGACATCCTCGCCTTCCAATCGACCTGGCTTTTGGGTTTGAAAGACGAGAGGGACATGGCGTCACCAGCCGAGAATATTCGCAACGCTGGCAGAACGAGATGCGAGAAGCCTACAAGGTAGCAGCCCAAAATTCACACCAGACAGGACAGCGCAGCAAGGCTTACTATGACCGGAGAGCACGGAGTACCATCCTAGCCCCAGGTGACCGAGTTCTTGTTAGGAATTTGGCAAGAGCTGAGGGCCCGTCCAAGCTCCGAGCGTACTGGGAAGACAGGATCTACCGAGTTGTCACCCAGAAGGGTGAAGACATCCCAGTCTATGAGGTCCAACCCGAGAGTGGTCAGGGCAGGAGCAGGGTACTGCACCGGAACTTACTGTTGCCATGCGACTTCATCAGTGGGGACAACAGTCAAGTTGGTACTCATACCTCACCCCAGCAATCTCAGCCTAGACAGCCCAAAGCTGCTCCCAGACAACTCAACAACACTCCACCTGATGAGAGCCAAGCCGTACATCCGCCACCTGCAGAGAGTGAGGATGAGGACGATGATCTACCAGTCATCGTAATCCACCCTTCTAAAGTCAGCTATGCAGAAGGAGCGACAACAGAGTACCCTCAAGCCGTCTCAACAGTCCCCCCAGCGGATGCAGCACTTTCGGAACACGGTGACTTGCAGTTTCCAGCCACTGATGCAGATGAGGGTACAGATATGCTTCAGCCCCAGGAAGGAGTAGAAACAACTACACCAACTGTGCCATCTGCCCAACCTACTACAACGTCAGCCATGACAGAGGTAGGACCATCTCCAATGCTGGATAGTATGGAACATCACGTGAGTGGCATAACCCAAGATGCAGGTGATGAGGAGATTCATCGACCCCTTCGCGACAGACACCCTCCAACGGTGTTAACTTATGACAGGCTTGGGACACCATCTTTTCAACCAACCATGCTGAACTCAGTGGCAGTCCCTACTATGGTACCAATGTCTCATCAGTACCCCCAGCAGCCAGTTGCACAAGTCCCGTCACAACAGCAGTTCTTTCATCCATTCTATCCTGGACAACCCTTTTGGCAGCATCCAGTGCAAGAGCCTTACCAGCCATGGAATCCTTCACCTTACTGGATGGAGCCTGGGCAAGTGAGACCATAAGCTGTAATATAGCGACCATCAATGCGGAGACATGGTGTGGCAAGACAGATGACGAGAGATAGTAATCGTGTTGCACAATGAGCGGAAGGAGAGTCAGCAAGGACCAGGAGTACTCTCTTCAGAAGATGAGCGTGCACATGAATACCAAGTTTGCACTACAACCCAACAATGTTGAGAAACCTGTCCATTTACCTGATTGGTCTGTGAGACCTAGGACGAGATATCCATGGAGACTGGATCCCCTCCACTGGATCTCATCCCGGCACCAGAGGAGCTACTGGGAAAACTCATCTGGACGGCAGGACGTTCCTGCGCGAATGGACTGTAATTCCCATGTAGTGCGATGTCCACCATGATACTGTTTGGAAACGGGATTCTCCAAAGAACTGTATATAGATCAATGTTTGACCGATAAAATGTCGTGACGACATTTCTTTTTGGAGGGGAGTGTTGTAGAACCCCTCTGTAGTAAAACCCCTCCAGAGTGAAGTTTTGTAGAAAGTAACACCCCCATAAAAAATTGGAATTGGCCAAAGACAACACAGAGTGCATGTGAGTGTGCCTTGTCACTTTCACATATTTTGGCAAAGTGACCAGACGTACTTACAACAGTGCTCTCTTTTGTCTTTGCCCAATAGGTATGTACAAATGTTTCTTTCTTTTTATTCACATCTAGGTTCCATTATTTCTGTTGTTCACATTTTCATTTACTTGGAGTATACAATCAATTACTTGAGTTGATCAGTTGGTTGAAGGTAAATTGTTCTTTGAATTTGTCAAGTTTACTCTTTTGCCAAGTTATCTAGAGATTGACAAGATTGAAGTTTGTTTTATGATGCTTAGATATTTTCATTATTGTTTGTATATTCACTTTTTGTAACTTTGGATGAGATTTAAGATGATATAAGTTTGATTAGTTTTTTAGCAACTTAACTTTAGTTATTCACTTCAGTTATTCATGGAAAGTTTCACTAAGTTTCCTGGATTTGAGGAAAGTTTGGTGAAAGTTTGTGGAGTTGATAACTTGGATTTCATTTATTTAAGAAACTGGACCATGTATGTTTTAAAGTAAATTGTGCTTGTGGATTTTAACATTGAATGTAAGTTTCACCATTTAGCCAAGGAAACTTCCATTGCAAGCACTGAGTGTATATAGATAAGCCGAAGCATGGCCTTGCCACGTTGTGGAGGGCGAATACTAATTAGGCTAGCTAGAACAATGACTTGCTTGTGTGTGTAGTATGGAAAGACCACCTGTCACACAGTAAGGGTAGCACTGGGGGAGCAGTAGTATGCCCCAGGCCATTGACTTGGCTGGAGTTGAGCCATACAGTGGAAAGTCTGTTGCTATAGCAACAAGGGTGCTGGCCAGCCTGAGTAATATGTTTATCTTTAAGATGGCAGATAAGAGTTCTGGTAGTTGTGGCCATGAGATTATTAAGTTAAGTTTCCCCTATAGGTTAGATAGTACATGTAGTTGGCCTTTAGTTTTAAAGTGATGTTTCTCCTGAAGTTTGATAGTATTGGCCATACTGATTTAAAGCGTTGTTATTTAGGAAACTGACTTAACCTTTTTCTTGTACATTGTTTGTTTATTATGATGTTTGAATAAACACTTTCACATATTTTGGCAAAGTGACCAGACGTACTTACAACAGTGTTCTCTTTTGTCTTTGCCCAATAGAAATAACGTTACCACATGACAGCTGGGTAACAATACAATAAGATGCATACACATTGTAGCAATAAGATGCATACACATTGTAGCAAAATTACAATATCGTGTAGTCTACGCTACCGGAGGTACTAGTTCTAAAATCGAAGGTGCCAATATGTGGCAGGTGGACTGATGCAAACTCAGCTCCTTGGATGTACTGAGCCTCAGAGTAGACCGGATGTCCAGATGCCAGATGAGAAAGATGACCAGGAACTGACGATTCGGGTGGCAGTCTAGGATCGGTCAGTTGGGGTGACACTCTGTAGTCTATGGGTTGACCGGCCATTCTGCATTCTACTGGCTGACCGGTCAGTCTATTGTCCATTTGAGTTAACACCCTGTTGTCAACGTGTTGGTTGGGTTGTGGCCCAGCATCTAGCTGCGCTGTTGTCATCTGCATCTGGGTATCCTGCTCAATGCTGACACCATCCACCGCTGCAGGCCAGGAGGTTTTGGGATTGTTGACCCGAAAGCCGTTTTTCTTGACGTTTGTTTGAGGCTGCGAGTAGGGCACACTGTCAAACACTGGTTGGGGTTCTGCAGCAGCAGTGGTGGTGGTTGTAGTCGTGGTTGAGCCAGCAGTGTCGGAGGGCTCCTTGTTATGCTTGCGCTCTTGATGCCGCTTCATGCTGGAGCTGTGCTTGAAGTCCTTCCCGCACAGATTGCAACGGTAGCAGCGCTCGTCGCTGTGACTGCGCTGGTGTCGGCTCAGCTGGTTTTTGCGGATGAATGCCTTCTGGCATTTGTCACACTTAAACGGTTTCAGTTCACCGTGGGTCAGGATGTGAACTTTCAGATGGCAGCTTTGCTTGAAGGCCTTGCTGCACAAGTGGCAGCCGTACGGCCTCTTACTGCTGTGAGTCGCCTTGTGCGAAACCAGGCTACCTCGGTACTTAAACGACTTGCCACAGAAACACACAAATGGCCTGTCATCTGCGTGCATGACCTTGTGCCTCTTAAGGTAAAACTCCTGACTGAAGCTTTTCCCGCAAATGCCGCATTTGTACGGCTTCTCGGTGTTGTGGATGGCTTCGTGGACTTTGACATGTGACAACTGAGCAAAGTTCTTCCCACAGTAGTTGCAGAGGTACGGTCGCTCTTTTGTGTGGCTGTTGCGGTGCACGTACAGGTTACTCCGGCAGCGGAAGGCCTTGCCACAATACTCGCAGAGAAATGGCTGCTCTCTCGTGTGCACCCTCATGTGGACCTTCCAGCTGTGGGTCAGCATAAACTGCTTGTTGCAAACCACACATGTGATTGGCTTCTTGGCTTCCCCGCGACCTCGACTGTTCTCAGAGTGAGCGTCTCCCTCCATTTGTTCCCCTGGAGGTGGTCTCTCGCTACAGGAAGTCCGCTGGTGGTACTTGCGATTGGAATTATGGTTAAATCCCTTACCGCAGTACCAGCATTTGTAAGGTTTCTCCTTTGTGTGTGACATGATGTGGCTTTTCAGATGGGCGCTGGTCAGGAAGCTCTTTGGACACACCTTACAGACAAACTTCCGTTCGTTGCTGTACTTCCTGAAATGATACAATGCCTGACCAGATTGCTTGAAGACCACATGGCAGTCACGGCATTTGTACGTTCCCTCTTCTTCATTGTAGTCTGATCGATGCTCCTTCCGTTGCCCAATTTGGTCAATGTCTACGTCCCCGTCTGTTTCTGCCTCTTGTTGTTGGTTCCTTCTCTCGTGCATTTTCTGGTGTTTCTCATAGTACATCTTCAGCTTAAACTCCTTGCCGCACTCCTCACACTTGTAGAGCTTCATTGTGGATAGTGCCAGTTTGCTTTCTGGATCCACGCCGAGGCATCCGTTCCTCTGGTGGGTCTTTAGGTTGCACTTATAGTTGAAGCCCTTCCCGCATCCCTCACAGGAAAGTGGCTTCTCTGAGATGTGGACCAGTTCGTGAGCCTTTAGGTGAGGGCTTGTCAGGAAGGCCTTCTTGCAAACCTTGCAGACAAACTGCCTCGCATTGCTGACCTTCTTCTGGTGGTAAAGGGTCTGCCCCTTCTGTTTGAAAGTCTTCCCACAGTCTTGACACTGGTACAGTCTGATGTCCTTATTATAAATACACTGATGTTGCACCTGTCCCTGTTCAATCCCATTTGGGCTGTCAATTTCATTGTCAATTTCTTCCCGCTCCTCATCAAGCGACGATTCCCCACCTTCCACTGTACTTGCTTTTGCTTGGTTATTGTATCTCCTGGAGCTCTTCCTAATATTGTCCTCAACGCCTGTGATTTGAGGGCACTTCTTCTGATGGCATGTTAGATTGCTCTTGTAGTTAAACTCCCTCCCACAGCCGTCACACTTTAATGTCCTTGTGGTAGAATGAGTCAACATGTGGGCCTTCAAGTGAGCACTAGTGAGGTAGCTGTTAGAGCATTTAGTGCACGGATAAGCCCTAGAGTTGGTTTCCTTTTTCTGGTGGTAAATTGTCTGTCCCTTCTGCCTGAATGTCTTTCCGCAGTCCTGGCATCTATAGAGGCCTTCTTTTCTGACAAAGACGGATTCGTGTCGCAGGTCTGATTTTCTTTGGTCTTCCCTGACATGATTACTGACGGCATCTGGCTGTGTTGATTTAGACTTCCCCCTGCGACTTTGACGATGCTGAGTGTGTGTCTTCTCATGATTGGTTAAGAATCCCTTTTTCTTGAACTGTTTATCACAGTGCCTGCACTTGAAGCTAGGGGTGTTTCTGTGGACTGCGGTGTGTTCCCTGAGCTCAGCCTTGGAGCTGAAAGTCTCGAAACAGATCTCACAGTCAAACTCCCTCTCAGTCTCGCGATGAGTTCTCTCGTGATCCAGAGCATCCTGTTTCTTAGCGAAGCCTCTTCCACAATCCTTACAAGTAAATAAGGCCTTCCTAGTACGGAAGCACCGGTGATTTTTTAGGGCATCTGGTGAGTTGTAATCTCTCCCGCAGTCTTTGCAATAGTTCTCCCTCTGCATGACATGCTGTTGTTGGTGCTCTCTCAGCAGGTCTTCGTTGCAGAAGCTCTCAAAGCACTCTTCACACTTGTAAGTCCGTTCCGGTTTCCCTTTACCTCTCCCGCGATGCACCTTCCGTTCGTGCTGTTGAAGCTGCAACACAGTGGCAAAGCACTCGCTGCAATGCTCACACGAGTACTCGATCCGAATTTTTTTCAAGTGGCTGTACCGATGCTTCTGCAAGATGCTCTGGCGCCGGAAGGCCTTCCCGCAGTGCTTACAGGTGAACATCTGCCCCGCTTTGTGCAGCTTTTCATGTTGCTGGAAGCTCTGGAGGTTCCTGAAGATCCGCCCGCAGTGAGGACAGGTGTAGCGCCGGCTGTCTGAGTGCGTGGCAAAGTGACTGCTCAGCAAACTCTCACTACTGAAGCCTTTGCAGCAGATGCCGCACACAAACTGACTCTCCGCCTTGTGGGTGAGTTGGTGTGCCTTCAGAGAGATGCCGTTTGCAAATGTAAGGTCACATTCCAGACACTTTAAGGAAGGCTCATCTTGACAGGTACTTCTCTGGGATGAAGGGCTCTCCACCAGCATTTCAGTTACCTCATTACCTGGCTGACCTTCAACGGACCTGCAAACCTCTGCATCTCCAGATGATTGAATTGGAGGGATTTCAGAGAGGTCAGCATTATCCAGAGAACACTGTCCAACAACAGACTGTAGCTGGCAGGACTCAGATTGGTCTGAAAAGACACAAGCAACAAATAGATGAGAAGGGGTGACTTGATATTTACCTCAAGGTCTTGTGAGGTTTTACAGGGTTTAACCTCGGGGATCCACCTCAAATTACCCTTTGTTCAAATTTTGCACTTTTTCCTAAAAATCCTCTTACAGCTGCTTGAGGGGAACTCCCTTTTCACATGCATAACATCCTGTAAGTTTATTGGGGTTGTGCCACAGGGCAATATAAAGTAACAATAACTAGTAAGCTGGCTAATCATAAGCGATTAACCTGTTTGGCACACATGCACAAACACAAAGACAGTTTGAAATTTGGTATGGTTTATCTATAACTATTAGTATTCCAAACTGATGGTGAATGAAGCCAATGTGAATGAAACTGAAATACACAATCAATAAATGGGCCTTTCATTTTGCCCTGCACATAAAAATCACAGGTCTGTGTACACCCTGGCAATGTTTTGTATGTATGAGGTTTTTGTGCACAAGTCTGTAGCTTCACAAGAACACTATGCACATGAAGGCAATGGCATTCAAATCGTCACCGTTTTGACGAAGTGACAAATCCGTCCACAACCGAGATTGTAAGCAATCAGAGATTTTCGAACATTCTAACATTTTATGATGTCCTTTACATGATGTCCTCAACATGATTAACACAGTTTGAGAAACAAAATTCCTTCGTTTATTAATTATGCTAATTACACAAAGAAATGAAAGTGCAACGCACTAGTTTTTTTGTTTTGACGAAGTGATTCAGCGGCCTCCATGTAATTACTTTCTGTAGCCACATAATAGAACACTCCCCCCCCCCCTGCCCTTAGATCAATCACAGCCTGGATTAATGTCCAACATACATGCACCAAAGTCCAGCATGCGTGCTTGTGCAAAACATATGTGACTAGGAACATGTAGTGTGGCATTGGAGAAGCGCTCATGTTGTTGCCCATGATACACTGTCCATGGATCAGTTTATTGCTGTAGCCACACAATGTATACGCTCCCTATCAGACCATTGAACACAAACATTCTAGATTGGACCTCATTTTATAAATCAGAACAAAGACTCACCAGTGTTATTGACAACAGGAACTACGTCCACCCCAGTCTGCTTACTCTCAAGACCTAATGAGGACAGATTCTCCACAGGGGAACTGCCGATAGCATCTTGGATGTCATCTCTGAGGAGTGACATTGTTGGATCCATGGCAATATCTGAACGGCGGACCAAAATAACATTTGTAATAATTAAGGAAGTAACTTTCACGTGGCTAACCTTTAAAATTGAAAAAAAATACCATTGTTCACTATTTTGGGCATGGTAAAAGTTTCATGAAGCATGAAGTCAGTGGAAAGAGGGATTGGCAGTCTAACCCTCCCCCCCCCCCAAAAAAAAATGCCCCCCCCCCCCCCCCCCCCCCCGGCAGCTCACATCTACTCTCCCTTTGAACCAAAGGTGGATCTGCCCCGTGAAAGCCCTTGTGAAGTAATAGTGGCTACTATCTATCTTCAAAAATCCTGCAAAAATCTGGGTGAGCGTTGCCTAGTGGTTAGGATTCGAGACTCATGCTCAGAGGGTCAGGGTTCGAATCCAGCTGCTGACCACATGTTGCGTCCTTGGGCAAGCCACTTCACCCTCACTTGCCTCTCTCCACCCAGGAGTATAAATGGGTACCAGCACTAGCTGGGGAGTAACCTGCGATGGACTGGCATCCCATCCAGGGGGTGTAGAAATATTCTAAGTCATTTTGTGCGACTGAAACCGGAGATAAATGTCAGCCTGTTGGGCCATATTGGCTCATGACAGACTTTACTTTTTACAATCCTAACCTCCACAAAGTGAACAGAATATATTTTGGATTATGTTGATGTTAGGACGAAGTATAATGCTGCTTTGTACATTAGGATGTAGTAGCAAAATGCCATAAAACACCACAAATACTGGACACTAATGAGCTAGACTACTGCATACTTCAAATTACTACTAGGAGTATTTTTATCTATATAGCTTTAGGGAGGTTTAAGGTTTCATATCTATGCAATTGCAACTCTACTGATTTGCATTCATGAAGTTTCTCAGTTGCCAGACTATGGGCTCCATGCACAAGTACCCCCTCAACGGTAAGAACAGGAGAGTTGGGGAGACCACTAGGAGAGACATTCCAATGCATTGCCAACGACGCCTGACACTAATGCGAAGACTTTATGCTTTGTGCACAATCAGAATGAAATAAGTCGTGCATACTTTGCGCTATATGCATGCGAATCAGTATGGACATGCGTTGCGTCCCATCAACTGGGCTCTCGAAAGTGAAGGGCCCTCTCTTGTCCGCGTATGGAGCCCATAGATAGCACAATACCAACCCAAAGCATGATAAGTACATCAACATAAGTACACTGCACCTGATGAGTTCTGGACGAGTGAAGATCCAACGTTGTCATGTGTAGTCTCTGGCACTGATCCAAATGCTGCACTACTGTCAGCGGCAGACAATGATAATAGACCATCGTCGGACAGACACTCACTATCGATGTCTCTATTTAGCAATTGATCTGCAAAAGAGTTTCATTAGAATATTAAATAAGATTTGCTGTGTCAATAAATGGGTTTTGAGTGAGTTTGAATGAGTTTATCCACAAGTAATGTTTTGTATACACTGGTATTTCACAGTTGTGTTAAAAAAATATGACAAATGAATTTGCATGGTGCAAGGTGTACATCTTGGTCATTCTATACATTTAGGGTCCTGTCCCTGTTACATTACCTTGGCACTTTGTTATTTGCCAAAAAGTACATGACACAAATGATTTCACCACAAATATTGCATACATGGCAATCCGGAGGTCACAGGTTCAAATCCCACTACAGTCAATTTCTTTGTTCAACTTTACAATTATTACAAGCATAGAATGATATCCAAACCTGGAACACTTGATTTAGTGTTGGCTTCCACCAATTCATCGACAATCTCCTCATTGATGGCAACTGTGTTGAAACCCCCCTCCAGATCCGGTGGACTCGCCCCAGATGACCCGTCCATCACAGACATTGCTCACTTCCAATCAAATTAACATCTGTAAATAAACAAGATAGAGTAAGCTTAATGAAGCTGGTCCCAGAGTACACATAAATCTATCCAATAAACACTTTCAAGGTAATATGCGCCATCTTGTTCATGGGGCAAAAAGAACATGTGTTGCTAGACACGGGCGTATTTTGGAACGAACGCATGATAACTTGGAAGCGCAAAAGGTTTTGATTGACGATGCGTACACAGCAACGCATGTAAGTTTGCCCTGTAAGCAAGATGGCACGTTACCATGGAAACTGCGTATTGATTTGGAATGGATAAAAAGTTCATAGAATAAGTGGTAGTGTTATAAAAAAAAATGTATGCACTGTCATAATTACAAAATATTTTGTCAGTTTGAGCATTTACGTTTTTGTCGACATATTCTGCCTTAGAATAGCACTAACCAAAGCAAGCAAGAGTCATCTTTTTAAGGTATTTTTTTTATAAACTTGAACCTTTTCTTGTGATTAGAATGAACCTTTCCTACAGTGGCTCTTTTAAAGTCCCAGGCAATTCTGAGAACAAATATTCAGATATTGTGCAAATGGTTAAACTCCCAAAGTAGCAGAACCTGCCAATTTTTTTTACCTCAATTTCTGATCTTGCAAAGAAATTGATCAACTGATCAATGATCAACCAATGGCATAAATCTATGCACTGCAACTTTTATAAAAACATGAGAAGAAAATATAAAATTAGAAGGTAAAAAAGTGAATTTGAACATTATGAAATTCGGACTTTATTTCCCTTATAAAAAAAATCCTCCAAAGCCTCAGGTTAGAAAAGGAAAAAAATTCAAGTGCAAAACTGAGATGCGAACCCGCAACCTCGCGGTGTAAAATCCTAGCCTCTATCGACTGAGCTGTCGCACTGCTCGCTAAAACGTGGGGAAACAAATAATTATATACCTGCGTGCGTATCAAAAATGTATCGTAGAGGGCGCTAAACAACGGCTGCCGTAACGATAGCCACTTCGATAATTGAAAGCTCATTGAAGGCGCATGGACACGCATGGACCCGGGCGCACGACGCTCGCGTGTTAATTTATGATAGTGGATATTTTGCCGGAGGTAATGACGGCAAACTAACGATTACTAAAGGTTTGCCGGCGGCAATCCATATCAACAGAGGGCGCTGTACTCTTTAAAATAGGGCTGAATTATAAGATGTATTAAATTCCCACCAAAAGTTGTGTAGCACGTTTGGTGTAATGGTTAAGCAAAGGCTCTAGTAAGCGGGATGACTCGCGTTCGATTCCGACCGCACCACATTTTTAAGTTTTTTTTTCTCATCCCCAAATAAATAAGAATATTCTTCTTTTATTATTTTAACATGTCTCAAACATTTTTTGCAGAGTATTACATTTTCTTTTTCAGATTTGTGGCTCTGGAGGATTTTTTTTAAAAGGGAAATAAAGTCCGAAATTATAAAATGGTCTGAATCCCATCTTGTGAATACGAGGTAACAACGATAATTTTGGCATGGAGCCAGACTAAAACTTGTCACCGGAAAATGTTGAAGTACAAAAAAACAGTAACTGCGCATGTTCAGTGCATATCCGGCAAACTAACGTTTACTAAAGGTTTGCCGTCTCCGGCAAAATATACATTGCCTTAAATTATAGGGCCTAAATACAAAAATACAAGCAGAATGGGCGTCTGCGTAACATCGCGTATCATCACGTCAGCGATTTTATTCCAAATGATTGTAGACATGGACTACGTCATCGAGATACTGAAGTGGCTTATTTGACAGGTCTGGCATGTCTAGCGTGTCTAGAGTTTGATGGCGAAGTGACTGACATTTGTTTGTGTGTGGCCATTATCACGATAATGGAGGCCCGGGCAGCCAGACACGCTGAGCATGCTGAGCATGATTATTTACAAGATAAACCAAAAAAATAAACCAAAAACAACAGCTTTTCTAACTAGAATCGTACACTACATAATGCATGTTAAATTCATTTGATATTTGTACATAAAAAGCTGTAAATTCGTCTTTTTCCTTACCCCTTTCCATCCTTTTCCGCAGTGCGAGCAATCTGCACATAACACAATGGCGCCCATCATAGACTAGCAAACAGTCGATTGTGCTTAAAAGTACGCGAGCATTTGACTCCGCTAAAACTAGACGCTGCCCTCAAGTGAAAGTTCGGCAACAGTCGGTCAATTTTAGGAATATTGTTTCGCGCTCCTTGTGCTGCACATGGAGGAAGGAACAAAATGTAATAATATCCTGTTTACGTCGTATACAAAGTCTATTGGAAGTCATAACAATTTTAAGAAGTTTTTTCTTTTCTTTTGTTTTAGGAATATCCTGCTGAAATTGTTCATACAACACCCCCCCCCCCAAAAAAATAAAGATAGAACATCAGAGGGACTATTAATCCATCACAAGAACCAACTATCCAAATGCTGCTAAGAAGGGATTTAAAAAGGGGAAACGGTGTATTTCCAATTATTTTTTTCCTGGTCCCAGAGTGCCAATCTAATAAATAGTGTCCTAATAATATGTCGCTGAGCTGACTCAACATGTTTGGTTGTTGCCAGATGAAGAGAACCGGGCAGTGCTACTGTATATGATAACCCTGGGCTAATCTGGCACACTGTGTACACCAGATGCAAAACAAATCTAGTGAATGTAGCCATTCTGAATCTGTTGTACAGAATTGTGTACATGTACACTCTAGTACTCGCTTTACTTGTCTTGCCATTTAATTTTGAGATACTTCGCAAAGCAACATACATGTAGTGTACAGTCGACTCTCGTTGATAAAAACTCGTTCAGAGAAATAGGCAAATTGTTATTCAAAATACATGTATCAGAATTTTGTATCAAGAGGAACTTCAGTCCCATTCATTGTGCGCATAAATGCAGTCGGGACCAAGAATTTGTTTGCTACAACCAGAATTTGTATTAACAGTGTTTGTACTAACGAGCCGACTTTAATTGTGCATAGAATTGTGCATTAAGCCAGAGAACTCAACCCATGAAACCCCCAGGGCATGTTTTGTTGGAAGCTGTCAGGATGGGTACAGTACCCCTACAGTACACCGACAGTCTCAGTTTACATTGGGTTGGAATACCTCCAGAATCAGAGTCAGAAATATGCGAGTGCAGTTTGGTATTGGAAATGCCAGGATGAGTATGGTTCCTATAGTCGATCATGCTGGGAGTTATGGGGTTTTAATTAATGTAAAATGGCAAATTTGTACCTTCATTGTATTCTAGTATAAACAAAGAACACCCTAGAGATACCCGTTATGCAACGCACTTTACTAAGCTGCTTATTCTTTTTTTTAACAAGACAATAATATCAATTGTACACAACTACAAATAGTATTATATTCCAAAATTTTATTATAGTGTTTCATGCTGCAACACTTAACGATTAATGCACAAACGAAAAAAGGCCGGAAACGAAGCTTACAAAAATGAATGTGAATCAACAGTTACTCTTAATTATTAATACAAAACAAAATTGTATAATCCTCAGAAGTTGAAAGTTTTTCAACGTTTGTCACTGAATTTTACCACAAATAGTAAACATTATGGCAGAATAAACACACAACTTTGAAGGCTGTACAAATGTGGGTTTGGTTTAAAGTGCTTTGTTCATGTAAGTAGAGGAAGATTTTCATTGACCAAGGTTGAATCTTTTTATGTTTCGTAACTAGTTTTCAAAATAATGTCTTCTAAATAACCAGTTTCTGAATGTTTTAGGCATTTTTTTTTTCTGGATAAGTTTTCAGGTCGAGGCTTATAAAATATTGCTCCAATCACTATCATGCAAATTGAAACAAAGTCAACAGTTTGGTGAAATATGTGTCGTAAGTGCAGTGATATGCAAATGAGATGTCAAAACTGCAGGCGCGTTTACAAAAATATCATTATGAAGCATTTGTCCACCACCTACATAACTTGTTGAAATTTGCTACAGTATAGACTTTCAATATGCAGCCAATAACATGCATAAAATGTAACAGTTCACATCTGTTGTATCAATTTATACAAGTGTAGTACTCTATTTGTATGCAAATGCTGAATGATTTTTTTTTGATCGGTTATATTGGCAGATCCTGAACATTTAAAAATCATTTAATTACATGAAAGAGCATATCGCGATTAAGTATACACTATACACAACCACTCACCAATGACCATGTACATGTACAAAGAATGACTTTCTTATTTTATGTGCGGAATTAAAGGAGCCTTTGAGTTTTTCCTCACATTTGTCTGTATCAATGAAATGCAAATCTGTCGAATTGGACAGACAACTTTTCCAGGTTTACTTGTCTCAAAGAAGATTTTACTTGAAAACGACAACCGGTATTTACTCTCTTACAAGTACAAGTCACACACGTATACATCCCACCATGCTCCTACTACACTCAGCTGAAACAAATGTATTCCGACTGCAATAGGGAATGATTTTAAGTCTGGGTACAGCCACTTACTAAACACCTATATGCTAACAACTTCTATACACATTTCAATTTGTTAAGATGTCAATTTGTTAAGATGTAGAGGATCCAGTCCACTGAAGTCTTCAAAAAAGCTCAGAGATTTTCCCACGAGGAATCACATGACCTGTGTCTCTAATTTTCAGACGAGTCTTGTAGCCAGTCGCATTTGTCCATGGCCTAAACACTGTTCGTTTGTTGGTCCTCATCTTTAGTCCACTTCCTCCATGCGAGACGCGTCATCGTCTGCTCCTTCAAGAGGTGGCATCTGCTCGGGCATTTCTTCGACTACTGCGGCATCATCTTCATCGATACCTGTCAACAGAAATACACATTTTTGTTATTATTGTTAACAATTCCTTGACTCATCACGAAATGGAGGATATCTACAGATAATATACTATATTCTCTCTCAAAAAAAAACACCTGATATGCGCATACAGACTATTAAAATAAGACTAAATATTGGTTGTGCTACATCATTTTTGTCCAAACATTTATGACAAAATTCACGCTCCGATGCAATGTTTCAGATGTTGTTTCATGAACAAATTAGCCGAGTTTTGTTTAAATTTTACAGGCAAGTGAAAACTCTGAATGAATCAGCCATCATGAACCAATATCAATCCTACATAATTCCAATTAGTCCTAGTTGGTCTGTGATACATTAGTAAAAGAAATGGAATGGAGTGGGGTTTGAACCTGCAACCTCCGGATTGCCGTTCCGGCACACTACCAACTGAGCTATCCAGCCCAATGCTTAAAAACACTGTTTGATATTTGGTTTGAGCCCTTTACATACTTCCATTAGTTCAGTTCACTGAGTGCTTGGCGAGCGCTTATCAGAAAAATTTCAGAGCCAGAAACCAATTTGAATTAAATCGCCTCAACGCAAAAATTCCATCACACAACCTAGTATCAACCAGTGATCCTTACCTAGACCCAGCTTGATCATTCTGTGGATGCGGCCGGCGTGCGTCTGTGGGTCCTCCAAGGAGAAACCCGACGACAGCAAGGAGGTCTCAAACAGCAGCATGACCAGGTCCTTGACCGACTTGTCGTTCTTGTCTGCGTCCGCCTTCTGGCGCAGCGTCTCCATGATAGAGTGGGTGGGGTTGATCTCCAGGTGCTTCTTGGCTGCCATGTAGCCCATGGTGCTGGTGTCGCGCAGGGCCTGGGCCTTCATGATGCGCTCCATGTTGGCCGTCCAGCCGTACTGGCTGGTCACGATGCAGCAGGGTGACACCACTAACCTGTTGGACACAACCACCTGAAAAACAAAAACAAACACAAATCACAAATACTAATCCCCATTTTATTTTATTTTTAAAACAAACACTACCATATCAGCATCAAATTGCCAAATAATGGTAAATTAGTTTACATGTGCCAGTTATCCTTTGAGTTATTATTTGGTTGGGGTAAATTCTTAAGATGTTTCACCCAAATTTACCCAAACCAAATAGGGCCCTCCTGTTGTGTCTCTATATCTTGCAATCGCTTTATGGCTTTTGTTTCTCATAGATTCACAAGTTGATTTTGGATCCAACACCAGCTAATTTGGTTGAGGAATTATAGATTTGCTCCTTTCATAGATAAAACTTTCAAGTTTGGTGGGAGTTGTTATTTCATATCAGTCCAGTTTATACAAAAAACTTTCTAATTAGATGCTTCAGAACAAGAATCTTGACAGTGGAGACACTTGTAAACAGCTCAGTAGAATCGAGTCCATCACGGATTCGTCAGCAATTAAAACAGAATCTTATACATCACCGCTGTTTAGCAACTTCGTGTTTGCATGCTTTTAAGACCACTAAGGTGACCGACGTCTCCACAAATTGCCAGAGTAATGACCCCAACCATCAAGGTCTTTTGTCTAGAAACCCTGCCAAAAGCTTGACGCAACACTAGGTGAGAAGCCTGCCCAGTGTAACAAGATCCAACAGGTAAACAACAGGTAAACAACTGCCGCACAATTTTGTAGTCGAATCCATCGTAAGTCCTCCAGTCCCAATTCGACTCACAAGCTATTCAAACTAACAGCGACAAAGGAATTTCTTTGTTATTGTTCATCCCCCGTTACTTGTGATTGGACTTGAGAGGGCTTTGTGATGGACTGGACTACTTAACTCATACCAAACTGCCTCAGAGTCCACGCTTGCATTGTTCAATGGGACTAATTCTTACCCTCTCAGAATCGGTAGTTCGTTTTGATGGCCCACTGCAATAAAGCCTCATGGACTTTTACACCTGTTGTACTGTGTTACATCTGGTTAAAGGGAATATACATCATTTGCTTTTGCTGTAATTTTCAGATATGGATGGAATTGGGGGGTTAGAAATGTAAAGCAAATATAGTTACACTGACTTTTTGGAGGTTTTGGGTTCGAAAATGCTATAAAAACCAAGAAAAACGATCATTTTCCTGTAGTCTGGTTCCCTGACTCCATATAAGAAGAAACAGAGCAGTTAACATACATTGGGGAATTGTAAGGTCAGGGAACCAGTCTAGCTGGCTCGTACCCGTTCATGGGTTTGTAACCGATTGCAAACAAGTGCAATGGTCAATTGGGGCCAGTATTTGAAAAAAAGCCAGTTGTTTCCAACGCTGATCGGCCGATCAGCGTTGGAAATTGATACAAAAATACCACTTTTCTTGAAAATGACAGTATACCAGGTGCCATAATTTTACAGGATGCTTTAGACTGTCATTTACCAACATCCTATTAAGGTATTTCGCAAAAACTTGGTAGTTTTATTTTTCGATGTTTGCAAATGTTGTATATTCCCTTTAAGGTTAGGGATAGTGTTGTTCTCAAGTAAAAAAAAACCCTGACTCATGAGTCATTAGCATCAAGTCCAAGACACGATGTCGAGTCCAAGTCTTCTGTCAATGTGATTCAAGTCACGTCTGAGTAACTGAACTTCGGACTTGAGACGGACTCATGTCAGAGTCTTGGACTTGAGTCCTGCAACACTGGTTGGAGATAATGGGCGTACCTTTTCCACCTTCTTGTCCAGGATGTCCTTCATGACCTTGCACAGGTTCTCAAACTTGGCTTTGAGTTCCTCCCTCTTCTTCTTCTCTTCCTCGTCCTCAGGAAGCTCCAGGCCCTCCTTGGTGATGGAGACCAGCGTCTTGCCCTCGTACTCCTTCAGCTGCTGTACACAGTACTCGTCGATGGGCTCCGTCATGTACAGGACCTCAAAGCCACGCTTCTTGACGCCCTCAACGAACGACGAGTTGGCAACCTGGTCTCTTGATTCACCTATGAATATGAAACAAACTCTGTAATGAATGCTCTCGGAGATAATCAGCAATATGAAATGTTTGCATTACATGGTAACATTTTTTTTTACAATGCAGCTCAGTACAACTTGGTTCATCACCAAATAATATCAGCAATTAAAACAGAATTTTTTGGCATCACTGCTGCATAATTTCTGTAAATTAGTAAAATTTAAAAGTTATTTGAGTGCCTCTTTCTTAAGCCCACCTGTGATGTAATAGATCTGCGTCTGGTTTTCCTTCATGCGAGAAACATATTCCTTCAGCGAACTCATCTCGTCGCCGGAGTGAGATGTGTGGTAGCGCAGGAAGTTGGCCAACTTGGTCCGGTTCTGGGAATCCTCGTGAATACCGAGCTGCAAGAATACAGTCAGAACACTTTTCAGTAAGTACACTTCAGTAGAATGCCCCATCATGAACATCAACTATGGCTCCCAAATTATATGACTGTACAACTATACCGAGCATTGGTGGCAAAATTCACTATGGAGGCTGTCACTTCTATCACGAAGGCCCCCTCAATGGCAAAAGCATTGGGCTAGCTATTGTTCAGATAATCTGTCATGGGGCAGTACCCTTGCACATTAGTACGCACAATGGTTTCACCATTGAAGGGGACCTCGTGTACGCACGCATATCACAGAAATTTGTCTATACCTAACAAGCTTGGTGGTCCCATTGAGTTTGTTACAGTGAGTTTCACTATAGTCGGAGCAGAAGTAGCTGTTTGTTGTCCGTGGAATTTTTTTGAACGCTTATTTAAATTTTAATTGACAACACTAGAAACCAGATGTAAAATAAAAGGAAGAGTGTTAGAGGTCGTAAAACGTTTTAAAAGTTGTATAGGATGGAGGAAATTCCCCAACTTAATCAAAGGTAACAGGCTTGCAGGAAAACGAGATCTATTCCTTATTTCTCACCTTGAAATCCACTTTAACCCCGAGGAGTTCAGAAACATACCTTCAGGTTCTTGCTGAACTGCTCATAAAACTTCTTGAAGTCGTCCTTCTCTTCGGCAAACTCTATGAAGAGCTCCATGCACTTCTTGACAATGTTCTTGCGGATGACCTTGAGGATCTTGCTCTGCTGGAGCGTCTCACGGGAGATGTTGAGGGGAAGATCCTCCGAGTCCACCACACCCTTGACGAAGTCTGTAATCCAGAGCAAAACGTTCCCATCATTCAAGACCGCAAGAAAATGCCAACAAGATTTGATGTGACGAAAACAAATTCAATGGATGAAAATCGCAGTGTAATATTTAAGGCCCCATGTTTTTTAAGTCTTTAAAGTCTATTCATAAATACCTGAGACAGTTTACCAATTCCTATCGGTCGAGAGCCCGTCACATGGGTGGTTTCAAATGGTTGATAAAACTTTGACCGTTTCAAACACTTTTTTTTTCCGGTGTCACATGAAATTTGTGAATAGCTTGAGGGGTGTTTCACAAAACATTAAGTAAAATTGTTGAACAAAACCATCAGAAATTCATCATTTTCAACTTGTTTGACGATGGGATTGAAACGTACTTATGAATGGGAATAAAGATGTGCTTTGCCGGTATTAAATAAGTACATTTAAAACCGGCTAAGGGCCCAGACACGGAACCAGGGCAGTAATAACAGAATGCAATGGACACGTGCAAAAAGCTAATCCCATTCAGTACTTAATTTTACTAGCATGTGGCATACAGCTTGATATTTTCAATGCACATTTGACCAACAGTGTTCACAATGTGACAATTTCAATTTCACGAAGAACACAACATTTGGCACAGTGGCTTCTCGGAAATATTTTCAAATTGTAGCTGGGAGGAGGTCTTTCGAATCAATTGAAAACATTCACTCTAGCCCACCAAAAAATCCCGAAACACTTACTGAGGTACTCGGGAATGATGTCTTCACAGTTGTCCATGATGAACACCCTGCGCACGTACAACTTGATGTTGTTCTTTTTCTTCTTGTTCTCAAACATGTCAAAGGGCGCCCTCTTGGGCACAAAGAGGAGAGCACGGAACTCGAGCTGTCCCTCAACAGAGAAGTGCTGCAAAAAGAATATTCCAAGAAAATAGTCCATTTGGAAATGGATGCATAATCCCTGTCTTGGACTAACAAGATGAGGCAAAGCTAAAATTCTATTCAATGGATTCAGAATGCCTACACAAAGGCAAGATTTAGCCCATTCATTAGCATTATGGGGCAATCCTATATGATAGCACTGCCCAGCTCCCTTTAGTCTACAACAAATCTAATTCATACGTGTTTAGTCAGGGAGAGAGGCTGTACAGATAGTTGGTCTTCCCGGACCCCCCCCCATAAAAAAATAATGGCACTTGGAACTTAAGACCACTGCAAGTTTTGATGTAGCTTTGCAGCAAAGAGGAGCAAGTCCCCGGACATTAAGAAAGAGGTCCTCCATTGCTCCTCCTCTCAGCAATGCTACCCTTACTGCTTGGCAGGTAGCCCTAAGGCGTCCGACACCTAAGCAGGATGGGTTTACTCTCCTTCCATGTGCACCACCGGTAGCCGTCAGTGTTGCTGTGCATCGGTGCCAAAGTGACCCCCACGACAACAACTACGGCCCGGCGCATGTTGTGCTGGAAGATCTCCAGTGTTTCTTCTACTTTGTAAGGCACAAAATAATCTACATGCACCCTATATGTAACCATAATGTTTCTGAAGCTAGTTAACCCTATTGTTAACCATAGTTGCTAATCATAGAGCAAGTTCGGGCAAAGACCAAGTTGGGGCAAAGACCATTCATCAACTAATGTTTGATTCATGACGTATCTTACGCTAGCACACTAATAACAATGTACTAATAGCAACGTGCGAACGTTTCAAGTCAAATGTCAATCACAAAACTTCCGAGTCTTGGCTCCCTGCTATGCATTATGATGCACGCGGCTTTCGGTAACCAGCTATATTCCAAATATTCGACGAGAGTATTCAACCATCCTGCGTTCCAGTGATATTACCTGAACTGTGGTTAACCACAGTCCTCGCCCGAATGTGATCCAACTTGCTCCCAGAAAGGAAAACACCTCTATGGTTCATGCATATGTGTCACCACACATCTTGGACCACCTACCTTGACAGCCAGATGGTCCTCCCAATCGTTGGTCAGGCTCTTGTAGAACTCGCCATACTCCTCGGGACTGATATCATCTGGATTCCTGGTCCACAGCGGCTTGGTTTTGTTCAACACCTCGTTCTCTGTGTACTTCTCCTAAAAGTGAGGGGAAAAGATAATTTACAGGTAAAGTTTGAAGGCAAATAGGATCTTTTACTTTGTTGTAATTTCATGAAATGGACCGATTGAAGGGCTATTAATTTATAGCAGACATTGTTCCACTGAGCTGTTCAATGTTTAAGTGTCAATTGGTACTGGAAAACCACAAAGAAATTGCTGTTCACTTTCAACCGTGAAAGTGCAGCTCGCGGAATCTGTCATGCATAGAACCCTTGGGTCACTGAGCGCCCAAGTGCTGGCTCTGTCATGGGAAAGTAATACATGTATACCTACATTAGCATACCTGAGAGCATGCATGAAGTCAACAGTTGGTTTAAAACTGTGATGGTTAGGTCCTAGCTATCATTAGTACTGATATAAAATTCCTCTTTTTTGAGATTGACAGCATACCAGGACCAATGATTTCACAGGATGTTTCCTACCATATTTACTTACAATCAAGTGGGCTAGTTTATAACTAGTGCTGAAACTGATCCTTCAGGTTCGGTTCGGTTCAGATTTTGTTTCCCGAACGTCAGTTCGGTTCGGGTTCGGAAGTACTTGTACAATGTACATTTAAAAGCACATGTACATATATATGTGAGTTAAATTGCCGGTCGCGCCATAAGTCGGCTTTTATAAGTCGGCTTTTATAAGTTGCCGTTTCGCTCAAGTCAGCGTGTTACTCTCGGTCCCCTACAAAAAGCACAAAAAAATCCTTTGTGGAGAGCCATCAGCCTTGTTTTTTCTCACCTTGATCTTTTTCTTCTTCTTGTCTTTGTCTTTGGAATCTGCCTCTTCATCTTCTTCCAGATCTTCAATCTTGGGCTTTTCCTTATCTTCCCCGTCTTCAGCTGCCTCTTCTTCCTTCTTTTCTTCCTCCTTTTCTTCCTCTTCTTCGTCGTCGCTGACTTCCTTCTCCCGTTCTTTTTCGACCTGAGAGATCAAAGAATAAAATTATTCAACACTGGAATCTGAGACAACTTGACTGCGAATCAAATTGTGTCATTTTAGTAAAGCTCTTTTGCCCAATTGCACTCTACGAACCCACCGACCCACTTTTGGAGACGCTCCCAAAGAAACACTGAATAACCACTGAGTAACAACTCTTTAAGTCAGACTTCAGAGTTGGATCCCGACCTATGCAGTCAGCTGTTGGTGCTCAAGTTCAGCCCCTTAATGACGACCAATATGCAGACAGATAAGTGCAGTTGCTACATGTACATCCAGATGAAACTTTAGACTGTGCACATAAGGTGTCCTGCACAGCAGCACTCTCACCAATGACAAAAGAGTATTGCCTATCCCTGCACAGACCCAATAACCTCACCTTAAGCTACAAAATACTACCAGTAGTAAAATGTTCAAACGTACAAACACTTTATACTCAGTGTGTTACCTCCCGATAGAAAGTTGGAAAAAAATCACTCGGGTGGGCCTCGAACCCACGACCTCCTGCTTTCTAGTGCAGACGTCTTACCACTCGGCCACCGAGCTTGCGGGATCGGTTGGCTGGTTCGAATCTGATGTATTCCCTCTTATGAATGATACTAACTTAATTTGCATTTAAGTGACTGCATTTGCCAACTCACTTGAAGCGCGATTGGGTAGCCAATGAACTGGCTGTGTTTCTTGACGATTTCACGGATTCGCTTCTCCTCCGTGTACTCCACCTGGTCCTCCTTCATGTGCAGAACGATCATGGTGCCACGCTTGAGTGTGTCAATTGCTGTGGGTCAAATCATTCACACATAACTATGCAACTGCCGCATAAACCAACGTTTCAGAATTTATAACTCTTGCACTGCATTTATTTGTGACAAAATCCACAAATTAAATCTTGTGGGCATTCCTTTACTTTGTATGTTTTTTTTTCAGAGCATACTCAACTTGCCATTTTTATAATTACTCTGTATAACATCCTGATTAACCCTCTCTCTCTGGCTGGCAATTTCAACAATCCAAGCCCAGCAGTCGTCAGGCTGGTGTTATTGGAAACGAACAAAATGCATGAAAAGCAAATGATCCCTTATGCAAGTAAATAAAAGATACCTTTTGGGGATTTGAGTTACAGAGCTCGTATCAGGAGCTTGCGACACCATCACGGTGTCTTTATCAACTGGCGTTGTTGGGGCCCTCACGTGACCCGTCACATGACCAAGCTTGGTCATACGACAGGAGACGGTCGTACACGTGGGCCAGCTCACTCGGTATCTTTTATTTACTTGATATAATAATGGGACTGGAAACGAACTTTCATGCGCGAATCCTTTATGCAAGTTTAAGGACCTACTTAGAAACTAGGGATAGACAGTTAGAAAAAAAAAGTGGAAACTGGACTGCCCAAGATCCACCTCCTCAACTCCGGTCTCCAAACTGGAACGGTGAACATTTTTTACTTCAAGTTACAGTGAGATAAATGATTGTTTTAATTTCCTTTTAGGTTTAAGGTTTCAAGCCTAAGTTACTTACTTGGAACTGATTTGACAGTGAATGAACCACCAGCGGACGATTCCCAGATATAGCTCTCATCGTCTGTATGCTTGGAATACACCGTTACCCTGTCAGCCACCAGATAGGCCGAGTAGAAACCCACACCGAACTGACCAATCATGGAGATGTCTGCCCCAGCCTGGGGAATGTCAAACCAGAGGAAAAATCAGAACACTAAAATCAAGTCTATTTGGGGGGGGGGGGAATTTACAATCATACACTATGCAAAACAGGACAGAGGTCCTTCAGGCACAAAACATTTAAAAATATATTAGAAATGAAAGTTGAGTCGGGAACCAAGAAAATGCATTCATATCGTTCATTCTGTCTTGACCACCTTTCAAGCACCTTTGCCCAACAAATATGACAACTAAATTACTTCTCGGTGTAAAAATTGTTTAAGCCCAACACAATGGTGCAAAGTCTTAAACTCCTTTATGTGTGTGTGTGTGTGTGTGTGTTGGGGGGGGGATGGGTTTACATTCCCTTCAGACGAATGACCCATTTTCATCATACTTAGTATGCTAGTAGACACTTTTCATGTTAAGAACTTCTGTAAAATTTTGCCTCGGACAAGGATTTGAAATTAAATGCCCCCTGCTTCCATTCGAAGTAAATGCAAGGTCAATGTAAAACTGAAGATATTTTTTTTTAGCCCTTTTGAACAAATGCTACATCCAATTATATGAGACTTGTGTGAGAAAGTCCACAAGACATCAGTCTAGAAACTCATAAAGGCTTGGAAAGAAAAGTGAAAGGAAGGGAGGGATGTGCATTCTTACCTCCAGAGCCTCCATGAATGCCTTGGTGCCACTCTTGGCGATGGTGCCCAGATTATTGACCAGGTCGGCCTTGGTCATGCCGATACCGGTGTCGATGATGGTCAGGGTCTTCTCATCTTTGTTGGGGATGATCTGGATCTCGAAGTCCTTGCCCCCGGCTTCAACCCGGGCAGGGTCCGTCAGGCTCTCGTAACGGATCTTATCAAGGGCCTAGAAGAAAGGAAAAATGCAGGGAAAATGTTGAATATCTTGCAGATATCTTTGTTATATCGTGACGTGTGACACACTTGTGAAAGACTTACAACAGCCTTGCGAAGACCGACTTGTGATGAGCGACTGTGACCAAATTGTGGCTGAATTGGGACCATGGGCGTCGCTAGGATCGTTTGTAGGGGGGGGGGGGGGCAAAGCACATTGTTTCCCTGTACTTTTCCAGCATATTCTCCAGTTATCATTTTTGAGGGTGGGCAGGGACATTCCCCCCCCCCCCCAAATCATTAAATTAACAGCAATATGACTTCGTGCCTCTTTTTCTCCACTTTTTTGTCCTTTTCTTCCTCTCTCTATTTGCTTTTCCAAAGGGAGGGGGGGGGGTAGCGCCCCCTTGACCCCCCCCTCGCGATGCCCATGATTGGACCGACTTGTGATGCACTCTCTTTTAAGATTGTGACTATGAATATTGGAATATTTTTGACAATACCTGATCATTTGATCCGCATGTCATGCATGTTCCAACCATTTAACCGTGTCCTTCACCTAGGCTTTAAGTTACCATCATTACTTCTGGCAGGATAATGTAGCAACCTCCATAAGCCAAACCAAAAAAAATCACATTTTTTTTGTGACATACTGTTGGATGGGAAATCTAGCAAACTTACATCGGAGGCATTGGAGACAAGTTCCCTAAGGAAGATTTCTTTGTTGGAGTAGAATGTGTTGATGATGAGACTCATTAGCTGAGCGATCTCAGCCTGAAAGGCGAAGGTCTCCACCTCGCCTTCCTCCATGGGTTGCTGCTGTTCGACTTCAGACATCTGCAACGAGAAAAAAAAGTGTGGATCTCAACTGTTATAACCGGAGAATTCTACATTTAAAGTTAAAAAATTGTTAGGGGCGCTTAGAAATTAGGGCACAACTGCAGAACACCCCGCCACTCGATCTATGCACCTCGTAGCCGGCTACTGAGTCACGGTTGATTGCCCTCAATAAACCTTCTCAACGCTACATATATACTTTGCGTCATGCTCCACTGCACACCCACTCCGTATCCGCGTCGCCGGCAACAGGGTATTTGGTTTGGACTTGAAATTTTTTCAGCCACACTCATTACTTTTGTGTTGCTTTGTTTTCAATCTCAAGCATAACTTTAGAAGGACTCCCACTTCGTATCCGCGTAGCCGGCAACAGGGTAGGCCTACAGGGTAGTTGGTTTGGACTTAGAATTTTTTCAGCAACTCTCATTCATTTTGTGTTGCTTTAAAATTTTTCAGCAACTCCCATTCATTGTGTGTTGCTTCGTTCTCAAGCATATAACTTTATAAGGACTCCCACTTCATATCCGCGTAGCCAGCAACAGGGTAGGCCCAGTTGATTTGGACTTAGAATTTTTTCAGCAACTCCCATTCATTTTGTGTTGCTTTAGAATTTTTTCAGCAACTCCCATTCATTTTGTGTTGCTTTAGAATTTTGTCAGCAACTCCCATTCATTTTGTGTTGCTTCAGAATTTTGTCAGCAACTCCCATTCATTTTGTGTTGCTTCAGAATTTTGTCAGCAACTCCCATTCATTTTGTGTTGCTTCGTTCTGCAATTATTACGAAGTGGCCATCGTTATGGCAGCCGTTGTTTAGCACCCTCTACGATACTTTTTTGATACGCACGCAGGTATATAAGATTTTGGGTCAACTCGTACCCAAGTTAACTCGTACCCGAGTTAACTTGTACCCAGGTTAACTCGAACCCGAGTCAACTCGTACCCGGGTCAACTCGCCCCCAGGTCAACTCGTACTCCCCTCCTTTTTTAGTTTGGAAGTACGGATGGATGGTTAACAAAACTTCCGATTTTACCCCCAAAACGGCGACTGAGAAATAGTTGTTACGCCGCCGGAAATACAGATAAATTTCAAGGATTAGTTGAAGGCGGTGGTATCAAATGTTGCTCACGATCTTGATGAAAAGGGAAAATGTACCATTCATCGGCAAGGGCTTCATCGCGAACGGACGGGTACCGCGCGGAGAACATTTTCAAAATTTCAAAGCGGCATCAGTGTGGTACTCGCGAGTCGACGCCGGAGCCCTCGCTGATAAATGGTAAATTTTCACTTTTCATCCAGATCATCAGATGTGTTATTTTAAAATTTGTGTAGTATTTTCTCTTAGTATTCAGAAAATAGTAATGATGTTTTTTTTTTTTTTTCAGAGACCCTGGATCTCTGAGATTGCGGAGTGACTGTGAGAACTGCTATGTCTTTTTTTTTGTTCGGTCGAACGTGTTTTAAGGGCATAGTTTTCTTTTTACGAATTTAGTATTTAAGACCTTTTTTTTAAAGAAAGCTGTTATTAAAAAATGAATTTTGTAATGTAAAAGTAATATTTTTCAACGTTCACTCACTCCATTTTTGGCATCATTTATTGAATAATAACTGCACATGGCACAAATCTCTTTGGGAAGATTGGGGGCCCTGAAAGTACAAATCTGAAGAGAAAATACATTACAGGAAACTTAAGAGTCACACGGACATCGTTATTTAATTTATAATGATTCTTTAATATGTTGGTCATTTTTTGTACAATTAGTTTGGTAAATGTTGTAAACAAAAATCTTGTGCAGCTTAAATAAAGTTTCTGCGATAAGTTCAACTAGAATATTATTTTGGCAACAGAAATGTAGGATTTTTAATTATTTGTTTACATTTGAGGCATCAAGGAAGTAAACACGATAAAGGAAAATGGTTGCTCGTTTCATTCAGAGATGCTCTTTCTATAAGTTTTAGGGGACCAATTTGTTAGTTGATCCTTGGGTGTGAAAGATTGACATTAGCAAATTGTAATTCAAGTGCAAGAGAAAGTTTTATTATCTTAAACAAAACTGGGCTAATCGGGTTTCGTCCTCAAAACTTGACATCCGATTCGATTCATCATGAACTGTGTGACAGACCATCCGATCGATCGGTTTGAGCAGCAGAAAATGGTTCATCGGAAAACCACAGGATCATCTGTAATATAAAAATACAATAAATTGATAAAAGCATGCATACTTTGGGTAGAACATTTATTTGAAGTATGAAAATTAGCCCCATATTAAATATGTACAACTACAACTTACACCAAGGCCTAATGCCGTTGAAAAACGGCGAAGGTTCCGACACTAACTACGCGACGGCAAAAACACCGTGCACGGTACGACCACGTTGGCCGATGAGTGCGCGCACAGGCTCGGCAAAAACGATGTCACCGTGCACGGTACGACCACATTGACCGATGAGTGCGCGCGCGCACAGGCCTGGAAAAAACGAAGTCACCGTGCACGGACGACCACGTGGACCGGCGAATGCGCGCACGGGGCCGGCAAAAACGATGTCACCGTGCACGGTACGACCACGTTGACCAGCGAGTGGGCGCACAGGCTCGGCACAAACGATGTCGCCATGCACGGACAACCGGCCATATCCCTCCGATCTTCCGTTCGTTTCACTGATTTTCTTTTCGAAAATAGGCAACTATTTTGAGCTGCGGGTACGAGTCAACTCGGGTACGACTTGACTCGGGTACGAGTTGACTGGGGTACGACTTGACTCGGGTACGACCTAACTCGGGTACAACTTGACTTGGGTGTCAATTTTGGGGTACGAGTTGACTCGGGTACGAGTTAACTCGGGTACGAGTTGACCCATTTCCGTATATAATTATTTGTTTCCCAACGTTTTAGCGAGCAGTGCGACAGCTCAGTCGATAGAGGTTAGGATTTTGCACCACGAGGTTGCGGGTTCACATTTCAGTTTTGCACTCAAATTTTTTTCCTTTTCTAACCTGAGGCTTTGGAGGATTTTTTTCAAAAGGGAAATAAAGTCCGAATTTCATAACGTTTAAATTCACTTTTTTCCTTCTAATTTTATATTTTCTTCTCATGTTTTTATAAAAGTTGCTGTCTACTGTAACGATAGAAAATGGGAAATGCGTTACGGCTGCCGTAACAATAGCCACTGCGCAAGTAGTAGGATGGAACGCCGTATTATCGCGGTACTTATCACGTTTCTCGTTCGGAATAGAGATTGCCCACTAACCTTCCAGAATTGTCCTATCTTATGTGTAGTATAACTCTTCTTTTTTAAATTAATATAAAAAAATCTGACGGGTGGTGTGGTTTATTCCGTGTACGATGCCTGTGAAAATAGACATGCGCGGCGTGTGCGAACGGAGGTGGACTCCCTATTATCGCGGTATGCGGGAAGTGGTTTTTATAATGATCCCAACTTTTTTGTTCATAGTTTATGTTTGACCAAAACACCCCCTGAATAAAGTCTGATATTTTCCCTGTAACGTTCAAGTTGATTAAAGACAAGATGTCTGCAGGATGATTTCTTAAGACCCTGCCCTTCCCCCGAAAGGAGAACACAAATCCCTGAGGCAAGTCTACTGATCGGCGATTGAGGGGCGCCATTCACTTTACACGGTGTGTCGTTTTATTTTCGCTAACGCGCGGTGCTTATTTTGATCCCGTAAAAGTTGTTACGATTTCGCGCTGCAAATATCGTCGTTCGACTTCATTTTACATTTGCAGCTGAAGAATGGGAACCAGACAATGGAACTTGCATGGACAGAGCGCAATTAACATGATTAAAGATTTATGTTAAAATATAAACGGTACCTTTTAGCAGACACGGTGAGGGAAAATTTTGCAAGTTTTGGAAACCGTTAATATTTATTAAAATCGTTAAAAGTCCCGAAAGACACAACATTTTTTAATCGTCCTTTTTATACAACTCGGTAGAAAATCCTGGATGACTGGTGAACTGGATAAAAATCGCCACTTGAAGTAGGGAGGTCGGCGCAAAGGGGTCGATCTTCATTTGTATCTATTTGCGTGCGAAAGTGTGTTTCAAACTGGCGCAGTTTAACCTTTTTTTGAAACTGGAACAGTTTCTCTGATGAGATGATTACAGAGAGAAATGATGGATCTTTCCAATGATATATTTGTTTTGGATGATCGCCATATTCGAAATCGTGAAATCTGCTGTTGAAAACGATGTTTATTTCTGGGAAGTTGTGATCGCAGTCGCCCTGGGAGCGGCCATCTTGTTTTTAGCTCATGACATTCACTCACGTTTTGTGGCGAGATTTGCCGAGATTTCGTCGGACAAAAATAGAAATGATATCATAGTAAAGCCAAAAAAAATCTCTTTCGACTCATACCAAGAAAAAGTACGCTAGATTTTGTTTGCCTTCCAATTTTGGAGATTTTTTTCCGACGAAATAAAGGTACAGATTGTCATGATTTTTGGGCCAAAAAATCGTTAAAAATCTCACATGAGGAGTTCATGAAAGACTAAAAAAGGGGTAGTTTCTGAAAGGGTGGAATTTCAGGAGTTTGTGTGACTAGTTTTTTTGTTATGTTTCCCATGACGCTTTTTGACGCTGGGGGGTTTTGTTGTCGGGGTGCCTTCAGCAAGCTGATTAAAATATGGCGCGCGGCGGTGTCACAATGGCTGCCTATTTCTTCCTCTATGCTTTATGCATGCATGAAGCAATAATATTTTTGGTGGATTGCTTTATTGGGGAAATTTACATTATACAAATATACAATTCTGCTATTGCTAAAAAAATAATATAGTAATATTTCAACTGTTTCTGAATATTTTCCAAACTTGAACTAAATTTGCATTAAACATGTTAAAATAAGCTTATTTTGTCTTTGCTTTTTTGCCTTAGGCTTCTAGTTCCTGAATATGTTTAGTCCAGACCAGAGTCTAACCAGACTGTTCTGAGTACAATGTATAATGAAGAACAAGATTCAATGGTTTTTTAAAATTATTTTTGAATAAAAATCTCTGCATAAGGCCTAAAAAAAGGGGACAAAATAAATTGGGCCTATAAAGTTAATTCCCACTGGAACCTACATATTGGAGAAATGTTGTCTGTCATCAAATACTTCCATACTTTAAAGATATACTTTTGCTAAGTTAAAAACCCTTTTTTTTTGCCGTATAATACTCTCAACACACAGTTGGGTGAATGTTAATGCAAGGTTTCCATGCATTTCTATTTTAGGTCCCTGGATTCCCATCCTGGTTCAAATCAACCTCAAATATGACAGCTCCGAGGAAATTTACACATATCAGCTATTAAAGGACTACCATAAAGAGGACCTGAGAATACAAATTTAGGATAATATGATCTCATCTAAATGAACTTGAAAATGTTTTCCAAACCTTTCTCAAATATTTTGAGGTGATTTTGGATTTTTTTTTTAAATTTTACACCCCGCACCATGCCGACAGAATAATTAGGGTTGGACATGCCCCTTTAATGGACCATAACTTCACCATACTTTAAGATATAAACTTATAATTGGTACCATTTGATTTCTTATTAGAAGCTCTTTCCAATGATACCAAGTTTGTAATATTTGGACCCAAAAACCCCAAAAGTGCCGACCACCCTACTTGAAGGAGTTTTGACACTGTAAAAAGAGAAATTTCCCATGCCGCGATAATAGGGATGCCGCGATAATAGGGAGTCCGACTATATAAAGGGTAAAAGCGATTGACATGATTGAAAACTGACAACACTCTTCAATGGTATTTGTACAAAGTTTGTGGCCAAAGGGGGGGGGGGGCTGTCTAGGTTTAGATTTGGAATTGCAGCTGCAAGATCACATTCTCAAATGTTCGGAGAATAAAATCCGATTTGTCTTTTTTGTACATAGGACCTAGGGCTAGGCTAAGTTAACTTAAGCTGTTTTCATGTTTTTAACTTAAACATGATTTTAATAATATGGTTGTCTCACTATTTTTACAGTTGAAACACAAAATACGACGATAAAATTCCTTACCTTTAGTGTAGAAATTTGTGAAAATTCTTGAACAAAGGCTGTGGAATATTAAACCTCACTTGCAAGCTCTGCTGCTGTCGTTGAGTGCTAGCGCCGTTATAATGCGGATATAATTTTGCAAGACGTACGTAGACGCACATGGCCTTTTTTGTGCACATGGTCTGCTTTTCCGCCGGTCGGGTATTTAAACCACGTATTCATCCGCCGCCAAAATTAGGAGATTTTTTTTCAACGTATCCTCTATATTATCACTTTTTAATATGTTGAAATACTATATTTTATATTTTTTCTCAATTCAACGGCATTTTTCACTTCAAATGACTGTATCAATTTGACATAAAACAGGGACTATTTTAAAACAGGAAGTTGTAGGGAGACAACGTTATACGTTTTTCTAGCAAGTTCCATACCGGATGTTCATTAGATGCACATCATTCTTCAATAAGGGGTGTATTTGCATTTTGGAAAATTAATATGTTTAAAACATCGATGTTTAATTTTAACAAGTGATATTTATGTGTAAAACAAACACGCATCAAAAATAAATTTTGTAACACTGTTAAACCGGAAAGATACCGAAATTAGCACCAGGCATTAATTGACTGAACACTTTGCAGCAATGGACTCAACCATGTACCAGTACCGCTGATCTCTGGAGTGGGTACGTAGACGCATATGGCCTTTTTTGTGCGCATGGTCTGCTTTTCCGCCGGTGGTCGGGTATTTAAACCACGTATTCATCCGCCGCCAAAATTAGGAGATTTTTTTTCAACGTATCCTCTATATTATCACTTTTTAATATGTTGAAATACTACATGTATATTATATATTTTTTTCTCAATTCAACGGCATTTTTCACTTCAAATGACTGTATCAATTTGACATAAAACAGGGACTATTTTAAAACAGGAAGTTGTAGGGAGACAACGTTATACGTTTTTCTGGCAAGTTCCATACTGGATGTTCATTGGATGCACATCATTCTTCAATAAGGGGTGTATTTGCATTTTGGAAAATTAATATGTTTAAAACATCGATGTTTAATTTTAACAAGTGATATTTATGTGTAAAACAAACACGCATCAAAAATAAATTTTGTAACACTGTTAAACCGGAAAGATACCGAAATTAGCACCAGGCATTAATTGACACTTTGCAGCAATGGACTCAACCATGTACCAGTACCACTGATCTCTATATAAAGACTGGAAAGAGCCGCACATGGACAAGTTGCCGTTTTTATAGACAGCATGATTTCCTTTGTAACGTCGTGGTTCACTTGACTTATATTTTGACCACCACCACTGACCAAGGTAAACTACAATTTTTCTACCGTCGTGGTTACTGAAATGCCGCAAATATCACTCTTTCGGCGTTTTGAAATGATAATCACTACGGAAATGTGTCTCTTTTAGAACATCATAATATGTGTACATGACCAAAATGCGCGTCAACTGTTGATACAACGCGCGCGTATACGCGTAGAACGTTCGTATTATACGCGGCCATCTTCGTGAGACCGCGGGCGAATTGGTCAATAGACCGCTTGCAGACGCGATCGATAATTGACGCGCTAAGGTGAGCGACGCCATGTTCTGGGACAAAATGTGCGTGGATAGATATACGCCTGTCCCACAACATGGCGTCGCGTGCCTTCGCGCGTCGATTATCGAACGCGTCTGCGAGCGGTCTATATGCAAAGTCTACTGTGTGAATGTTGTATGCATATCCGCTATCCAGTCTTTATATAGAGATCAGTGGCTGCGTCACACTTCACATTGCAACGGCAACGAGACGGCACGTATAATTTCTTCTTCTACGTTAAAGATGAATCGCAAACCAACCAATTACAAAAAGAGAGAAGGGTGGTGGGGGCCAAGGCCGTGCTACACGCCAAAAAGATGTAAGGGCAGGGATGAAAGGGAAGTGAGACAAGAGAAAGACAGGGTTGAGCGGAAAACAAAGGCAGAAAGAGACAGAGGCGAACAGAAAGTAAGTCGTAGGCGTCGAAAAAGTCGTCGTCGAAAAAGTCGTCGTAGTCGTTCTGAGCTCGAGGAGCTTTTGGTGTCAATGGAGACACCAAGGCCACCGTCGTCTACCTACGAGCCCCTCAGCCCCACCCCCTCTATGATGAAATGGATGGTGGATGATTTTGAGCAGGCGACTGCCGAAATATTAAATGGAATCAAAGAAGAAGAGAGGACGTCGAAGGTCATACCAGTACCTGCGGAGGCACCGTCAACTGAAGCGCCGACATCTCCCATCTCCAATCTTTCAAACCCAGATCCTCGGTATTTTCGTGCAGCGAGACGGGAAGAACCCAAGTCCACGGCTGGAGGGGAAGTAGCATGGATGAGGCAGCAGGCGTTGACCACTAGAACAACAAAGTCTCGGCATGACCAGCTGCATGAAATCGACTTCGGAGTCGCGGTGAGACAAGTAACAGAGTCAGCCATTTTTCCGGATGGCCGGAGATACGAGGTAAAGTACACTGAATACAACCTGCCTTCACATACCAATAGAGGCCCACACGCGTGGACAACGTCACCCGGTAGTCTGTAAAGCTCCCTATAACTCAGGAGAGTTATACTTCTTAGGTGAGGGGGGTGTTATTAGTTTAACACCAGTGAGGGGTTAAGCTCCCTCTACTGCCCCAGCCAGGTGTAGCAGGGGGGTGTACCTGCATCGCCGAACCCTTTGGGTTTTATCGACTGAGGAGCAATCTGAAGTCAGCCACCACACCTTGTCGCTTGGGGTGTAAAATACAATGCCGGGTCTACCAGTCTAATAATGCAGCTGCGCAGATCGACACGTCGTCACCATCATCATGAAGCTAGCCTCAACTATTTCAGTCGGGTATTCATTTCAGTCAATCGAGTTATTCCGCACAAGATCATCAAGTGTTCATCGATGGGGCTATCTAGCCCGGCTATCCAGCGCACCAGGGTCAGCCACCCTCAGCTTTAGAGTTCATCGATGGGGCTATCTAGCCCGGCTATCCAGCGCACCAGGGTTAGCCACCCTCAGCATAGAGTTCATCGATGGGGCTATCTTATCCAGCCGGTACCAGGGTCAGCCAACCTCAGAGGTTCCCGAGTGAACATTAGAGAAGATTTGGTAAGATACGAGTTGGTACAAAAACGAACACAGTGAAGAAGGGGTCATGAAATACAAATTTGGGGAGTTGAAATTTTAATATAAGTAGCCTGCCGCTTTTGGACGTGATGCGTCTGAAGCGCATGTTTCTTTAATAATGTGTGTAGCGCCCTCAAAAGTCGAGGCGCGAATAACATAATGGCGGCGCCCTATAGCTTGGCCTGTGTACTAGTGTAGTGTAAACGGCTCGAGTAGAACTGCGGTAAGAAATTTTGCCGTTTTGTTTGAAGTTGAAAAAGTCACGTCAGATGGAAACTGTGTCTGGTCAGTATGGTAGACACAAGAACAGTTCGTTTTTGTAGAAGACATGTATCTTTGATGTATGTAGGACAAAGATAAATATTTGTGCGAAATTAGTAAATTGTTCTGCACGATGTGTATAAATCATGGATTCAATAATGACTGTTATGTTAGTTGTACAGACTACGGAAACTAGATAGACGATGTTTGAAAACTGTGCTGCCGATTTAAACATCAGAATGCTTTTTCCAAATGTAGAGATTAAGTTATTTAGATTAAGGTTATTGTTGAGGATATTTGTTCCGGACTATCTCTAGTTTTATTTATTATTGTTGTCTTGTTGAGGATATTTGTTGCGGACCATTTGTAGTTTTACTTATTATTGTTGAGGATATTTGTTGCGGACCATTTCTAGTTTTCTTTAAATGTGTATTGTTGCGGATATGTTGTTGCGGCCTACTTATTGTATTGAAATAATTTTGGACATTGCTGAGGACGACTGTTGGAATACCTTGGGATGCATAAATTACTTTCAGTGTGGCGGACAATTAAAGTGACAAGACTTTTTAAGCCGTGAGTTGGCATAAGATACCAAATATAATTCTTTTATTGAGAACATTGTAAGACTGCCTGGTGCAGTCAAGTCATAGGTAGTTTAATTACAAATGCATTTTCGTTAACGTTTATTTGGTTCATTCGTAGTTAAATGCGAGGGCGCATTGTGTCTTAAGTTGGGGAGAATGTAACGAAAATGCAAGTCATGAATAATTTCCAGTAAGCACACTTTATTCTTCACTCTGATAAGATACGAGTTCCTTTCATAAACTTAATTGATAGGACTTACAGAAGATAAGAAGATTAAGTTTAAAGTTAATAACTTGTATTTCAGTGAGAAGAATTAATGCCAATACAGTTGACTGTGTACTGATAATAGGGCCTATGATAAACTAATGGTAGAATAACTGTTAAATGAAATGACTTGTACAAGTTTAATTCATCGAAGCTTTATAGACCAAGACGCTATGATTATTATGAATAAGAATAATATTTGGCGCAGTGGTTTATGGCCAATCAGAGCATTGCAAGAGACATTTTGGTATGATGCGCTAGCTCCTTGCGTTATGTACGCGCCCAAACGCTATAAAAGACGAGCCAAGTTAGGGCTTGGTGTTCAGATCGTGACTGGTTCTGGCCCGGTGAGGAACTTCACCCAGAATAAGGAGCGCGTCGTACTCAACGTTCGATTGCAATGCACATTGGCGCTCCGCCTCATCGTTATCCACATAGACATTAGATTATACGCATCGGGCACGGTGTGTGCCAACAGTATTGGAAGACCATAAAACCGTTATTATTATTATTATTTGAAGAACACGATCTCTCCAGTCAGAATTCTTGTCTAGTCTCTAGTCATTTAGTACCTGAATCAGTGATTTCACGCCCGTTACAATACCTTATAGTGTGCAAATGCCCCCTTCTCACGACTTTTTTATTTCCTGGGTATGGGGGGGGGGGGGTTGAATAATTTGCACGTCAACTTCTACAATTGGCCACTGCCATTTTTTTTAATGGATTTTTTTTTTGGGGGGGGGGGGGCTAGACAAGAAAATGGGGGGCTCCTTGGATAACGGGTGATACTCAGACTACCTGCTCACTAGCATGGTCGAGAATAATCTAAACTTGTCATATGCCATATGCAGAGGTCAAATCCATGCGACGGTGGGAGATCGAGACATGCTAGTCATCTGTCAGGGCCGTTTGAGACGCAGCGTTCCTATCCTGGCAGAGTCACGACAAACCAAATTATTCTGACCTTTTTTATGCAGTTCTAGTTCTAGCATTTTGCCAAGTTTTTTTTCTTTCATGGATATCACAAAGTTCTCACCAGTATCCTCATGTTTAACCGGAAACAGTCGAAGGGGGCCGCGGACTTTACATGAATATAAAACGCGGCAATTATTATACATCGCTAGGGCCGCTTTTTTCGGCAGTTTCCATTACCCGAGCTTCATTTCATTCTATAAAGTTCCTTTTTCGTCGTCCGAAAGGGGGAGGACTGCCAGTCCCCTGCCCGCGCCTGTCCTTGCCCCCCCCGCCCGCTGCGTAGGTGGGGGGGGGGGGGCAATTCATGTTAAACCCGCTAATCATGGCTTCGTGATTTTCCCAGATTGCCAAATTTCCAGTGGAGGGGGGGGGGGGGGGGGGGGGGGGTGGGGGGGGGGGGGGGGGGGGGGGGGGGGGGCGCACGCCCCCCCCATAAAAAATGTCTGCCCCACCCCTCAAACCCCCCCCCCCCCACTGGAAATTTGGCAATCTGGGAAAATCACGAAGCCATGATTAGCGGGTTTAACATGAATTGCCTTTTTCACACTGTTATATATATTTTTGCCATACGTATTGTCTGACAGTGACCATCATGTTTTGAACAGCGCCCACATTGAAAGATGTTGCCCCCCTGCCCCCCTCCCCCCCCCCCCCCCCCCCCACACACACACTAAATTACGGACTGGCCGGGTGTCCGGTGAAAAACAAATCTGTCTACCTTTGAGCGAGCACGGATAAAATTGGGCGCCCCTCCACTGTAACATCCAGCCCCGCCATTCGCCCCCCGCCCCCCCCAGGATGACAACCCTGGCTTCGCCGCTGCCCCGCCCCCCCCCCCCCCCGCCCACTCGCGCCCTCGCCCCTTGCCACGCCCACGTTCAAACAGTAGTGATCGAACCCCCAAAAGTCGATTTTAAGGTTAAGCTCATTTAGAGTAGCTTGAATGTGAAAAAAAAACTTCCCAGTATGAAAATGCAGTATACTGGCGAAGTTAATTGGTGAGTTTCGTAATTACGACTTGAAAACGGAAAAACTTGAAGTAAAGTTAGTTGAAAAACTGACTTTCTAAGCTTCCTCCATGGTTGAATGGCCGGGGTCCAGGGTCATGTTGTTGCACCTTATTAAGCACCAATACTTGGGTGGACAATCATAATAGTCAGTTATGTTTCGATGTAAGTGCAAAACTTCGATATGCCAGTGGTAATTGTAGAGTTTGAAATTTCAACGAATCTGTGAATGAGAGGGGGGTGTTAACATCAAATGAGAAAAGTGCAGTGCAGTTTATTGTCTGATGTTATTATTTTTTCTGGTAAAAGGCTATACGGTCCATACAGAGTTTATCGAGTGACTTGACCACAAATTCGTCTCAGCCAAAAATACTTTCTAAACATTTAAAAACTTTTAAAAGACTTTTACGATACGCACTTCATTTTGACTGATTATGTTGATTTGAGAAAGGATCGATATACCCGCATCCTAAATTAAATGAAGTTCTTCCTTGTCAGCATGCCGATGCCAAAACAATTGTGATGAGTCAGTTCGTGGTACGACCATGGAGCTAAAACAGTGCATTACAAGTCCACTCTTTCGCAATTTTTGCTCATTTTGTTCTGCTTTCTGGGAATATTTTGGAGTTGAATGACCGTGAACCAAAATTAGAACAGGAAAGCATTACGTCATTATTGTGCCTTGACTTGCACACTCAGCGAGCACATGCAGTACGTGACTAAAATTCGATGTTGTGTTTTCATTATTCCCTTCCAAATATTGTTGTCATCGTTGAATATATCCTAATGTAGACATAGCTCTGTTTGAGGACTCATATTGAAATTGAAAATGCAAAAACATTAGTGTGAACTATGTTTTTCAAATCAACACAATCTACACGTTACTCCTACAAATAGAAGTTAGGGAGAGCCCGAGTGTGTGACGTCACGCAACATGGCTGCCATGGACATGGCGGAGTGGTCCGTGGTAAGCGATGGAAGTTTATACTTGGGCGAGGAAACTACCGCCCTGACTTACCACCCAAAGCTGAATACAATTTTAGCAGTCACCGGAGGTTCCAATGTACGAGTTGTAGACGTTAACTCTGGTGTGACATTGCAGAATTCAACCCTTTCAGGTAGGTACATCGATTTGAACAACAGGAACAGAATTTACAGATCAACACTAGGCCTACGATCACGGTGTGAACTAGCCCGACTGCGTCTGGCCGTACAGTACTATCGCAAGCTCTGTAGTACGGCCAGACACCCGATGCTTCCAAAAAGACTGAATTTTTTTGGCCGCCGATGTAGCGATTTTGCTACATCTTTCGATCGCGATTATCTTTTCATCCAGGACACAAATTTCCAAAGTTAACTTAAGGTTCGTAGTCGTAGAGCAACTCATACCTTTTCGAAAAAAAAACGTTCTTTGGTCTCAATATTTTCATCCATCTGGCCACAAGACGAATTTCAGTCATCAGATTCCACAAATATCGTCCCCCATGCGATCCCCCATGCGATTTCAAAATGGCGGCCGCGCTGTAATGTATGCATTATGCGAGCGCGCTTGGGCAAGATAATGAATATGCATTATTTAGTTCATGACCTCGTGTTTGTATGGCCAGCCGCGCTGAGTGTCCGACATACGTCATAAACTATGATGCATATTCATTATCTTGCCCAAGCGCGCTCGCCTAATGCATACATTACAGCGCGGCCGCCATTTTGAAATCGCATGGGGGATCGCATGGGGGACGATATTTGTGGAATCTGATGACTGAAATTCGTCTTGTGGCCAGATTGATGAAAATATTGAGACCAAAGAACGTTTTTTTCGAAAAGGTATGAGTTGTTCTACGACTACGAACCTTAACTTTGGAAATTTGTGTCCTGGATGAAAAGATAATCGCGATCGAAAGATGTAGCAAAATCGCTACATCGGCGGCCAAAAAAATTCAGTCTTTTTGGAAGCATCGGGCGTCTGGCCGTACTACAGAGCTTGCGATAGTACTGTACGGCCAGACGCAGTCGGGCTAGGTGTGAACCAATGAATGTCAGACAAGTCGACCGTTGAGACAACTCGACTCGGGACAAGTCGACCGTTGAGACAACTCGACCGTTGAGACAGGTCGACCGTTGAGACAACTCGACTCGGGACAACGCGACCGTTGAGACTGCTCGACTTAATGGAAATGAATACACGTGGAGCAGAAAAAGTTGCACAAATCTGTGGCAAGACCGATCACGGGCATGACGGGTGCGGCGCGGGCATACTCGATGTACAGAGGGCGTCGCGTCAGGCCGGTGCGCCCCGCCTGCCCGCGAGGACCGGGCCGGGCCCGGCACGCGGGCACGTCGACCGGCGCGGCAAATGGGCGCACAGGCCCGGCACAAACGATGTCACCGTGCACGGTACGGCCACGTTGACCGACCAGGGATGAGATAAGTGGGCGCACAGGGCTGGCAAAAACGATGTCACCGTGCACAGTAAGGACAAGTTGACCGGCAAATGGGCGCACAGGCCCGGCAAAAACGATGCCACCGTTCACGGTACAGCCACGTTGACCGGGGATGCGCGCACATATAACTCTGTTATATGCAACAAAAAAACTCATGTGTCATCACTCCCAAACGGCAATCAGCCGCCGTCAAAATGCCCGGTACTATATCTAGGTACTAAACTAGGCCCAAAACATGCTAGGCGACTTGTCTCAACGGTAGCGCCAGTATCACAACTCCAGCAGTACCACTTATGATAATTTATGCTTACGTCACCACAAGTCAGGTACGTCACGTTACAGGACTTTTGGCGATCAGTGGCGGAACTCCGGAGAGCGGGAGGTTTCGCATCGAATGATCGGTCAACTTTCGGAATGTCACTCGTGTTTGAGCAGAGCCAGCTGTGACATGTCGTCCTTACCATCCCAAACTAACTACCAATTACAATAGCATTCGGTTGTACCAAGGAGGTAGAATTACTTGTACATGTACATGTACTTGGGCTAATTGATGTGTAATTTTGTCAAGGTTAGCGTGCCTATTATGTGTACAAAACGAAAACGGATTGTGCTCGGCGGATACTATTTTACACAGTGTCGGCATTTTAGTCGATTACAACGTGCGCTTAAAAATGATACGAATAGATAAGGGGAGCCTAATTCATTTTTGAAATGACCAATGTTAGATTAACCGGCTTGGGCAGATTCTTCCATGATTTATTATTACATTCAAAAAGTAGGTAGGAATACTTTATCGTGAATGCTTGCATTAATTGTTATATAGTTTGTTTATTTTTACTCTTTTCCTTTTGACAACCATACAACTTACCATATTTACAGAAACCTTGTTAATATTTTAATAAAAGCTATTGAATAAAGAATTTATTTTGAATTAATGGATTTGAATCTGTAATATCAAAATCTTATTTCTGTCGTTGAAAAAAAAATGTCCCCTTACGAAAAATCTCCGCGGTTTTAATTTACTTCCGGGGTTGTAGCTGCACTCTTTCACAGAGCATTATACTTACGCTTCAACTTCAAGATGCACTGTCTGGTGTTCTCTTCGATCACTCCAACAAATTTGTTTTTATTCACTTTTGAATGAGACATCGAACGAAAAAAAAATCAACCCATGTTTATTGACAATTATTTATTGCTTTCCAAGCGTCAAATTATGTTCGGCCCATACAATATTTTAGTTCTTGCCCGTGTGCGATTGTGCGTAACTTGACAAACAATTCTCATTGTAAGAATCAAAATCTCATTGGTTGAGCAGTTTATTTTTTTGCGTGGGAATGATGCATATTATTAGGAAAGATGATGTAAATTGTGAAAAATGATGTAAGCAGGAGGTCGTGGGTTTGAGTCCCGCCGGAGTATTAAGCCGGCTGCGAATGCAGTTTCCCCCGGTTCTCGAAAGCATCGAGCATACAGTGCTTGATAAGGCATCTTACTAATTTTTTTGAGAACATATATTATATTATTTTGTCTTACAAAATTTCAAATTGTGTTTTGTGCTTCAACGGAAAAAATATTGGGCCTGTTTTGTTGTTGCATTTTTTCGATTTGATTTGATTTAATTAATTCGAAACTTCCTACAATGATTATAAAGATAACCGGGCACAGTTCTTGACTTGCTCTGTTTTTTAACTATTGATCTCCATTACATTGATCTCCTTAGCAAGACTTACTAATGGAGATCAATGGTTTTAACCCCATATGCAGCTATAAAACAAGTAATAGATACAGTACCGCACCGATTGCGGAGGAGGAGGGGATATCGAAGGTCGCGTGTACGGCAATTATGGCCGAGTCGTAACATTGTACATGTTACACCCGGTACAATTACGTACGGAACCCTTGGCATGTACACAAAGTACATGTAATGTGTGACCGTGCTGGTGGGGCCTAAGGACATGCACACGACGATCACGCGCGGACCGACAATGTACATAATTCATAAGTTTGATGACGCTGTACTGTTCACGGCATAAATTATGATAAGTGGTACTGCTGGAGTTGTGATACTGGCGCTACCTGTCTCAACGGTCGACTTGTCTTTCCATTTATCGCACATACGGTCGAGTTGTCTCAACGGTCGAGTTGTCTCAACGGTCGACTTGTCCCAAGTCGAGTTGTCTCAACGGTCGACTTGTCTGACCCCCGAACCAATGCAGTTGCAGGAACGGGCTGGCCATGGGCTGAACCTAGTCCCACTAACTGGGGCGCTCGCTCGAACTCCTTTTTTGACATTTGGGATGTTGGTCAGTCCTTTTTATAGCTCCATGGTCTGTCGTACTGGCGTCCCACTAAGGAAGTATTGTCAATCATGCATGTCAATGTTGCAAAGATTGTGCCTCTAGGCCTCTTAATGCAGCAATTGTTTTGTTTCGATCAAATGTGAGTAAGTGTTTTTTTATTACTCAAAAATGACATTTTTAACTTAAACATCACGAACATGCTAAAAAAGCGATTGTGTAGTGTAGGGCCCCTGTTTTGTTTTGATCAAATTAGAGTCAAAAATACTTTTTATTGCTCAAAAATCACCTTTACAATCAAAAGCAGATTTTTCTCTAGCTTGAGTAATTCCAAGTTACAACAGGAACAAGCTCATCAGGAATTCACATGTAACATGTGTAATACTGGAGACATAACTACAGCGTGAGAGTGTGGTCTTAAGAGACCCTTCCAGAATGGCCTCCCATTTTCACCTCTATAATCCCACCCCAGATTCCATGTATATACCTCACACCATTCAGCAGTCATTCACGAAGCTAATGATCGACTTGAAACAGAACAAAAAAACCCCTAAAATGTGAAAATTGTTGACGATTTCGGCGGCTTGTCCATAAAAAAGTCCAGTTCCAACGGCCGTCGTCCATCTTGTTTGCTTAATTATGCAAATGAATGCATCATGTGATGATTATCGGAAAAAAAATGTGCGCGATGTATGTGGGTTCAATTTTCGTCTGGTGCGTTGTTGTGAAAAGCAGTCGTGGAATTAAGTGTCAATTCCCAATTTACTTTTGCAGCTCGGTTTTTATAATTCTAAAAGTCTATGGAGAGTCAAGAAAATGTTTTAAGTATTTCCTAACAAAAACATAATTTTTGCAATGACTGACCTTCATTCAGATGATATGAAGAAGAACACAAATCACAATGTCAGGTTGCAACATTCTTTCCCCTTGATGAATTTTCTGTTGCATCTTGCCATAAGAAGCCAATATGTCATTTCCTGAGTCCAAGTGGCGGCCATTTTGAAAAAAGCTGGTAACCATCTTGAAAAATAGCCCGGCCGCGTTGTCTTGAAAAATGTGTCGGGCGGCCATTTTGAAAAGAAAAAAAAGAAAAAAGGGCCTCCTCCTTCCTTTGTGTCAAAGAGGCAGGACGCTAAACATGTTTTTTTTTTATTTTGCCTTATTGTGTACATGTAATTGAAATGCACTCCTTCCTGTGGTATCGTTGAAACCAAGAAGGCTGTTTTCATTGGCTTTCAGAACTTCAGAAGATATGAAAAAGCTTTAGGACTAAACTTTCACAATTCATAAACTTGTTTTTATATGGGGAACACTCTCCATTTTTATATCTACCGGTACTCTCTCCGTAAATTATTCAAGCAAGTTTTGAACATATAAATTTGTAAATGATAGACTCATTCAGTAAGTCCTGCCCACTGTGCATGTGGGCACTTACATGCCTCTCTTAAAAGGATGTGACATTTACACGTTTAAACTAAACCCTAACTCCCTATTGTTTGGACCAAGTCTGCCCTAATCCCCCCCCCCCCCCATAACACTGCTTCCAATGAATGGCAACCATCTAACCACGTACCGTAACTTCACAGTATCCCCACCAATATGACGACATAGTGTACCAGAGTGTAGGTCGTTTTCAAATGGAACAAATCCTGTATATAAATAAACTTTGGGTGTTTTTCCAATTTGAATTTTTGAAAAATATGGGCGATCTCAAGAAGGCGAAGAAAAACATTGTTGGGTTTTTTCAATTGTAAAGTTGCGAGGTTTTATTGTTCATCGAATGCCACATATTCATTGACAGTCACTTTACACACATGGTTTAAAACTTGAAAGTTTCTGTGAGGAATATCAGCTTTTTCTAGCATCTTTAAAATCTGTCAGATATCAATTGGGCCACTACCGGTACCTCATTACATTTACAGTACATGTCAATTTTCAGCAGGCACAGGCACTTACAAACCTGTTCAACATCCCAGTTTGATTCTCAACTGGGACATGCAATAAACACTTGATCAGTGTGTTTCAAGTATTATAATATTCCATCAAATCCAAGTTTGAATATCAGAATGCTTAAACTATTCCAAAGTGCCCGGCCCTACCCTGTAGCAATTTTCTATTTGCAGCCCAAGGTAGCAGTCGCATCCATTGTCAGTACCTGAGCGACACAGACCAGGTGTTTATGACGGATGGCCGGGCCGTGGGACTCAGGAAGGACTTGAGCGGGGTCCTGCTACTGGACTCTGCCTTGCAGACGGCTGTCAGCAACAATGAGGAGACCATAGTCATTGAACTGCCTTACCTGGAGGTAGGAAGAAATAATTCACACAATAACATCAATGAACGGTTTTCATGCTCTTTATGTGTTGCATGTTGCTGCGTTTGGCAGGGTTTCTTGCCAAAATAATCTGGAGAGTTAGGGATAATGAATATAGGCCACTTCCTCAGATGCACATTTGCGACCTCCCATGAAAACTGGACAAAGTTGACCAATGTTGTTTTTTAGGTTTAGGCCTTTTCATATATTCCTGAGGTTTTCAGCTTCAAGATGATACATTTTATAAGTACTGTGACCCTATCACCCCTGGGAGAAGGATTAAGTGATAAAAGCCTAATAACCATAATAATGAGATAAACACACAGGCCTTTATCATGCTGCCACCATTTCAGTCATGTTCCCTGTATCCAATAACAGTACTGCATGATAATTGTTTGTGTGTAAAAAGGAACCAGACTATTTTTCCTTCCAGCCTCGCTTTGGTTACGTTGATTTGAATGGGAACAAATCAAGATGGCCGCAACATGATAATGGTCTATTGAAATGCCTTTGGTACAAATTTCTATACACTTTTTTGCACTAAAAGCGACCAAAAAATGCACTTCTGCTTGATGGATTATATTCAAACTTTTGGAGGTTGTAAATTTATACTTTCTGATTTAGAAAATCTCAAACCTCAAATTGGTCAGTTCCACCCCAAAATGACTTAATATGGCCAGTAGTTTAAAAAACCACTTGACCACTGGTCTAAATTCAGTCAAAAGAAAGCACCAGGCTGACGCTAAATTACTGGAGTCAGTCCAGCGGTTGCTTGGATATTTCAATCCCTGCTGGATGAGATTGGAAAATCTAATGCCCCCATGGTCATAGTGTCTTTGATTTCACTGATTCTTTATCATTAGTACTTCAATCAGTCAATCAATCAGTAAATCCATCAAAATAAGCCAATTCGGTATTCCATTGCACATGGGTTAAATATAGCGGTTCATAGGTCATTGGGGATAAACATTTACAGTAATATGACAAAGACAATGAAGCGTATTAGTTTTTTGTACTTTCTGCAATTTATTTTGGTTAGTGCCAAATTTTAAAGTGAGCAGTGACCATTGTTACATGTATGTAAGTCATTAGACATCTTACTTACCTTTGACCTTAACACCATCATTGCAAGGGAATGACATTCCAAACTAGCTTATTATCATTGGTTTCTCCAGGCTTGCCATCTACTGGAGTGTCTGAAGAAGTCCATCAAGCCATCCTCCAGCCAGCAGGAATATGTGGATGAGGTGCAGTCTAGACTAGAGACCGAACTGAGTCTAGTCAGCAGCTCCATTCAAACCGAATCCTATCACAAAGTCACCAAAGTGAGTTACTGAACCTCCTCCCTTTCTAACCCTCCAATTCTAACCCCTCCAACTCTAACCCCTCCAACTCTAGCCCCTCCTACTTTTACCCCACCGCCCTTCCTATCTAATCCCACCCCTCTCACTCTTACCCCATCCCATTCCACTCTAACCCCACCTCCTTCCACTCTAACCCTAACCCCTTCCACTCTAAACTGACCCCCTTCCATTCTAAACTGACCCCCTTCCACTCCAAACTGACCCCCTTCTACTGCTTCCTAAACAAGACAAAGCAAGACAGAAAAGCTTGTCCGAGGGTGCCCTAAATTCTATTCAATTGTATCAGAATGGCTGTTCACTGGAAGTCACGTCATGCATTTTTTTAATACACACTGTATGCTTTGTGTTGTCCGAGTGTCCGAGGGTTGTGGTACCCGCTGTTATAAATCCGATTTGAACAAGCTAGCAGACCCTGGCAAGCTTGACGGTTGAGTGGTAAGACTTCTGCACTAGTAATTAGGAGATTGTGGCTTCAAGTCCCACCCGTGTAAGCCATCAGACAACATTGAGTGTACAGTGTCATAAAATATATCGATGGAGGGCAAAAGGGTCAGTTCATAAATTTGAGGTCCAAAAGTGTCCCTGTTTCTGTGTCCCTGTTTCTGTGTCCCTGTTTCTGTGTCCCTGTTTCTGTGTCCCTGTTTCTGTGTCCCTGTTACACCTGACCTGTGTAATTTCCCATGCAGGTATTAAAATTGACTTCAAATTATTTTTTTGTTTGGCATGTATTTTGCTTTACATAATCACACGTGGAGATACAAAGCATTAAAGAATGTGTCAGATGCAACAAAGACTCATTAAAAAAAAAAAAACTATGGAATGACCCAAAACTCAATATTGAAGATAAATCACCTTGACCCAAGTTCCGTCTTATAAAAAATTTGAAACAAATTTTTTTGAAAATTTCTGTTCATAGTGGGCCACCATCCAGCTGCGAGTTTCCCTGTGTGCCTTGCGTTCTGTCTGCCGCAGTCTCCTAGACGAACTACGCCGGTCCAGTCAACACGTCAACGGTCTGTCCATCGCCGCTGCCATCGCCGACAGGCTTCAGGCCCTCTACCCAGAACCCAGCCGCAGCGTGGGGACCCAGACGGTGGACAGGGCACAGATGTACAGCGAGGCCGCCAGGCGGGAAACATTTCTGACTTGGCCCCACATGAACTACAAGTAAGTACTGAGGATAGGAAATCCACACTTAAATTTAGTTTTTTCTTCCAACAAATTTGTACACATGACTGTTTTATTTTAACCCCCCCCCCAATTTTTAAAAAAAAATGCTTCTTTTTTGAGTTGCTTTTACGCTCAAACAGATCTGCCCCGAAAGTTGACTGGATCCTGGTCCCAACATAATGGATTCCAAAAGTGGGGCAGGAACCAGTCTACCCTGGGAGAACTGAATCATTGTCAGGTTGCAAATAAAAAGAAACTTTCAAAGTAACACATGATGATGTTCTTGATATTTTATTAAGCTCTTCAATTTTTGACAGGGGCGCATCCGATCGGTGCCTTATTTAATTCTTGATCGGGGCAAACAAATTTCAACCGGTATGCACACACACATGCAATTTTTGATAGCTGATAGCACATGCAATTCTTGAATTTGGGTTTGGGTATATAAGACTTGATGATGCATTTTCGATTATTTGAATAATCAATCGAATCCAAGCTCATATAATGAATACTAAAGTATTCGCAAATACACAGTACTGAAAGACATAATGCACTTCTTAAATAGGTTTGAAGTTGACAAGGATGGCCATGATTTTGACAGCGTTCCATCTTATACAAATGTGAATGTACTCCCAAAACAATACTTCATGTACACATTTATTGTACTATGTTGATAGTATCTCAGTTTGACAGTAACTTATCTTTTATTCATGTACAGGTGGGCATTACCAGAACCTATGGCTCAGGCTGGCTTCTATCATCAGGTACATCGGAATTAAGTCATTACTTCAGTAGCTTTCCTACCATTTTCACCTTTAGCAAACTAACTAAATATAACCATTGTTCCTACAAAATGGGCCCGAAAACTTTGTTCAACTCTTCATCTAAGCACAAGGATTTTGGTGCAAACAATTTTCATGTGGATATCAAAAGTTATAAGGACCATTTGGATCAGAGTACCACTTCCGATAACGTTTTTATCAGCTTCAGGTAAATTCCATTTCACAGTCTTCACACGAGATCTTTGCTGACTTACGACATCTTAATAGTTCACTGAAACCCTGATAATTGCAAATTTATTAAAAACAGACCTTGCTTGAAAACTCATGAATTTGTATTTATATCAAGCAATAATTTTTTTCCCCCCAGCCAAGTGCAGCCGGGGATGACCGCGCCATGTGTTTCACATGTAGTGTGTGTCTAGTGTGCTGGGAACCAACCGACGAACCATGGTGAGATGTTTGCTTAATAATTTGACAGAAACTATTCATTATTCCTATTTTTCGATCAAATTTGTGATTTATTTCCTTTGATATCTATATTTCAGTGTATCTGTATTGCCAACTTCTTGGCTAAATCCAGCCCATTGTGTGGACCAGGTGCACGAGAAGACTTCCAGTCAATAGTCATTCTCAGGGATGCTGGCATTTTCATGTTTTGGAAGGGGAAAAAATATGGCATCCCTTTGAACACCAGAAAACAAATCATTGTGTATATTAAGGTATATTAAGTCCAAATTTCAGCCAAGGAAATTAATTCTGGTTAAAATAAGAGCATCCTTAAACTAATCTTTCAAACTCAAAAACCTTTAGTACACGAGAACAAAGGAATGTCTCCACAAGGATACAAATTCCAGTATGTGTGTATTTGTATGTGTAATGTATGTTGGCATCATGTCAAGTTTTTCTGGCCCTGGGGCAAAAACCCACTGGCATCCATGCATTCATAAAAATCCACTCAGACTAAGACTGGTTTGGGATGAGCTGTAGTAGGCTTTCCAAGTCTTCTTAAGAGTACATCTCTGATTTAGTTCTGCTTTCTCTTTTCAGGTCTGAGCATGAAAGACACTCCCCAAACTGCCCCTTTGTCCGAGGGGAACCTACCGAGAACGTACCGTTGTCTTTCACCCTAGCCACGGGACCTGGCCAGCTACATGGAGATGGAAGCCAGAAGGTGGGGGTAACTCAAAAAACAAAAATGTCACCAAGGACCAGTTTCATGAAGCTGCTCAGCACAAATGTGCTAAGCATAGACAATTTTGGTTAAGCAGAATTAGGTTACCAGCCAAAAACATCATGTGATCTTTACGACTGGTCCTCGGCTGACTTTTGCTTAGCATGTAAATAATTTACAGATGCTTTCAGTACACAAATTTTGGGGTTCACAATTTGAACAGAAACTCCTAAACTGCAGAGTTTCTTCCTGAAGAGACATCATAGCAACAGCGTCCTCAGTTGTCTGGAAAAGCGTGGAAAGAAAGAGTAAAAAGTTGCATAAAATATGTTCCTAAGAAAAATTCACTTCATAAACCCTTTAAAATTCTTCCATCACAGATTACCTGTGTCAGCACATCCTCTTGTCCCCATCTAATGGCAACCTCCAGTCGCCATGGTAACATCAGCCTGTGGGACGTGTCCAATCAGCTGACGCTGATCTCCAACTTCCAGATAGATCCGGAAGACCCGGCACTGACGGGCAAACCGAGGGACGCGGGGGAAGCCCTCGCACGGAGACCGCTGCCAAAGATACCCGAGGCATGGGTGGAGGAGACCAGTCTGACCGAGATCAAGGGCACTGCCAAGGAGGATGAGAAGTGAGTAGTCAGGGTGCCAGACCAAGAATCAATAAAAAGCACAGGATGTAAACAGTAAATTCATAAAATACCTGAGACAGTTTACCCAGTCCTGTTGGTCATTGTGTAGTACGCACTGGATCACTGGTCCTTAAGAACCACTATATATGATCTCCATATAGGAGATGTTGACCAAACTGTGGTGCGACGTGCACCGTAGAAGTGGCCTGAACATTGAGTAAAAATGGAAGCAGAAATTGTTGGAAGTTTGTAATTTTTTTGGACATTTTATGGCTTCGGCTCGGGCCATTTTTGGGCAGCCAGGCCCCTTTCCAGGTTTAAACAACATGTTTATAAACTGCTCCGTTACAGTATTATCCCCTTATATAAGGAATCCATTTGCCTGTTTTAGATAAAATTATCATTCGCAATCTTTGAATCAATTGTTAGTTTTGTCAGGTTAATCCAATTTTACACACAATGTCCACAGGAGGGACACACTGCGTGCACATACTGGTTTGCATGCATATGGCGTAAAGTATGCACAACTTAAAAAAGGGGGACGAACCTGTGTTCACAGGAACGGAGTGCCCATCTCTCTTTCGAAGCGATTGGGCCAGACTCGAGTCCATGAAATGCTGCTGTGGGGGGATCGCCACACCTCCTCCACAGCGAGTCTGTTACCTTCCCAGCATTGAATAATGCCGGTACTCATTTAACACCTGGGTTGAGAGGAGTAATTGAGGTGAAGCGCCTTACTCAAGGGCACAACACACATGGCCAAGGTGGGGCTCAATCCCACAATCTCATGATCATGAGGCCTGTGCCCTACCGCTAGACCACACGTGCCCTACCGCTAGACCACACGTGCCCTACAAACACAACTTATTTTTTATTGCACAACTTATTTTATTATGAATGTGTACACAAGTTTAGCCTCCTCGCATGAACATCAGGACCCGTCAGCTACAGATGTTCATTATCATGTTCAGTGTTTCCCAGTGGTTTCCTCCCAAGTCTTCTTATGTAACTGTTGAGGGAGTACCTTTGCACAGAGTCCATACACTTGTGCAGTTGTGTGATTTTTGACCAGCCAGTTGTGAATGTGACATGCCTGTTGTGCTTTTCAAGCAGCGCCAATCTGAGCGAGTGTGGCCAGGGTGTGACTGTGGAGAACGGGGAACCAGACCAAGACCAGGCTACAAGCTCACTACATCAAGAGATTGCTGCCAAAGGTACAGTAAAGTGTACGGTCCGTGTAAAGCCAAGATAGCTCAGATAGTTATCCCATTCCCTAAATAATATTTTGTTAGAAATAACATACATATATAAGTTTTAAAAAATGTTCAATTAATAACCTCCTAGCACACTGAGATGATGACAAGAGCTCCCTGGCTTGATTTTTGGATACCAAAATTTTGTACCCAATAATCCCTTTGCGCAGTGTTTACACAAAAACTGCAAATTTTCCAAGCTATAATTGTGTTCAGACATTCGTACATAATCTACATTTTAACCCCTCCCTCTCAGTGACAAAATGGAGAGAGATACCCTACCTGTCAAAATCTATCAAGTGACTGTTTTTAAAAGTTTTGAAAGTTTTCTCGAAAGTCTCCTTTGAAAAGATCAATTGACCCTTCATTGTAAATCTGTCAAAATCCTACGCCTGGTTTTGCAGTATTTTGATAGATACGGGAATGTAAACTATTTCCCATGGGGATAGTTGTCTCAGTTTTTAATATCATGTATGTGCCGTTGGTTACTGACCAGTATTGGTAAAAATGCTAAGAGAGGTAGGATTAAAAGTGATATTTCCTGGTGAAAATAAAACAAGGATCTGTTTCCAACTTCTTGACTCGGAATATACAAAACAAGGCTTCGCCCTCACCTGCCACACTTTGGATGCTACTTTGCTGCCTGTCGCCGGCTTTGTAGGCGAGGGCCTCAAGTCGTGAACACTCACACACGTAAACACATATCACTCTTTGCGTTTGTAGTCTAGCGGTGGTATGGTATATTGGAGATGTTTGACTTGTACCTTATATAGTGAAGTTACTGCATTTTGAAATTTGAGGGAACATATCTTGCTATTTATTTCCGGCTTGTAAAGTCCCGTTTATACTTCACACCAATGCAAATGTAGGGTGACTTGGACATCATAAAACAGTCGCTTCGAAATTCACTGGAGTTGATATGTGTTCAATTGTTATGAATTGACAGTAGGAGAGTTTGAAGTGACCTCACAAATTTGCAGTTGGGTTCATTTTTGCACTGAATACAAACCGACCGTTATTCTGATTTAAACGGGAACACATTTTTTCTTTTCCTGAAAACTCAGACAAGAGCTACGGCACGATTGAAGTGATTGAGGTAGGGGGAGCTTGGCGTAACATCAGTGAGCTCCATTGCAACGCCGATGTCGATGAAGCCGGCGTGATGCCCACTCCCAAAGGTAAGAATAAAATACTATGAGATGTTGATTTCAAAGATTGTGAAACATCGTCCACTGTGTGAAATCCACTCAAAAGATGTTTTTGATTTACAGAACGTCTCATTGATTTTTTCTCTCTTTACCTTGTGGTTATTAGACTGATCCATTAGGCCCATAGAGCTATATTGAATTACTTGAGCGCTAACTCCTCATTCTTACATGCGGAGATACTTTGAAGCCATCCTGCGCACAGACATTTTGAATTCATGTGCTTGTTTGTAGAACATGATGCAATTAGATGGAAAATAATTTTGAAAGTGTACTGTAAGTGCAACGCGCAAAAACATCATACACGAAAAACATACGCAAACAACTTAAGTGCGTCATGGCGGTTAAAAAACATCGTGCCAAAAATCATCTGCAGCGGATATTTTGGTTGTCATTTTCCTTATTTCGTTTTCTTTTTCGTACAGGATGCCCCGAATCCTCCACCAACCTCATTGTGTCGTCAGTGAGCATCCTTCAAGGTTTGCCCAAGGAGCCATCAGCCAGCTCGGCGGACTTAAACACCATGGACCCTCTCAGCACCCCTTGTCTTGTAGCGGCCATCTGTATACGAAAACCCGACGATGCAGACAATGCCAAAACCATTCCTGTTGAGGACTGCAAAGATGATCCCTCTCCGGCAACTACAGCCGCTCAAGGCAACCCGTTCACCTCCGCGTTTGAGAAGATGCGTATCACGGACGACACGGGACCAGAAGACGAAGCCGGTCTAGGTGTCGACATTTCCAACAGGACATTTGAGTATGCAGATGCCTATCTAGGGGACGAAGTGGACTCCAAGGGCATTGGGAAAGTCTCGGATTCTCAGCATCGCAAGTGTTTGATTACCTATGCTGCACCACCGTTAGTTAAAAATGTCGCGGTCCACAAGAAAAGTACTGATAAATCCAAGGGAGGGTTGTTTGCTACGCAATCTGGGCCCTCGACGCTACCTAAGATGTACATGTCGCAGATTCTTGAAATGGAGGAGGAGCAACAGGCATTGGTTGAGGAGCCAATCGGGATTGAGGACCTCACTGCCGACCAATCATCAAGCATCACGCTCGTGGACGGCATGAACGTAAAGCCGTTTCGCACCAGCGAGGCTGCATTGCAGTGTATAGAGCTGCCGCAGTGTGCTCAGTGCGACGATTTGTGGGTGACTTGCATAGCTCCGTGCCCCGACAAGAAACATGTACTAGTCATACTAGGACCCCATGATGGACAGCTAGACAATCCTGAAATGGTAACCAAACCACAGTGCAATACTTCAGCCAAGGAGAGTATATGTAACGAGCAAAACGACCTGAATAAGGACAGCAATTTCAGTACTGATGAGGCGGGGACGGGATTAGGTGATGACAGTGCTGGCTGCTTCAACTCCAGTACAAGAGAGACAACATCAGATACTGTGGAGGGCAACTTTGGCTTTGTTCTGATTTATCGGATCGCAACGCGAGACGGTGCAACTGTGCTCCAAGAAGACCCAGTCACTGTCCACACCATCACCTCCTCAAAAGAAATCATCCGATCCCTGGTCCCGTTACCGGTGGCCCTGTGCGACATCACTAGCGACGAAGAAGGCGAATCTACGCATCAGAACCCTCCTTCATCTGAGGCCCCGCCCAACGCCGACACAGGTTCCATTACTGCAGAACTGGCGGCGTTGAGTTTTGACGAAACCGACAGCAAACCCCAAGACAAACAGCTGGGGACGTGCGCCGTGCTGACAAGAACTGGCAAATTTCGAATCATGGAGATCCACACCTGGTCGACATTGGCCACACACCCGACACCACAGAAACACCCACACCCCTTGGGTACGGAGCGGTTCAGTGCATTAACTTATTGCACTGGGATGGAAAGGCTCTGCGTCTGTACGGAATCAGGACGCATATTGTTCTTACAACTACAAGCCAAGAATGCGCATGGATTGTTCAGACGGGGGAAGTCAGTCAAGAAGGCGATGTCTGAGCAGGAGGTTGCGGCCGAAGAAGAGACAGATGCGGCAGAAGAGAAACAAAGTAAGAAAGAAGTGCTATTTCAAGTTTGTTTTCTTTTTTGTAAATGTGCGGAGACGTGCCTCAAAACAGAGTCTTTGCAAGAATGTGTTAGCCTAGGACTATGTGTGTTAGCAATGAATAGCCATGAATGTGTGTGTGGACATCACAAAAATATGAATCGACAACACACGTTCAACTTGCATGCCGAACACAACCTCAAATGAATAATGTTGGCATGTAGTTTTTGATATAACGTGAAGAAAGAGAAATAACAAACACTCTTCACTTTTCATGCGTGCAAAATCTTATCTTAAAGATTTATGATAGAATTTCATGATAGGTCATATCAGCAACTGTCATATAAGCCATGGATCTGAGACAGTTATTTCATTAGTGGTTTACATTGGTTTATTTCAAAGATACATTTACTCTTCTCCGCATACGTGAACAGGGAACATACATTGTAAAAAAAAATGCATAACTTAGCATCTCAAATGTCAAATCAAATATTTGACTTTTAGTCAACATTATTCAAATTTAAGCAAAATTATTCAAATTATGTATAGCATGGAACTTGCATTGGCGAGATGAAAATTAATATTGCATTTTGTCCCTCACTGATGTATTTCATAACACTGAATACTCAAGTGCTCTCAAATGACTTGTGAGAAAAGAAAATCATAAGCTGACATGCCGTTTGGACTTGAACCCACAACCTCCTGCTTACTAGTGCAAACTTCTTCCACTCGACCAGAGCTTGCCGGATTGGCTGTCTAGTTTGAATCTGATCTGATGATTCAATTCATTCAACTTTTATTTGCGACTCTCAATGTTTCCAGTAGTGGATGACTACCTAGCCAACCAGCCCATCTCCATGAAGAACCTGAGCGTCCTGTGGCAGCTGACCCAGTTTGAGACGCTGGTGCCGCGATTCTCGGCCACCGTGCCCCCCTGCTGGGTGGAGATCCAACAGGAGCAACAGCAGCGACGTCACCCGCAGCATCTGCACCAACGGCAGCAAGGCGATGCTACACAGCACACTCGCACCTGGAAACTACAACCAGATGGGTAAGGAGAAACACTAGCATTTTACATCCCGTAAAGGCAAATGTGAATGCAAGTTTGACATCACAAGGCATTACAACAAAATCATGCCTCCAACCTTTAAAACCTATAAAAACCCAATATTTCAACTTAGGAGCTTATTTTGTATTTTTTGAAATAACCTATCCATAAAAAGCTATATTTTTATTCTGCTGTACATTTTAACAATTTTTAAAGAAAAGTTGGGAAAATTCATTTGACCCACAGTTTAAGTTATCACAATACCAAAATAACCACACTGTCAATACTCCTCTGTAAGATATATTTTTTACAAGTGTTTCAGAATTGGGCAAATTTCTGTCAAATTGGTTTTAGGTAACTTTATCTAGTGTGGAGAACTTGAGGTACATGTAAGCAATTCACTGTATTTCTGCCACCTCACGCACTTGGAAAGCCTTTACATACTTATATTTTGATATTTAAAAATCTATTTAAAAAACCTATATAGATGAAGAGGGGCACTGTGAGGCCTGAAATTTGTGTTTGTGTTCTCTGTCGTACTGAGAATAAAATGCTACACCTTGGAAGTACATACACCTGGAGAAAATATGCATAGGATTCTTACAATTGAACATCCATATTAGTCTAAAAATGGTTACCTTGGATGGCTACCTTGGAAACTAGAGCGTAGAATTCCCCCTGAAAACGAACACAGATAATGGCCTCCCAGCTTCTAAGATTCTAAGATGTCCTGTTTGTGAAAACAGAAGGGACATATTTAAGGTTTCAGTCTGCATCCAGTCGTATGTGATAAGAACATTTGTAAAGCGCCGGTATCCGCCTAAAAGGCGCTCATGGTTGTGGTTTCCTGAAAACTAATTTCCATATTGAAGTGCTGGTTTTTTTTTGGCGTTGGCATATCCAGCTAACTGGCCCAAAATGATGCTCATAGAGCAAGGGTTAGAAGCTCTGAGGTAGCCAAGAGGATGAGAGTGTGACAGGATAAGCCCAATAGACTAATTCACAATCAATACAAGGGACTTTTCATTTGATACTTTTAGGTCAAGTTGGAAGGAGCACCTGTTTGAGTTGGTCCTTCCCAAATCCTGCTGCGTGGGGCACGTTGACGTCAAGTTTAATCTTCACTCCAGTTGTCCGTCGGCTCCTAGGATTTATCTGACTCTCCTGAAGCAAAGCGGGACCCAAGGCAAGAAAGGTTTGTGACAGAAAGTGCTTCCCCGTTTTGCTAAAACACATCTGAAATGTTCCTGAAAGTCTGTTTTGAGTCAATTTGGCTCAACATTGCGGTGTTTATCCCCGGTTTGCTCGGCATGCTACAACTTGGAATATTTGTTATTTCCCCTGATGAGATGCCGATTGTCACAGGTTACTCCCTGACTAATGCCGGTGACCATTTATTCTCCTGAATGGAGAGAGACAATTGGGGTAAATTGGCTTGCCCATGGACACACCATATGACCAGCAGCTGGATTTTAACCTGACCCTCTGATCATGAGTCACAAACCCTAACACCAGGTCACGCTCCCCTTGCTTTATCTGATACAAAAAAAAAGTTGGAAGGGGGTTGGGAGCAGTCATGGCAATGTTTCCCCGACGATCAGAAACGTTACTTGAATATCCACAAATCAGGTTATTCCTGTGAATCTGGATGCAGGCTATAACTGGAATGAACCCATACAACGATTTTTACTCCTGTTTGCTGTTAGAAAAATGGAAATAGTTTCTGTCCATTTGTAGCTGATTATGCGAAAGACTGAAATGTTAGTTAATGTGTCGCATATGTAGAACAGGTTTCAGAGTGTTCAAAGGTCACATAATTACAAATGTGTCAAAAGTTTCTATGAAATTTACATCAAATTTGACCTCATATTTGTTAATGCCAAATTAAAGTCTTTCAGGCCTGTGCTACTATTTTCAATATATCCAAAATGGCAAGTTGTATCTGCAAAGTCTGCTTCTAAATTTCATTAATTCAACTTCATCAATGTACCATCATTCATGAGTAGTGAATGCAAGATTCAGGAAAAAAATGGTTGATTTTTTTGGTTACATTTTGTAAATGAACAGAAAAAGACTCCATGAACATCAAGTCTACACCCGTGGACGCCAAGATAGACTTCAACATGGAGGCTTCTTCCTCGGAGCCCAAAGTCCAGAACATCGACGTGGACATGACCGAGCCGTCACAGGCACCCGGTCCTGAGCCCGACTTGTTCAATGGGGACGCCTTGCTGCACTCGGCCTACCTACAGAGCCACCTGGACGACATCCTGTGCGGTCCGTGTTACATGGAGTGTTTCATCGACATGCCGAGCCACAACGGTATGGTGACGCTAACCAGCCGACAGCTCATGCTCTGCAAGAGTAGGTCTTTCCTCCTCCACATATTCGCCATGGAAACTACGGAGAGCGAGAGCAGCGCAAAGACGAAGGAGACTGGGAAAGAGAAAGGTATGCTTCAACCCAGTAGCATAGTGAAACAAATTTGAGAGGGGGGGGGGTCGAAGACGGAGACGAAGACAAGCTGGGGTTTGAGAAACAGCCTGTGACTGATGGTTTAAGCCACATCCGCATACAGTGCACCACGTGCAAGCGGGTCGTGAGCAGAGAGCGCGTTGAGCAGGTACCTCGATTTATACCCCTCCTTTGTTTACCCCCCACCACCCATTGCTCTACGCCACTCTCTCAACCAGTGTTGTAGTCGAGGTACCTGTAATGAATCACAAGGAGATCATAAGTCTGGTCACAAGGAGATCACAAGTGGCCTTGCGATTGAATTGTGATGGTCTTGTGATGACTTCTGATGACATGTGATCCATCGCAAGTACCAAGAATGACATCAACCTCCATTTTTATTTCCAGTTAAGGTCCAAGTAATGGCTTATCTCTTAATAGACCTACCCCCTTCCCTTTGACCTCTGTTCTATAAAGCAGCTTTTCTCTGTGTGTGGGTGTGTGAATTCATCCTGGATCATCAGATCAAAGCAGTTTACTCCCCTGCGAGGCGACAATCCGCCTCGTAAATCATGAGAATTATCAAGGATATTTGAAGATGCTGTTCGGTTTCCCTTTGCCACAGGCTCTCATCTGATATCGCTGCTGCAGAACACCCCCCCGGCCAGCGCCACAGAGCGGCTGGTAACGGCCCTCAGGAAGGATACCGACAAATACCGGGGCTGTGATTGGATACAGGAGCTGTCAATCACGATACGTAGAACCAAGAAAGTCAGTCTCAACAGGGATAGGTAAGGATGGAATAGACTGATCCATTGAGCCCTTCAGTGCCACACTGCATGTTCCAGCTGCGCTCGTCATATGCTTTTTGGGGCATTTCTTTTTAATCATTTCAAATTGGTTTATTTAAAAAATACAATCATGACCCGCAGCCAAGGCTGAATTGAACATGGTTTATAATAAAAATGATAGCAATTGATATGATATTAAAAACGAATCACAGCTGTGATTTGTCAAAATGTCTTGGGGCAGGACGTAATTTGTTAAGGGGAGGGGTGACCAAAATGCTCCAACAATCACTGTAAAAGGTTAAGGCAGCGCTGATGACATTCGGAAGCAGTGCGGATGATATCGAGCATAATGCAGGGCTCAATTGTGCAGGGCTGAACATAAACAATGCTGGGTACAGTCTACGAACTCCACACAATGCATCCTCAAAAATCAACTGACACTTTTTTTTGCCATTCAACCTCAATCCTCCAAAATTTGGAGGATTGAGGAGGGTTAGGGTTAATGGATCGGCCTATTTTACTTGATCAAACAGGGACTCGAACCTTGTGCAGTTTCATTCCAGCATTGGTGTAAATTGTCCGGGAAGTTTTTGTCCTCTGTCTTTGTTACTTTTTAGAAAGAAACATTTTATTGGCTTTTTCCGTGTAAACCTTTTCATTATTCATTTTTTTCTCTCATTGATATTGGTTGCGCGCAGAGTCATAGAAAAGTCTGATTTTACAAAAGTTTGTAAATTGTCTTGATATGAACAATTTTGATGTGATCTGCAAAAAACCTTCACATGGTGAATATCAAGATTTTTAGAAAATGACAATTAAATGTGATTTTTCTGCACAAGGGCAAGTAAAGAAACCTTTACTCCCTGTGTTTGTTGTAAAGTCCAAAACAGATTTTATGCGGTACAACTAAAATGTGGTACCAAAAATGTTCACAATGTGAAGATTTTTCATAAGTTGCAAAAGAGAATTCTAGAAAGTTGAACTGATTTGTCACATGACATTTTGTGTTTATTCTACATATCTCTCCATAACTTCTTTTTTTGTTTGATATTACAGACTGCAGCGCGTTGGGATGCTAGAATCCATGCAATTCCAGAAGAGTCTGGTGCTGAGCGTGATGGGTCTGGTTCCCCCGCCACAGGATATGACAACATGGCAACATTTCCAGCAGGTCTGTCTGGACGTGCTGTGTTGGGTCGCCAGCGTTCATATATGTGAACCCTTCAGGTAAAACAAGATTCTAATTAACAGAACAATTTCTTTGTTCAACTTTAAAACAATTATTAAAATGTACCTAGTCAGTGTCCCTTTGTGGTTTATGTGAAAATTTAAGATGCGTTTTGTATCAGTTAAGCTCAATGATTGATGAGTCGTTGAGAGAAAAAAAATTGAGCTTCCTTCTCTGTGATCAGGTTCCAGCTGTCTAAAAAATGTTTAAATGTTTTTGTTTTCATTGACAATTGCGAGTGCTTTTTACATGAAAGACTGCAGCCTTAAATAAAAGTGACAGATAATTTCTGAGAATTCTGAGTTCTGACATAGATGAATCTGAATCAGAACACCTCAAAAGTCCAGTCAGTATCTGACACCAAATGCTATTTGGGTCATCTTAAAGGCATATAGGATCATTTGCTTTTCATGCATTTTGTTCGTTTCCAGCGAAAACACCACTCAAAATCCAAAGAAGAATGTTAAAAAAACCTAACCTGTTGAAGGTTCAGCTCAATAGATATCATACTTTTCGAGAAAACAGTGAAGAACCGCGCACATCTTTTTGATCACGAAACCGAATTTCGTCCATAGCACTCTGTATTTCCAAATATCAATCAACTGAATGATTGTTGGAAATCACCTACATTGCTAGATTTCTTCTAAATGACAGCAAGTCGGACTGAATAATTTCACGGGATGTTTAGTACCAGTACAATGTTTAATCCAAGCAAGTTTTTGATAATAATTTGGTAGGTTGCATTTAGGATAAATTCAAATGATCCTATATGCCTTTAAATGACTCTTTAATGAAAATATATTCACATTTAGCAAAATTCCTGCACTGTCTGAAACAGCAGTTCTGTACTGTGAAATTTCAGTTGTACTTTGTAGCTCAGTTGCTTTCAAATTGTGGTAAGAAACTTCATCCATTCTGTTTATGTCTCTGTTTTTGATCTTTCAGAGTGGTCGAGTGCACCAACCTTGTAGGCACCGCCCTGGCCAACATTGGCGATCTTGTCCAGGCGTGTTACATCTCAGCAAACAGGAGCATAGCACATAAATGCAGCCAGTTCCTTGCACTATGCATGGGGTGAGTTCATCCACACAAAACACATATCAAGGAATCTACCAAAGAGTCTGTGTATAAACCGATCAGAGCACGCTATCACTGAACATTCACGGAGGCCCCTGCTAAGGGCGAAAAGCACTGTGCTAGCTATTGTACGAAGCGGCTGCCCCAATGTGGATTTTCGGACAAGTTGAGGGCAACTCACACCTTTCTCGCTTCAAACATTATCCTAAGACAGAGCTGTAGTGGAGTCAAAGTAATTCACAGATTCGGTCACTAAATGGGATCAACAATAACAAACAAATACTTTCTGTCACATTTTGTTTGAGACTGGAGAACTCGTTGACAGAATTGTAATCAAGTCAATCACAAATTAAGTCACAAGTCTATTCACAAGTCAGGCCACATATTCGGGGTTCAGCAGTGACAAAGGGATGATGCCCTTTTCACATTTCATTTGAATGGACAGTGACTGGGCTTGAGATTGGACAACGTGTGAATGAGTTGTGATGGCGTGTGGTGACATGTGATGACTTGTGGAGACATGTGATGACTTGTGGTGACTTGTGGTAACATGTGATGACTTGTGATTATTGCGGTGACGTGTGATGAAATGTGATGACTTGTGGTGACACATGATGACTTGTGGTGACGTTATGACTTGGGATGACTTGTGATGACATTTTGTGCTATGTGATGACTTGTGACATATGATGACTTTTTCTGACATATGGTGACTTGTGATGACTTGTGATGACTTGTGATGACTTGTGATGACTTGTGATGACTTATGGTGACTTATGGTGACTTTGACTTGTGGTGACATGATGATTTGTGGTGACATGATGATTTGTGGTGACATGTCAAAACTTGAGATGACTTGCGGTGACTTGTGATGGCTTGTGACTGACTTGATTATAACTTTTGACTTGTGGTGGACTTGTATTAACTTGTGGTGACATGTGACTGACTTGAGATGACTTGTGGTGACATGTGACTGACTTGTGATGACTTTTGGTGGACTTAAACACAATACTGTCCAGAATTAATTAACCTATAACGGCAGAATCGCGTCTACGCAGCTTGTGAAATATTGTCCAATTACATGAGATACAAATGGATGCAGAATGCGCAAAATCTGAGACAAACAAAATTTAACTCACAAAATTCCATAGGGTTGTCTAAGGCCAAAAAAAAAAAGTCTCCGGTTTCTGGTATGCGCGCGCGTCACCGTAGCCATGCGCGTCGGCAAAATGAAAAAGTTTTTTTTTCAATACAAGATGATGTTTCAAAACCGCCAAACTCACTGGTTTGACTGGAATTCTGCTGCTGCACAATTTTAACGTGTTTTTAGATGGGGTTATGATCGAGAATAAGATTTATGTGGCCTCTCTGGACTCCCATATATTTGCACTAAGTTTAGTCGGGCACCATTTGCAGTCATCAGCCGACATTTGAAGCCAAAAAAAAAAAAAAACCAGGTAAAAAAAAAAAAAAAGCCGCGTCGCCGCACCACTTTTGGGGCAAGCTCCATACCAGAAACCGGAGACTTTTTTTTTTTGGCCTAAGGGGCGTGGCTAGCTCGCAAATTGTGATAGGTCAATTGTGTAAGATTCGGTATAAGATTTTATGCACCTGGTAATTGCTTTGTCTTATTTTGTTTTCAGATGTGCCAAGCGCAGTCCAGACCCCAGCACCTATCTAAGCTTCAAGTTATCCCTCCTGCAGAGCCTCCTTAGCATCCTACCCTCCTTACCATCCTGTGTGTCCTCTGGCTCCATGCATTGGTTCTTCTCCATGATGGGCATGGTCAAGCAGCAGGACCCTGAGATAACCGCCCAGGCATGCCATCGCTTGCTCATGGAGACGGCCTCGGAGTTGGCCGACAGGACGCTGCCTGAGCACGCAGTTCTCAGAGCAAAGTGAGTTTCGGATTTAACCATTAGCCACACCCACATCCAGTCATGAGCCCCGCTCTCAAACAGGTTCCGCCTCCTCTGGAGCCCTAAGCACCGCCCATGAAATTTACCCCATTCACAGTGTTTTAAACCTTTGGGCTGTTCGGGATGCCGCTGGATCCCATCCTGTTTGACATGGAGCCGTCCATAATAAGCCCCGCCCCCAAACAGGTTCCGCCTCCTCTGGAGCCCCAAGCACTGCCCCAAGCACCACCCATGAAATTTACCCCATTCACAGTGTTTTAAACCTATATTTCCCACCAGGTTTGGGCTATTCGGGACCCCGCTGGATCCCGTCCTGTTTGACATGGAGCCGCCCGTCATAAGCCCCGCCCCCAAACAGGTTCCGCCTCCTCTGGAGCCCCAAGCACTGCCCCAAGCACCACCCATGAATTTTACCCCATTCACAGTGTTTAAAACCTATATTTCCCACCAGGTTTGGGCTGTTCGGGACCCCGCTGGATCCCATCCTGTTTGACATGGAGCCGCCCGTCATAAGCCCCGCCCCCAAAACAAGCTCTGCCTCCTCTGGAGCCTCAAGCACCGTCCCCTTGACGTTCCCACACCACTACAACATCCCGGCCTCGGGTTTTAGCAGCGATTTGCCAGATATCGGTGGTAGTGCCCAAGGGGGTGCCAAGCTGAGCAGCGACCCTGCCCGAAGCCCGCTGAGCGGCACTCACTTCATGAGGGGTCTGCTAGAGGTGGAGCCGCTGCATTTTGTCTGCTGTAGTACCAGTGATGGGACCCACGTTGAACGTGTCGGATCAGGTAAGCTTTTAATCTCGACTAGTCATTGAACTTATTTTTTAAGACTATTTTGGGGTGGTTTTTACCTTAACGGTGGTAAAAACCTTTGGCTATGGTGCGTGTGCCCTTGGACAAGGGACTTTGTGTACAGGAGTAAATGGGTACCTGTGAGGGCAGAGACATTTGGGGCAAGAGATGGTTATTGTGGTTGATTTTAGCTGCTTTGCGCCGAAATGGCAGCTTTGAGCTGTATACTCCCCAGGGAGCTGAGATGGTCTTTGGAATGTTTTATTGGCCCAATGAGCAGGGTAATAATGCTGCGCCAGGAGTGTCATTATGTGACAGACATGGCGCATTACAAGTCTCCATCATTATTAAAAGTTGTTGCATTTTATTACATTTAGCAGGCTCGATTGGTACATTTGTCTATTCAATTCAATTCGAAAATGTTTATTTCGTTATAAGAGCAAAATATGAAATTGGCACAAAGTCATACTTTAAGATTGAGTCATGATTTCTAAAAGTTGAACTTATAGGAGCATGCCTTAAATACATAGGTGACAAATAACAGATTATTTCAAACATAAAGAAGGACAACAAACCAATAGAAGTTAAAATGCTGGATTTGCTGTATTTTGCATTGGGACGCAGTTGCCGACAGTGCTAAGGAAAAATGAGAACTTGAAATAATCTTTTTTTTTTGTTTCTTGCAAACATTTTACAAAATTTGTTCGTACAAGTGTAATATATGATCGGTTAAGGTCCAATGTTGGACCATAATTTTATCCCCTGTTTTTCTAATCTTTGTCTATCCCAGGTGCGGAGAGTGTCCAGGGCTCGGTAGCCATCAACACCGGTAACCCAACCATGCCGGAATCTCTCACCTCCTCCCTGTCAGCGACCATGGCCTCAGCCGAGCAGCAACTACAGCTGCTGCAGCACAAGACGCAGACGCTCATCAAACTGAACCAGCAGGTCGGTCTCACTATACACAGTTATAATCGAATGCCATGGTCCAATGGACCGAACCTTAGGCCCTGCACCTTTTTGTTTTTGACCAATTAAAGCTGTGATAAATATGCAACATGTGTACACAAAAGACATTTTAGCATCAAACTTTACTCCTATTGCACAAAGACAAGGCAGTTCTTAGGTTTTGTTTCAACGTAATGCACACTTACCTGCTTGATTTTCTTGGTTAAGTTTTCTCTGTTAAGTTTTAAGTTATCTTTAAAGGCACGTAGAAACACTTGCAAATTCCCGGAAATGTATCTGCAGATTTAACGAGAAATACTTGTTTAAAGTGAAGATAGGACTGGTACCAAATACCCTGTGAAATTATTCCGCCTAAAAATTGTATCATTCAGAAGAAAATAGTCATTGAGGGTGGTTTAAGAAATGTGGCCGCGGTCACAGTTTCTTACGTAAGTTGGCAATAGAGTCGAGCTGCGAGACCCCAAAAATTGTGCATACCTTTTCTCTGTTTTCTCAAAATGTATAGTATTGCCTGAGCTGAAATTTCAACAAGTTGGTTGTTATGCACCCTTAAGATTTTGCGCAATTTTGTTGTTTCGAAAGAAAAAAACAAATAATCAAAAAGCAAATGATCCTATGTACCTTTGCTTATGTTATTCCTTTGCCGAATGAAATAATACTAACATTTGTTAAATATCTGATATTTCCAAATTTAGAAACAGAAATTGGAGCAGAAGCTACAGGAGACCAGCGCCTCCTCCACGGCCAACAGCATGCCCAGCAACCACATGTATGGGGAGTTCCTCCCAGCCACGCCCAAGAACACACCCTTCTTTATGACCCCGCCCCTGACCCCGCCCAATGAGAGTATGGGGTTCCTGTCAGTGCCGCCGCCCCCTGGTGGGTGGGACTACGGGGACATGTTTGGGTACGGCGTGTTTCCAGGACTGGAGAAAGGCAAGGGAACTCCTGAGAAAGGAAAGACAAAGGTAGTTGCTCATTCCCCCAAATAGATTAGTGTATCTGGTCATTGTCAAGCCACTTGTCACATAGCCATGTCACATGTCATTTAACCACGTCATATGTTAAGGCAGTGTCATTTCACATGTTATGTAAAAGTCATAATACTTGTATTAACACTGTCATATAATGTCCTACTCATTCGAATGTCTTGTCATTGTCATGCCACTTGTCACATAACCATGTCACGTGTCAAGGCAGTGCCATTTCACATCATGTCAAAGTCATGTGTAATGTCACCATCATGAAATGTGTCATGTCACTATCATGCCATGTGTCATGCCACAAGTTATGTAACCATGTCACATGTCAAGGCAGTTTCATTTCACATGTCATGTAAAAATTGTGATATGTGTAATGACACTATCATGTAATGTGTCATGTCACCATCATGACACATGTCATTCCTTGTGTCATGCAGATTAGCATGTAACCATGTCATGTTTCAAGGCAGTGTCATGTCACATGTCATGCCTCGTGTCTATTGTCATATCATGATCATGGTGGTGTCACTATGTGTCATCTGTCCGGTATCATTTGTTTGGTGTGGCTTTGCTGGTCAGTGCGCAGTAAACAAAACATTGGGTAGTGTCAGTAAGATCCATACCAAAAACTTACATCACCAGTTAGTCTTTTGAGATGTGTTGGACACAATTTGAGGGCGCTATTGAAATTGATTAAATTCTTTTGTATTTACCCAATTACTCAAACCAATAGCTCCCCCCTGTTATGTCCGTCATATCTCAAAAAAGGCTAGTAAGATTTGATGATCAGAATAATTGAACATTTTGGACAAGTGGTAATATTAGCTTACAAACTCAGATAATTTTTACCCAAATAACATGAGAGTATTAAATGAGAGCTTTAAAACCAACAAATCATTCCTTGTGCTTGCTTCTGACTTCTAGGGAGATGGTTCCAAGTTGGGTCCCGACGTGATGCCAAGCAACCCGCTGCTAGTGAGGAATCTCCTCAACCCTCCCCCGTCTCATGTGCTGATTGTCGACAGAATGCACTCGGGTAAGACTCGCTTCATGCAACTTTATTTCTTGAAAGTTTTGAAAATGTGTCTGTTGATTGCCAATACTGGCAGTTTATGAATGGGATTCGAAATGCTAAGGTCTTTCACACTATTGCCTCACCTACCCGTGGAACCTGATCCAATCAAACAGGGGTTGGCAAGGCATACCATTTACTCATACACCAGTTCGTGTACGGGTTTTTCTCATTATATCAATGGGTTTGTTTCCGGGTTATTATCAATGTTCCGAAGTGCCTTCAATGATAAGAAAAGGTTTTAACCTCTAATTTGAGATTTTACATTAATTGTTTTCTTCTCCACAGGAGCAAGGCGATTTGCTGTGCTGGATTTTGGCCAAGCAGTCCTGTTGACCGACATCTTCATTCCGGCCTGCTCAGACCTGGCCTCACTGTCGGTGGACGTGTGGACAAAGAGCGAGGAACTAGACGGCCGTAGGTTGGCTGTAGCGCTGGACATCAACTCCCGAGATCTGGTCATGAATGATTTGCTACCCCCGGCCTCCTGTCGGTTTCTCAAGGTAGGGCTGTAACAAAAGTATGATCTAGAAAAATATCTCATCAGTTCTAACATTATTTTTTGGTCCCCTTCTACTTTCATATTTTGTTGAATTTACGGCTTTTTTACGGCTTTTTTATTTCTATGCTAAGCAAAAGATTTCCGCGCTAAGCGGCTCCATGACCTCTGCCCCCATCACACCATAAAGGTTCGAACCAGCCAGCCGACCCTGGCAAGCCTGGGGTCAAGTGGTAGGACGTCTGCACTAGTAAGCAAGAGGTCATGGGTTCGAGTCCCACCCGAGTGGTTTGTGAATTGTTTTCTTAAAATCACTCTGGGCATAATTGAGTGTACAGTGTTTATAAAAATATGCAGGTCAAGGGCAAAAACCTAATATTGAATTTGCACCATTTTTGTTGACAGCTTACCATTGTTGGACGCTACGGAGGTAACACGGTGCGCTCCAAGATCCCTTTGGGTGTCTTCTATGGGCACACCTACGTCTTCCCGTTTGAGAACGGGCTGCAGCGCGCACCAGATACCGGTGACGACTCGGTATCAGCAGCCTCCCGCAACCACCACCTGATCCAACAGGAGCAGTTCCTTACCATGGCACTAGCAGTGCAAGAAGACATCCAGTGCCGCTACAGTCTGGCCTGTAGCAGGCTGCAGCGACTACTGCAGGCGGCGGACTTGTCGCCGTCTGCTGGAGGGACGCCGTTCCCGCCGCAGTTGAAAGAGGAGAGAAGTGAGACTTGTAAAGAGGTCCGACAGTCATATGAGGTAGGTACTAAGAGCTTACCCCTACCTTTTATAGTTGGTCTCAGCTCTATGTGTACAGTGAGCTGATTTATCGGTTTTAGAAGATGTCCACAATCTAACATCATAGGGCCTAGCAGCATGGATATTGATATCATAGGGCTTGTTTTATTTCCATCTAATTATTTCAATTATTTCCGTCCTCACTTAATTGATTTGTTGAATGCCTTTTTAATGCCACATTTGGCCACAAATTTAAAATAAGTATATTTTGAAAAAAAATCTTTCCAGTGCGATTTTGTGTATGTAAACACCGGCAATCGTGGACCTAGGACAGAAGGGTTAGGGCACAAACAATACGTCCACGATTGACCGATAGTCCACGATTGAAATTCGTGTTCAAAACCAATGAGAGCTGTTGCTAAAGAGTACAAACAAAGGAATGAGGATTACTGACAATGGGGGGTCCACGATTGCCGGTGTTTACGAAGATGTTTGTGTGTGTTATTGGCTAATTAAACAATAAATAGGTTAGTTAAACGGAATACCATTACAAGTACACTAAAATAAACAAAATAAGTTTAAAATATCGACAAGCAAACGTAAAAAGTTACAAAATAAAATTATTTTCCTACTTACCTACCTGGGTAATTTTTAAGGTGTTATTGTAAACACACATTTTGTTTTGGTCTTAGGAATGCATCCAGCTGCAGACCCAGCTGAACGCGGTCCAGCGGACCATCACCCGTCTGCAGCACTGTGAGGAAGGAGCCCCTGAGAGGCAGAAACCAGACCTGAGCTCCACATCAACTATCAAGGAGGCGTCTACGGACCAGCTTCGTCTTCTGTCAGAATACTTACTGGACACGCTTCTGAGTCTGACCAACACCAACACGACTCTGCCGGCCAGTCTGCAAAGGGTTCTACAGGTAATGCTAGAGTGTCCTTCAATAGCGGCACTATTTGTCGTTTTTACCAATGAAGGGGTACTTTTGCGCAGTGTTTGAGGCTTTGCGCAAGAACTCCGGAAGGCACTGTTGATTTGGGCTTTTAGGGTAATCGGGGGTATGTTTTCATCATCATATTTAAAAACATGTTTGTAACGTCAAAGTGATGACCAAAAACATGTTAACTCGGGCGCAAGAAAATGCTTGACACGTGTCCATTGTCATAGATCTCCAGTAAATGTGTGTGAATTCCTTTAGAATGCAAAGTTTAACATTAAATGTATGCAACTGCATTGTTGACACTTTTAAACGGAGATTACAAAAGTATTTTCTTCATTGTATTTGTTCTTTCTGTTTGAAATTTGATTGGTGAAAGACTTTTATTTGCTCACAACACAACAGAGCACAGATGAAATTCCTGTCATAAGCGTCATTTTCCCCATTCTTAACAGTTATTAGCCCCACTTAACATATTCATGAAATGCAAATTGTTTGACTCTTCAAACTGCTATGCGCCTTTTAAAAAAAACTCCTAATAAATTATGAATAATAAATTGAGCTGACAAACATTTAATCTCCTTTCCTTTTAGCTTTCTTGAACCAACAACAAACCAATCCAAACCTTTGTTTGGAACAATGACAGGCACAACCAAAGTCTTGAAAAGTTCAACTAAAAAATAAGCAAAGCCTAAAATGTATCTCTGTATATGGTCATACAAATGTCTCCCCCTGTTAATCCTCAATTTCATTGACACTTAGTAAAAACAGAATTCTGTTATTTTGGACTAACATTTTTGTGTATCAAACGATCTCTTTTTGACAGGAGACAGCCTGCAAATCTTTATTCAGGAACCTTTGCGTTATGGGCACTCCGTCCCTCCGTCTTCGTACCGGGACGCTGCTAGTCCGTGTCTGCAGCAGCCAGCCCTGGTGGGGGGAGTTCCTGGCCTCATCGCTCCAAGAATTCTTCTCATCTGAGCAGACCGCTGTGTTTCCCCAGGACAGGTGGGCGGGTCAAGATAGTTCCTTCACTAGGTTTATCTCTTTGCCAGAGTCGTAATGACTTGAGTCAATGACCTGATCATTTTGACTCCAGTCATAGGCAAACGACTTGACTCGACTCAGGTCTGCTGTACTGAGTCAAAGGCTCAAGTCCTTTAAAATTTAGAAAATTATTGTTGGACTACTTCCAAGCTTTAACTTCACAGTGAGGAACTTCAAGTGCAGTGAGCAGGCATGTGCTTACAAGGCACACAGTAATAATGTTGTACCACAGGCTTCTACTTCATACTATCATTTCAGAAATTATCAACCCTATACCAGAAACGTAAAACAATTATGCTGCAACTTCAAGCAGACTCACTTTGTGATACTGAATTAGAGCTAACTTGATTCTAGCAAGAATGTGATTTGACTCTGTGTTATGCTAATGACTTGCCTCAACTCACTGCCTTAGAATGACTTGACTTGAGTTTTGCATTTCCAAAGTGTCATAAGATAGCAGAGTCAAAATCAAGTCCTCACAAGTCAGTCACAAGTCTGTCAATCTTTAATCAAGTCATAAGATCTCGATACAAGTATTGACTCCGTGCATGAAAAAAGTAGAATGCACTTTTAGACCACTCATGAACCAACCTCTGTTACTTGTGACCAATGTGTAACGGCGCACATAATGCAAAGTAGGCACGGCTAATCTTATTCTGAATATGCTCAATGCCGTAGCATCTTCAGGTGAGCATCAGGCGTCATCAGCAATGCATTCCAATGTCCCTCCCAGTGGTCTCCCCCAACTCTCCCTTTCTCACCGTTGGGGGGGGACTTGTGCACAGAGCCCATTGGAGCTCATATTTTATACTGACTACTTTTTTCCTGTTTGCTTGGCAGAGTGTTCATCCTGCTGGCGTACCTCGGCCAGAAATCTCTCGCCTCCAACAACTCGGCCAACGTCTTGGAGAGTCTTCTGAATCTACTAGCCAGACTGATGGCCCCGTTACTGGACGGCTCCATGCAGGCCGGTACTGGGGGTAAGTGGATTCCACAAGAGGTCAGGAAACAGGACATGGACATGGCACCATGCGTGAACAATAGGGCTCTCTCACTGAACCATGTGACTGGGCATACATTCGGGTACCGGAAAGTCAGCGTCGCCATTGTAGTAGGCAAAGATCGTATAGCCTTGTGCGCAGTTGGTAGCAGGCAAGCCTTCAAAGCTGTAATGGATGGCAAAAACTGTAAGAAAAATGCGGAGCCAACACCCACTGTTCAGTTGGTACGATTATGACAACCGTACACGACACAGTGACCATTATGCCATTCGATAAAGAATCCACGGTTATTTGACGTGAAAATAAAGTGCTACTGTCTACTCTACAATGCACGGCATGGTTGCTAACCAAACGCTTGCCTACTGCAATGGTGGCTGGTCACGGGCAAACCGGATGGTCAGGTGGTACTTTGATGTTATACGATTGGACCCTATAGAGGGTGCTGTGTAACATACAGAGATTGTGAGAAGGACACTTCACTGGTTTACGCATACACTTCACCATTTATGTAATCTATGTGTACCAGGGTGTACAAGACAAGATGGCGGTCGGTCGTCCTTCAATAACAGTGCTGGGTGCTGATTTTAATTGTTAGTGAATTTGTGCACGGATTCTACATCTGGCACTTCAAAATGTCCTATGAGACGTTTTGGAAACCCCATCTTTGCCACCAGCTCTTGCTTCATCACTGGTTCTTAAGTCCACGCGGGCTTACACTGAGTCAGAGTCCCAAAAGTGGGAAACTGATATGGAGCCTAGATTTTGAAAACGCCTCAAGATTTGATGCAGTGCTTCTATAAAGTACTCTACACTTTTTTTCTTTTTTCAGGTTCACTAGACCTTGCCCTGATTGGTTGGGTGTTGCTGTTCCTGTCTCGCACCCTGGATCATACAGCCGCAGCGAGCACCTCTACCGACGACCAGGACGATGTTGCTGGGGCAACTGCTGCCCCAAAGGCTCATGGGAAGGACAGAGAGCGAAGTAAGACAACCGTTTCTCAGTAGAGTACTTCTGAAACAAGTGCTGTCGTCGAATCCATCACAAGTCGAGTCACAACTAATCTATTTTTTTTCACAAGTCAGGTCACAAGCAATAGGGTGAACAATAACAAAGGAATGTCTTTGATAGTTGATTAAAGTTATTTATGGCTTGGGACTGGATGACCTGTGATGGACTTGTGATGGACTTTTTAGAACTTTTGAGGGCTTGTGAGGACTTTAAGGACTTGTAACAGACTCGGCTATAACACTGTCTGAAAAACACTTGCTGAAACTTCAGTTGATCTAAAACTTGTAATTTTTTGAAATTGTAATTTTCATTTCTTACCTCTTCACACATTAAGTTTCTTATTTCTTGTATGCACTTTGTATCCTTGGGAAAAGGCACTTAAGCAAGTTCATTGTTATTATTATTATTATAATTATTTCACCAATGTTTTAAAGATCTTAATTTTTTTTTAAAGTTAGATTTTCAGGGGATATGGCCATAGAATTTTTCTTGTGTGTGTATGATATCAGTTATATTTTTGAAATGGGTCTTTTGCCAACTGTGAATTGTAGACAGATGTTTAAGAGAATATTGAATTTTAATTGATATTGATGACCTGAAATCATGTTTATTCAACTCATCCTATATCCAACACTTTTTTAAGTTCAAAGTATCTGCAATTTTAAAAAGTTAAACATTTTTTTCCTATATAACCTTATTTCTTAGATTTCTCCCGAATCTAAACTTACATGCATCTTTGATTTCTACTTTTGCCAACGGCTGAATAGAAATGAATTCTGCATTGAATAGAATCAAATTGAAAACGCCACATTTTTATGTGAAATAGAGCAACTCCCAGTAAGCTCATGTTTCAATGTTTATTTTGTAGGTTCCTCTTCAACGAGCGCCCGTTGGAATTTCATGGCGAGCACCCCCTTAGTCGTGGTGGGACCCTCTGCCCAGGCATCTAAGGGCGGCTGCCAGGTGCGCGTCCAGAGCAAACTAAAACAACGTCTGCTGCTGCACAAGGAACAACTAGCCAAGCTACAGGTAAGAAAACAAAATACCCCCCCCCCATCTTCTTGCAGTATTGCATTTTATTGACATGTTTAAGGACAATTCTAGCATAATGTAATTTGCTTTACAGAGCTTTTAAGAGCTCAGTGAATAAACCTTAAAAGTGTATTTTTGTATCATCTAGTAATGGTCAAGGAGATTACAGACTACAGGGTGAGTCAGAATGATTTGGACTCAAATTAAAGAAAATGTTAAAAATATGTACCAATTATCAAAACAAGTGCAAATGAGATATGTTATAGGCTGGTATTTTGGAAATATTTGGTGAACGTTTCATGTATATTCATTGTACCATTCTGAAGAAAAGCGCTAGCAAAGAACACACGCTAAAAAGACACTGACCACGGTTCCATGGTTCAACAAATTTATTGATATCGCGTACTGATAGGAAGCAGTGTAATAACAAATAAAAACCTAGTCATGGTGACTGACTCACTTGAAGTTATTGACAAATTTTAAAATATGCAAAGCCAATTCCATGTGCAGACTGGAAAATGAGCCACTTCAATGAAAATGGCGTAACTCCTCACCACAGCCACTAATTTGAAAAATTCAAAATTCCTGTGGAAGACAAGGTAATAACCATTCATGTGAATATATTCAATGTGCCATATAAAAAAATGGTGAACTTATGTCCAGATCATTCTGACTCGCCCTGTAGGAGTTTTGGATCATTTCTCTGATTCATTAATTAGATATATATGGTTCATTGCTCTGTCACAGACATTACGCTTTCCTTTCCTTTCATAACCTGCAATTGTTTGTAATGCTTAATTGGGCTGGTGCCTTGTCCTGACTTTCAGAATATGCATAAAGCAATACAGGCCAAGATGGCGGAAGGAGGCAAGGAAGCAGACCCCGCTGTCCAAGTGCATCTTAAGAAGAAACTTCAACAACATGCATCCAAGGTAAAGACGGCCAGCCGTGGATTGAACAAATATACAGGACACAGCACTATTGATTGCGAAGTTTAGCAGATTTTAGTGCCGGTGAAGCGTGAATATCAGACTCCATGAAATATGGACCCGTTTGTAGTATTGCGCATGCATAAGTATGTTAATGAAGAGAGTGACTGGTCACGTGTGAGGGATTAACCAATAATAGGGAAAAGGAGTCCGATTTTCACAGAAGTCAGATTTTCATATGACACCGACATGAGCTGGCTGAACAGTGGGTAACTCTGTGGAATTTGTTGACCTCTACTCTCAAGATACTGTCCACACAGATGGTACATTGTTTGGGTGGCGTGGGTGGCTAGTGTGTAAAGCGCTCACCTCTCACCACTGTGACCCTGGTTCGTTCCCGGCTGGGACCACATTTGAGTAGAGTTGTGTGTTGATTCTCTCCTGTGCCACGAGGATTTTTCTCCGGGCCCTCCGGTTTACCTCCCTCCGAAAAAAATCAAACTCGATCTGTGGCGGTGCTCATATATGGGTCGATTTAGCTGGCTGCCAAAGGCGCCTTTACATGCCTGCAGCTCGACCACGTTGTAGCCGCGTCCTTCACAATTCAGCTTCTCAGCTGCGAGTAAGGATGATTAGCCTCCCAAATTGTTGCTATAATTATTATTATATAGTTCACGTCACTGCTCAGAATCAGCCCAACTAGGATAAAGGTGGTTGTTTCCTACTGTTTTAAAATCAATGATCCTCGGACATCTGTGAATGCAGGTTTGCAAATAAGGTATCAATGGAAAGCTGATAAACCCCTTTGAGATAAAAATACGCTATATTAAGCACATGATTTATTTAGTTTATTTAAGGTTTACCATGTGTAAAATAGAGTGACAGCATTACGCATTTTAAGTCCAGTTTTCAGCTCTGCACTTCTGACTTTCATCTGTCTTGATATCCTAGGGGAATGCTCTTTAAGATTCTGCCGAATTTACACATCCTTTTATTATTTAATTTTCCCCCCAATTTTCAGCATCTACGTGACATCCTGCGCATCCGGCGCATCACCCGCAGCATGCGCTCACGGGGCGCCCCCAATGATCCCCCGGCCAAACCGGACAAGTCGTCGCTACGTCTGCCAGAGGTCAGCCTGCCGCGGGAGCGTTGCACCCCTGTGGTGCAGGGTCTGATGCAGCTCCTGCTGGTCATGGACTTCACCTGCCATGCTGATCTGTTCCTCTTTGCCTGCAAGGTAGGATATCTAACACCCATCCTGACAGATCCTTCAAAATCAATCAAAATCTATTTAAAGGTTTCAGAGGATTTTGTAGGATTGAGGAAGCCACCAGAGAGCATTCATTTGCCTATTGGAAAATTGCTGTTATTTTTCTTGTATTGTTTTGGCTTGCTGATAAGCCCACCTGAGAGGACATCTTTTAATTTGAGTTTGAACCTAACCTTACCCTGTAAGATCCTTCAAACTCCACCTGAAAGTTTTGGAGGATTTTGTAGGATTGAGGGAATTAGTAAGGAGCATTCTTATTGTTGCCTTGATTTGGAGTGCTCATCAGCTCAGCCTTAGAAGACTAAGTTTAATGTTTGAGTTTGAAACTAATTCTGCTTGATCCTTCAAAATCTCCCAAGAAGGTTTTGCAGGATTTTGTGGCATGTAGGAGCCAGCAGAGCGTGTTCAGTTGCTTCTTAGAAGATGAATGTCTGAATGTCCACAACACCCATTTCAAATTCCCACATTCAAATTAGTAACACCATCTGAACTAATTCAGAACAGTGGAGGAACTGACGACAAGTAAGTAGACGTAAATAATACAAATGTTCCTTTTTTGATTGGTTTATTGAAACAATTGATACTTTTTAACTTTTTTTTAGGTTTTGGCACGAGTGTCCAACTCCACCCGGCCAGCCATTTCACTGTCAGAGATTGCCACCAACGAGCAACTAATTCAGCTAATGATGCTGTGCGTCGGGACAGACTACAACAGGGGAAACTCCTCCTGGGGCGGGCCCTGGGCCACCACGGCGATCACGTACCTCCTGCAAGATACATTAGAAGGTAAGGGTAAAAAAAGGATACGAGAAAGAAATCTTGGAAAAAGTTGCAGTTCACCTGACGGTGTCTCAATGCAATTAATTGAGATTCTCAATACACAAAAGCTTCTGTACCCGATGAGCGTTATTGGAAATAAAGGTTACAGTACTTTTAAAGGTGTAAGGCCTAAAGTCGCGTGACAATGTCGGCTGTTTTTATAAATATGCACAAATCAATGAGCGTGTTATCATTTATGCAAGACATTCGTGTGACTTATTGCAAACATTTTTTCAAATCAAATTTGAAGGGATTTATCGTGTGACATAAAATGTTGCATACATTTTTCTCTGCTTGAACCGAATATTTTGTTGATTTGTCATTTTCCCTCGGTCTCACCCATGGTCGATATTAAGTTGTAGAAGCTCATCCCTTGGTGTACCCAATAGTCCCTTGTACCCAAAACCGCCCAAGCCTGTATAGTTTCATGGATTCATCAGGGAATCAATAAAAAATATAACACAATAGAGTACAGCCATTAACCCGCCTGCTATTAAAGGAGTCACGGACAGTCAAAATTCACTTCCACTTCCCCTGCTATACTTTTAACAAAGGCTAGTCACCAGCAGTCAGATCATATATCAAGCAAGCACTGTGTCTAGTCAAACTGGGTCAACAGACAAAGCAGGCAAGTTGTAGTCACAGCTGTTTTATCACTCACTCGGAGTCAAAGCATAGCTGTATCAAGTTACTTCAACAGCCCAAGGCAGTCAATCCTGCTTTATGTGGGCTGGAAATTCTTAAGGGTTGAAAGCAATCACTTGGTTGACTTTGACTGCAAGGACGACTTGGCACAGAATGTATGTTTGCATAGGAGGGTTAATGAGTTAAAAAATATCACAAAACAAGTAAAATCAACAAGAAAGGTTGAAAGGACTAACATAAAAATTTGGGTAAGTGATGGAAGTTGACATCCTCTTGTCAATCAAGGAGAGAAGCTGTACCCCTTCTCCTTGGATTCTCTCGGCGCCGTCGGAGGGCAAGAAGAAATAGACCCTGGGGAAGATCTGGATGCTGACGCCATACCTGAAGATCTGGAGGCTGTGGGTGGGGCCATGGCAGGGCCAGGGGATGACAGTGGAGGGGACGAAGGTAAATTTATAAGAATGTACTGGAGCAAATTAACAACTAGAGTGCTTAATAAAACCCCCTCTCATTTTATCTATCAGAATGGATCAAAATGTTAGTCTTTTTAGTAATACATGAAATGTTTAGTTTGATTTCTTAAACCGCTGCACATATTGGGGGATTGTTGCCTAGTTTTTAGGACTTGTGACTCATGATCAGACAGTCAGGGGTTCAAATCCAGCTGCTGGTCATATGTTGTGTCCTTGGGCAAGCCACTTCACCCCCACTTAACTCTCTCCACCCAGGAATATAAATAGGTACCAGAATTAGCTGGGGAATAACCTGTGGTAGACTGGTATACCATCCAGGGGAAATACAAATATTCTCATTCGTTTCATGCCAAGGAAACCGGAGATAAACGCCGGCCTGATGGGCCATAGTGGCTTGTGATGGACTTTACTTTAAGTAAAGGTGACTTATGCATAGGATACACCATAGGAGTGGTTTGAGTAGAGACTTTATGCACAATTACCCCCTCTTTGGTTACAAAGAGAAAGGAAGGAGGGACGCATGAAAACACTGCTCCCATACACCTCGGGGTTGTGCCGAATATGCCCAATGTTCCAACATTTGATCATCAACAGAATATCCAAATAATTATTTTCTAATCAAATATTCAAAACACTATTCTATTAAGTTTTAATCATATTAGTTGCATGGTTTTGTTGTTTGCCAAATGCCACACTTGTGTTGAAATCCACTTTTGCACATGATTTGAGAGCTTCTACAGGGTGAGTCAAAAGAAGCGGAACCAAAACCCCAAAAATTAAATTTCATATTTAAAAAAATATGTAGCACCCAACGTAATAAGGACTGGAAAGCCAATTTCATAAACTACTTTTAGATGAAAAAAATACTGAAATTGCTCAATCCGTTCAAAGAATATCACCATTTAAACGCAATGACCCTAAAACCTCTTTCGTCCAAAAATGCGATTTCAAGAATCGTCGTCACAATTGTCTTCAAACATCACCAGTGATAAAACCTCAGTTTAAAAGTTAAAAATATTCAACAAAGTCCTTTTGAAGTCCCGTCTTTTAAAAAAAGTGGATTTCATAAATCATATTGTTTGCCTAACCAGGGTTGTTAATAAAGTTATTGTGCACTACAGTTGTTGACAGTTGTTCAAACAAGTATTCCCTGTCATTTTCTTTGTTGTTCCAAACAATCAGAATACACAATAAACTTTTTTTGACTCACCCTGTATTAGGAACATAAGCATAAATTTCTTATTTCAAATCCGTCAAGTATCGGCCATTCCCCTACCTGTTCTTGTAGATACTCTCATAAGATCTTTGTCAGTTTTCAACAACCCCTAACTCTAACCCTGCAAGTGGAAGCCATAAATTCGGATTGATTTCCTCCCTTCACCCAGAGCCCATGAACCCCCTGGGTGACCCTGAGCTCGCTGAGTATGCCACGGGTGTCCCCTCGGATCCTTTTGATCACCAGTTCATGATGGACATGATCTGGGGCTCTACCAAGTACGAGGAGATGACCAACAAGTTCAGCGGCATCCAGTCCATGGTCCCCTTTGGAAGCAGTCCTGGAAGTGTTGGTTCCTCTGGGTCTATCCACCGCAAGGGAGGCAGGTGAGAAGGGAAACAAATTATTTGAAGGCATACAGGATCATTTGCATTTATCCCAAAAGTAACGTATGGAATTATTATCAAAAAGCTTACATGGATATAAGATCATACTGGGACTAAACACCCGTGAACTTATGCCATCTGGCTTGCTGTCATTTAGAAGAAATCAAGAAATGTAGGTGATTTCCAATGAAATGAAACGAAAAGTGCTAATGAAATTTGAATGATCTATAGGCAAGATTTTGGCTACTTGGCACCTTTCTGAATAAGTGATAGTGCACATGAATTACAAATGCTACAAACAACTTGAATTTTGAAGCTCTATGCAGCTCCTTCCATCCAATATTTAAAAAATTGACCGATTTCATTTTGTAACCCTACCTTTTTCTTGATTGTGAACAAAAGGTACGCCAAGGTCAACAACAATGCTGGTGATCAGAACAAGGCAGCATTGAACTGCATGCCCAATGTTTCCATGGCGATGGACGCCAGGCTAGAGCAAGGCCTGGAGATGCAGGTGGAGTGGTACTTGAAGGTAAGGTCATAGTTGAAAGGTCATAGGTCATGGATCATAGTTCATAGGTCATTTCTCTTTGTTAATACTTTCATTACCAAGGGTGACTTTTGTCGACAAGAAACCAACAGATAATTCAGTGAACGGTGATAATGTGTACGAATTTATGCAATTGATGACAAACGATACCGAAAACAGTTGCACTTTTGCATTCGCGCTTGTTGTGGTTCACACTCACCTTGCACATATACAAAAGAGCAACCTTTTTTCGTTACCACTTGTCATAAATTGCATAATTTTGTAAACAGTATCACTGTTTTCGGCCAAACAAAGAGTATGGCTGGATTGCTAAGGAATTTCAGTACTGATCAGTCGTAATTTGAGCAAGATGTGCCCAGTAGTTTTTTAGTTAGACAAAAAAGTATTAAGGGGGTACTTTTTTTGGGCTGAGTGTATTTTGCATTTGTCTTAATTTCATGAAATGGACTGATTTAAGGGCTATTCATTTATAGCAGAGATTGTTCCATTGATCAGTTCAATGTTTTGTGTGCACTGGTACTGGAAAACATCAAAAAACGCTGTTCATTTTCAACCGTCAAAGTGCAGCTCTTGGAATCTGTCGTGCATAGAACCCATAGGTCACAGAAAGAGCCCGAGTGCCATTTCTGACTTAAAAAAGTAATACATACATTTACCCGAGCGTATGCATGAAGTCAACATCTGGTTTGCGGCCGCTTAACGGATGTACTATTTTAGAAAATGGTTTGTTCATATAAATATACAAAATTTCTCTTTGAGAATGACAGCATACCAGGTTTAACGATTCCACACGATGTTTCATACTATTATTTACTTACAATCAGTTTTTATTCTGATCCCTTCTTTGTCAAGGTGACATCACTGATGGAGGCCCACTCTGTGAGCCAGACCCTCATGGGAACCCTGCCCCTCCCCCTCACTCTCCCTGCCCCACCCCCCAAACCCACTGACGCCTCCAAGACAGAATCAGCCCCCGAGGGATCTGGTACCCTGCACCGACAAGTGTCCATGACATCCAGTAAGATGCTGAGTAGCTGCTTTGATCAGCTCTTCACCAGACTACCCACCAACCAGGTAATACTTTAGGTTTTTTTTTTATGAAGTGTAATTTTTACATCCTTCAAAATCCTTCAAATCCATTTGATCTTTCAAAATCTTTCATAGTCCTCAAGCACAACACCCGACTCGGGCCAGGTGTAAATTCAGCATGAGTGTGAAACCAGCGCAACATACATTAAAGGAGTCATTGCTTCTAAACGCTTGTAAAAAAGAATTTTTCGTTTAAGGACATCATATTCTTTGAAAAAAATTTGGAGGAGAAAAATGCAAAATTTGAAAAATCAGGGGGATACTTACATAAAGGTTGTAAGATTAGTCAATAAGAACATCAAAATGACCAAAATGATCAAAATTTTCTCTTGCTACTTGAGAAAAAAATGGTGCCCATGCTCTCTGTCATATAGGTCTAGTATCGTACTACAAAACTCTATCTCATGGAAGAAAAAATATCTGCACATTTTTCAGGTCCACTTGGATGCGGTGCTAAAACTCTGGCTGACAGTGAACGAAGTCGGCCAGGAGAACGAATCCAAGCAGGAAGGTGCCTTCGACACCAGTCTGGTACCTGTAGTCACTCTCAGCGCAGACTCCATCGGTTGCCTGCTGCACGCTCTGGCCTGGAACGTCAATCTACCGGTCCACACCTGGTGTTTGGCGTTCCATTGCCTGCTGGCACTGGTTAACAGCAAGACGGAAGTGGACGGGAAGCAACAGAGCGCTGCCAACGTCATCTTGGGCCACGGCTCCCTGATCGCTGTCCTGGTGCACTTCTTGTCTGGCAGTACCATGCATGGACCGGTGGGAAGTCTACACTACCAACAGGTACGTCCCCATTGCGTAAGGCAATTGGTAAAATAAACCAGAAAATGACTTGCAGGATTTTGAACAACTTCCCAGAATCTTACTACAATGAAGTTATCAGTTTGCAAACACCAGGCTTTCAAGTATTCCTACTTTTGCCCACTTTTTCTTAGTTTTTTTTACCTTGCTCCTACTTTTCCTACTTTTTTTCTTGAAATTCCTACTTTTTCCTACTTTTTTGTCCCACATCTTCGAAAAACTAAATCTCATTGAATATTTTTCACAACAATGTTGCACACTGTTATATGTAAATCACACAATGAAGGGTTTGGGCGCAGGAGTACTGCAACTGTTCTTCCAAGAGATTAGTTTAGGATGGAACACAAGTGTTGTGAGTACAGAACATGCAAAATAAGGCTTATGATGCTGTGGACATGGGTAAGTATCAACCAAAACTACTCCTGAAAGCCCGCAAAAAGTCTTACTTTTGTCCTTTTTTGTTTACATTTTGATCCTACTGTTCTACTTTTTCACCTGGGTCTGCTTGAAATCCTGAAACACTGCTTACAACTTCATTTTCAGAATTTGTTCATAGTACACCAAAACCAGCAAAAACATATCCCTGTGTATTAGTGAACTTTCCTGAAAAAAACTCCATCATTCCCTTTAATCCAGGGTCCAAATGCTGTCCCTGACTTCTCAATACTTTAAAAGTACCATGTTCAAATAGGACTTGTAGGTGAAGTCACATCGAGAACATGGGTTTAGTCGGGTATTTTTTTGTCGTTGCTTTCACAGGTTGGCCCAACAGTCATTCAGGCCATGTACGAGTTCCTGGTGAGACTCAAGCTACGACTAGGCTCCGTTCCAGCCGCCAGTGCGCCCGACCTGAACTCACTGCTTCTCAGAGTTGTGCAGATTTTGGCTGAGCCGCAGTAAGTTCACAAAGTGGCTGGACACTAATTCTAAGTCTGGTTCTCAGTGAAATAGTGGCATCCATTAGAAGTTGTGAATTTCCTTTAAATTTCTAATATTTTTTGCAGCATTTTAAACTTATTTTTTTGAAAACTTTATCTTTATTTCACGTATCATGCTTAATTGAAAGCAAATAAATTGGGTCTGCTTTAATATTGGCCATTATATATTTGAATGATGGTAAAAAACGCAAAGGCCATTTGACCCGCTCTCTGCCAATCAAGGTGCTGAATCGGTGAGTGAAGTGTATATAAAAAGCTCTCAGACCCTGGGCTTGGCTGCTAATTGGTAATTTTATCTGATTTTAATCCATTGTTTTGATGTTTGTTAACAGTATGTACAGGGGAGCCTTCCACACCGGCACAGGTCCCCTAGATGCTCAAGTGAAGATGATGGAGTTCGTGAACGAGCAAACGTACAACCACGCCGATGTAAGTAACATCACCTACACTATCGACGCCATCAGCTTACTGGTCCACAATCACATCAGTCTGAGCAGCCGTGCTGCTACCACCACCTCCGCTTCCTCAGCTACCAACGACAGCGTCAGCGCCCGGTCCTGCTTCGGCGGGCTCTTTGCCAGCATGCTGCGTCCCGGGGAGAGCCGGGGCGCCATCACCGGCGACGCCAGCCGGGACCTCCTGATGTGCCAACTGCTCCAGCTTGTCAACCAGCTGGTGAAGATTCCCCTAGACCAAGAGGCAGCAGCCCGCGTCCAGCAAGGCCTGCCGGGGAGAACGTTAGGCTTCCCCGCTGCCTCACCCCAGCAAGTCGACACATCACCAAGGACCGACTCCAAGACCCTAACTTCGGACTCTAGCAAGAAACAGAAATCTAGCTCCCTCAGCGACGATGACAAAGAACGCTCAACCGAACCCTCCCCTCCCCAACCCCCTGAATCTATCACCCCGTGTATAGCAGACGCTGTCCTGACCGCGGGGGATTCCATCCCTCTCCTCCTTTCCTCCTTGAGTCACTGCAAGAGCAACAAGATGGCGTCCTTCCTGAATCTCAACTCGACCTCACCCCTCCAGCAGACACCCACGGACCCCATCACCAACATGGAGCCGGTGTCGGTTGGCGACAACATCTTTCAGATTCTCTGCACTATCGCCAGCAAGGTGACGTCGGTGGATCTGATGTTGCGCCCTCTATTGACGTACCTCGGAGGAGCGACAGGCAATAGCCAGGATCGAGGCCAGCCGTCCTGTGTCCTATCAGAGCCCCTGCTGTGGTTCATCTTGAAGGTGATATCTTCAGAAGCGGCTCTGCAATCTTTCCATGAAATGGGTAAGATAACTTTGGAATCCATAATGTGCTCACTAAGCCAGTTTATGTATTTGAAGATAGAATCCAAGTATATCATAATACCAACTGTGCATAATGCGTAACATTCACCGATATGCCAAATATTTGGCTATTGTGGACTTCCCCTTTGTTCTCAAATATTATTGTCAGTTACACTGAGCATTGGAATTTGAAAATTGCTGAAACTAACCAATGAATGTTCTTTTTGACTCCATTGTGGTCATTACAGTTAAGCTCTGTTGGACCAGATTCTTTCCATATAATATGACATGACGATATTATTGTTTATGCAGATCTTTTGCGAGGTTAAATCTGATCAAACAGTGGTCAATTTGGGGTGTGCATTTACAGGTAGTATAGGAACCTGGTACCCGATTGAACAAAACACGGGTACCCGTTAAAGATGTCCAATTCCAACCGAAAAATCCATATCTGAAATCACTGTTCCGGTTTTTCATCCGCACGATAATACTGCCACATCAGTGCATCAGTGCAGCAAGAAAAAAATTGGGAACAGTGAGCTCTGTGGCTTTATGGTAAAAAGTGCAACTTCCGCGAGCATCCTAAACATGAAGTATGCTTTGTTTTACCATGTAGCCTGGCTTTCATTTTGGAAATTCCCCACAATTAAATGACATTCACAACCTTTCTTTTTCATTGTCTGAGAAGTTACTAAGTTATTTGTACAGTTAATAATGGTATCCGATCCCATAATCTGGAAATGATTCCTGGCATCAACGGTCGGGTATTCGGGTATCCAGTTCTGATTCACAGCCCTAACAATGAGAACTTGCTACCTCCGAATTGCAGGTGGCGTGCAGCTGATATGTCGCAACCTGGTAGCCAGCAATCGTTCCTTCATTGACAGCTCACCCAGTAGCATCTCCGCCATCATGCAGCATCTTGGGGCATCTCTAAGGAGCTCATCATCCTCCTCCCGGTGGAGTAAGACCAATTCCTCCTCATCATCGGCAACGGCTGCTGAGACAGAGAGCGCCGAGGGACTTACAAATTTTGCCCCGTTCGGTAATAGAACAATTTCTAAAACTTTTTCAAAAAAATTAATTCAAGAAAATGTGGAAGTCGTTTTTTTTTTCCTTAGTTTTTCGAGACCTGAGACAGAGTAAAAAGTCTTTCCTTGTACTCACGCTCATGAGAGTTCCTCTTTCTCAATGTGATGTCAATGGCAAATAACACATAGCTTTCCTGTCCATGCAGATACAAACATCAACGTGGGCAAGCACAAATTGGCACATTTCCCAATTAGTATTTTAATTCTTAAAAAAATATTTTATATGGACTTTAGTAATACTCGGGTTAAGGAGTTAGGTAGGATACTTTCCTCATTTTAAAACCCTTTGATCTGGGTTTGAATCCCAATCACGCTGGCATGTGGATTGAGTTTTCATTCCCTTGGTGCAATTTTTGTTGAGTCCGCGTCTTGAGTCACTCGGGTTAAGGCAGAGTCTCAGTCATTTGGTTCAAGCCCCAGTCCGAGTCCCATTCAGTTAATGTTGTTCCTGATTTATGCCTTTGGAGGATTTTTTTAAAGGGAAACTAGCATTCTCTTTTTGCCCTCTAAGACTCACTCCCACTCTGTATCTGCGTAGCCACTCCAGGGAAACACTCCCCCTCAATATCCATGTAGCCAATCCAGGGGAAACACTTTCGACTTAGACTTCTTTGATAGTCCCCATTCAAGTTAAGCTGTCACTGATTCATTCCCCATGGAGGATTTTTTTAAACGAAAAGTAGTGCCCTCTTTTTGCCCTCCTCAACTTGCACTTCTTCTCCATATCCATGTAGCCACTCACGGGAAACAGGGACTTTTTTCGATTGTGCCTATTCAATTTAAACTGTTAATGCAGGGTTAAATTAATTATTACACCAAATTCATTTGGTGTAATAAATTAAACCAAATGAGTATGTGAATTTGTTTTTGGTGAAATTTGTATTCATCTTGAATTTGGTTTCAGGTGCTATCAACTCCAGCAGTCCTACCGCCCAACCGGCCGAGGTTCTACTCCAGCCCACGGCGCCCCATCGCAGGGCTCGCTCAGCAGCCTGGTCCTATCACTTCTACCCGGAGGAGAGCTGGTGCGATCTGACCATCACGCTGCCCAGCGCTATCCTGCTGAAAGAAGTACACATACAGCCCCATCTGACTTCCCTAGCGAGTAAGAAATCACTGTTCCTTCTGTTTTGCCCCTGCTCTTATGGTCACTAACATGTGTTTCAGACAAGGTGTTCTACAGTCCCGCTGAACAGAATAGTATTAGGAGCAACTCAGGTAGACCAACTTGGATTTTGGATTTTGACAACTTTATGAACTTTTTGTGAACTTTATGTGTTAATGATCAATTGATAAGACTCTGTAGTTGTTCTGAACAACTACAGTAGTTGATCTTTACGTGTAGTCACTCCTAACTGTTGTGGGGAAGTGTGGTCTTGTGGTTAGGGTTCATGACTCATGATCGGAGGGTCAGGGGTGCGAATCCAGCTGTTGGAAATAACATTGTTGTGTCCTTGGGCAAGCCACTTCACCCCCACTTGCCTCTCTCCACTGGGGATTATAAATGAGTAGCGCCATTAACTGGGGAGTAACCTCGATGTACTACGGGGAGTAGAAATATTCTTAGTTGTTTTGTTCCAAGGAACCAGAGATAAACCCCGGCATGATGAAGGACTTGTGATAGACTTTACTTTTTTAAGTTTGCTTTCAACTCTTAAAGATTGTTGAACGTAGATTTTGTTAAAATTGCTAACATTCATTTTCGTTTTTACATTGCAAACTCACACAACTCATTTTTTAGGGGGTCAGTTACAGTTATGTTTGTAAAATCTCATAATTTGCAAATCAATATTTGTACCTTGCAGCCTGCCCCGCGTCCGTCTCTCTCGAGATCAGCAATGCCCTGGGCTCATCCCCCACCCCCGTCAGCCCGCCCATCCCCACCACGGGACTCACCAACATCAAGCTGCACCTCCCCCAAGCTGAGGTGGTCACCTCCGTCTGTCTACGCCTGCACCGGCCCCTGGACTCCAGCACCATTGGTCTGTCGCAGATCGTGCTGCTGGGCTCGGCGGCGTTCAGCGGGGGAGGGCACAGCGACGGGACAGGGCAATCCCTGCCACCACTGATACCTGGGGAGGACCACGCTACAAAGACTAGGTAGGAAAAGGTTTCATGAAGGGCTTTCAAATCTTAGCTTTGCCTGCAGGGAATTTTGCTGCGAAGGTTTTGTGACATAAAATTAACTTTTGCATTCACGTTTGAATTGGCTATAGTTCAAGGGCTGGATGAACATCGCAATTAAAGCCAAACAATTCCCCCCCCCCCCCCTCTTTTGATTGTGAAATTTCACGTTTTTCAACTTTCATAATTTAAAAGTTTTTGGGAGGTGTAAAACTTTAAATGGATAAAATGGGTGAAAATATCTTATATGATGGAATTCTCTATTGGAGAGATGTAAACTCAAATTACAGGCACGTAGGAACATTTGCAATTACCTGGAAGCATACCTACTGATTTAACGAGAAAATCCGTGCTAAAAGCGAAGATAGGACTGGTACCAATTACCCTGTGAAATTGTTCCGCCTGAAATGTTATCATTAGGAAGAAAATAATCATTGAAGGTGGTTTTAAAACACGTGCCGGCAGGCACAGTTTTTTAAGTGCGTTAGCAGTGGAATCCGGAACAAGACCCCAAAAATTGTGCATACCTTCTCTCTGTTTTCTCAAAATGTGTGGTATCCCCTGAGCTGAAACTTCAACAAGTTATATTTTATGCACTCTTCTTAAGATTTTGAGCAATTTTGTTACTTCAAACAAACAAAATGCACAAAATGCAAATGATCCTATGTACCTTTGAAGTGGTAAATGCTCAACAATCAGTGGCTCGCGTTTTTACGTCCTTATATTTTTGTTTCACCTTTGTTTTCTTTAATTCTTAGCATGAGGTGGCTTCGCCTGCTCCACCAGTGCCTGATCCAATCACCCGTCCTAGAATCCCCCATCGCCACCACGGCCTCTCGCATGCCCTCCCTCCTGACTACCTGCACCTCCCTGCTCCTGTCCCCACACTGCCAGGAGCACGCCGTCAGCATCGAGGCTGTCCTGCTCAAGTTGGGGCTGTGTAACACCGAGGTGGGGCTGTCGCTCTTCGACGTGGTGCTCAGGAACATCTACGGCAGCGAAGGAGGTGAGTCCGAAAGACAAACAGAATGATTCTGCCCAATTTTTCATTCAATGTAGATGGCTCTCACTGACCCACATGACCCAGCCTACATACTGTACTGGAAAGTCAGCGTCGCCATTGTAGTAGGCAAAGATCGTATAGCCTCACACGCAGTAGGTAGTAGGCAAGCCCTCAAAGCTGTGATGGATGCCGAAAAACTGTGAGAAAAATGCATAGCCGACACCCAGTGATCAGTGGATATTGATTTTGACAATGGTACATGACAGAGGTAGTGACCATTATGCCATAAAGAATTTGCAGTTATTTTACGTAAAAATAAGCGTACTGCCTTGTTTACAGTGCACGACTTGGTTGCTAACCAAACACTTGCCTACTGCAATGGTGGCTGATCATAGGTAAACCGGATGGTCATATGGTACTTAGACGTCATACTATTGTAACTTTTTGAATTCAAAATTGGGTTTTGCCCATTACCGACATATTTTATTAACACTGAATACACAGTGTTGTCTGAGGGCTTGCAAGAAAGAATTCACAAGCTTACTGGCATGGGACTTGAACCCACGACCTCTGCTTACTAGTGCAGATGTCTTACCTCTTAACTATTCAGCTTGTTGGCGTCAGCTGGCTGATCTTGAATCATACGTTACCCTTTCTCGTGCAGATTTGCAGTTGTAACAACTATAAGTGTGAACCTTTCTAAGTCAAACATACTGCATTCCAAATTTAAGAGTTTTTCAAATCCTTCTTGCCAGATAACGGAGCTCCGTTGATGGGTCGCAGTGCAGACGCCTCCACTGAATCCACAGTGGATATCATCTACCAGATGGGAACCACCTTAGACCAGGGCACCAGGGACAGGTAATCATTTAACTTCAGTTTTAATTCTCTCCATTTTATATCTGTAATTTTGATGTCTGTTCCAAAAAGGTCTGAAATTTGCAAGTCAGAAATCTTTAAAATCTCAAACCTTTAACACAATTATAACAATCATTCAGGCAATTCAAAAGATTGGAACTACTTGACCTTTGACCCTTATGACCTTTTGAACTTTTGAGCTTTGACCCTTTTTTGGCAGAGTTCAAGCCCTCCTTGATTGGCTGGGTGACACGGCCCGGGTCCACCTTCATAAGAACAGCAGCTTCCACCGAAGCCCATTGACCTTCTCCCCGACCGAGGTCAGCCTCCTGAACCCCGCCTCCGCCCACGTAATGGGCGTGGCTTCCATCCTGTGGGCCAGTCATGAGATGAGGGCGCCCTACGACGTCGGCAGTCTGATCACAAAGGACCTTTTCAGGTAACATGTCCGAGTCACTAAAAGAGTTTTTTGAAACCATGTCTGTGTCTACAGCTTCGGCTCTGAGAGATTTTTAGGGTCTCTGACACTGGGAAATCAGCTCACAATGGGTACATGCTGTTTTTCAGAACATCAAATCCTCTAATGTGAAGCCAGATTTTAGAGTGTTTCTGTAAGGTTTGGACTTTTAAATTATTCTGAAGCAAGTAATGGAGCTAAAACCAGATGAAAGCCAAGGTTTTGAGAACCCCTTAGCTTGAACATTAGGTGTGGAATAGTCGGGTGCCTTCATAATGCTTTGGGGAGTGGAATGTGTGGCCCAATGGATAGGGTTCGTGACTCATGTTCAGAGGGTCAGGGGTTCGAATCCAGCTGCTGGTTATCTGTTGTGACCTTGGGCAAGCCACTTCACCCCCACTTGCCTCATTCCACCCAGGAGTATAAATGGGTACCGGCATTAGCTGGGGGGTAACCTGTGATGGACTAATGTCCCATCCAGGGGGAATAGAAATATTCTCAGTTGTTTCAATGCAACAATCCTACCCATCCAAATTTGTTATTATATTTAATATTATAATAAGCAAACTCACCTCTACTTTACTTTAATAACTTTAATAAATTTAATACTTAAATAACCCTATATTCCCTGATGGTTATTTGCAGCTCCCTGTATGAGTGGTCCGTGGTTCTACCCCTGGGCTCCCCTCTCAAGCAAGCCACGGGTTACGTCCTGTGTGCCATGTGCCACGTCCACCCGTCCTACTACGTCGCCATGCTGTCCTGGATGGGCATCATCAACCCAGAGGAAGAAGGCATGGAACTAGACGAGCCCCTCACAGGTTGGTGTCTAAGGTCAAAGGTTAAGTAAGTGGTGAACAAATATCTGTGGTGTACATGGGAATTTGGAATTTGAAATTGTTGAAATTGAAATTGAAATTAAAATAGGAAAAATGGAAAAATAATGTCATTCAAGAAATGATTTTCAAAATGGCGGCACCCTGAATGGCAATCCTACAAAGTGTCACTATTTAGAAATTAGAAATTGGAAATTCGAATTTTTGAAATTGAAATTAAGAAAACAAACAAATGGAAAGATGATGTCATCCAAAAAAAATTGGTTATCAAAATGGCAACACCCTGAATGGCAGTCCTACAAGTGTCACTATTTGCATAGCAGCTTTTAAAATCCTTGAAAAATTAATTGTGTACTGGAAGCGAAATTTTGCCAGTACTATGTGAACTTACTTGGGATGTAGAAAGTGGAAGATTTCATCCCCGACAGAAAAATTCTATTCATTGGGTGTGTCGGCCTTATTGGAAAACAAAATGAATGACTCAGGAAGTCTTTGTTACTTAAATTAGTGGCATTTGAGATCCATGCCAGTTGTTTGGCTAAATTAATTGGATGAGAACTATGATGGAATGTTTTGCTGGGTATGCAATAACCGTTCGCCAACGTTGGTGGTAAACGTTTGGCCCCACTTGCACAAACATTGGCAAAAATTTGCATAGTTTGCGTAAGTGCAATGCATCCCAGTACAGTGTGAATGATTGTTGAGGATCGGATACATCATTGTTATGACATGTTCATGGTTTAGTATTGTTCAGAGTGATCAGGGATAATCTGTGTCCATTTTCTTTTTCCGTCTCTTAAAACCAAGATGACAGCAAGGACGCTCAGGAACATGGACAAGGTCTAACAGATGACAGTAAAGGAGCCAGCCGGCAGTCACCAAGTCGTCCGGTCCACATCAACATGCTGGATCAACTCCATCTAGCCACTCTAGCCCTGGCCTCCCAGTCCCCTCAAGCCACTAGGATCCTCCTGGACTCCAACTTCCCTAACATGTTGGCCAACGCCTTGATGGACTTCTGCAATTATGAGATCTACCGCAGCCGGCAAGGGATGGAGGATAGCCCAGCCTGGCAGACCGACTCATACAAGTTGATTGAAGGGCAGGGTTTGTCATCCCCGCGGACTTACAGCACGGGAAGCTTTGATGGAACCACGGTGTCGGTGGTCCACATCACCTCGGACAAGATTGCCCCGATCCTGGATCTGTTTACGGAGCTGAGTGGCCAGCTGGTCATGAAGAACTGGCTGGGAGGTCCCGAGGGCAGTGTCTTCTGGTCCTCGCTTCTCATGCTGCTGTGTAGCGTCAGCTCCAACGTCGTGCAGGCTAACACCCCGCCCGCCAACGCTCGCAAGTCCATGGTCATGACTTCGCAGCAGCGGGCGGCTATCGAGAGCTCCACCATCACGTTCTTCACTCGCGTCATCTCCTGCCATCCGGCCAACCAGCGACTCCTCGCCCAGGTGGTCTGCGAGGTGGCCTGTAGTCGCAGCAGTCAGGCGGGAATGCGGCTCGCCATCTCCGGCTTCACCCGACGTCTGATCCTCCAACTCATGCTCGAAGACGAGAAACTCCTCGTGTACATGCAAGGGGCCTGTCGACTCTATAAGGGGCGGGGCAAGGCGACCAACAGCGGGGCATCGCATCCGCAGTTTGGCGTCGGGCACAAGTTCCGAGTCATGGAGCCAAAGATGACCGCAACAGTGGGAACACTGGTTACTGAAGTCTGTGGTAGGTATTAATCCATGGGTCGCTGTACTTGCCAAAACCACTCAGTGTTTTATAATACACCTCTTGCTTATTATATATCTTGGTTGGGTTAAACATTGTCATGCAAGTTCACTTACATAGTCAGTTTCCCTTTGTGGTTTATTTGAAAATTTGTAATAAAAGCCATATCCTCTTTGAGTGATCCCCGTTTGCTATTTCCTAAATTGGCAGCATTGCTAATGTTGCTAGCATCGTGACTTTGGGTGTGATCCCTGGCTACACGGCATAGACAGGTTTATGGCTTCTGACTAGCGCCCCTTGAACAAAGACATAGACACAATGGGGAGCCGCCAACATAGGGCTGGATAGCTCAGTTGGTAGAGCACTGGAACGGCAATCTGAAGCTCGCAGGTTCAAACCCCACTCCAGTCAATTTCTTTGTTTAAGTTTGAAAGAAAACATTTAAATAACAGTTAAAATAAATTTAAGACTGTAATAGATGAGTTATAAGGAAGACTACAACAAAATGAACAATGCAAAACGCAGGCCCGAAGAATTGCCTAAAAAGCTAATAATGCTAATAGAAAGGCTTATGCAGGATGTTTTTGCCCTCCTTAGATGCCCTGTCACTAGTGAAGAACACATCACTACCCAAGGACCCCAAACCAAGGGGAGAGAGAGCCAGGAAAGAGGAGCCATTCGTCTTGGTAGACTACCTGCCTGGCAAGAAGGAGCTACTAGAATCTGAACAGTACATCAATTACGCCACCCATCAAGGTAAGCAGTGGTTTCGATCAATATCCAGGATTAGTTGTGGAAAAGTTTCTCCGCTATACACCCATTTTATCGGGTCTTTGCTGCAGGATTCTGACCAATCCTGAAATCTTCATAAAGTGCAATTGTTTGTAAACAATACTGCTAAGAGCAATTCCATTGTTACGGACGTTACATTTAGAGCCATATACCAATTCGAAACAACAAAGTAAAATACTTGCAGTGAAAGCACATTTTATACTATTTGGTACAACCATAGCTTGGGTCTTAAAGCTATAGTCCATCATTTGCAGCTATCCAAAAAGTAACTGGCGTAATTATTGTTGAAAAACATACTTGGTTGAAAGATAGTAAAGGGGACTAAACTCCCTGTGAAATCATCCTTTCTGGCAAGCTGTCATTTTGAAGTAATCAACGAAAGAAGGCCTTTCCAACGGTGCTTCTTAAGACGCACCGTAGGAAATTTAAATTAGTAGTTCAGTTTTGTTATTCCGCGAAGCATGCGCAAGCATTGGCACGACGCACACGCACGGGCGGTTGCTATAATTCGTCAGATCAGTACGTGACATCGCGTAGCTGCAATTGGCTCAGTGAGAACGTGTCTCGGATGCTGAATTCAGGCCCAATTCAAAACATGATTCAGCAACTGTTGATTTGAAATTGAGATCCTAGAATGCTGTTTTTCTCAGAATATACAGCTGAAGCTGAGCTGAAACTTCATCAGGTTAGTTGTTCAGTACCCTTCTTTAGATTTTGAGCACTTTTGTTGCTTCAAACGAACAAAATGCACAAATTGCAAATGATGGACTATATCTTTAACCCTAATTCCCATCGGGTATTCTTCAGGTACCCTGCTAAATGCAACAAATTGCAACAATGGATTATGTTGCATTGTGCAGTGAACCCAGTGCACACCAAACTTGGCACCAAGCAGTTGCCCTGCTAAATGCAACAAACTGCAACAGTGGATACCCTTGTATCACCTTGGCTCTATGAGCAGTTACCCTGCTAATTGCAACAAGGTGCAACAGAGCACGGGGACTTAAGTTGGCTGCTAAATGCAACAGTATGCTACAACTTTTTACAACATGACAGTTTTAAAGTAGTGTTATCTGAATTATTTTATGATATATAATCGCTGTAAACGTCCGTTACGCATGTTACGCACGTTACGCTTTAAGACACGGGGTGTAATGTCTTGCTGCAGTTCATATGAGTACCTTTTCAAGTGACTTGACACTGGAAGACTTTAGATTACCTTGTGACTTGACTACAGCTCTGAGGAAACATGTATCAGATAGTTGTGCATCTTCTCTCCACATGTTCATCAGGCTAGCCAGTCAAGAGTCAACTGGGGACTTCGTAGGAATCCTTGGTTTCATTTCCAGAAATCAATAACAATATGTCCCATGTTTTGTGCAGTGCTATACTTTGCTCATTTTAAAAATCTTTCCATCTTGTTTGACTTTCCAGGCACCAAACCCAAGAAGCCAATGACCTCCTCCCACATGGACAAAGACCTGAACCCCTCCTCCTTCTCAGCCTTCACCTCCACCCCATCCTCGGCCTCGGTGGCTTTCCCCCTCCTACCCATCTCAAGCCACGCCCTCTCCAAGCCCCCACTGGCCACCGCGGGCCCAGCCCCCTCCTCACGACCACCCGCCAAGGACCCCATGCAGGTCCCTGTGGTGACCTTATCCCACGACCTCTTGCCGGAGGTCAGCTTGCCGGACGGGTTGGCACTGGGCCAACTTCTGGCCGTCCTGCAGAGTAAAGGGCTCCCTCTAGGGTCGCCTTACCTGGAGCTGAGGTTGAATCTTGGGATGCAGGAGATCGGAGCGACATCCAAGACGGACAGCTCCAAGAGTAGAGAGGCAAAAGAAGGTTAACTAAAAAATTTAAAGCTTCAGATTTTTTTTAAGATTTGAAGTTTGAAGTCCATGTTTTAAATTCTGGCAGCTAACTTTGTTCCAAAATAGAATATTGACCACAAAGTTTGTTTAGCTTTGTGGAAATGTGATTGAAAAGTAACGACTTTCAGAGCGTTCTCTTTTTAAGTATTCTCTTACCAAGTAAAACCGTAAAGAGATAAAGGGACCATATTTGCTCTTAGGTAACACAAGGTTTGAAAAAGGAATGAACAAGGGTTCAATTAGAATTTTCAATGCCCGGAACGCCATTCTGTCAATATTTATTTACGCAGGCACTTGCGGAATCATTTTTCTTACAATATTTGATTGTTGCTGTAAAAAATGACAGAAAATGCATTTAGCTTATCTGAAGGCTGTTTTGGAGTCATCTTTAGACAAAGAAATGTGAATATTGATGACTAGTATTAAAAGCAAAAAGTCCATACCCGTATTTTAATTATTGGGAGGCAAGTAATTGTGTACCTTTGATGTTAAATTCAACGTAAAACCGAAACAAACAAATGTTATTTTCAAGCAATCCACATGCATGTAGAAAATTGATAGTAATTTGACTAAAACTCATTGTTTTCAAGAACACATCTTCGATTACTTATACTTCTCACAGCTGCAACACTAAACGGATCTGCTGCATCAGCCCCAGCAACTGCGACAGGGATCCCTGGCACGGTGGAAAACGGCACCCATTCTGACAAGTCCACACTGCTGGACTCCACCCCAGTGCCCTCCTTCCTGCACGTCTTTGCCAGCCTAGGGGGCCTGGCGCTGATCGCTGAGCACCTGCCCATCGTGTACCACGACATTCCAAGGCAGGTTGTCGGGACGACAGCGCGGCACTCTGAGAAGAACGGGGAAGGGGGCATGATGGCCTGGCACTCCAGCACGCCGGAGCACTGGGGATCTGCCTCACAAGGCATCGTTGAAGAAGAAGATGTGAGTTTAACACTACCCTTTAAACGGAAAATACAACATTTGCAAACATCAAAAAATAAAACTACCAAATCATTTTGAAATAACTTGCTGGACTGTTAGTGAATGACAGTGTAAAGCATCCTGTAAAATCATGGCACCTGGTATACTGTCATTTTCAAGAAAAGTGGTATTTTTGTATCAATTTCCAACGCTGATCGGCTGACCAGCGTTGGAAAAAACTGGCTTTTTTTCAAATACTGGCCCCAGTTGACCATCGCACTTGTTTGCAATCGATTACACACCTATGAACGGGTACAAGCCAGCTAGACTGGTTCCCTGACCTTACAATTCCCCAATATATGTAAACTGCTGTGTTTCTTCTTAAATGGAGTCAGGGAACCAGACTACAGGAAAATGATTGTTTTTCTTGGTTTTTATAGCATTTCGAAACCAAAACCTCAAAAAAGTCAGTGTAACTATATTTTCTATATATTTCCAACCCCCCAATTCCATCCATTTCTGAAAATTACAGCAAAAGCAAATGATGTATATTCCCTTTAATCTTTGCTTTTACAAGAGGAGAAGTGACATTTTTTTCATTTAACCATTTCAAAACCATTGGCAACTTACGTCACTATAGGCGACTTAATTTGACAAGTAAAACCGTTCATTCAGTGGTTTTCAACAAGCTAGCATGTTGGTATGTTTTACTGCTTATACATTATCCACATACCATCTAAAATAGTATTTTTCAGATTGTATGATGAGTAGGTAGTTCATAGCTTATCTACCATTTTCTTTTACAGCCAGCATTCTCGCACTCGGGCATTGAGCCGCCACCACCTAGCGGCCTGTCCAACGCCGCGGCCCCGGCTGCCCACGGTCCAGTCCACACTACAGCGGTCATCCCCCCACACTCCCTGGCCGCGTTTGGCCTGTTCCTGCGACTCCCTGGCTATGCCGAGGTCCTACTCAGGGAACAGAAGAAGGCACAGTTCCTTCTGAGGCTAGTGCTAGGAGTGACGGACGATGGGGATGGAGGTCCGATAATTCTTGTCATTTCACAGATTTATTCCTTTTTGTGTGTGTGTGTGCTGGTCCCAGAGGGGCAAGTATGGGGATCAGTGGTTCAGGTGTGCAGAGCCACATATGGAAACATGTATATCAGACGAAACATGAAACATAATCAGACGAAACATGAAACATGACAATGGGGATGGAGGTACGATAATTCTTATCATCTTCCGCAAACCTTTCATTATTTAGTATCTCCACCATGCAAAGCCTCAAATCTTACTTAAAGGGAATACACAACATTTGCAAACATCGAAAAACAAAACTACCATTTTTTTACGAAATACCTTACTAGGATGTTGGTAAATGACAGTCTAAAGCATCCTGTAAAATGATGGCACCATGTGTGAAGTCATTTTCAAGGAAAGTGGTATTTTGTATAAATTTCCAACCGTGGTCGGCCGACCACCGTTGGAAAAACCTAACTATTTTTCAACAACTGCTCCAAATTTACCAATTTTGTTCAGTCCAAATTTTGTTTGCAATTGGTTACATGTTCATGAACGGGTGCAGGCCAGTTAGACTGGTTCCATTATCTTACAATTTTCCGGCATCTATAAATGATCCATTTTATCTTTAGTGGAGTCAGGGAACCAGACTACTTGAAATTTTTGTTTTTCTTCGTTTTTCCAGTATTTTCGAACACAAAACTTCAAACATGTCAGTGTAACAATATTTGATCTGTTATACTAACCTCTCAAATTTCTGAAAATTACAGCAAAAGCCAATGATGTACATTCCCTTTAATTCTTATCATGATATATCAGTGCTTACAAATTGTATGCAACCCGTGCGCTAGCCAATCGGAACCATCTTTAGATGTTGTGACGTCATTTAAAGCAGAAATTCGGCCAAAGCTGTTGAGTGGTCAGTAGCTGCCATGTTTTTCTCATACAACATTGGGTTACCAAAGACACGATGGAATGCGCCCGCTGAATGGTCAGAATCTGGAGGTCGAGTTGCAGTGACGTTTTGCATAATCTGAATGCATATCATTGACGCTTAGCGTGCAAGCTTCTATTCCATAGACTGCAGAGGGGCGGGCTACAGTTGTCTTCGTTCCTTACTGACTGACTGAATGACTGACTAACTAATGCACATGCGGTTTAGCATCTATACCACATGTGTATTATATTAGTCTGCGCCACTCGTGTACTTCCATGATACATGTGTAAGCAGTAAGTCAAGTCTCCATGCGAATGGTGAAAGTGGATTTTTTATTTCCACCACATTACTACTATAGCTTATCCTTCGAACTTTTTTGCCATTCCGAATTCAAAGAATAGAATTTCGTGCACTCTAGGACCAGCTTTAGTAGGCTTGCCGTGTCTTGTGGACATTTGAAAGTATATATTATATATGTATGCATTAAAGCTAGGAGCTTAAAAAAATACAGCAAGTTGTTCTTTTTTGTCTCCCTGCAGGTCACATTCTGTCCTCCCCAGTGGCATCGTCTCTGCCCACCCTTCCGTTCACCGTTCTGGTCACCTTGTTTGACAGTACTCCCCTGACCACCGATGACGGTGTGTTACTACGGAGACGGACGTTGGAGATTGGCGCCGTTCACCTCCTGCTTGCGTTCCTGGCCATTCTGAGTCACCACGGTCCCAGAGTCAGTAGTGCCACAACCACACAGGAGGTTTGTAAAGTTTTTTGTTCTATTTGCTTTTTGTGCATATTTTAGCTGCAGAAAGCAGCTCAAGAAAGGATCGTGTCTCTCTGTTGGTTAGTAACAAACTTCAGCAAATGCCTTTTTTTGCCAATCAATCACCTTGTCCCTTAGGCCCTCGCAACAACACGTGCTTCAGGTCTCCACTGACCAATACCGATTTATTGCAGTCGTGGCAATTGGGTCACGGGCTCACGAGGTCACTCATTTTGCTTTGGGCCGGGGCTAGCATAGCTCTGTATTGCACACAAATTGGGTGTTCCACATGCTATAAAACGCTCCATGCACCAACTGACATTCAATTTATAAACTTATGGCACATATCGCATTTTATGGAACAATTGTTTTGTGTTTCGCTTCAGTGGGGCACCCCAAATAGCAATCAAGGCCCTGCCCCTCCCCCATCCAACGACCAGAAGAATCAATCCTACTGGGCCAAGGGGACAGGCTTCGGGACTGGGTCGACGACCTCTGGATGGAACGTGGAGCAGGCACTGAACAAGCAGAAGGCGGAGGAGGAGCATGCAACATGTCTGCTACTGGTGAGATATAGGATAGATATTGGGTGAATAACTAGAAAAGTATGGGCAAACTATAGGTTGGATATTCTGAAAGTATCATCAGTTTATAGATATAAAGCTAAAATGTATTGAAGGCCTTCGGGTCACAGTTTTAAGGTAAAGTTTTCAATTCCAGGCTTTCGTCTGTGGCTTTTGTTTTTGTTTTTTGTATTTGGTATTTTGTGATTTTTGTTGTTTGTTTGTTTTTAAGCTAAATAAATAATAATAAATAATAGTAATAATAATAAAATATTAGTGAGTTGTATAGGTGAAGTATAGGTCAGATATTCCAAAAGTATGAATGTCTTTGAGATACATTAATATTTACTTATAAAGCACATATGCTAGCTCATACATTTGAGTCCAAAATCTATGTCCAAAATCGCCCTAAAATACTTCTTATTCAGCAAAATAGAGAGAGATGATATATTATTAGCTTTATACAGGTAATGCTTACATTTGTTAGCGCTAAACAAGGATAGCAGTTGTTGATGTGGTTAAAATGGTCAAACGAGGGTGCTGTTCAACAAAATGGACAAACGGTCCAGAACAGAAAAGTATCAGTTTAAGTGAGTTACCAAAGACTATGGTTATAGTGGCAATTATAGATGAGCTTTGAAAGGTATTAGTGATTAGAGTTATGCTCTCGGCGTGGTGGTCGAGCAGTAAGACTTCTGTGCTAGTAAACAGGAGTAAGCTTGAGATTTTTTCTTACAAGATCTTGGATAATACCAAGAATGCAGAGCTTGTAATGTTGGTGATTAGCAAAACGCGATATTGAGTAACTTCTTGTTCTTTGCATTTTTGATTCTCAGGTACTGTCTAGTTTCATCAGCCCCAACCCTCGGCGATCTGGCAACTCGTTGACCTCCCAGAAGGATTCCTCGGGCGACGTCAGCACGGAGCAACTCCGCAGCATCTTCCCAGAGATCTTCATCGAGTTGCTTAGCAACTCTTGCCTCATCCCAGCCATCTCCTCCTACCTCCGGAACGATTCAGGTCAGTTGTAGTGACCATCCCCCTTCCCCTCCTCCCCTCCTCCCAAACACCAAACTTCTTAAGTCTTCCAGAATACAGTGGGTTACTGCAACACCATATGGCCTCTCTGAGTGATCCCCTAGTACAGTTTACCAGGTCTGCAGTATGGTATGTACAGATTGGGAGACCGCCAACATGGTGCTGGATACCTTAGTTGGTACAGCACCTCTTAGGGTCGCAGGTTCAAACCCTGCTCCAGTCAATGTTTTTGAGCAACCTCTTATTGATTTAATGTGAATCTAGTCGGTTTTCCTTTGTGATTTGTTGATGACTTGTTATAAAATACAGCGTCGCCTCTCTGATTGATGCTCGATTGCCATTTCCCAGCTTTGCAGTGTTGTTGACTTTGGGCGTGATCTCTGGATACATGGCTTATTCAGGTTAATGGCTTCTGACTAGCACCCCTTGAACAAAAACAATGACCAATAGGGGAACCCCCAACATAGGGATGGATAGCTCATTTGGTATAGCATCTCGAAGAATACTAACATGCCAGCTTGTTGAAAAGGAGTGAATATATCACCGTCCCTTCTTCTGTTACAGTCTTGGACATGGCCAGACACGTGCCGTTGTACTGTGCTGTACTGGAGGTCCTACGAGCCCTGTCCCAGAATCCCTTGCTAGCCCCTCTGTTGCTACCACGGGACGGTGATCAGTCAGAAATGTCGCTGGTGGCACTCCTGGAGAACATGAAGTCATGTGTGGACACCTATACCTCCAAACTCAAGTAAGAACAGGGCCAGTTCCCCAGTGTCAGACGTACATTTTGGACAATTTAGCAGTGGAATAATTATAGTTATAATCATAAAGTGGAAAGAAATTATTCATCCAAGTACTTCACTGTAGTAGTAATCGCTGACCATGACGTAATGTGACTCCATACCTATTGAAGAATTTTTTTATACATTTCCTTTTCCAAAATCTTTTGTATAATTTTACTAATACTATTACTGCTTAGGTTGAACAAGGATCCCAAGCCATCCCATCACATCAAGCACACCGGTGGGCCGAGTACCGAGGAGGATCTAGAGGCCGAAGGGCTGACGCTACTGGTGCCTCAGATTCAGCACACTGTGGACATCGTTAGGCAGGGAACCAGCAAGCTGATTGCTGAGACTATGGGTAAGATGTGGCTACATCGAAATGACTTGGCTATGGCTAGCTGAAGCACACATGTGTCTATGGGAAGTGGCTTCAGCTGCTTTCCATAGATGCATGTGTAATTGTAAGCCGTAGCCATATACAGTCGAATCTCGTTAGTACAAACTCTGTTAATACAAAATTCTGGTTATAACAAACATAAAGCCTTAGTCCCGACTGTGCATTTATGTGCACAATGAATGGGACTGATGTTCCTCTTAATACAAAATTCTGATATAACAAACAATTTGGCTAGGTCCGAACGAGTTTGCATTAACGAGACTCAACTGTAATTAGGATGTGGCATGTGCTGGAGACTCAAGTTTAGTCGTCCAAGACTGCATTTGAATTTTGTTCCCCTAATACAGTCGGTCCCTGACAAGCATGGTGAAACCCAACCCCACCCCCGACTTACCCCCACCCCCGACTTACCCCCACCCCCACCCCCACCCCACCAAGTAGGCAGAAGTCACTAGAGATATTTTTGATACTTCCCATGATAAGTTAACTTTCACTTGTGTCACATGCTGAGGGTGAAATTAGACCCCCTATAAAAACTATTTGAACAAAACTGACCTAGGACAATCAAATTTCAGCTGTGGCATGCATAACTGATGCACTTAAAGTGCAAACTTTGTTTTGACAAATACAGTAAGTGGTCGATGAAAGTCTGATGACCGACTGTAATATCAATCTCTTGAATTTTAAACAGAAAAGTCTGGTGTGTAAACTGAGCAGATGCAATGTCATTTAAAAATTGAAATATCAGTTGCTATTCCAGACATTGGTCTGATCTTTCAGTTAAATCAACAGGATCAATATGATTTACTACTGGATTTCTAGCACTTATTTGTCTATTAAACTGTTTCTTCTCACATTTGTATTAGGTGAAGGACTTTTTGGAGAAGGCAGCCGGTCGATGGGTCGTAACTTCGGCCAGGTCTCCAAACTCACCTTTGAGGAAAGATACACTAGCGTCATGAAGAAACTTCAGTTTGGTAAAGTCAGCTTTCCTGCCAAATCCTTAACCGCAAAACCCATTCAAAGTTATGACAGTTTCAGACTAATCGGGTGTCATACCACCCTCTAGCGTTTTTAACTGAATTCAGTTCTCAAATGTTTTCATTTGTCATTTCCATTAAATATTTTCAGAAAAAAAATCAGTTAAGGACAGTTCATACGCAAAAAGAAATTTGAGGTTTTTTTAAAATAATATTTGTCATGACCTCACCAATTCATAGTTGCTTTTGTGCTGAGATTATTTGCTAACAAAAAACTGAAATGAATTGGGCCCAGGGGAGTTCCCAAACCCAAGGTTTATTCATGGACTCCAGTTTAAGAATTTTTTAAGTCCCTGACATATGAGACACAGGCTCAGTATCTGGTTACTTTTCTGCTGCTTTACATTTTACTTCTGACATTTTCAGAACAAAGGTTCAAATGTTTTTCTTTTACATTGAGCATTAATCCCAACTCCCTAGCATGATTTACTAGGAACCATACCCATGCTGGCAAATTCTAACACCATGTGGGAAACTGCACACGCATATTTCTGACTTTGATTCTGGAGGTGTGCCAACCCAATGTAAAAGACTGTCAGTTTAGGGGTACTGTACCCATCCTGACAGATTCCAACAACACATGCCATTGGGGTTTGATGGGTTGAGTTCTGTTAAGGTTAAAGGCTCTTGAAATTATTTGGAGCTCAAGACATTGCTGATACAAATCCAAGTTTTTGAAAACACCTAGTGGTCTATGTTCTGAATAGCATGCTTATTCCCTAACTAAGGTCATGTCGGAATTACATAGCCACAGCTGGAAATTACACGCTCGGCTATGGATGCGGCTTCAGCCACTTCCCATAGAACTGTGTGTTACTTCTAGCCATAGCCAAGTAATGTCTGAATTATTGGCTACGGCTGAAAATTACACACATGCCTATGGAAGTGGCTGCAGCCACTTCTCATAGAACGGTGTGGTATTTTTTAGCCATAGCCAAGTATTGTCCGAATTATTGGCTATGGCTGAAAATTACACACATGCCTATGGAAGCGGCTTCAGCCACTTCCGATAGACCTGTGTGTTACTTCTAGCCGTAGCCAAGTAATGTTCGAATTATTGGCTATGGCTTACAATTACACACATGCCTATGGAAGCGGCTGCAGCCACTTCTCATAGAACCGTGTGTTATTTCTAGCCATAGCCAAGTAATGTTCGAATTATTGGCTACGGCTGAAAATTACACACATGCCTATGGAAGCGGCTGCAGCCGCTTCTCATAGAACTATGTGTTATTTCTAGCCATAGCCAAGTAACTCAAACGCGTCCTAATGATTTTTTTTCTCTCCAGACACGTACCCAATGGTCGGTGATGACGACGATGGCAAGATCTTCTTGAAGGTGTCGCACCACTACGCCTCCAACATCAAGTCCTACGGTAACGTGAGTAACGCCTCTAGGGCACGTCGTTTGGCTCAGGAGGCCGTCACGCTGTCCACGTCGCTACCCCTGTCGGCCTGCTCTAGCGTCTTCGTCAGGTGTGATGAGGAGAGACTAGATGTTATGAAGGTAACCAAAACTATGTTTTTGTTTGTCATAATATCAGTGATCAGGACTCTGACTCAACTGATTCTAATTTTTGTGAAATATTTAGTCGACTTCAACTTGCCTTTACTTTACTTAGCCAGTTGCCAGAAGGCAAGAGATATACAGGGTGTTTCAAAAGAGGTATCTGAAAAAAAGGGGACAAACCTGTGTGCACAGGAACGGAGTGCCCATCTCTCTTTCGAAGTGGTTGGGCCAGACACCTCTATGCATAATGCTGCTGTGGGGGGATCGCCACACCTCCTCCACAGCGAGTCTGTTACCTTCCCAGCATTGAATAATGCCGGTGTAGCATGAATTTAGGTTTTATGAAATACGGACTCATTGGTGGTATTGCGCATGCTCATACATAGATAACTAGGAGAGGGACCGGTCACTTGAGAGGGTTGAACGAATAAAAGGGAAAAAGAGTCCGATTTTCATACGAGTCCGATTTTCATATGTCACCGGTACCCATTTAACACTTGGGTTGAGAGGAGTAATTGAGGTAAAGCGCCTTACTCAAGGGCACAGCACGGCCACGGCGGGGCTCCAACCCACAATCTTACGATCATGAGGCTTGTGCTCTACCACTAGACTGCACATGTCCCACAGTGTGTTAGTATGAGAGAGTTATTAACACTGTCCAAGTGAGTCCACCTTAAAAGTGGTTCATGAACTTTCCTTGATACCGTACTTGCACGCCTACATCATAGATGACCAAGCAATATGGATATCTTTTTAATCAATTTTTTTTCCTAACTTTTATTTGTTTTGTAGCCACCGGTATTGGAATTGAAGGCCATGTGGTTACAGATTTTAAGTTAACTTTTTCAATTCTTGGCACTTGCCGCTGGCTTTTGTCTGTTTTAATTGTATCGTACCGTGCTGTATATTTGTGTGTATTTTAATGCCGAAGAAATAATAATGCCAAATAAAAAATAATAAATAATAACCAATGTCGAACTTTTGTGCATGCATGTCAGACATTAATCACGTCTGTGATTGATAAGAGTGTCATGGGGCGGAGCTAAGTAGGTTGGTCTCTTAGAGTCAACCCAGACTGACAAAAACGGTTTGACTTTCTGGTGACCTGTTTTTCTCTCTCTTTTTTGGCCCTGTAAGTTCACATTCAAACTAAAATTTGTTTCTTTTTCCCAGGTGCTGATCACAGGTCCCTCGGACACCCCGTACGGCAACGGCTGTTTTGAGTTTGACGTGTACTTCCCCGGTGACTACCCCAGCTCCCCCATGCTGGTCAACCTGGAGACCACGGGCCAGCACGGCGTCAGGTTCAACCCTAATCTCTACAATGACGGCAAGGTACTTTTTTCATCACTCACTCTAGTAAAAAAAAAAGACAGTCTGTCACGAGCCAATGTGGCCCATCAGGCCGGCGTTTATCTCCGGTTTCAGTGGCGTGAAACGACTTAGAATATTTCTACTCCCATATATTTCTACTCTGGATGGGATGCTAGTCCATAGCAGGTTACTCCCCAGCTAATGCTAGTACCCATTTATACTCCTGGGTGGGGAGAGAGGCAAGTTGGGGTGAAGTGGCTTGCCCAAGGACACAACATAAGGCCAGCGGCTGGATCGAACCCATGACCCTCTGATCATGAGGCACGAATCCTAACCACTGGGCAACACTCCCCAACATCACTCACTCTACTTAGAAAAAAGTGGAGGGGTAAAAATACATATGGTTTCCATTGGCTCACTACACCCAAGCTTGAGAGTGATTTATTGGCTTGACAATCAGGAGAAGAAATATAACAGCGCCATGGTTTGATGGTTACAATATTGAATCATGTGTGATGGTACGTGGGTTTGAACCCCGACAGGAACATGGTGCTTGTGTTCTTGGGCAAGACACTTTACCACAATTGCCTCTCTCCCTCAAGTTGTATAAGTGGGTACCTGTGAGTGAAGATACTGGCTTGTGCTGATTTGGAGCTGCTACAGAAAACTGGTCTGGTGGCCTGATGAACATAGGTAATCATTGCAAAGCGTTTTGAAACATTTGATGAAGAGCTACATTAGCAACTCAGTATGAGGGCAATTCCAGTGTTATAATAGGAAATGTAATGTCTGTGACAAAGCCAATTAACCATGATATCTAATTAATGATTAAGAGAAATTATCCAAAACTCCTAGTCTGTATTCTCCTTGACCATTACTAGATGAAGGATGTATAAGATATGAAAAACAGATTTTTATGTTTATAGGTCTCTCTCAAATGACGCCACTTCCTACAGATTGCCACGTGCATCGGCATTTTGTGCGTCAAATTGTCATGACGCGCATCGGCTGCGCCGTATTTTGAAGAAATTTCGAGCAACATGCGCACGTTTTCAGAACATTTTGCAAATTGCGCGTACACGCACCTGATAGTGTTGAATACGCAGTTGTGATTTTCCTACGAAGATGGCGTCCTATGAGAGAGATTTATCTACTGAGCTCCGGTCAGCTTTGTTCTCTCTGTCCCCAACATTACACAATGTTGGAAATGCCCATTATTATTGTCGCGCCCTTATTGCATTTATGTGATTGTGATAGGTTTGTTTAAGTGTCCTGAACACCTGGCACGGCCGGCCCGAGGAGAAATGGAACGCCCAGACCTCCAGCTTCCTCCAAGTCTTAGTCTCTATCCAATCCTTGATCCTGGTCTCTGAGCCGTACTTCAATGAGCCGGGATACGAGAGGTCCCGGGGCACCCCGTCGGGGACTCAGAGTTCCAAGGAGTATGACGCCAACATCATGCAGGCGACGGTCAAGTGGGGCATGCTGGAGGTGCTTAGGAACCCCGCGCCTAGCTTCAAAGAGGTGACGTTTTGCCCTGTATCTATCTCTTGGATGAAAGATCTATATGCTCGTTTTACTGATCTTAATTATTTCTCTACTCTGTAAATTTCTCCCTTCTTTTTTAGGGGTCTTCAGAACTTCACGACTTCCTGTCAAATATTATTAATTTGCGACTTTGGGCAGGTGTGCACTAATTTGCGATTGAGTTCAATCAGAGTGTTTAATAAGATCAGTCGAAAATAACAAGTCTGCTGGAACTATCAAAAATCCGTGAATAGATACAGTTGTTATTTGTTATTCTTAATATAGCACAGGGTGTCCCTTCCCCCCCCCCCCCCAACAAAAAAGGAATCCTCAAAGCCCCCTCTTTTTCACAGTTTTATAAAAAATACATCACAACTATCGATACACATTTAGAGAGTATATTTCGTTAGCTTTTCAACACCGAAAATATCTTTCCAATGGGGTAAATATTTATTGAAATATGGCTACCGTAATTTTCGGAATATAAGCCGCGCGGCGTATAAGCCGCAGCACGCAAAAATCTGCAAATTAAGATTTGAAGTCGGCGTATAAGCCGCACCGGCGTATAAGCCGCACCGACCGCTGTGGTTTCAATTTTGTAAGGCCTCCAAATTCTAGTCAAAATGCTCTGAACCAGTTCCATTTACACTACAAAAGCTATTAAAAGGGCCACAAAAGTTATATCAAATCATATACAATCAATACTTTTACAAACAAATGGGGAATTGATGAGAAATAAACACCGGGAACTGCTGACGGCTGCCCCGTCATAGCCCGGCAGCCTGCGCCACGCATGCCGGTGAATGACAACATTTTCCCGCAGCACGTGAGAGAGTATGAAACCCACCGTGTGTTGTCTAACTGGAGCGCTACAAATCTTGCTTTGTGGCAACAGATGCTGATTTGTTTTGTCCTAAGAATAAACAGGTCCGTTTTTACCTCAAAACTTATCAAATTGTTGCGATTACTAACGAGTAGTTGCGATAAAAATTCAAGTTTCGATTGTAACTTTCTTCGGGAATAGTCAAAACGAAGCGGACATTTTAATAGACGAATCCATTAATTTTGTAAGGGGTGATTTAGTCCCTCTTTTCAGTTTTACATTGTTTCTTGAATACATTTCAAGAAAACAAAATATATTGTGACGTTGAACAACTGATTATGTAATAAAAAAATGTTTCGAACGCCATAAAAATTTTAGTCGTCTTTTTTTTTTTTTTTTTAACAGCGGAAATATTGGTAATTATTGTTCCCAAGAAAGAACACCCCTTTATTACCACAAATGGTGTGGTCCGCTGGGGGAAAGCATGCTGCATATCGCTGCTGCACTGTAACCAGTATCACGTACGGCTGGTGGCAAGTGTCGAAGACAGCTTTCATCACCATACTTTTTACCGCTCGGTACCTTTACGTGGGACGTGGTTTCGGTTTGTTAATGACTTTCTTAATTTATAATTCATTTCAGCAACACATCTCTTCTTGTACCAGTACATTAAATACACATGTGAATCTTATTTTTATTCTTCAAGGCTCGGCATATAAGCCGCCCTGTGTATAAGCCGCAGTAAACATTTTCATGGGCAAATTCAACGTATAAGCCGCGGCTTATATTCCGAAAATTACGGTAATTGAATACAAGTACCGCTTTTTCATTTTGTCCATGGCGACTGATATTTTGACTGCCGCAATAAGAACACGGACCGAAACTTGCATTTGTGAAAAAGGCTACCAAGTAGAGGGCAGACACAGAGCAGCACAGTAAACATCTAAGAAGTTGATCAAACAGTCCTTCTCAGGACTACCGTTACTTCCAAAAGGATAAATGACCATTGTTGCAAAAAATAAAAACTAATAAAGAACCAAATAAAGAAAGAAAGATTAAAACATTAAAGAAAGCAAAACTGCCCTCAATGACATTCCTAACAAATGACAATTGAGACCGTGGACAGATTGAAAAACCGGCACTTATTTTGAATTGGCCATAACCCAATCAATATTTGCCCGATTGGAAAGATGTTTGTTTTGTGGTGAAAAGCTAATGAACTATACTCTCCACACATTTCGATATTTGCACGGAAGTTTTTAAAGCTGTGAAAAAGAGGGGGCTTTGAGGATTCTTTTTTTTTATAGACGCCCTGTACAATCAGAATGTCTCAGTGATTTCCGTTCAAGCATGCTGAAAATCAAGACCTACTTACATTAGCAAAAGTCTCAACTTGTGTGTTTCCTAGGTTGATTCAACAAATTTAAACTTGAATTTCCAGAGAATTTCACAATTAAAAAGATGTGGTGGGGTTTTTTTTGGTGACAACTGCAGGTGATCCACGCCCATTTCTTCCTGAAGCGAGCAGAGATCATTAGCCAATGTGAGGATTGGATCAACGGGCTGGAGTTACTGTGTAACGACAAGAGAGTTGGGCGGACCGTCGCTCACCACTGGGTGGCGCTCAAGGTAAGCAGATTGCTTAGCAAATTAATGTGTTTAGCGAAAATCAGCGGAAAACCAGTCACAAGCCATATATATACTGCATGACATTTTGGCTGCTTAACAGATTTTGCTTAGCAATTGTGTTTTGTGCTAAGCAAATTTCTATGCTGTGACACCTGGTTCACTCCATGGACATTTTTACATGGGTGGGCAGCAACACATTGAAATGGAATATAATCTTAGAAATAGAGGAGCTGTTGGTATATCAACCTTACTGGCGAAAATTTCACTCATTTTGCTGTTGAGCCACTGCGGCAAACAACACTTTGAAGTCTGAGGCTGACAGGTTGAGTTTCAACCATTGTTCATGTGCCTGGAGACTGAATCACAAACGATATCAAGAGTCATCGGAACTCAGTGTGAAGGCAGGGGATTTTCTGCTTGTGAATTTCACTGGTAACCAATGATTTTGTCTTGTACACATGTCAGTCAAGTTATAAAGTGCATAAAGCGATGATGAACCATTTGTGAACGTTGAGACTTTCATGTTCTCATGCGTCCTTATTTAAACTTATCAAATGCGGCAGAGGTTCAGTGGTGACAGTGTCTGACTCGTGTTGCGTTATGTAAGAACTAAACTCTGAAGGGGATTCTCATGCTTGTGGTTCTTGGCAAGACACTTTACTACAATCGCCTCGCTCAACTCAGGAGTATAAAGAGGTATTTGTGAAGGTGGAGACCAGATTGCGCTGATCTCATACTTCTGCAGATTTAAAGGTCTCATGGCATTTGAGACATTTGTATGAAATAAGTACAACTTGATTATCGGTCTCTTCTCTCTACCATTACTATCTTTGCAGCGCCACACTGCGCGTCTACGCGAGGAGCTAGCCAAGCTGAAGCCACCCACCTGCGTCCTGGAAGAGTTCCCTGACTGGGACACGGAGTTCCAACCCGAGGACCCCAGCAACAAACCCTCCACCTCCACTCAAGGAGCGACCGCCAAGACGTCCCCGGGGCAGGGAGCCGTACCCTCCACGTCCTCAAAGATGCCTTCAAAGCCTCCGACCGATGACGTCAAGAACTCTAGCGAACTGGAGAGCATCGCTAAGGTCTCGGTCGATGACGACAGCATCATCAAAGCCTTGGGGAAGGCTAGCGGGAGCATGATCGACACAATCGTCATCGAAGGAGAAAGCACGTCATCGGCATCGTCATCGTCAATCCTCGGAGATCTGTCCGGTGGAGACGAAGCTGGGTTGTATTAACCAAGGCTTCTTTTTTTTAGGAAATGACAACATCTAGGCATCTTTTTATAGAACATGACATCATCCAAGTTATAGGGAGTTTTTCAAATCTCGGGCTTGTCATTGGCTTTGGCTACAGGCTTCAGTTTTCATGAGTTGAGATCTCTGGTTTGGGAGACTTGGGTTCAGTATTTGGCCCATGTTCTACTGCTCAACGTCGAATCGTAATAATGGGGCCTACATTTTTATAGAGATTGTTCATTTGGTTCGAGCTTGAAAAGCTTCTTAACCACTTCTGAGCCAAAACTGGGGACAAAGCCGTGATTTGTAAAACACCCTTAGTTTATTGATTACCATTGCTTCACTGTTCCATTTGAGAGTGATTACTGAATGCACTATATATTTGAAGAAAATCTTTTCTGTGTTGGGAGCCCGTGATATGATGCAAGTGGATGTGTGGAGCGTTACTTGGGATCGTTTTGTTGCAGGGAAAACTGTTGGATTTCATGAGTACACGATAAACTCCTAAAACCATAAGCATAAATCATAAATTTCAGATTTTAGAGTATTGTTTAGGAGTAGCAACAGAATAGCGCCCTCTATGTTGGGTAGATACTCACTTTTTTATATTAGGAAGAAACATCAGTGCACGTGTTGACAGATTTTGAATGGCCAAACTTTTATGAGACTTAATATGGGAACACAACCAGGAACGTGTATCCCACGTAGTGGACAGAAGTAAACTAGAAAGTTAATTTTAACCGTTGATGGAGTAACTGTTGGGTTTTTTTTATGTGAAATTGGTTGAAAATATTTTATTTGTCTTTTGAGAATAGATTATGGAAGATTGTGCTCGGCATATTTGTGTACACATTTATTTTTAATATTTCGTTTTTGTCTTGTATTAAGAGGTGTTTTAATGCAAAATATCGTACCACTTATGAGCCACGTATATGATTCCCAAAATTGTATTTAGGACGGAATTAGAACATATTCCTAAATAGTTTAATAGATAATTGAATACCCAGAAAAAAAATGGTGAGATACTATTTAACATGTTTTGGGGCTCTTTAAACAGATATTTCATATTCCTTTTGATGAAAATTGTTTGCATAAATTAACCTTTTGCTAACCATCCCAAATCCTCCAAAATTTTATGCTGTTGTTTTTGACAGAATTTTGATAGATTCACGATAGACACATATTTAGGTCCAGTTTAGAAACCATTACTTAACTAGGCCTCGACATCCCAATTTTGAACAAGTACCAAGACTGTGGCATTAGTTTATTGCAGAATGGTGGATGTTGGTGGGCTCATGAAAATCCTGGCAACACTTTCCAGGGAGTAACTTCTGAGAAAGCTTTCCAGTTAAAAGTGAATGAGACAAGTTGAGAATGGCAGTAAAATCGCTGTGCGGAAGTACCCCCTCAATGGTTATGGAGGGAGAGTTGGGGGAGACCACTGGGAGAAACATTCGAATGTTTTGCCGATGACACCTGATGCCCATGCACAGGTGTGTGGGTTTTTGCAAAATAGAATTAAGTTATGCATACTTTGTGCCATAAGCACACGAACCAGTACGTGTCCCTCCCACTGGGACTTTCGAAAGTGGCCACGAAGCGCCCTCTATTGTTCGTGTATGAAGTCCGCGGGCTTTTGATATGGGTCCAAATGATTGTTTGGCATCTCAGATGTTATAGTGTAATAGAATTCCGTTACCAGGAACATTTTTAAGTATGAAATTAATGGAGTAAATTTGGGTGGAAACCTAGAGTGGTTTTGTGCATTTGGTTCAAAGGCCAACAAGTGGGTAAAAATTTAGTGGGTTTTTTTTTCTAATTGTAAATTTGAAATGAGCTTAAGAATGCAGCTTAAAGGTGAAGAAGGATTGATGTGGTTAAGTGCGAGTATGTCTCCTCATTGACTGAGAAATTTGGCTAACGTTGGGCCTAAACTCTTCTTGAAATGAGAAAGAGTAACAGGGTGATCGTCTGGTAACGTTTGTGAAAATTTGGGATATTTACTGTTGATAGGTGTATTATGGATCTGGAATTTTGTCGCTAGGTTTTTGGCACTAATCACCCCTATGGAAGCTAATTTAGTGCCGAGCAGTCTTATAGTGGTAGTTCTACTGAGTAGTAGATGTTGGATAACAAATTTAAATAAAATATGAGTGACTGATAAATATAAAGGAAAAAATTGAAGTATTTATTCTGTTGAATAAACCATTCAATGCAATTCTTTCTGTAAGATAAATCATTGTAAATGTGCGATTACTGTGGACTGTAATATGTGGCCGTTTTGGAATCCTAAATAAAATCTTAGCGTAGTACTAAAATCCTCTATAAATTTTGCATTTAAACAATGCGTGGTGTATAGTGATTTTTTTTTTGTATATTTTTTTCATTGCATAAGTGTCCAAAGTATGGGCATCTTTTTATTCTGAATATTTTAAGTTTTTTCTTGTTTTGTGTACGATAGGAAAAAAATGGAAGTAGTATTAAAAAGATTGAAGCTTTCTATTATAATAAAGTTAGATATAGCCCAAAAAAATAAGCCTACTTATAATTTTGTTATTTAAGCTTTAAGCAAATATCGAGGTTTCTCTTTTGCGGGGAAATGTGGTGGGTTCGAAAGTAAAAGTATTTTTTATTGATTTGAAAACAGATTAGAGATGGAAAGCACATTTAGAGAACCTTGATCAGATAAAAAAAATCTGTGAAACTGTCACAAGATGAACTTCCCATGAAAAGAATTTGTGATCTGATTTTTGTTTCTCAAAAAAAGAAAAGAAAATCCAAATATGCTGTAGTGGCATTTCTTGTCGACAGTGTACAGTAGTGTGGAGGTTCAGTTACGTAACAATACCACTTGTTTACCAAGGTGTACGATTGACCCATGTGCTGAAGTTAGTGTATACAGTATAACCTAATCTGTAAATTGTATACAGAAGTCATAATTGTGCTTTTGTTACAGAAAAATTAAAAACAATGTACAAAGAAATCCTGTCTGTTGGTGCAGTTGTGTTTCTTGACTTTCTTCAGAGTAAAGTTCTAACCAGCCAAGCAGAGGTTTGTAGGAACAAGCTTGTAGGAGATCAAAGATTTCGTTTCAATCTTTGTTTCTTCAAAAGTGCAGCATGAGGCCGTTAGTGTCAACACTGATCTGAAATTTGTTGACTCTCCTTTTTTTTGGGGGGGGGGGAGGGGGTTGGTTTCCCACAAAGCTTTTCTTTGAGGTGCCCCTTCAGACAAAAGTGAAAGGAAATTGTCGACAGTTTCAGAATAAAAATTACCAAAAAGAATCATTTATTTTTTAAATCATATTTTTGAAAAACAAACTTTCTTTAATTTAATTAGTCAAATATTATTATATACATATGTAATGTATAATTTGTATACGTGTAACACCACTGCTGCACAGAACTGCCACCAAAAAGCAGTGCTGATGAAAGAAGTACAAAAATAGTGCATTTCGTCTGTGGAAGATGACAGAGAAATTAATTTTCAAAATAAGTACAATTCAATATTTTGCCACATTGCATATACAAATTTCTAAACAAAAATATGAATTTTGCAATTATTTTCTGAAAGAGTTCAGGGCCCAATTTCAAAGAGCTGTTGAGAAGAAAGTTTACTTAGGATATTTTCTTGCTCAGGAAATTTTCTTGCTAAGGAAATTTTCTTGCTGAGGAAATGTTCTTGCTCGGGAAATTTTCTTGCTAAGGAAATTTTCTTGCTGAGGAAATTTCTTTGCTAAGGAAGTTTTCTTGCTAAGGAAATTTTCTTGCTCAGGAAATGTTCTTGCTAAAAAAAATGTTCTTGCTAAGGCAATGTTCTTGCTAAGGACATTTTCTTTTCAAGCAATAGACCGATCCAGTAAGCCCCGCCCACTGCGCACGTGGGCATTTAACATGTGCCCTTCTCCAACGCCACACTGCATGTACCAGCCGCGCACATCATACACAAGTGCACACATGTCAGACTTTTGTGCACACAATGTCTGACATAAATCACGGCTGTGATTGGTCAATACACCATGGGGCAGGGCTTAATGTTTCGGTCTATTGACAACGCATGACATTTTGGCTGATAATCGCTGTTGCTGAGAATTAATCTTCACTGTGCTTTAATAGCAAAGACACATGCTTATCCTTTCCACAAACTTGGATCCAAAACTCAAACTGGCCTTTTGTATTAAACAGGAACAGTTCAAAACCAACAGTTATTCAAAGATTTCATCTATGACAAGACAAACACACGATTATTTCAATAAACAAACACAATAAATAACGATACCGTATCAAAGACATTCCAGTACCCCTTTGATTGGAAATTCACATTTCTTTGAAGATAACGTGCTGGATGTGCTATGCACAAGAAAACTGTAAGGTTTCATCAATTTCTAGCCTAAGATCTTGCTGTTTTATTTACAGTATCATCTTGAATATTCGGGTAATTATATACAAAGTGGCAGGTTCTGATAAGTTGCAAGTGGCATTACCAGGGGCAAACTTGCAAGATATTTCTCAAGAGCAAATATATATGTGGAGGCCCCTGTATGTCTTACACCCCCACTGTTTAATACCATCTTTTCCTTTACTACTGTTTCGTGTACCAGCAACAGAAATGTTTGACAGGAAACAGCAGCAGAGCAAGTACCTGTCACATGATCATCACTTCCTGTTGGTCAGTGGAGGTTGCTGTAGGAGCCTTGTTCAGGAGTCATTCTCACTCCAGGCTCGGTTGAGCAAACACGGACCGCTACACCAATCTATAACCAGTGTCCACTTCTTTCTTTCTTTCTTTGCAGTTTTGGAGTCATAAACTAATGTTTCCTGTACAACCAAGTTTTGTTTTAAGGGTCGCAAAAACTCGCAATATATAATTGTATTTTTCAGCATTCTTAATCAGCTGACTTAAGGAATACTTCGGATTCTCTGTTACATCCTAACTCCCTCTGCCTTTTTGTCTTCTATAAACCATTCTGAGTCTTCCAAAATCCTCCTCTATGCAGGAACCTAATGACATAGTTTTGATGGTTCTTCATACTTCAACTTTATAGGGTCATCAAGTTCTATGTAAAGTAAAAGGTGGTTCATACTTGGCGTGAAAACGGACGCAAACAAGAATTTGCAAAAGTTGAACTCATTTCAACTCAAATTGGAAAATTTTGCAGCGAACGTTTCCTGACATCAAATTCGCTTCGAATTTGCACTGGTGTGAAGTATGAACTTGCCTTAATAGTGACTGAGCTGTTCTTAAATTCTCAAAAAAATCTTGAAAGACCTTGGCTAGGGTTAATCATCAGAGAAACAATGTCTCAACAACAGGCTCCTTCTTGACTCACTTTCGTCTGCATTTCCACGGAGCGTTAGGGTTGGCCTGTAGGTTGGACAAGCAGAAGGCCGAACAGATGAAACCCTGGATGGGAGCTGCTGTGGGGCCCACCAGCGTGTGAGCCACGCGGTGAAGGTTGAAGGGAACACGGTGCTTGGCGTAAGGCTGGAAGCAAGGACCGCTGCAGACGCACCACTTGACCTGACTCAGGTGGTGATACAGATGGCGAGGTAGGTCTTCCTCTGTGTAGGAAACTCTTGATGAAAAGGAAACCAAAAAAAAAAATGAAATTAAGGCAATTAAAAAAAAAATTGGCTTGAAGGGCACACGGCATTTAAATTGAAGACAAATTTGGAAAAAGCATTGGGTGGACAGCTGGACCCAAAACTCAAAAAATGTGATTGATTGTGGTACCGGCTGGTGTATCAGATTTGACCCACTGCCAGCCAACTTGGTGGTCAATTGGTAATATGGGTGCACTAGTAAGCAGGAGGTTTGGGGTTCTAGTCCCACAAGGGTAAACTTGCACCTTTTCCTCAGAGCAATGACCGGGTATACAGTGCCTATGAAAATAAGTTGTTTAAGGGTGATTCGGACCGGCCAGCTGACCCAGGCAAGCTCCGAGGTCGAGTGGTAAGACATCTACACTAGTAAGCAGGGGGTCAGGTTTGGGGTTCTAGTCCCACAAGAGTAAACTGAATATTTTCTCGCAAGCTCTCAGACAGACTGAAGTTACTTTGTCAAAGGAGAAAAATACCTTTGCTTTTTGATAGCCCGGGCAGCCACTTCCAACAGACTAGGGAAGCCATCCTGAGTTCTTTGCAGGCCAGCGGCACTACCTTCCGCCATCTCACACTTGAAGCAATTCCCAGAGAAGTCCACCTCCTCCATGGCTAGGTCCATGAACGAGAACGGGAGAACTTCAATCTGGTTTTCCGCCGCGCTGAAGAACCGGAGTCGGCTCAGCTGCCCAAAATGCTCCGGCAGGGACGTGAGCTGATTATTGGCCACGTTCAGGCGAAGTAAGGATGCCAGGTCACAGATCTGCGGCGGAAAAAACTTCAAAGAGTTCCCTGCTAAGTCAAGGAACTGGAGCGAGGTTCTGAGACTGCTCAGGCAGAGAGAGGGAGGAAGTCTCTCCAGGAGGTTGTTTGCTACCTTCAGCTCAGCGAGAGCCGACAGTTGGCCAGGGTCGTTAGGCAAGGCGCGGATTCGGTTGCCACTAAGATCTAAAGCCCTTAAACTCTTGAGTTCTAAGATCCGAGGGTCCACACGTGACAGACCGCATCCGTTTACTCGCAGGGATTCCAAACCCTTTGGAAATCTCTCCAAGACTGGGTAGTCTGATCTCCTCAAGATCACCAGCTTGGTCTTGGGCCGTTCCACCTGGGCGGTCGTTGCCGGGGTCAGAGTTGAAAGGTGAACCTTACTGAGGTCGCTGCTTTGGCCTTTGTAGCCGAGTTTCAGCACAGACAGGAAATTCTTTAATTGTAAGGGATCCGCCTTGCATAGAAATGAAAGGGAAACAAATGATATGAGACTACAAAAACTCAGAAAAGGAAGACAAATCAAGGACTGGGGACTGATCGGATGTCTGGCTGATTGATTCGTTCGCGCCAGATGACGTGTATACCGCAAAGGTTTTTCGGTATTCGGAACGGATGAGGGATAAACACCCATGGAGCGAAGCCGGAAGTATCTGTCAGCAACCCGCTCGCAGCGAGCGAGGCTGGAAATATGAGTGTGCTGCCCGCGGGTGATGGCTTCAACCTGCCTGGAATGAGGTCGAGTAAAAAGTAATCTCTCGCCTCGTTTTGTTCTTGTCAAAGTAATCCCGGCGTGAACTGGATAGCGTTCTCCAACACATTCACATATATACATGTATCTTCTTTAAAAAAAATAATGTAGGAAAGAAAATATGTATTGTTGAGATCGGGCTAGTTTTATGTAACTGCTCACCACGAAAAAAAAAAGACTGCAGAGGAAAAAAAGTTTTAAAAGTTATTCAAAAAAGTGCGTGAATCTGTCATTTGATGCATATAGCTACACACACTGTAGGGATAAGTTCTCAGCACTCACATTTGCCTAGTTGTTTTCTTTTTCGCTTTAGCAGCACTATAAAATTGGCTAATGCCTTGTACCTTGCTAATGCAGATATCTTGTGCTGGTTCCTTGAGGCGTAGCGTTGCTTTCCCCTCCTCAATGAATCTGGCAAAGACTTGCTCCATGTTTTCCTTTAACTACAATGGAGATTAAGGCAAATATTAAGAAAGGGTCATTGTAGAGAAATGTCTCATATCAAGAAAGAAATCTGTTAGGGCTATGAACACTCTACTTAAATCAGGTATGCAATTGGTTTGCATTTCAAACTAGGTGTACTTGTAAGCACTGCTAAAACTATACTTGCCTTATATTTTGTTCCGGTTTTGTTTTTGGCTGAGCACACCATAAGGAAAACAGCGCCCTCTGGGTTGCTGTCACTGCTCCCGCGACGACCAATCGCCAACGAGCATCTCATCGGTCGACTCTTGCCTGCCATACCATGCGAGGGCAGCAGACGGTTCTTGAGATCAACATCGCAGGACAGACGCATGTTGACTGGTGGCTGGTCACGCCCTACTTACTAAAACAATTTAGAGGGAAGTGGAGTTAAGGTTTTACCATGACAGCATTGATAATAAAACAGTCTGTAGAGATTGCATTGTCTAAAAAGTCTTTATTGAAGGAAAAATGGGTTTTTAGAAACAAATTAAGTTGTGACAGGCCTAGCCTTACAAAAAAGTGGGATCAAAGTGTACTTTAGGACCCTGTTTCTATAACAGAATGGAAAGCCACTGTTATCAAGTTTATGTTTTTAGACTCACTTTAGCTTGAGAAACCCCACCCTAATGCATGCTCACTGGGAATCAAATTGCCGACTTTCTAATGAGCATGCATTTAGAGCTGGGGTGTCCCAAGCTAGACTGGTGATGTCAAAAACCAACCAGAATGTCGTGAAAAAAAGGTTTTGATTATCTGATGGAATAATTATGGGGTAAAAATAACAAAGGCAACAGAAAAATGAAGAAGTGGATTTATATTAATGCTGAATGCACAAATCTGCATTGAACCAGTGACCGGAGTACTAGAACTCCTTTTTGAAAATTCTGGTTTGGATTGGTCATCCAAACCAGCATTTCAAAAAAGAGAATTGTAACATTAATTGTTACTATATTAGCACGCTAGTTACTGGGTATTAAAACTGTGTTGGTTTGCTGTTTGTAGGGCCAAGTGACCCGGCAAAAATGCGTTGATTCGCATAGCACCAACCGTAAAATTGCGTAAGAAAATCACATTTTCTTCCACCAAAAAAAACCTGTTCAAAATTACAAAAAAATGATGTCATTAGAAATTAAAAGAAGTCTGCTTTAGGTTGAAAAAGTCATTTTGGAATGAAGAACACCACTGACTCTAAATCTCATTTGATCAAAAATAAAGAGGGCTTTGACAAGCCAAGGCCAAGCTTAGCAAGGGAAGTTGAGTTACTCCAGGTGACATGTTCATCAGAAATTCACATGTTACATGTAAATTCCTGATGAGCATGGCATTGTCACTCAGGTTTAGACAGCATGGACAGGGCTAGCCCCACTAGTGTGGCCGCGGTATGCTGCGCTGAACCTCATACCGCGGCCACGCTATAGCTAGTGGGGCTAACCGCGGCCACACTGTACTAGTGGGGCTAGGACAGGGCAGGCTTCAGATTACACAAGGCCCTACACAAATTCAAAACTCGTTAAATCATCAGTATCAGTGTGGACATGACAGTTATGTTCTGCGCGGCTGTCTTAGTGTTCTCATCCCATGATGACAAACCTAAGTTGAAATGAAAGGCTTCACCAAAACATGAACTTGATGAAGGAAATGAGTCAGTCAAATGGACGAGTTGGTCGAGAATGACATGAAGCGTTCCGTCTAAAATTTCGGCACTCAAATTCACCGCGAATATTTTAGTCAGTTGCCCTGCAACATTATGTGATCAAGGTGTACAGTAGACGCATGAAAGCCAGACTTTTGCTGAGGCACGGACCGAACCTTGAACCTTGACAAATGACAACTATTGGTGGCGCTATGTAGGTTTTACAGAGCCCGTCAAAAAAGCTGCATAATTATAAAAAGCAAATGTTTAACTGGAACTTCAAGGGAATTTACAACATTTGCAAACATAAAAAAACAAAACTACCAAATTATTATGAAATACCTTACTGGACTGTTAGTGAATGACAGACTAAAGCATCCTGTAAAATCATGGCACCTGGTGTGCTGTCATTTTCGAGAAAAGTGGTATTTTTGTATCAATTTCCAACGCTGGTCAGCCGACCAGTGTTGGAAAAACCTGACTTTTTTTCAACAACTACCCCAATTTACCAAATTTATTTAGTCCACGTTTTGTTTGCATTTGGGTACACGTCCGTGAATGGGTGTGAGCCAGCTAGACTGGTTTCCCCCGACCTTACAATTCCACAAAGTCTATCAATGAGTTTTGCCTTGAGTTTCTGAAAACAGTGACATGACCTACCTTTCCAAAGAAATTAATCTAAAACAATTCCACAAAACATTTACAAAGACAATAGACGGTTTATTTGACCTCCATGTGGTATAAAATGACAATGAAATTAATTTTAAATTGAGCAGTTTTGATTTTAAGAATAATCTTTCAATTGTTTTTGCTCATACAACCAAACTGAAGAACAAACATACATATGAAATTCAATTAACATTACTTTTTTTTAAACAAGAACAAAAACGTGAATAATAGGTTAAAAAGTAAAAAAAAAAAAAATACTAAATGCAAGTTTGTACAATTCATTGGATCCTTTACTGTAATTTATCCTTTCCTTAAGCAATTTTTCCAGTCACATTCAAGTCCATATACAATGCTCACAGATATTCCATGACAATGTTTGGAAAAACACACAATCTCAATCTGTAGCAAGGATATCGAAGCTGTCTGAAATGCCTTCAGACAGCATTTAAGTTTGTACAGTGTCTTAAAAAATGTAGCAGTCAAACTGAACATTTTCTGAGGAAACTAAATTGTTTTTTCTTTTTTTTTTGGTAAAAAAATTACTATGAGATGATAGTGTTTCTTTACCCATGACAGGCTTTTTGTTCTGTGTGATTCGGACCTTTGTTTAAAAGTTAAGGCAAAGCTTATAAAGACTATCGAAATCAATTTGGGCCACTTTTCAGATTATTTGGTATCTAATAATCAGTGAAAGGCATTCACACACCTTCTTTGTATGTGAATGCCTTTCATTAGATACCAAGTGGCCCAACTTGGAATTCAAGTCATTTAATTTAATTAGGTGTATCTCTGGACTGGGGTGTCCAAATGAGATGGGATAAAGACCATTGTGTAGAGTATTTACTACACCTTCAGACTCTAGAGATCAGTTTTGCAAAAAGAGAGTGCTAGCATTTGCAATATTTATGGATTGACTGCTACATTTTTATTGGCACATGTTGTAAAGTATTCATGCCAATGGTCACGTATTATGTTACAAAGTAGATTGACATTTAGTAGATAATGATCAGACCTGCGACTCTGACTCGGACTCAAGTCAAATTTGATCACATTTTGATGAGTTGGACTCGGACTCGAGTCACAATTAACAAACAATGACCCGGTCTCAGACTCGACAATTCAGACTTGGAACTGGGACTCGAAGGAAAAAGCGACAACAGTGCTATTTTTAATAAAAAAGTGAAGATTTGTGTCTTTCAAATAAAACTTATTCAGTTGAAACAACAAACTGTATATCAAACTGCACCGTGCATCTTCTTCATCAACTCCGCAACCACTGCAAATTGATCAGTGCCTTGTGGCCACTAGGCCACTCTCTACATGCATAAATCCCATGACAACAAAGTGCCCGAGTTTTTCTGTTTCAAAGTTGTTGTTTTTTTGTCTTGAATTTTTTTAACTGACTCGTGACTCAAACTCCACCCAAATGGCTCAGTTCTTGGACTCGACAGCAGTGTTGTAGTCGAGACCATCACAAGACCAGATACAAGACCAGATACAAGACCAGACACAAGACCAGACACAAGTAACCGGGCACCAACAATAACAAAGGAATGCCTTTGTTGCAGTTCATTTGAATAGCTAGTGAGTTGAATTGAGACTGAAGGTCTTGTGTTGGTCTTGTGATGGTCTTGCAGGGTCTGGACTACAACACTGCTCGACAGTAAGGACTCAGACTAAACTCGGACCAAGATTTGTGGACACAAATACAAGTCTGAAATGACAAAATTGTTGAGATATCAGCCCGATGGTCAAGCAGACATTTCCCATGGAAATATGGCATATGGACAACAAAAATTACCCAATTGTGTTTTTAAAATACTGAATGTCTTCGAAGGTATTTTGCACCATTTCAATCAGTTATCTGTTCATAATGATCCTCACTTATACTATTCACAGCGTAATAATTTATTGGCTGACAGTTTTAAGAACACTGCAAAATCATGTACACATTCTCTATTGAAGACATCCCTTAAGTATCTTTCTTCCAAAATAATTTAGTTCCTAGTCATGTTTTGGACCAAATGTTTGGACAATTTGGGTATTTCAACACTCTGGACTAGTCTTTCTCGTATTTGATGCGGAGGTGAAAATTCTATCATTTCCACATCTGTTTTCTGTAAAGTTTCTTCAAACTGCGAAGGTTTTTGTGTGTGTGTGTAGAAAATATGGTTCAATTTACCTCTAAATTCTATTCTCAGCAAAATAACACTCAAATTTCAAAATGCATTTATTTACACGAAAAACTTATACACTTATGTACAACATGTTAATTTTTTACGAAAAAGTCAAAAATAAGCATCGTTAGTATATGATGTAAATCCAGCCCCCTCCCTCCCCCCACAAAAAAAAGAATTGCCCAAAATGAAATGAAAACTTAAAATAAACACTGTAAACCTGATTTTTCTCATGTACATTGTGTAAATCATTTTAATATTATTTGCTTATTTCAAAAAAAATTATGGGACATTATCATTTGCGCGACGTGTTCGCGTACAGTAATTATACCAAAGGGCAGCATCAGTCAAACGTACAAACATTTGTCTCGAAACCCGAAGTGACTTTTTTGTCGAGAAAGAGAAAAACGTCCCTCACACCGGAAGAGAAAAATGTCCCTTACACATGGGATGTTCTTTTCATCAGCCTCGCGACTTTCAGAATAATGGCCTCATAGATCAAGAACATGAATATTCAGTGTGTAGGGAAGAGTCACAGAGTCTACACAGACAATCTGATTGGCCGACGACGAGTGTCAAAATAGTTATGGGTTGCTAGTCTTAACAAACAAGAGTAAAGCCTACCTTGAATAATGAGGATGCTTGTGGTCTGCACATTACAGCAGAGTTTCAACCATTAACCCTCCTTCTTTCAGTGGCAACATGGGATACCCTATCCATCAAAACCTACCAGGTTTAACAGTTTTGTAAATTAGGCTCATATTGGTACAATTGACAGGCTGTGGTAGTTTTGTTAAACTGAGGGTACCATGCCTTGACTGACATTGATAGATGTGGTGGGTCAGCGCTGGTGATGAGTGCCTGTCAATGATGGATTTAGTTCAGTCACAAAATGAAGGCATTGCCATCTAAGATGGCTGCTACGCAAGTTGTACCAGTATTCAAGGTCACCCTATCTATCAAACCTCTCCAACAGGTTTTTGACAGTTATACGGTTTAATCCATGGGGGTTCTGGCAGTTGCTGACCACTGAGCAGTCTGTACAGAAGCTATGGGAGAGGAAGTGGATAGATTTTTGACGTTTTGTGACAGCTGTGTCATAAGGAGGGTTAACTAAACTGCTTTCCGGTTTATTTCCAACACGCATTTCAAATACCTGCCTCAGATAAAATGGAGTAACAACAAGCACTTTTCAAGGGGTATTTTCAGGTTACCGAGATTTCTAAGTGCTAATTGAGGTTGTTGGTTTTAGACAAAACTTATAGACTATGATCTCGAAAGAAGAAGTAGTCCCAGGGATGAACAGACGAACAGTCATGACGTGCATCAGATGAGGCCGCGCATCTTCTTGTATTCGTTCAGGTTTAGCGACCGCTTGGGGGCGCCCTCCTTACCTCCAGATTCTGAGCTGGAGTTCAGCGCCATGGGACGGGAATCTAGTTAAAATTTAAAAAAATGCATTGTTAAGAGCTAGGAATTGAAAAAGTATTTCTCTTTGGACTCCAAAATGCTAACCTGTCTCCAGACTTTCTAAGCTGAACCCAAATCCATAAAGCCAATAAGAATTGCTTAGCACATTTTGTGCTGAAGCCAATGTCTGCTGAAACCCGGGAAAAGACAGTATCAATGGCATGAAAACTGGTTTTTGCTAAGCACATATTTTCTGTGCTTAACACATTTCTGAGCTTGGGAGCTCCATAAAAATGGACCCCAATCATTTTGGATCCAACGGACCTACTTTGGATTCTGTTGGATTTCACATGTTTAGAGGTAACTTATTACAGGCTTGCAACTGGGAATTAAGAAAAAACGAAGAAACTCCAAACCACACAAGATTTTGTACAGTATTTTTCAATTTTGTGATGGCATTCATGTGAAGTGAAAAACAAGGAAATCAGCGGATTTGAGGAAACTTTGCATGTCTGTTATTTGAGTTAGAGCATATCATTTGTCAAATGTGCATTTTGTTTTGTTTGAGCAACAAAAGTGCTAAAAATCTAAAGAAGGGCGCTTAACAACGAACCTGATGACGTTTTAACTCAGTGAATGCTGTATATTCCAAGAAAACAATATTCTACGATATCACTTTCAATTAAAAAGTTGATGAGTCAAGTTTTGAATTGCGCCCGAAAGCAGAGTCCGAGACACATTCTCATTCAGCAGATTGCAGCTACGCGATGTCACACGCTGAACCGACGAATTATAACAACCGCGCGTGCATGTCCATCGTGTCAACGCTTGCGTGCACCCATTCATGGCTTCGCCAAATTAAAAATGAATACTAACGGAAATTTCCAAAAATGCGTCTTTAGACGTCTTTAGCACTCTGCTTGAGTTTGCACAACATTTCTGTTTACTGTTAAATGGCATCATGAAATTTGACTCACACTGAAACCTGAAAGAAGTCTCTTAACCCAAAACCTGACAAGTTGAACCAACAGGAAATGATTCTAAACTCTTTACCTGAAGTTGAGACATCCAGGTCAATCTTGATGTCAAAGTCGTGAGCTTGGAAGAGATCCTCCGATACCTTCCTGTCGGTAATCTTGGCTGGCAGGCCTTCTTGAGACAGAGCATTCAGGATGTCGTCCTGGCAAAAGGAAAAAGAGGTCCTTTTCATATTGTCTTCTTGTCTACATGTTCAAATGTACACAGCGCTATTCCAATATTCTACATCAGATTCGAACCGGCCAGCCGACCCAGGCAAGCTCTGTGGTCGCGTGACAAGACATGTGCACTAGTAAGCAGGAGGCGTGGGTTCGAGTTCCGCCCGTGTCAGCTTGGGGATTTTTTCTTGCAAGCCTTTGGACAACACTGAGTATACAGTGTTTTTAAAATACATCAGGCAAGGGCAAAAATCCATATATTTAAGACAAGATAAGTTTGCGGTAAGAACCACAAATACTCAGAAAAGAGATTTATTCACATGGTGTCACTGCAAACTTATCTTGTCTTAGTTTCTTTCCACCATGCAAACCTTCAAATCTCACCATATATTTAAAAAATAAATAAATAAGTATATCTGATAAGTGTGGCAACAAGTACAGCTTTGCCTACTTGAGCTTGACCCAGAAGTCTTAGTTTATGGCATTGTTTATAGAATACCAGTAGACATTTTTGTGAATAGACCTCTCTGGCCATAAGACCCTCCCCTTTGGTTTGTGTACTAAAAAAATTGGCTTTTCTTTACCTTGAAGATGTCATTCGATTGCTGGTTCTTGGCTCGTTCTTCTTCCAGTTTTCTCAGAAGCTCGGAATTCATGACAGCTTCGTCCTTGGCAGTCTGTTAGACAGACGCCAAATAAAAACAAATGTTAAGGGCTAAGGGAACAACAAGTAAACTAGAGGGAAAAAGGTGGTTTTGAAATTAAAACTAGAACGGCGAAGCCGCCATGGCTCGCTGTCCAAGGCAGGAAGGGAGGCTGAAGGTAGGGTTGGGGATGGGCATGATGGAAGGGGATCAGGATTCTTGTTGATGTGCCTAGGTGTAGGGGTCAGTTTTTAAATGTCAATATAAAAAGTCAACAGATTACCTAATAAATACATGTGTATATAGGTTAGCCGTCACTGTATTATGGGGGAGTTTTCCATTGTTAGGGTAATTAGGACCCAGTTGTGGATTTTTGCAGCGCCAACAGTGTCTTCTGGTCCCCATACTTGTAGTACCATGGGAAAACTCTTGTGTAGTCGCCACAAATGCAGAACAAGAATGGGTATACATGTACATGAAGACACAGCACCATCACCACCTCCCCCAAACCTTAATTACTCCATCCCAAAACCTTACCCCATCCCCAACCCGCCCCCTCCCCCTCCCCCACCCAACCCCTACCCACACCCATCCCATCCTCCCCTAACCATCCCCACCCTATCACCTACACATCCCAACCCCACCCAAACTCCAATCCCTATCTCCTTCCCCCTCTCCTGACCCGTACCCTCCCCTACCCCAACCCCCTACACCTACCTACCCTATCTTCCACTATCTGTCCTTACCCACCCTACACATCCCCACCCTAACCCTTACTTGAATTCCAATATCCCGCCCACCCCATTCCCCCACCCATACATCCCCACCTGACCCCATGCAACCCCTACTCTGATCCCTATATACTGCCCCCTCCCCTTATCCAACCCCTACAACAACCCATCCCTACCCATCCCTACACATCCCCAACCCAACCCCTACTCCGATCCTATATCCCGTCCCCTGCCCAACCCCCTCCTAACCCAACCCCTACATCCATGCCCATCCTCTCCCTACCTGTCTCTCCCTACCTGTTCCCACCCCACCCCTACAAATCCCCACCCCAACCAAACCCAGTATTCCAACCCCTCTCCCCACCCCACCCCACCCCAACCCACCCCGCCCCACCCATCCTAGCTCCCCTACTCATCCTACTCACACAAACCCTAACTCCAACCCTATCCCCCAACCCACCCCACCCCACCCTCCCCTACCCCATCCTTACTCCAACCCCATAAACTAAAAGATCAAACCAGAAGCTCATGCACATCCCCATAATGCATAGTGTACACGTACATGTTATACCAGTATACATGTACAAGTAACAATTAAAAACTTTAACATTTCCTTGAATTAAATTAATAAAATGTACTGCAATGATATGAACCTAACTGAAGTTATAGAGATGATACATGACAACTGCATTTAATTTTTTTCCCCAAGTTAACTAGAACCAAAAACTTCAACATTTTTATCTGAGCGCGGACGGCCGCCCGGACAGACGGACGGAAATTGGTATTACATAGGCTCGCATCTGCTTCGCAGCTCGCCAAAAATTTAGGAGAGCACTACAAATATCCTTCGTTAACCGTCCTGCTATTTAAACAGTCACAGACAGTCAAAAATTCCATCCACTTCCCCTGCTACACTTTTAACACAGGCTAGTCACAAGCAGTCAGATCATATGTTAGGCAAGTACTGTGACTAGTCAAACTCAGTCAACAGACCATGAACAGACAAAGCAGGCAAGTTGTGGGCACAGCTGGCAAAGCATAACTGTATCAAAATACGTAACCATTCACAGCCAGTCAATCATTCCTTATGTAGGCTGGGGATTCTTAACTGCTGAAAACAGTCGCTTGACTGATTTTGACTGAATGAACCACTTGGCACAGAATGTATGTTTGCATAGGAGGGTTAATGAACAACATTTTTTGAAATTTAGAACTAAGCATTCTGCAAAACAAGTGTTCTATCATCACCCACAAATTTCTAAAACATCAGGTCCTAAGAAAACTGATCATTCTCTAAAGACGGTCATTCTCCTGAAGATGGTCAGAGCATACTGACCGGAATGTCGAGTTTATACCTCTGGTTCTTTTCAGAACCATTCTCTTAGTTGAGAAATTATTCGCACATGGTGTTTCCGCAAACCTTTCATTATTTAGTTTCTCCACCATGCAAAGCATCAAATCTTACTGATCATTCTCTAAAACCGTTTTAAATCTCCACACAGTCTGGATTGGCAACCATACCTTAGTAACCAGCATAGGTCTGCACTGTCTCCTAGTGAAGGGATCAGCTTTAGCATTCAGTGACTCCTTGATCTCTTCCTTCATTGCTCTCTCAGCCTCAGCAATGTTCCGCGTCCGGTTCCTCTGGTTGATATACCTGTTGGAAAAGTTGGAGAGAATTTATGGAATGCGACTATTCAAAGTTTTCTCACATTGTGTGAGCTTTAAACATGGTAAGGTGAGAATACGGCTTTGTTTTATAAATAAATTCATATTCATAAATACCGAAGACAGTTTATCCATTCCTATTGGTCGAGAGCCAATAGCTGGCAGGTTTTAAATACTTTTCCAGTGTCACAATAGAAATCTCAATGCACATCCATGCCATGAAATAGTGCTTAAGGTTAGCACAGTTTTCTGGTAACTGTTCAGCATCACCATGAAATTAGCTCCAAGAGTATAACATTAGCTGAGGAGTATTACCATAAACTTGCATTCCATTCAGAGGGATGAAGTTATTCTCAATGGTTTTATGCCAAGAAAAATGCAATTCCCTTTTCATTGTCCAATTAATATACACTGCAAATGTCCTATACATTGGCAACAGGGGAAGCTTTCAGATCTATGTGAAGTCCTAAAGAAACGGTTGACTGCTTACGTGATAGCAGTGACGTTTTTGTTGCGGACCCTATTCAACTCTTCGGCCCTCTCCTCCAGTTCTTCTAGTTCCTGAGCGTATTTCTTGAAGTCTTCCTCCCTACCTTCCACTTGCGCCATATCCTGTAAACAAAAACAAAATCAGTTACAAAATATGAAAAACATAACATCACTAACACCAGAATGTTTTATATAGTTGCCCCTCAAGAATTTGTTCTGACATGTTGAGGTTGTTTTTCCAATTCATTCAACTACCAAGCTAACCTTGAAGAATTTCACAATTTGAATCTTGGATCCGAAATGAGAAATGAAGCGAGTGTTCAAATTCAGAACTAACATGACACACTTGATCAGTAATATGAATTTTGTGCTTTTTCTGGCTTTGTTATTAAAAAAAAAGGACATACCCTTGTCTTTATCAAAGACGTCTTCTTCATGGCATAGTTGCGAGGATTTCTGCGGAAGCGTTCCTTCTCGGTAACAATCTATGATAAAATGAAACAAATGAAATACATGTATAAAAAACAAACAAATGAACTCACAAAACTATCACAGAAAGTGCCTATCTGTCACACAGAGTCCATTCCCTTCATTATCTAACAATCTTCGTCATGCAATTAAAAGTTTTGTTTTTTTTACGTCATCTTTAATGAGGGTAAACTGCGATCAGTGCAAGGCACTGCTTTCCATGGAGGCCCTCGGGTTAATGAGAACTATGAGACCCATTATGTAGCACCTCTATAAGGATTTACAAGGTGCTGCGGCGTATATTGCAGCCACTGCCAGAAACACTGGGGCAAACCCCTTCTCTTAGCGATAAGTGTTACTGGGTTCTTTAACATGCATTACAAAACACAAGGGACCTGCAGCTTTGCGTCCCATCCGAAGGATGAAGCAATAATGGTAAAGTGCCTTGCTCAAGAGCACAAGCACCATGTTCCCACAGTCAGGATTCGAACCCATGTTCCACGGCACACAAGTCGAACACTGTAACCATTAGATCACAGTACCCCATTTATGTGTTTGTTTAGCATGACATGTAACATCTGAATCCTGGGTTATTTACTTAACAATTGCTGACTGCTGCAAATTGGGATATGCCGCTTTTAATACCCGAGGGGCGCATAGCACCCGAGACGAAGAGGGTGCAAGGCGCCCAGAGGAGGTTAAACACGGCATATCCCACATCACAGCAGTCAACAATTGCTTTGTTATATCGTGCCATAAGCCAAACAGATACATGGTTGTAACTTACTATGCAAGAAATAAATTAAATCAGTGCGGTGTAACCCTTGATAACTGCAGGCTTTCCAGCCGGACATGAGACTGAGTGGTTACGCACTGCAAGAGTTCTCAGTCATGAGCATGCATGCAAGTTCTACACGAGCGCCGCAACTTACATTGTATATGAGGTTAACCATTGTATATGCACTTTTATACAGGGTGGATCAAAAAAACCCGAAACCGAGATATTATTGCAAATTGGAACAGAAGTAGGGCACATGTGAATCAAAGGGAGATATCCTCTGTTAGGGTTGAATCTCCTCTTTAAAATGACACCCTGGTCATGTCATTACATTCACGGTTGACTGAGCAGTGACCAAATTTATGAAAGGGTCTATTTAGAGACTTGCGCCACTTTTCAATTGTGGTTTTAGTTGTGTCAATTGTCACAGAGTGAAAGGCTATGGTTGCCAACTCAAGCCAGGTGGGAAAAAAAGAGATTTCACCATGAAAAGTGGTGCAAGTCTCTAAATAAACCCTTTCATAAAATTGGTCACTGCTCAGTCAACCGTGAATGTAATGACATGATCAGGGTGTCATTTTAAAGAGGAGATTCAACCCTAACAGAGGATATCTCCCTTTGATTCACATGTGCCCTACTTCTGTTCCAATTAGCAATAACCCTGTATACTGGACACGTGGCCGTTCATGACCAATGAAATTACAGTATCCAAGCACATGATATAATAACGCAAAATGGCTTATGCAGGAAGTCAACAATAAAGCGGGCAATTTTGCAAAGATGCATGCTCAGTGTTCTTCCAAAATAAACAGATTTTCTCCTAACAAATTTTCAATTTGTAGGTTTTGTTTTCATAATTTATATTTGGGCATGGACAACCTCTAAAAAGGACCTTCAAGTTGTGTACAAATGAACCCGCCCTGCGAGAGTTGAATTATTGTCGGTCGCAAATAATTCAAATTTAGTAAAGAAAAAATTCAACTAAACGTCTGAGGATTTTTCGTTCGAGGTCTCATTCAAAAGTGTACAATTTTTATATTGCTAGGAAAAAAGCAAATGCAAAAACAAATCTATTTTTAGGTGTCAAACTCAAAATAAATCAAATTAGGTTTTGCCCTTCACCGACATTTAAGCACTGTATACTCAGTGTGTTACCTCCCGAGTGAAAGTTGGAAAAAAATAACTCGGGTGGGACTCGAACCCACGACCTCCTGCTTTCTAGAGCAGATGTCTTACCACTCGACCACCGAGCTAACAGGATCGCTTGGCTGGTTCGAATCTGATGTACATAGCAGCGGGTACCGCATAAACTATTATAAGATGGAATTTTTTTGCGCCGGGGTGATATAAATCAAATTAGGTTTTGCCCTTCATGCTTGTGTCTTCATGTTTGATCCCGTTAGCTCGGTGGTCGAGTGGTAAGACATCTGCACTAGAAAGCAGGAGGTCGTGGGTTCGAGTCCCACCCGAGTGATTTTTTCCAACTTTCACTCGGGAGTTAACACACTGAGTATACAGTGTTTAAAACGTCGGTGAAGGGCAAAACCTAATTTGAATTATATCACCCCGGCGCAAAAGTTGCATCTTATAAAACTCAAAATAGCACAGGGAAAATAACTTTAACTCTTGATGCACTTTTGCATTTGTACCTCCGACAAAGAATGAGGGACGGAGATTCTGATTGCATACAGGACAGTGTACAACGAAGGGAGTGTTTCTAAGACTCTGTTCATTTCCACAAGGCCACACTTTCCGTTACCTTTTCTATGTCATCCTCCTTGTAGTTGTACATCAGTGCCTTCTTGATGTGGTTGTACTTGGCATCCACTTCCCTGGTAGTCGGTAACTGGAAACCACCCAACATCATCTGGCGGAAATGCAAACGGAAACAAAGAGCATTTATGACTTTTTGCTAGCTGTCTCTTTTTCAGATCAGTCTCATTTTTGACATTCAGAGAGTAGATATTTCAGTGAACTAGAACATGAGAACAAAACATCACATTTTCAACAAAAGTATTTTGATACAGTGGCCTTCAGAAATATAAACAATGAGAGCAATTTTATTGCGCTGTTTATCGCACAATTTTCTGAAAAAAAACATCACATTTTCAACAAAAGTATTTCTGATACAGTAGCCTTCAGAAATATAAACAATGAGAGCAATTTTATTGCGCTGTTTATCGCACAATTTTCTGCTAACAGAGTCTTCATCTATTTCATGGAGACCATGAGCTGTAAGCACAGCAAAACGCAAGCTTACCTCGCAGGAACAATTTGCTTAACTAATAGTGACGTAAGAATAGAAATCTCCATGACTGTTCAACCGTATGCAAATCAGCACCATGAAATGGTGCTTAGGTTAAGCTTAATTTTCTGCTGTAGTTAGCACAACTTTTCTGCTAACTGTTAAGCAGCGGCATGAACTAAGCTCGAGCTGAGAGTTGCTGGGAACATTGCTTGTGTTGCTCTAAAGTTATAAAAATAATTGATATGCTAAAGGACCAAAAGTGCATTTGTAAAAACATAACATTATGGAGAACACTAAAACATGTAATAACATTTTGCGGGGGGGGGGGGGGGGGGGGGGGGGGGGGGGGGGGAGGGAGGGGGGGGGGAGGACTTACATCTTCTTTCCACTTGCTGAACTCCGAGTCTGTAAAATCTTGATTGGAGACGAACTCCAGACGAAATACCCTTTCCTGAGTGGCATATCTGGGGAGAACAAAATGGATAAAAAAAGTGGTTATACTGGTCTTCCAAAGAACTAAGAAGAAATGAACTAATATTATGAGACCTGAACATGTTTTCCGTTTTCAGATAAGCCAAATTAACCATGAAAAAAATGATTGAAATGTTACCTCAGCCGGAGTCCTTTATTTGTGCGGTTGTTGCCCAATTGGTAGATTTTTGCCGTTTCCACACATTCTGTGATTTCTGCAACCTGAAGACAAGAAAACCCAAAAGTAAATTTCCAGAGGCAATAATCATATCATTAAATACATCACTAACTTTGGAAAAATAAGCCAAGGCCTGACATTTTTTATATCGAGGCATTTTCAAGGCATTTTTTAAGACAATATACCAGAAACTTTGATATCATCCTCAGTAGTACTTGTGTTTAAAGTACAGCATTACTTTTATTAAAATAAGGTGATTCCACACAAAGATTGGATTATGTTAATCATAATTTGCATGATTCTCTACGATTTCAAACTTGTAGGAAAAACACTTACTCTGTATATTGGTCGGCCACCATTGGAGCCAATTCCAATACGCACGTAGCAACCAATGACTGTGTCAGCAAAGAATGGCATATGAACCCATCTATTCAACCAGACAAAACAAAATAATATAGAAATAATTGCATATCATAGGAATCTACGCATTTTTTTCCAGAATAAAATATAACAAATTTCCAAAATTTTAATAAATATTTGGTGTATACAAAACATGAGACATAGCTCCGCTTCATTCTTTTGACAATCATATCCATATCTAAATAGCCGCATCCTCTTTGAGTGATCCCATTTGCTATTTCCCAGGTTTGCAGCATAGCTAATGTGGTTAGCATTGCAACATTGGCCGTGATACCTTGCTATATGGTATAAATGGATATATGGCTTCTGACTAGCACCCCTTTAACAAAGATAGCTGGATAGCTCAGTTGGTCAAGTGGTGGTACGGCAATCCAGAGGTCGCAGGTTCAAGTCCCATTGTGGTCAAACTTCTTTGTCAACTTTATAAATATCTAAACTAATAAGCAGGAGATCAGGGGTTTGAGTCCCAGCAGAGCAAGCTCTTGAAAGTTTTTCTTGCAAAGCTCTCAGAGAGCACTGAGTTTACAGTGCCTAAAAATATATAATACATTAAAGGCAAAACTTAGCATTGAACATCTACATTTGTCTGATGCACAAATTTATATCGAAATGTGTCAATGATATCTCAATCACATCTGTTTTGAGAGAACAAACAACGAATGTGAAAATGTCTGAAAGCAAGTCTTACCTTTCCATTTTATGCCGTGACAACCTGATTTTTGCGAGTTCTTCTTTTGAGGAGATGAACACTACCCTTGGCTTTTCATCCTCACTGAAGTGGAAGGAGGGGGTGGAGAAAAAAAAACACTTAAGGCTTAATGTAACCCAGTGGCGCACCCAGGATTTGGTTTTTTTTGAGGGGGGGGGGGTCCTAAATTTGTTTTGTTTGCAATTTTTTTTAGAAATTTGAATTTTTTCAAAAAATGTTGCCCAAAATTTTTGGCCGCAGAAAATATTTATTTATTTATTTTTTTTTTTTTGGGGGGGGGGCCTATTTTGACGCCCTTTACACCCCTATAATACTACTCGAAAATAGTACTACTAAAAAAAAAGGCCACATACATATCAACACGGTCAAATTGTGGGACTAAAAAAAAAAATTGACAAACTTTGGGGGGGGGGCTCAAGCCTCCCAAGGGCCCCCCCCCAGGTGTGCCACTGATGTAACTCACTACTATTGTCTCAGAACAGGCAGTTTTATGCAATAATGTTTAGAGCCCAACCTACGAGGTCCACACCTGTTGCATCGTGTTGCATCTGGCACGTTAGGGTTAAACGGTTGGTTGGCTGGCTAAAAAACTCTACAATATTCTGTTATCTGATCCATCAAGTAAGAATAGCTCAAGGGTCTGAGACAACTGTGACCCATGATATCTGCAAATGATTTTCTGAGAAGATTAAACACTTAAGACCATCGTCACCACTTACTCGCTGCGTTCATCATCAGATCCTCCGTAGGATGAGCTACTGGACGAGTCGGAAGCATCGTTCTTCTTCTCTTCTTCTTCATCTTCGTCATCGTCATCAGAGTAGACGTCACTGGCTTTCAGAGGTTCTCTTCTCGTCACAAGGGTATCTGCCAAACAAATTGTTCAAGTGACATGAAAATTACACAACAGCGGGATTGTTACTGCATTTTCACTATGTAATAGAGTAAGTCAAGTACTAACAGATATTTTTTTTAAACTTACTAACAGACCTTATTATTAATAGTAATAAACAAAGAAATTGACTGGAGCAGGGTTTGAACCTGCGACCTCCGGATTGCCATTCCGGTGCTGTACCAACTGAGCTATCCAGCCCTATGATGGCGGCTCCCCCATTTTGTCAATGTCTTTGTTCGAGAAGTGCTAGTCAGAACCCATAAACCTGTCTATGCCATGTAGTCAGGCCCAAACGCCCAAAGTCACGCCCAAAGTCACGCCCAAAGTCACAAGGCTAGCAACATTAGAAATGCTGCAAATCTTGGACTATCTTGTTATTAATGGAACTGAATGCTAGGATTGGCTTTTCAATGTCACCCGGTTCAATCCAAACAAAACGTAAAGCCTACTGCTGCACCTAACAAAATATGATGAAATCCAACATAACCAACAGTTAGGCAAACATAACCTAGTCCTGATTTTGTTAAATACGGCAGGAAGAGGTAGGGAGATAGGGAGGTTTACATTTCGGGTTACAATTTATGTTTGAGGGGTAATAGTTATGGTTAGTGCATGGTTATGGTTAACTCGGCCCTACCTGTTTTCATTTCTTTCTTCTCCTTCTTTGCTTTCAGGTTCAGGAGTTTGGGATGGATTAGAGCAAGGGTTAAAATAAATTAGGGTAATAGTTAAAGTTAGGGAATGGTTATGCTTAACTCAGCCCTACCTGTTTTCTTCATTTCTTTCTTCTCCCTCTCTGCTTCCAGGTTTAGGAGTTTGAGATGGATTAGAGGACTGGTTAAAATAGGTCAGGGTAATAGTTAAGGTTAGTAAATGGTTATGGTTAACTCGGCCCTACCAGTTTTCTTCTTTTCTTTCTTCTCCCTCTCCGCCTTCAGGTTCAGGATGGCTTGCGCCTTGCGGTCTTTCTTGTCCTCGATGGTGCGTCGTCGCTCCTTGGTGATGTCGCTGCGTGAGGCCAGCCGGGCAGCGCTGCTCAGGCTGCCACTGCTGTTGCCTTGCTCCTTGGCTAGCCGGTCTCGCTTCTGCCGCTTGCGCTCCCGTTTGGCTTGCCGCAGTTTCTTCTCAATTTCAAACCTGAATGGATATCGTTCAAAAACGGGAACGCATCAGCAAATGTTTTTGGCAGTATCTTGGAAAGTGATTAGTTGTTCAGATTTCTGTGTTTGGATGGAAATGCTTAGCGGCACTACCATACATTTGCATTACATTACTCCAAATCTATCTGCTCCTGGAATTATTTAAAATTGCAAGCTTGTTTAAGGCAGAAAACACCCTTTGTTGTCACTTCAGAAAAGTTCAATTATCCTATCTTGGCACACAAATGACTGTGCATGAACAATTCTGACCCCCCCCCCTTTTGTTTTTAAATTAACAGCACATTTTGAGACTTTGTTCTCAAATACTGACTGAAAACTTCTCTAAAAAGTGAGGAAAACTTTGACACTAGTAAAACAACAGAATAGGATAACATGTCTATCATTTGCCCTAAAACCCATTACGTTATTTTTAGTGCATACTGCTACAAATGTAACAAATCCAGCATAGATGCATTGAGAACCCTGCTGTATACAACAAACTGCTACAAATTACAACAGTGATTTTTTTTTGCATAGAGCAGTGTAATGAATGAAACCCAGCCTTGAAATTACCCAGTAACATAGAGTACCCTTCCACTTGTGCTGACTGTAAATACAATTATATAAAACAGCATTTAACCACTGTTGCATTTTGCCAGGCATGCAACTGGAAATTTAGAAAAAAATCGAGGAAATTCCAAACCACACAAACTCTCCAAGGCATGCAAGGTGTCGAGACACACATCAAATTAAAGCTTATTTCATCATCTTTCATTTTCTTTTCAATTTACGGGGGTCAACTGATGACTTTTAGGAGAAATTTCCATCTGAAGATGATTACTCCTTAAAACAGTCTTGAAGCCCACTGCCATTTTAAAAAACGATGCCTACACTCCATTGCAAAAAAAAAAACACTTTTAGGGCCCCAATTTCATCCAAATTGAACGGAACTACAAGCTCACAACCCTGTGCACGGCTTCTACCCATATTTTTTACAAACCCTCTAGTTCATGGCCCACAGTATGCTCAAATACTGAAGATTTTGAGGGCATGCAAATCGTGATTTGGCCGGCGTAGGAAATTTCAGACCGATTTACTGGTCTGTGCCCATAAAGGTATGGCAGGTGAAGAGGACTGATTTTGTGACTGTCTGTGACTGTTCAGACAGCAGGAGGGTTTGATAAATCTGACCTTGTTTTGGCAACCTCTCGTTTCTCCAAGCGGTTAAAGATCTCCTGTTCTCTCTCCATCTCCGTCATCTGAGCCAGCCTGGCTTTGTCCTCCTCGTCCCCCATCAGGTTCTCGTCATAGCCATCCTTGAATTGTGGCTCCTCGTCAGAGATGTCTGACACCCCTGAGGCTGAGAGGGATACGCTGCTGTCGGAGTCTGAAACCTCACCTGGACATGAAGGAAAACAGCAGGGTCAGAGTTTATTGTGATACATGCTACCAAAAAAAAAAGCAGACATGCAACTGGAAACTCCAAGCTGTGCCAAACTTGTTACGGTATTTTTCAATATGTCGCGGAGTGTGGCCTAGTGGTTAGGGTTTGTGACTCACGATCAGAGGGTCAGGGGTTCAAATCTAGCCGCTGGCTATATGTTGTGTCCTTGGGCAAGCCACTTCACCCCCATCCAGGAGTATAAATGGCTACTGGCATTAGCTGGGGAGTAACCTGCGATGGACTGGCTTCCCATCCAGGGGGAATACAAGTATTCTCAGTCATTTCATGCCAAAGAAACCGGAGATAAATACAAACCCGATGGGCAATATTTGCTCGTGACAGACTTTACTTGCCATAATGGTTAAAAAGGGAAGTATAAAACATAGAAATCAGCTGATTCAAGGAAAATTTTAAATCTTCCCAAAACTCTGGGTGGATTTTCGAAGGATGTAAGCGAGTTTCTGTAAATTTGCAAAACTAGGCAAATGTCAACTGTGATATTTTGAGAAGATTGCTTTGGTTAGCACATTATGGACTATCATTTAGTGATGACAGTCATTCGAGGAATAGAAAATCAAACTTCAAAATATCTTTTAAACATAAAATGGCAGTGAAATTATGTGACAGGTTGAACATCAATTTCTTGTTGGGACTGGGTAACGAAAATCAAGTTACAAGGAACCTGAAGGGGTTACATGTAGTTGGAATGTACTTTCATTTGACAGTTTCCCATACAAGTAAAATCTGCCATGAGTGTGAGCTGTGGTAATTTTGGAATTTAATGCAACCTAAACAGAGAGTTACAACAGGGAAGTGACCTGATGCACACTAAGGCTAAGTTCAATTCGGGCGATTCACAATGCAGTGCGCCACCAAGAGTTTGCCATGGAGAGTCAATTTTTTTAAGTTTACGGTCGACAAAACGCGGTCCATTTGAATGAGTGTCAGTAGACAACTTGAGCTAATTTTGTTATAGATTGGGGCATAGCGTTCTGCCGGCTCATAAAAAAACCCACCATACTGATTAAAAGGAAAAAAAGGGCGAACATATATATTCGAATCATACGCTTCAGAAACTACTGACCGGAAAAAAACAAACAAATGTCCCGCGCTGCAAATTGTCGACCATCTCCCACAATGCACTGAGAAAAATGAACTCTCTGTGGCAAACTCTTGGTGGCGCACTGAATTGTGAATAGCCTAAATTGAGTCATGACACCTAACAAGCAATTGTCATCCTGATGTGTACCTTCTTCCAATGATGACTTGTCCGAGTCACTATTGAGCGCTGAGTCCTCCGAGTGAGCCTTGGAGGCCCGCCGTCGAGTAACCTTCTTCTTGACCCTCCTCTTCTTCTTGTTGCCACCCACAGTCCACTGAAAGAGGAATTTGAAGACAAGGAACCTCTTAATAAAACTTGTAAATCTAAAAATTCTTGAAGAGATTATTTAGAACATTGAACTAATTTCCTGTATTATCCCAGGCAAGCCTGTCATCTTGGTTCTTTTTGTTTAGTGTAGTTTGCCAAAATCATAAAACCAAATCAACCCAAGAGTTACTGAAGCAAATTAAAATTGGTTGTCATATTTTAATTCAGTAGAAAGGAAAACACATCAAATGGTTTTGAGTCATTCCATAAATTTGGGGTCCAAAAGTGTGACTTTTTGTGTGTGTCCCTGTTACACTTGACCTGTGATATTTGCCACGCAAGTATCATAAAATTTGACTTCACACTATTTTATATTTGTTTGGCAGGTATTTTAATTTACATTATCACTCTTGGAGATAGAACACTAACTCCTTAGGCATTTTTGATAGGATGCAACCTCAATCCTGCAAAATCCTTCAACTGCCTCCATGTAAAAACTGCATACAGCCTCAATCCTGCAAAATCCTCCGTTATTTCTCGAGTGTGGTCCTTGGAGGAATGACCACTGCCTCAATCCTTCAAAATCCTCCAGCAATCACTGTCAATATGTTGAGACAGAGCAAATGACATCCTGGAGCTCTGCGGAGCATTTCAAGTATAATATACATGTAGGCCTAAATTTATGCACGGCTGAGTATAAACAACACAAGGTCCGGCCCAAGACCTTGACACAGTGCATCCTTCAAAATCAGCCACACATTCTTGTCATATAACCTCAATCCTGCAAAGTCCTCCATTTTGCAAAAAAAGATTTTGGAGGATTTGAGAAGGTTAGGTTTAAAGAATATGTTCTGAATTACAAAATCTTATACATGTCAGATGCAACAGGGGCACACACAAAATGGAACCAAGAAGTACGCATGACTAACTTCATCCTGAATTGTGCACAAACCCATAGCGTCATTGAGTGAGCGTCAGGCACCATCAGCAATGTGTTCGAATGACCCTCCCAGTGGTCTCCCCCAATCTCCATTTGTAACCGTTGAGGGGGTACTTTTGCACGGAATCCGTAGCGTGCAAATACTACAAATGGCCAAGTTCATGGAGCTGCTAAGCACCGACAATATTTCCGCTCAGCAAAACAGGTTACCAGCCAAAATGCCTTGATATCCATATTGGTTGTGACTGGTTCTCGGCTCATTTTTGCTTAGCGCGTAAATTATGCAACATTTTCTGCTTAGCAACACAATAGAATTCGGCCTAGAATGTGAATTGGGGGGGGGGGGGGAGATTTAAGGTAATTTTGGTTGACAAAATATCGCCGAGAGATTTATTTTATTTTATATATTCGCTACCTCATCATCACTCTCGGATGTTTCTGAGTCTGTGTCGCTCTTCTGTGATGACTGTGTCGTAGTCACCTCCTTCGGACTTGACTCAGGTTCAGGTTCAGTGCGCTTCCTTTTGGCCAGTGAGAGAAGTTCCTGTCAATTAAATAACAACGTCTCAAAAAATCTGTATACAGCATACTTGCCAAGTATTATACTTTTAAAAAGGATTTGCTTGAACAATGTTTCTCAGTCCAAACTTGGCAGTTATATTCCCCAACAAATTTGCAATGATTATCAGTATCACTGAATGTTAACATGGTAAAAAAAGAAGTGGCTTTTGATTTAAAAAGGCTTTGTTACTGGCAAGAATGTGATATTTACATGACACCACGGAGCCTGAAATTGGATGGACAAACAATTTAAAATGATCAAGCACAATCATTATCATTTTGAGCTACCTCGTACATTTAGAATGCAGTTATGATACAAAACTTGTTGGACAAACATGATAAATGGTCCTCAGACTGCACTCGCACATTTTTATTCGGTCAGTAAAATTGTCCAATTTCCCTTTTCTGACTTCTATCAGGCTGTGATTATTTTGTTCCTTGCATGTACAAAATCTATGGAGAGTAAGTAAGCATGATAATTTTTGGTAAGGAATCCTTGATCCTCCAATTTCTGCGCAGATAAGGCTTTGCAGCTAAGTAGCTTAAAAATAGCAAAGCAATCACTCTTTTCCTCAACAAAACTTATATTGTTGGCTTACGATCATCCACCGTACTGATTAACAAAGCAAAATCTCTTTATTTGTGGCAGCAAGCGGGGAATTCCAAAGCGTGCAGTTTTGGCGTTGTAGAAAATAATCCTGCCTAATTCTGTGCAGGGGACGCTTCATGAAAAATCTGTGCAGTCCGGGGCCATGTAACTCAATATAATATTTATTTTTTTAAATGAGTTAGACTCCTTGGTTTTAGGAAAATATATATTCCTTGAGCTTTTCAAACATTTTCTTTCTTTTTCCTTTCTTTTTTTCAATGCCAATACACTTTTCATAGTTTCAAAATAATGGTTGAATCCTCAATAGATAATTAATTTATACAAGGCCAATATTTACATAAATACATTTTATACATATTTAGCTATTTAATGTAGATCCCACTTTTATATTGTTATTTTGATCATACCAATCAACAGAGACAACTGTCAAGATGTCAGATATTTAATAGTTCTGACAAAATAAATCCAAAATAATATAAGAACGAAGTGGCTATCGTTACGGCACTCGTTGTTTAGCGCCCTCTACGATATTTTTTTGATACGCACGCAGGTGTATAATTATTTGTTTCCCCACGTTTTATCGAGCAGTGCGCCAGCTCAGCCGATAGAGGGTAGGATTTTGCACCGCGAGGTTGCGGGTTCGAATCTCAGTTTTGCACTCGAATTTTTTTCCTTTTCTAACCTGAGGCTTTGGAGGATTTTTTTTAAAAGGGAAATAAAGTCCGAATTTCATAAAGTTCAAATTCACTTTTTTCCTTCTAATTTTATATTTTCTTGTCATGTTTTTTTATAAAAGTTGCCAGGTTGCAGTCTACCGTAACGATAGAAAATGGGAAATGCGTTACGGCTGCCGTAACAATAGCCACTGCGATATAAGAAACGTGTCTTTTTGGTTGTACCATAAGTTTTACACCCCCCTTTAGTAACTGCAAAGTATTATCTATGACATATTAAGTATAATAGTATTAATACTGACGACAGTGGGAGACCAAGAAAGGTCACCGTACGTTCATATTTTCAACTTCTGCAGGCCCGGAAGCATCTGCCTGCATTTGTAGTTAGTTATATTAGCTGTAAAAAGCAGATTTTTTTCATTTTTTGCCTGAAATCCCTGTAAAACCTTCACGTTCCACATTTTGTCGGCTGCTGGTTAAAGTTTGTGCATCAAAGGATACAATCCGAGTGAAAGTATGTCATTTTTAGGATGCACGCATTGCAAAATATAAGTTAAACACGAGTGCGTAGAAATACGAGCGCGTAGCTTTAGGAGGTCTGACGAAACATTAATTATTGAAAATTTCGGACAATTATTGGCAATCTTTCCCCATCAAATTACCATTAATTTCACTATACAGATGAAAAGTGGCGTCATTTAATTGCACTGGTCCCTTACCTAGGCCTATGTCATTATTGATAAAAAAACACTGGCACTGCCCCTTTACTGTACAGAAAGCATTCATCATTCATCATCATCATGAACCTGTGAATGTGATAAAGTGTGAACATGATGAATGATCAATAAAAATGTGTGAGTACTGAGGACCGAGGTAAATTCACAAAACACGAACAGAGCCGGCCTTACCTCATCTAAATCAGAACCACTACCTTCACTGGAACTATCAGAATCTATTATAGCACGACTCTTCTTCCGTTTGGACATTTTTGTTGTAATAACAACTTCACTGTATTCTCGAAATTAGACAAAATTAATGAAGCTCCACATGTGAAAATTCACAATCACAGCTCACACAAAATGATCCAACACAAATGTGAAGAGCGCCCTCTTTTCATGAAATGAATTACCGCCGGATATGAAAGGTTCAAAGGTCACATGTTAAGCGCGCCAAGTCCAAGAAAACAAATTTTGTGCAAAACGCGACGGCACTCGCCATTTCATTTCACTCCCGGTGGTAAAAGACGCTGCGATCTATTCGAGATTAGTTTTAGGGAGTAATAAGCTGAAAGATTATGCTGGGGGTTGAAAATTCAGAGGTAGGTTCACAAATAGGCCAAGAAGTGTCGAAAATGTTTCCGATTTAGAAAATGTTGAGTCAGTGACAGTGAGTCGTGCGCAATGGCCAGTGGCAGTGCAGTGAGCTGAGTTGGCGAAACTAGTCAATGCTAGTCGGCGGTCGGGGCGGTCGGCGCTCGTTGTGCGACAATCGTGTAGCTCTATGGGCCCGGTTCCATTATTATTATAAGGGAACAAAAATCCACTTTTAAATTATTTGACTTAGGCCTACCAAACTAGTTGGCGACATAAAGAATATTCAACATGCAGGAAGGTCATACTCATAGGCCCTACACTGATGATGTCATGACTGTCCAGTATCAACTAGCCCGACTGCGTCTGGCCGTACAGTACTATCGCAAGCTCTGTAGTACGGCCAGACGCCCGATGCTTCCACAGAGACTGAATTTTGTTGGCCGCCGATGTAGCGATTTTGCTACATCTTTCGATCGCGATTATCTTTTCATCCAGGACCCAAATTTCCAAAGTAAAGGTTTGTAGTCGTAGAGCAACTCATACCTTTTCGAAAAAACGTTGTTTGGTCTCAATATTTTCATCCATCTGGCCACAAGACGAATTTCAGTCATCAGATTCCACAAATATCGTCCCCCATGCGATCCCCCATGCGATTTCAAAATGGCGGCCGCGCTGTAATGTATGCAATATGCAGGCGCGCCCCCGCAAACTCATGAATATGCATAAACAGTCTGTGACGTATGACCTCGTGTTTTTGGACGTACGGCCCCGCCCGCGCACGTCCAAAAACACGAGGTCATACGTCACAGACTGTTATGCATATTCATGAGTTTGCGGGGGCGCGCCTGCATATTGCATACATTACAGCGCGGCCGCCATTTTGAAATCGCATGGGGGATCGCATGGGGGACGATATTTGTGGAATCTGATGACTGAAATTCGTCTTGTGGCCAGATGGATGAAAATATTGAGACCAAACAACGTTTTTTCGAAAAGGTATGAGTTGCTCTACGACTAAGAGCCTTAACTTTGGAAATTTGGGTCCTGGATGAAAAGATAATTGCGATCGAAAGATGTAGCAAAATCGCTACATCGGCGGCCAACAAAATTCAGTCTCTGTGGAAGCATCGGGCGTCTGGCCGTACTACAGAGCTTGCGATAGTACTGTACGGCCAGACGCAGTCGGGCTAAGTATCAACATGATCAAAGTGTAGCTGGAGTTACCCAGCCCTGAGTTTTATCATTGGGTTCCTTATAGACAACCCAATGATAAAACTCAGGGCTGGGTAACTCCAGCTAATCAAAGTGACCTTTGCAGGCTAAAGCAGTCTTTTTTCTTCAGATAACCTCACTTTCAAAGAAAATGGGGCGATCGTGTAGTGTAGGGCCCCTGTTTTGTTTTGAACAAATTACTAATTTAGAGTCAAAAATGTTTTTATTGCTCAAAAATCACCTTTACAATCAAAAGCAGACTTTTCTCAATTCTAACCGTCATCGTCATTTCCCTCAAAATTTCCCTCAAAAAATCCAAACCCTGCCCTCTCTGTCTATGAGACATACCTGTTTATTGAGAATGTCGCCGAACTAGTTTGGTCGGTCTAATAATTTTAAAGTGGATTTTGTTCCCTTATAAAGTTATAGGAACTGGGCCCTACACTACACGATCGCCGAAAATGTGACTTTCCTATTTTTTTTTTACAGCTTGTCATCTTGGTTTTGAGTCTGTTTTCTGTTTGTCATCGTCCTCATTTTCCCCTTAATTTCCCTCATAAATCAAAGCCCTGCCCTCTTTCCACAAAATAAAACCTGCTGATATTCAAAAAAGTGTCATTGCCAACTGTTCAGATTAGGAACTTCAGATGTGTCAAGAAATATCAGCATGTCACTTTTTAGTTTCATTTAATCAGCTATTTTGGTGAGTCGTTTAACCTTATAGAGGAATGGGGTCCTAAAGGTAAGGATTACCGGTCATAGGCCTAGAAGGGTTTTGAATTTTTGAGGGAAATTTGGGGGTAAACATGGTAAAAATGACAATTGACAACGACAAAACGGAACACGTAAATAAAGATAGAGATCACCGCGATGTTGGGCCTGCCCCTGACTGATCCATATCTCGTTAAACTTGGGTAACAATGGCTTTTAGTTTTAGGACTGACAATTTGATGGTTGTTTATTTCTCCACATTACTTTTTTCTTAGGTTCAACCTTCGCAAGTGAGTCCCTTGCTGTTGAACAAGGACCTCTTTGATGCAGAGGACAGCGATTCCGATGTTGACTACACAGCGAGATCACCTTCACCACCCCTGGAGGAGGTGGTTTCCCAGCCCCCAGATGGGCACGGCTCCCCACTCCGTGAAGATGGACCACATCAACAAGGTCAGCAACTAGAAATTGAATCAAAAAGTCTTCCTGGATTTTGCTGGTCGCAGACACTGCCAGAGGGTCAGCCAGCTATGAGCCTGCTAAATGCAACAGAAGGCAACACTGGTAAACAGTTGTTGCATCTAGCAGGCAACTCAAGCCCCCGTGTTTTGTTGCATCTTGTTGCATTTAGCAGGGTAACTGCTCAAAGTGCCAAGGCGATACAACATAATCCACTGTTGCGTCCAGACTGGGACCTTAATGGCTCAAAACGATGCAAAAGAAGATCAGGCCAACTTTGCTCACTCTTTAAAGGGAAAATACAACATTTGCAAACATCATAAAATAAAACTACCAAATCATTTTGAAATACCTTGCTGGACTGTTAGTGAATGACAGTGTAAAGCATCCTGTAACATCATGGCACCTGGTATACTGTCATTTTCAAGAAAAGTGGTATTTTTGTATCAATTTCCAACGCTGATCGGCCGATCAGCGTTGGAAAAAACTGGCTTTTTTTTCAAATACTGGCCCCAGTTGACCATCGCACTTGTTTGTAATCGATTACACACCTATGAACGGGTACAAGCCAGCTAGACTGGTTCCCTGACCTTTCAATTCCCCAATATATGTAAACTGCTCTGTTTCTTCTTAAATGGAGTCAGGGAACCAGACTACAGGAAAATGATTGTTTTTCTTGTTTTTTATAGCATTTTCGAACCCAAAACCTCAAAAAAGTCAGTGTAACTACATTTGCTATATATTTCCAACCCCCCAATTCCATCCATTTCTGAAAATTACAGCAAAAGCAAATGATGTATATTCCCTTTAACCAGCAAATTTCTCCAAAACTGTTACTGGGTAAAAGAAAAGTTCCTCAGTATTTCACCGACCACTTTTCTATTATTTGGCAACTATTTGACAAGACTGACTTCTGCATTCATTGTCATAAGTCTGGTGCCCGACTAAGGAGAAATGTGTAGAAATAGTGACCTAGTACCCAACATCTAGATATTTTCTTTTGGCAAAGTCAGCTGACAGTTGATTGATGCAGTACTGAAGAGTTGTTGGACTGGTTGTTTCATGTGCCAGTCTATTTTCTTGTATTGTATTTTTTCAGTACCTTAACTTTTGGGACTCTCATACACAGTACTGAGAGTCCCAAATTTTCGGACCAGCCATTGTCTAGACCCGATGCATGAAAGATTCAAGTGAATAGCCAATCTGAAGCAATTGAATGGCATTTTTTACACTATGTTTAATACCAGCTTTTTCTGTTAGGGAAGTATTTGTTGTCACTCATTGTTTCCCATCAAAGGCTGGAAATATCACGATGTGCTACCCGCCGTCGTCTGTGGGTAGCACCTCGTGATATATCCGGCCTCGCTTGCTGCGAACGGGTCGCTGACAGATATTTCCGGCCTCACTCGTTCCGTGTTAATTCGTCATCCGGTCCGAATACTGCAAAACCTTAACGTGTAAAACACGTCATCTGACGTAAACTGGTTAAGAAAATTGAACTGGGAACTAGATGAAGCTACCCGGATATTTGCCCCTGCTTACTATGATGTGCATTAACCCTAACGGTAACCACCCCCAAAATCCAACCGCAAGTTTTATGTGATTCTATTGGAGTGAGTACTGCACTAGTAAACTGATTATGGGCAATTCCACGGTCACTCACGTTACATTTTTGATGTACTTTTGAGTTTCCTTGGGCTGTAATTACCTTACTGAAAAGGTTTAATAACTGTTATCCCCATGGTAGATAGAGTAGACCTAGACCTACCTAAGCACCAAAGATGACATCCAGAAAAATGTGTTATGTATGATAAACAAGACGCACAAAATCGGTTACTCAAGTTACATTTTCGTAACGTGAGTAACCGTGGAATTGCCCTTATGTTTTAGATTACCACATGGTGTTGGATTTTTGCAAGAGTGAGGAAGATTCCTAGTAAATCACTCCAGGGGGTTAGGGTTAATGACGTACTCTGATCAGTTTCTTGACTTTATTCTTTCAGATGATGACGAGAAATCTTCTGTTCATTCCGATGACGAGGAGGAGAATGAATCTGCTACTCAGAGGCAAAAGTCACCAGGAAGCAAGAGCAAAGGAGCCAAGGTACATTAAAATCAACATTCATGTGACATTCCCTTTGAGCTACCAAATTTACTTTTGCAAAATCAGATCTAACTGGTTGAGGGGTTAAAGATAATCTTTTTTGTTTGTAGTTGTAGTGGAAAAAGGAGTATATTTTCTTTGCGTTACCCTCACTATTGGAGATTATGAACTTTTAAAGTTGGAATTTTTTGGTGATGTAATTAACAAGAAAAAAGAACCCCAAAGTTTAGTTGTAGTGGAATTTAGTTCCTTTTTGACTAACCACTTCTTAAATGGTCACTTTTTGTGCAAACTAAAGGCTGCAAATTTTAATAAAACAATAAATCAGAAAAAAAATATTTGGAAGGATTTTGCATTTTTCTTGTTTACAACCTATACTTAGTTGCGTCTAAGTTCATTTCAAAAACATTTCAGCTTTTCATTTAGGAAGTTGGACAAGCAAGATTTTATGCTGATTTCTTATCCTTTTTTATCCTGCAGTCTTCCATTGCTCAGTCAAGAACTCGACGAGTCCCAAAAGTGGATGCCAAGAAAATTCACAGTGAGAGCCAACGCATTATTAGAGGTTAGTCATCCGCATTCAAATTTACATTTTTCCTTAAATATTTGCATGAAGCCATTCTCCATTCGTTCAGTGCACACCTTGGCCCTCTTGTGTCAAAATTGAGTACAGACGAGGCTGACATCCTTTGCTTTTCATGCACATTAGGCCCAAAAAAATAATAGTTCTGCTTCCGGTTACCCTACCTACCCTATTTTGACAGCCCTGACCCTTAACCCTAACTCCCTAGCATGATTTACTAGGAACCATACCCATCCTGGCAAATTCCAACACCATATGGGAAATTGCACACACTTATTTCTGACTTTGATTCTGGAGGTGCCAACCCAATATAAAAGACTGTCAGTTTAGGGGTACTGTACCCATCCCGACAGATTCCAACAAAACATGCTGTTGGGGTTTGATTGGTTGAGTTCTGTTGGGGTTATTTTTTTGGGGGGGGGGGGAAGAAGAAAACCCCCCCAAAAAAATTACTACCTTTTACCCTTGACTACACTCAGACACTTACATGTGATCAAGACACAAAAAATTGTCCCCCCGAAAAAATTCCCTACCTACCTACTCTATATTCAAATGCCATGTAATCAGATGCAGAACAATTTTTTTGGGGGGGGGGGCCTTAATAGGCTGATTTGTCTTTTGATGACGAGTTTGTGTTTTTCTTGTGCCTGACTAGTGGTCCATTCGTAATGTAGGTTGTGCCTGTATGCTAACATTTAAGTGCAAGCTTCTCTTCGGACTACAATCCAAAATCCTCATGAAACTTCATAGTCAGCTGGCTCTCTACTATGCATTACATTCACACAATTATTGGTAACCAACAATGTAACAAACCTTTATAGGCTCATCCAAAAAAAAGTCAGCAAGACTAGTCCAACTATCAATTGACTTGTACAACTATCAATTGACTTGTACAACTATCAATTGACTTGTACGAAATTGTCAGAAATCAGTCAACTATAGTTAACCATAATTCTCGATTGACTTTGATCATGTGCTGACTTTGAAATCAACGTTCACATACGAGGGAATGTCAGGCCTGTTAAAAAAATATTTTTTGAAAAGGGCTAAAGAGCCAGTATAGAATCAAAGTTTGTCAAACAACGTTTTAATAACTACGGCATTTGGTTAAACCACTGTTTATATATTACAAAATTCAATGTCAGAACAACTCATTTGACTTAACAATCGTATTGTGTTTGCAGAGTCTGATTTAAGTCTTCCGTACCACAAACCCAAGCCACTCTCTCTGAATGATTTCTTCAGTAAGAAGCCATCTAAAACTGGTGTCGTGTCAGTGAAAAAACTCAAGGGGCTTTCCAAGTAAGTCTTGATGATCTCTGGATATTGCAATATTTATAAGCAACGTAGGAGCAGAAAATCAGTTTGCATGTTAACCCTAACGACCTTGGTATGTTTACTGAGAAAACATATAACAAGACAGGTTCACTTAGCAGCAGCAGCAAGCCTAAAAAAGCTGTCCTAAAGTGCACAAATTTCACCTATTTTCCATGAAAATTCCTATATGAAAAAAATCTTTAAAGATATAGTCCATCATTTGTAATTTGTGCATTTTGTTCGTTTGAAGCAACAAAAGAGTTCAAAATCTAATGAAGGATACTGAACAACTACCCCGATGAAGTTTCAGCTCAGCTTCTGCTGTACATTCCGAGAAAAACAGCATTCTAGGATCTCAATTTCAAATCAAAAGTTACTGAATCATGTTTTGAATTGCAGCTATACGTGATGTCGCGCACTGATCCGACGAATTAAAGCAACCGCGCACGCCTGTGCGTCGTGCCAATACTTGCGCGCGCTGCGCCGAATAACAAAACAAACTACTAATTTAAATTTTCCTACGGTGCTTCTTAAGACGCACCGTTGGAAATGCCTTCTTTCGTTGATTTCTTCAAAATGATAGCTTGCCAGAAAGATTAATTTCACAGGGAGTTTAGTCCCCTTACTATCTTTCAACCAAGTATGTTTTTCAACAATAATACGCCAGTTACTTTTTCGGATGGCTGCAAATGATGGACTATAGCTTTAAGAAATCTTTAAAAATGTATTCAAAAAGTTTGTAGAATCATCTGTGATGTAATGTGATATTCATATAGAGACTTGAGAAATGTGATTTATTCCCTTAAAGTTTAATTTCCTAGTTTAATTATACTCCCATAGTTCATAACTTGATGTTTACATAACAAGTAACTTTAACTTGTAATGAAATTCAAAATTTGAGGTAGGGTCATTCATGAACCCCTTTTGTATTGAAAATGTTTTTCTCCGGTGAATTTGACAGCAGTTATGAGTTAAAACGTTTCCTTTTCCAGACGCCAACAAATTGCGGTTTTCACACAGCAGCAAACCGACACTGCATCCAACGAAATAAATGGAAGAGCAGCTCTATCGCAGCCCTCACCGAAGCCCAACAAGCATTCCAGGCAGCGTTCCCCACTCTCACAGAGTTCCAGTCCCACTTTCATCGAGCCTGAAGCAGACAATGGTAAACTGTCCTCCGATGGAAACTCGGCAGTGGAAGAGTCAAGACAAGACATCAGTTTGGAAGAGGAAAATGAAACTCCTTTAAGACTTGAGGAATCATCCGATGAAAGCGGAGAGACAGCTGCTCCAGAAGTAACAGACATGAACAAGGATGCTGATGCAGAAACAGACAATACAGTTGAGAAAGATAAAGTTAACGTTTCTGCTCAGGAGGCTGAAAGTTTGAATGTGACATCGTCTAAAATGATCACTTCTGATGATGGAATGAAGGAGGATGCAGGTTTAGCACAAGATGAGGAGGAAAATAAAGAAGTGACGCAACCGGCTGTTGTTGAGGTGGAGAAAGATAACCAGAAGGATGACACTGTTGCCCTGGTAACCACGGCAGAGCAAGATGAGGATGCTGACTTCAGCCTCAGATTATCTCCATCTCAAACTCCCACTCAAGCCCCTCCCGCAAGCCAGTCCCATCGGCAGAAGCTCCTGGAGGCAAGCCTCCCCAAACTCAAGACCTTGACGCCGCGGCTCAGCGGGGAGGCTGAGCTGGTGATCGATCTGGGAGATGCCGACAGCGACACGGAGGCTGGGTTTGCTACACCGTGCAACCCAGGCCTGAATCGCTTGATGGAGAGGTTTGTCAAGCACACGGCAAGGAGTACACCCAGGCCACGGAAGGAGGTCAAACTCAGGTAAGTTTGACAATGGACTCGGTGCATAAGTACGCCCTCAATGTTTACAAGGAGAAAGTTGGGAAGGACCACTAGGAGAGACTCTTAGCCAAATACATGTAAGTCGTAGGAGTTTGCTGAAACAATTGTATTTACGGTAAACAACTGTTCTTATAGTGTTGTGAGCAAGGAGACAGGAACGGACGGTAAAGAAGACCTCAAACTGGAGACGGTCGCTGTGACCATCGAAGGAGAAGTTTGTGAAGATCCTAGCTTGAAAGTGCCTGGTAAGCCGGATAAAGATGGTCCTAATACTGTAGACCTGCTAAGCAGGATAAAAGTGCTCAGCAAATTTATGCGCTCAGGAAAAAAAACAGTCGAGAACCAGTCGTAACCATATAAATCCAATGATATTTTGACTGGTAACCTATTTTTTTTTTTTAAACTTGGCATATATTGTATATAATGCAAACCTTTAATCTGTGTTTTTTGTCCAAGCAAATATTTTCTGGTTATTTTTTTTTCATACAAAATAATTTCTGAGCCTTGTAAATTTGTATGCATAGCAGGTCCAGAATATTAACACAACTAAAGATTTTATTTTGTCTCTCTACTTCTAATTTCTGAGTGGTCTTCATTTTGTCAGACAATCACAAAAAATGCGTCATTTTGTGTCCATGAAATCAGGAGCCAAACTCGTAAAACTGAAGGAAGCCCTCCAGCTGAAGATGAAAGCAAGGCGAGAGATAGAACGCCAGCGCCGCAAGGAGGCTTATCGCCTTGACAACGAGGATTACAACGAAGGTGAGGAAGGCGAGATGACAGACAAGAGTGACACCGATGACGAGAGTGACAATGACGCGGGTGGCACTGACCTTGGCGATGGCAGGAAGGAAAAGAAGGTAGGGCAAAAAACAAAGGTTTGTTTTTGAATTCATTTCAGACTGACCTTCCAGAGTTGTGCTGACCAAAAGGAATTTGAAAGAATATTTGGGCATTTTATATTTAGTATATGGGTCATACTATCGGGTTGGGAAGCAGTGCATGTTACATCCATATATTTGGTTATATTATTAAAAGTATCAATTCATTCTAAACAATTGCTCAACATAATATTTGTCTGAGGGTGTTTCAATACTTGTGAAAGTTTGAAATCATTTGAATGTACTTTGACAAAAATGTGAGCAAACATGTATTAATTCGAACATAACATTGACACCGTGTCAATGTTACATCCAAGTATTATTTTTTTGTCATTTTTGATACGTATGTAAAATTGTACCCAAACTGACATTGCATATTTACAACTGGACACCTAATGCACCAAGAAAAGCTTTTGTTTTGGTATAGTCAGGGCTCAAATATAGCAGAAACAATACTTCAAGAGTGTGGATGTAACGGTGTCAAAATCACTCAATGGAAGTGTGACATTGGGGTTGGACACCGTGTCAATGTTACATGTCAATGTTATGTTCCCACTGTCATGGAAAAACCCTGGCATTTAAAACTATCTTGGAATGTCATCGAAAAGTCATTTTAGGGATTGCCGTTATTTTACAAGTAGTCATGGGAAGTTGATAATCAAAGAAAAAAAAACAGGCATGAGAGTTTTCAGACTTTTGTCTAAAATCAGACTTTTTGAGTCTGAGAGAAAGACATTATCAATACAGAAAGAGACACACCTTTCAGACATCATCTAATTTTCAGACTTTTTATTGGCGAGCTGCGAAGCAGATGCGAGCCTATGTAATACCAATTTCCGTCCGTCTGTCCGGGCGCCCGTCTGTCCGGCCGTCCGTCCGTCCGTCTGTCCGTCCGTCCGCGTTCAGATAAAAATGTTGAAGTTTCTGGTTCTACTTAAACTTGGGGAAAAAAATTAAATGCAGTTGTCATGTATCATCTTTATAACTTCAGTTAGGTTCATATCATTGCAGTAAATTTTATGATTTTATTGAGGAATTTTAATTCAAGGAAATGTTAAAGTTTTTAATTGTTACATGTACATGTACACATGTACGTGTGTGTATACCGGTATAACATGTACATGTACACTATGCATTTTGGGGATGTGCATGAGCTTCTGGTTTGATCTTTTAGTTTATGGGGTTGGAGTAGGGATGGGGTAGGGGAGGGTGGGGTGGGGTGGGTTGGGGGATAGGGTTGAAGTTAGGGTTTGTGTGAGTAGGATGAGTAGGGGAGCTAGGATTGGTGGGGCGGGGATTTGTAGGGGTGGGGTGGGAACAGGTAGGGAAAGACAGGTAGGGGGAGACAGGTAGGGAGAGGATGGGCATGGATGTAGGGGTTGGGTATTAGGAGGGGGTTGGGCAGGGGGCGGGATATAGGATCGGAGTAGGGGATGGGTAGGGATGGGTTGTTGTAAGGGTTGGATAAGGGGAGGGGGCAGTATATAGGGATCAGAGTAGGGGTTACATGGGGTCAGGTGGGGATGTATGGGTGGGGGAATGGGGTGGGCGGGATATTGGAATTCAAGTAAGGGTTAGGATGGGGATGTGTAGGGTGGGTAAGGACAGATAAGGGAAGATAGGGTAGGTGGGTGTAGGGGGTTGGGGTAGGGGAGGGTACGGGTCAGGGGAGGGGGAAGGAGATAGGGATTGGAGTTTGGGTGGGGTTGGGATGTGTAGGTGATAGGGTGGGGATGGTTAGGGGAGAATGGAATGGGTGTGGGTAGGGGGTTGGGTGGGGGAGGGGGCGGGTTGGGGATGGGGTAAGGTTTTGGGATGGGGTAAGGTTTGGGGGAGGTGGTGATGGTGCTGTGTCTACATGTACATGTATACCCACTCTTGTTATGCATTTGTGGCGACTACACAAGAGTTTTCCCATGGTAATACAAGTATGGGGACCAGAAGACACTGTTGGGGCTGCAAAAATCCACAACTGGGTCCTAATTACCCTAACAATGGAAAACTCCCCCATAATACAGTGACGGCAAACCTATATACATATGTATTTATTAGGTAATCTGTTAACTTTTTATGTTGACATTTAAAAACTGACCCCTACACCTAGGCACAGTCAACAAGAATCCTGATCCCCTTCCATCATGCCCATCCCCAACCCTACCTTCAGCCTCCCTTCCTGCCTTGGACAGCGAGCCATGGCGGCTTCGCCGTTCTAGTTAAATTGACGATCTCATGCCTGAAAAAAAGTCATGAAAGTTTATTATTTTACAAGTCATGGAATTTGTGATGGAATCCTGCACAACCCATACGTGATGATGCGTAATATTTGGCTCTGGCAGTCGTCCAGTTTGCATTGCAGTTCGATCACTTTACTTCCACTTTACGCGCTATACTCATTGCATGTTCAATGCGCCATTGCGATGCTTTTATGGTGGTCAGTGGTCTTGTGGTCAAACTGGAAGACTGCAAGGGAGTGGCATCCCTTGCCTCCATGTGATGACTGGCCAGTTGTATTGTAAATAGTGTGTTGTAAATAGGCTCCTTAGATGCTGAAACGGGATTGGAATTGGTCATGGAAAAAATCATGAAAGTGTCATGGAATTTCATTTTAAGATTTTTGTGGGAACCCTGATATGTGTGAGAAATGGATAAAGCGTGAAGTTTTGTTCTTCAAGTAAAGGCTTCAAATAGTGATATCCCTTTTTTGCATAGTTTAATATTAGTAACATTCTAACACTTGTGAAGGTACATCATTGCTAAATACAGAATAGCAATTCCTGAAACTTGTACAACAGTGGGAAACAGGCATACATTTTTTAAGGGCTCCGTGTGGGAATAAGAAAGGGCATGCGTTCACTGGTACATGCGTGTGAAGCGCCAAGTACGCATGCGTAATTTTTTTCTAAATGTGCACAGAGTCATGCATAGTGTCTTCGCTTTGTGGGCAATGCGTTTGAGTGTCTCCCCCAACTCTCGCTTTCTTACTGTTGAGGGGGTACTTGTGCAAGGAGCCCATGAAGCAAAATCATGAGATTCCTTAAATTCATTTAACTATATCGTTTTTTCCATTCATATGGGCTGTTTTGGTACACAGATAAAGAAAAATCCATTTGTAAACCATGAAGCTGTGGATGATGATGATGAGGATTATGACCCGGAGGAAGACAGCGATGAATACGAGAATGAAGATGATACAGACAACAGTGATGATGAAAGTGATGCTGCCAGTAACCATGGCAACAGAGGACAGGAACAGAAGGATGCCCCAGACCTCCAGATCTACTCCGCCGAAACTGACGAAGAAGACGATGATGAAGATGATGAAGATGAGAACATTAAAAGGGTGTCATCAGTCGGCAAGGCGAAGAAGAAGAAAAAACTGGTTCTTGATGACGATGATGATGAGGAGGAGGAGGAAGAAGCAAGAGGAGATGTTGCTAGGCAACAGGAGACGGAGAACAGTCCGACGTTGGAGCTACATCTTGATGCTGATGACGAGGAAGATGAACATGAAGAGAAAATGAACCAAGGTCAGTGTCTCTGCATAAAACACCAGTTGGGTTGTTCTATAAAGTTTGGTCCAAAGTGTGACATTTTTCGAGCACGAAGTATAGGTATTAAACCATTGTTCGACCAACTTCGCTCAAGCGAAGGATGGTTGGACTATTTGGAACTGGCGTCTGGGTCATGGTTGCATAGCTGGTTACCAATAGCTGTGCACATCATAATGCACAACGGGGAGCCAAGACTTTTGACCATCGTTTGACTAGAGGCGTTTGCCTGTTGCTATTAGTGCGCAGGCGTATGTTACATCAGAAATCAACCACTATTCGACTAATGGTCCTCGCCTGAACTTGCTACCTTGGTACTTTGTAATTAACCATTCAAGTATCATTAACAATATTTTATTTATTTGGAAGGTAGTTTGCTATTCATAGTCAAGCTAGTTTGAAAAGTATAGAAACCGAATAATGCTTTTGGAAAATTAAACATTCAATTTTTCTCTTTTGTGAAATGGGCATTCAAAATGCAGGCGTGAGATATTTCCTACTTAACTTCAAAATCTGACCTTTCTAAATCTCAAAACGTGCAATTTCCAAAAATAAATGACACTGTGAGTTTGGAAAGCAGTACAAAAGCATATCACCTCGTAAAAAGTGCGTACTTTTTTATTCACTTTATTTTCATACAAGAATCATCATTTTCAGAAAGTATCGTAATTTTCGGAATATAAGCCGCGGCTTATACGTTGAATTTGCCCATGAAAATGTTTACTGCGGCTTATACACAGGGCGGCTTATACAACGAGACTTGAAGAATAAAAATGACATTTACATGTGTATTTAATGTACTGGTACAAGAAGAGATGTGTTGCTGAAATAATTATCAGTTAAGAAAGTCATTAACAAACCGAAAGCACGTCCCACAAAAAGATACCGAGCGGTAAAAAGTACGGCTGGTGAAAGCTGTCCCTTGGACATCGACAACCGGCCGTGATGCTGCCTATGCTGCATGCATGCTGCATGGATTCCCCATGGACCACACCATTTGTGGTAATAAAGGGGTGCACTTTCTTGGGAACAATAATTACCAATAATTATTTCCCCAGTTTCAAAAAAGGAAAAAGACAACTAATACTTTTTATGGAGTTTGAAACATATCTTTATTTGAAAATCAGTTGTTCAACGTCACAATATAATTTTTTTTCTTGAAATGTATTCAAGAAACGATGTAAAACTCAAAACAGGGGTGAAACCACCCCTACAAAATTAATGGATTCGTCCATAAAAATCTCGGCATCGTGTTGACTGTTTTCGAAGAAAGTTACGATCCAAACTTGAAGTTTTGACGTTACTACTCGTTAGTAATCACAACAATTTGATAAGTTTTGCTGTAAAAACGGACTTGTTTATCCTTTAGGACAAAATAACTCAGCGTCTGTTGCCACAAAGCAGGATTTGTAGCGCTCCAGTCAGACAACACATGGTGGGTTGCATACTCTCTCAAGTGCTGGGGGAAAATAATGTCATTCGCCGGCACAGGCTCACTGACGAGCCAGCCGGCAGCAATTCCCGTTTTTTATTTCTCATCATCAATTTCCATATTTGTTTGTAAGAGTAATCGACTGTCAATGATTTGACAAAACATTTGTGGCCCTTTTTTTAGCTTTCGTAGTGCAAATGGAACTGGTTCAGAGCATTTTGACTAGAATTTGGAGGCCTTACAAAATTGAACCGCTGCGGTTGGTGCGGCTTATACGCCGATGCGGCTTATACGCCGACTTCAAATTTTAATTTGCAGATTTTTGCGTGCTGCGGCTTATACGCCGCGCGGCTTATATTCCGAAAATTACGGTACTTTCATTCCAATGTTTCAATTTTATTTACGAAATTGACGATTGTTTTTTCCTCTTTATCAGATGATTCCTTGTCAGAAATACCGACCAAAAACACACAACTTACTCTGGACCCAGAAATGAACAGCCCAAGTTTGACATTCCCCCGTCCCGATTCCACCCTCCTAGTCGGACGGCTTGTTACGGAATCTGCCAGCAGTCAAGATGGTACCATGGACAGCTGTGACGTCGACAAACTTGGCGAGTCCATCATGCGTGCGGCGCGGTCACCAAAAAAGACTTTGACTCACGAGGAGAAGACGAGAGACCTGTTTGAGTCGGCCAGCAACACGGACGGAGGGACTACAGGGAGTAGTGAGGTGGACCGGGCCGGGGAGTCCTTCACGGGACGGACAAACTTCAGCTGGAGTGCTATCAAGAAAACGCCAGGTAACCACTGAGTCTTTTTTGTTGTTGTTGTAGGGAAGAAAACATTAGGATTGAATCTAACAAAATGAGTTACATTTGAGTAATAGGCTGTGAGTTGGTACAAGTATCTTCTTTGTACCTCACTGACTGACTCACTGATTGTCACTTGTGCATTAGAAATTCAGAAGCATGTTATTATCAAATGGTTTATTTCACTCTCCTGTCGCAGCCCGAAGGCTGAATTGTGGGCAGGTTGACATTAAAAACAATAAAAAAAATAGACAGGAGTAAAAACTGTTTTCCTAATAATTAAAATAATTACAAGACCGGTAAAACATCATAATGAGAGTTAAAAAATAATGCATGTAACAACAAGAATTGAGTTTCATAATAAAAAAAAAAGGAATTGCTTAAGTCTCACCTTGGCCCAAAATTTGAAATAGGATTCCTCCGCAACACCAAAGAATGGGCTAAATCCAGCCCATTGTGTAGACCACATGCACGAAAAGACTTCCAGTAAATAGCCATTCTGAGTCAATTGAATAGAATGTTGTGTGCCCTGGGACCAGCTTTACCAGGCTTGCCTTGTCTTTCTTGTTGGCAACAATGTTCACCTATTTATGTGCATGCAAGTAGGATGACTAGGCAATAAGGATTAGTTTGGTTCCGATCTTATGACGTCAAAGTACCATGTGACCATTCAGTTTCCCCGTGATTGGCCACCATTGCAGTAGGCAAGCATTTTGGTAGCAACCACATTGTGCATTGTAAACTAGACAGTTGGGCTTATTTTCACGCAAAATAACTGCAGATTCTTTATCAAATGGCATAATGGTCACTACCTGTGCCGTGCACAGTTGTCATTATGGTGCCGACCAGCACTGGGTGTTGGCTCCGCGTTTTTCTCTTGCCATCTCGTGGGATCACAAACCTCGATCCCAGACGGGTAAGCAGGCTGTCATCTGCGGGTAGCACACCCTGATATTTCCAGCCTCGCTCGCTGCCAGATATTTCCGGCCTCGCTTGTTACGTATTTATCCGTCATCTGTTCCGAATACCGCAAAACCTTTGCGTACATACACGTCATCCGACGTGAACAGGTTAAGAAAGCATTTCAATCACCCAGTTTCAATCATCCAATTCTCAGGAGCAGTACAAGACGATTCAAGCCGTGAATTGCCCAAGCAGATGGACAACAGCTCCAACAGCCTAGACACCAGCTTTGAGTTGATGGGGTCCATCATCCCTGCCCACCAGCCTGGAGGCGGGCTGAGGAGAAACCGTAAGACGTCACTTGAGGAGGCCAGGGATGGCTTTAAGCCATTCTCAAAACATCATTCTCTGCTTCAGAATGCTCCAAAGGTGGGTATCTCATAGATATTGTCCAATTATTTTGCTTGTTAAGGCCGGTTAAACTCAATCACACAAATGCAAATGTGAATTGAATGAAAAATCACAAAACATTTTTAGCAACAAAAGCCAGAGCTGAAATGTGCGCAACTTTGCAGTTTCACAGATTCAATACTTGCCGTGTTATTAAAGAAATTTACTTTTGTGTGGCCACAAGGCAGAAAGTTTTGAAAAGGGGGAGCAAGGGCCAATTTCATTGTGCTGCTTAACAGCAGAAAATGTGTGCTTAAGATAGCGAACAATTGTGTCATCCTTAAGCCCGCGGCACACCAGAGCTACGTGCTGAGCAAAAAGTCATTCGAGGCCGTTTGCTCAGCACGTAGCTCACAAAGTATCCCCATGTGCGGTCAATTTTGGCTGGGTTTTCTGCCTTGTGAGGCCGTGAGGCAAATATCTATCCTGTTTGATTTTTTTTCGCTTTGTGAGGCGAAAAACTCACTGTGTGCGGTCAACCTGAGCTGCGTGCTGAGCTAAAAAGAATAACAAGCCACTGAAAGCACATACTCTGATCACGTGATTTCAAGATTTCAAGACTATATTTTAGAGGACAATTAGCTGGTTGAGTTGTGGCCAGATTATTCTTGTCTGTCAGTCGCATGATTTTAAAAATGGGGACAAATGCCAGCAGGCTCCAGAAGAAATTGTGAGTAATTTCTAAAAGTACCGTATTGTTTTACGGTGTGCAATTATCCTTTGTTTTTTATTTGTGTGGCTCCAGAGTTCTTCTAAGTTGTCAGAGTTGACACTCCCCGTGGAGGATTCTCAAGACCTCTTCCGGGTGGACACGCCCTCCCTGACTGTAGCCATGGAAACCCAGCAAGGGGGCGACACCCAGAGCTTCCGTTTCTCCTACGACGACGACGAAACGCAGACGCAGTTCCTTGATGAGAACGGGTGAGTGTGTATGCCCTCAAGGGTCAAAGGTTACACAATTCATGTCATTTACATCACACCAATCCATGAATGAGTTAATATTAGACTGTAAATTTGACTTTTTACCTCTTGCAATAACCTTGACGGAGCTGAGATCATCACCATACTTCCAGCATGGCTAAAAACAGAATCAGGCCCAGCTATCATGAACACTAAATTAAGTACCATTATCGTTGTGTGCCCATGCTCTGCTAGATTCTTTCAACATCATGCCTTGCTGTTATGGGGGTAAAATCTATAAAAAAAAAGAAGACGACATTTGTGTACTTTCTACACGCTCTAATCGACATCATCAAAAAAAAACTACTTTCCCCAATTTTTGTGTCCATATTAGAACGACTGTGTCTGTGTCGGGCATTGTTATGGGAAATCTTGGATGGAAATGTTTTTGCTAGTCTGGTTCCCTGACTAGGTCACTTTCAAAAGCCCTGCCCTCGTCCGAGTGCAGATTCGAGGCACAAGACCTAAATGGACATTAAATATAGATGCTGGGTATTACACCAGGAATTTGATTTTGAGAAATGCAAGTGTTGATATGTTGAACTCTAAATTTTTCAGAAATGAAAACAAGCATGACAGGTATTTTGTTGGTAAATAAACCATTTTACTCACAAAAACATCTGAGCCAACATATCTGTCAACGCAAAAAATGTATTCAGAAAACTTCAGACTTTTTTTTGGAAATGAGCAGGACCCTACCCATTTTACTGTGGCGTGGTGCCTACCTGACCTAAGAATCCTCAGAATAGTCCATTTTCTTTTGGTCTGGGATTCAGACTAATTGTTTTTGTTTTGCTTTCTGTGACAGGTTTCTGAAGCTGCGTTCCACCAGTAAACCAAAGCCTGCCACCAAGAGGCTGTTTGAAGACGAGAATGCGAGCCAAGACCAGATGGATGAATTGCTGGGCCTCTGCTCAGGCAAATTTAATAATGGTAAGAGTAGAAACAAAATAAACCCCAAAACGTGATAATGATGTGCCTGTACCTTTTAGTTGGAGTAAAGATAATTAGAAGTCAGATCACAAGTTGATCACAAATGTAATCAGAAGTCAATCAGAAGTTTGTTGTATGTCAGTCACAAGTCATATCAGAAGTCAGACACGTACAGGTCAATCACAACTTAATCATAAGCCAATCACAAGTCAATCACAAATCGATCACAAGTCCATCACATGTCAATCACATGTCAATCACAAGTCCATCACAATTGACCTATCGCCGTTTGCGAGTTAGCCACGCCCCTTAGACAACCCTATGGAGTTTTTATACGCTAAGTTTTGTTTGTCTCAGATTTTGCGCGTTCCGCGTCCATTTGTATATCATGTAATTGGGCAATATTTCAATAGCTGCGTTGACGCGATTCTACCGAGATAGGTCAATTCAATTACAAGTCAAAGCGAATCACAAATTTTAATCAAAACTCAATCAAAAGTTAATCACAAGTTATTATCACAAGTCAAATCACAAGTTAAGTCACAACCCAGTTCACAAGTATAGGGGATGAACAATGACAAAGGAATGCCTTAATCACAGATCATTTGAATACTTTTAACTTGACTTGAGACTAGATGACATCTGATTGACTTGTGATCTGTGCCTACAACAATTAACACGGTGTTATTGTAGTCACTGAGCAACGCCCATGCGCTGCACGCGCACAGACATCACCATGATGATGATGATCTGTACCTCAACTGCACATGCAGGACAAAGTTAGAACAAACATTTCCAATAACTGATTGCGAACTGCCAATCTTGATTATGTTTTTGTTCCAACTGTTTTTATTGAAGGGGCCGAGAGTTCCAGTAAGATCAGGAAAGGTCTCTTCTCCCAGCTGAGCAGCCAGCGAGTTGAAGGCACCCAGGGCAACTTGGATGAGTTACTGGGTCTGTGCTCGGGCACGTTTGTGAGGTATGCATCTCCTTATAATCTCAATTTCATTGTGGGCATGAGTAAATTGTGCACAAGTGCCTTCCAACAGTTACAAAGGGAGAGTTGGGAAGACCACTGGGAGGGACATTCGAACGCATTGCTGATGGCGCCTGATGCTCAGGCAATGACGCTATGGGTTTGTGCACAATTCAGGATAAAATTAATCGTCCGTACTTCGTGCCATATGCGCGCAAAACGCTACGCGCACGTAGTGTGTTCTTCCCACTGGGGCTTTCGAAATTGATCACAATTAAAGCACCATCTACTGTTCACTTATGGATTCCCAAAATATTTGCTTATGAGCCAAAAAAGGTCGCTTACCAAAATGTCCTGTATTGTTGCTTGGTACACGTTTACACATTTTCTTACTTAGAAATGCTTGTGAATGTCTTTCGTTTCTCACCAAACGGGGGCAAAATTTATTGATACCGAAAAACGGTAAGCAGAAGAGTTGTGCTCACTGAAGCATCACTAAAGCATAACTATTGTGCTAACCTTTAAAAGGATTTTCATGGCATGTAAACTTGCAGGTGCATGGAGATTTCAGTTGTTTTCTCACTATTTTAAGCCAATTCTGCCTCTGGAGTTAGCATGCATGCTCTTTGCTGTGCTTACTGCCTGAAATGGATGGAGGCTCTGTTTGCTAAAATCTGTGCCTAGGATCATCATAAAATTGGTCAAAGTTATTTTAAGCAATATTTTTCTGGTTAGCAGCTCACGACAATGTTAAGGCTGCGTCCGAATTACTTGGCTGCGGCCTGCAATTACACATTACACATGCTGCAGCCACTTCTCTTATACACTTTGGCTACTGAAAGCCGTAGCCAAGTAATTCAGACATGGCCAATGCCTGCAGCTAAGCACAAAACATACTTGCTAAGCAAAAATAGCTTACCAGCTAAAGTGTCATGCTGCATTTATAGGTTGTGACTGGCTCTCTGCCAATATTAGCTAAGAACATAAATTTGCTGGGCAGTAAATTTTGCTTGTTCATGAAATTATCCCAGCACTTGTAATTTTTTTTTTTTTTTTTGGATTAAGTTTTACATTATTTATGTGGTTTTGTTTTTCGTTTTACTTTTCAAAGTCAAAAAGAGGACTCCCAGGCAAAGTCAACCCTGCCTATCCATCACGACGCCGACACGCACAGCGAGTCTTCTTTCCACATCCTCTCTGATGATGAGGGCAACCATAGCGACCGCGGACACCGACCAGTCCTTAGCGACGATGAAGAGAGTAAACCCAAAAAGAGGAAACGAATTCGCGTTATGGACGACGAAGATAGCGATGATGATGATAATGATGATGTTGGGGAAGAAGATGATTTGGCTGAGGAGGAGGAGGAAGTGTTCGATTCGGAAGATGAGTTGAGCTTTGTGTTGAAACAGGAGAAACAAAGCAGCAAGAAGATGGTTTCTGGAAAATCACAGGAGAAGATTCGGAGCAAGTAAGAATATGAACGAAAAAACATTTCCAATTCTAAGATCATGCTTTGTTTACAGTGCATATCATTCAGAGGGAAAAGGTTTAAAAATAAACAACAACATGCGTACAGTGCATTTTAAACAATATATATAACACAGAGTATTTCATTTGTAGTAGGTCAACTCGGTCAAAATGCAGTGCCATGCCCTCTAGACTGGATTTCTGTGACATATCACATTTTAAACCATTTTCACTTATAAAGTGAACATAAATTGTGCTCATTTGCAGTGGAGTCTACTTGATTTTCTTGCCCCCAGAAGGGAATAAAAACTGAAGTGTTTTGTGGGTAGTTTCTTTTTGGGGTTGGTATCTGAATGGTGCACTTTAAACAATATCTTGGGTTGAATTCTATCGAGCTGCTAAGCCAAATCTAAAATATTGCTTTGAAAATTTGGCAAAGCATATTTACTCACTCAGCAAAAACAGCAAGGAGCCTTTCGCAAGCAAAATACAACACATGATATTTTGGCTAGTTACATATTTTTGCCAAGGAAAACTTGGGTTTTTTTTGTACAAAGCTAATGAAATTGTCCTGCCTATATTTATTTTCTGGGTGTTTATTTCTGGTCGCATTTGTCCGTTAGGGTCTCAAAAGATTTCTTTGATGAAGAGGCCGAGCTGTCGGGCAGCGAGTATGAATCCGATGAGGATTACGATGCAGAAGACATGCCGGATGAACTGGAGCAAGATGAAGCTGACAAGGAGAACGTAGGAACAGAAGAGCAACTCCGAGAACAGGTCAACAAGGTTCACATGTGAGTACAGATAGAAGACTTGGCATGCCTAGTCATACTGGAACCGAAAGCCTCAATTGTTACTCAGTGATTCAGTCAAGCAGTCAGTCAGTTAGTCAGTCTGTCAGTGACTCTGTTAGTAAAAGGACAACAGTCTGGCCTTTTGGGCCTAAGAAAAGCATCGAAAATTTGAAGTGTGAAAACAGAGACAGTTCCCGTCAAAGTTTTTGGTTCTGTGAGTTTTGGAACCGATACTCCTCAAATTACAATTCATAGTCGCTCATTATTGTCAGGCATGCAGCTTTTCCTCGGATCAGCTGATTTCCGCGTTTTTCACTTTAAAAAAAATCTTTTTCACTTTTTACAAAATTGAAAAACACTGTACACAGTCTTTTAAAGATTGGGGTTTCCTCGGTTTTTTGTTTCTTCCAAGTTGCATGCCTGCATCGTGTTTATGTACACACTGCTTGCTTCAAAATAAATTTAAATGTAAGATTGATTTGACTGTTTGTTTGATGTCGTATCACAGGAAGACAATGGAAGACGATGATGCAAGACGACTGCGTCTGTACAAAGAAATGTACCTCCCTGACGGTGACCTGTACTCGGAGGGCAAAGGTCGCGCGCGGCAGTTCCGATGGAGGCACATCGGTAAGCAAAGCAACAAATTCTATATTAAAAACAGTTTTTAAAAAAAAAAATTTAAAAAAGGTAAAATTAAAAATATTTTAAAAAACCCCAAAATATATACATGTAAATAAAAAAATAAAAAAATTGTAAAAGAAAAAACTAATCAGTCAATCAAAAGTTGATTTGCATTCATTGACACTAAATTAAAATAAAGCTTCAAATAAACCACAAAGGGAAACTGACTAGTCTCCTTTTGTGGTTGGTTGCTGGCATCATGACTTGGGGCGTGATGCCTGGCTACATGGCACATAATCGGGTTTATGGCTTCTGACTAGCGCCCCCTTGAACAAAGACACTGATAAAATTGGGAACACCCAACAGAGGGCTGGATAGCTCAGTTGGTAGAGCACCGGAACGGCAATCTGGAGGTCGCAGGTTCAAACCCTGTTCCATTCAGTTTCTCTGTTGAACTTTAAAATTTAATAAAAATAACAAAGAACACTGTACGTAAGTACTGTCATTGCGTAAGTCCTACGCATGCCGTATGTTACACACTATTTCGTGAAATCGGCTGCAGGGCTGTACACCAAACAATGGGTAAAAACACTACCCTGAACTTTTAGGTTGCATAAAACCAAACCGAACTAATAAACAAACAACACTTACTTCAATCAAAAAATTGCAACACACTTTAATACCATGGATTTGTTTTTGAAGTTTGTGTTTGTTTTTCTCTTGCCAGGTGATGATTCGCAGATGAACCTGTTTCCCGGTAACTCGGACGACGAAGGAGAAGACGAGAAAGACGAGGACACACAATGGCGCATGGAACGCTTCAAGAGAGAACAATGGCTCAATGAACAAAAGGTAAATGTGGTGCATTCAGTTACAATTTTGGACTCCAGAACATTTTCTGGTGGTGATTTTTTTTATGAATAGATTGTTGACTTAACAAACCTATCATGTTCTTGCTTGTTACATAGAGGGCCTGCCTGTAGTTAACAACTGTTGATGGTTGTGATGTGAGATGCTATTTGCCTAGAGGGGGTTAAGAATATGACATATCCCACATCACAGGAGTCAACAATTGTTTATGTACATCGTGCCATAAGTTACACAGATAAAAGTTATTAATGCTCTATTTAAGAAATGAAGGGTAACCTTTTGATTACTATGAGTAATCATTCAAAAATTGGTCCTGCCATTTAGGTTTCCTTTTTTTAACTCACCCTGTATATGCAACACAGTGTATATGAAGTAATTTATATGCAATGCAGCATATATGAGGTAATTTGTCTTACAAAAAAATTAAAATAAAATAAACAAAATCACTCATTTTCATAGACTGGACATGCGGCCATTCTAGACCAATGACATTACAGTATCCAAGACACAATATAACAATTCTCTTTGTACCTCATTGACTGAGTCACTATTAACTCACTATCTACTTGTCATTTATACTTGTTCATCAGACGTGTCCTTTATATTACTTTTAGGAGAAACAACCTGCTAAGGAAGCTGCCGTTGATGATGATGATGACGTTGTTGAGGAGAACAGTCAGTTTGATGTCTTCATGAAGACTGCCGTCAACAGAAAGAGGAAAGGTACTAATATCTTTGGATATCTTCAGGTCTGCTTTTTAACTTATTTTTTAAGGCTGAAACTCCCCTTATTTAATTTTGATTTTGTAGATTGTTTAATATTATAATCTTCAAAATTAGTCAGTGTTTGCCACGTTAATGTGGTTGATCTCGAAGTGGACACTTTGTTTTCAAAATGCGAATTGTTCAGCGATTCTTTACGAAACGTTCACAAGTATTCCTTTTTGTTTTTTTCAGCAGACCCAGTGCCTGCGATTGTTGACGGAGACAAGCCCATTCCGAAGGATAAAGAGAGACCGATAAACTCACCAAAGCCAATCAAGGTAATCAATCAACAAGACTAGGCAAGTCTAGTAAAGCTGGTCACAGAGTGCACAAATTCTACTCAGTTTATTCAGAACGGCTCTTCATTGGAAATCTGTTCATGCATGTGGTCTACTCAATGGGCCAGATATAGTCCATTCATTAGTGTAAACAACAGGCAACAAATAATAATAATAATAATACTGAATTCTTATATAGCGCACGTATCTACCAACAATTAGGTACTCAAGGCGCTGGAAATTACATGTATGTCTATTGTTAGAGACAGGTAAATGAAGTACATGAGAAATATGAGAACCATTATGTAGCACCTTATAAGGGTTTACAAGGTACTGCAGCGCATTAAGCAGCCACTGCCAGAAACACCAGGGCAAACCCCTTCTCTTAGCAATAAGTGTTACTGCGTTCTTTAATGTGCATTACACAACACACGGGACCTACAGCTTAACATCCCATCCGAAGGACGAAGCAATAATTGTAAAGTGCCTTGCTCAAGAGCACAAGCACCATGTTCCCACGGACAGGATTCAAACCAATGTACCAAGGCACACAAGTCGAACACCGTAACCATTGGACCACACCACCCCACTGTAATAAATATATCTACCAGTCTGACTGCCAAAACACTTTTTATTTAATTTAGTTTTGGCTGTCAGGAAAGGACCAAAGTTGAAAGTAATATTCATAACAGGGAATTCCCCCAGAGAGTTTCTTTGAAGTTTAATTTTGAAATAATCAAATAAACCACAAAGTGAAAAACTGACTAGGTGCATGCATAGTCATTATAAAGTTGAACTAAGATATTGACTGGAGCAGGGTTTCAACCTGCGATCTCCAGATTGCCGTTCAGGTGCTCTACCAACAGAGCTATCCAGCCCTATGTTGGTGGTTCCCCAATTTATCCATATCTTCTAATTTTATTATTGGTAAACGTACCAAGTTTGGACTGACAGACCAACTCCAATTGGTGCACTGGTTAGGATTCGAACCAGAGTCACCAGAATTGGAGGGGAAGGAATGTACCAGTGAGCAAACCCAACCAAAAGGTTCAAAATTCTAAAAAGTTGGCAAAAATTTACATGAAGCCTAATTTTTCAGACTGTTTTTCCCCCGCATCTCTGCAGTTTCGTCACGGCTCTTTCTTGAAGCGAAGCAAAGGAGACCTCGCTAAGATAGCGTCCATGATGAAACCTGCTACAAATACTAACGCTCCCAGGGTCTCCAGGAATGTCTTGTACCAGTCCATCACGCCACAAGCTGATGAAGAGGATGACAAGAAACCACAGGTAGGTACCTGGAGACGGTGGGAGATTTTAAAAGTCCGGAATTTCTTACAATCTTTAAAAGAGTCCAAAGTAATCTCAAGTCCAAAATGGGCTTGTGTTGCGCACCATGAGACGACATCATTTTGTTCTCATGTTTGAAGACGTATAGGATCATTTGCATTCATCCCAAAAGTAACACACCAAATTATCAAAAAACTTACAAAACTTATCAAAAAACTTACTTGGAATAAAGATAATATTGATGCCAAACACCTCATAAAATGATTCCATCTGTCTTGCTGTTGTTTAGAAGAAATCAAGAAATGTACTGAGGTACTGAAGTTATTTCTCACGATCAGTCAACTATTTTTGGAAAACAGACAGTGCTTTAGGTGTAATCAAAATGTTGTGCAGAGTTTTTTACTGTTTCCTCAAAAAGTGTAATATCCACTGAGATGAAACCTCAACGGGTTAGGTTTGAACATTCTTCTTTGGATTCTGAGTGGCGTTATTTTTGAAAACGATCAAAATGCATGAAAAGCAAATGAGTTAAATGCCTTTAAAACTCTTTTTCTTATTTTCTTGTAACAGTGCTACATCCATTCATACTTACACTTTGTTATGCCACAGTGTCCAAGAAAACTGAAGTTTTTATTTCACAAACCTGGGCTATGTTCACCGTAAGTATTGCATAGATGCTACCTTAAACACTTGCCAATCTGCTTTAAGTTTTTCTTTGCATTGTATTATTTTCTCCCTTTTTTCTTGTGTTTTAGTTGCGTCGCTCAGCCAGTGACAGTCCAGCTACCCAAGCACCCAAGGCCAAGAGACTCAGGCTCGACAGGAGCCAGAGCCTGGCCAAGCCAAACAGTATCTTCAGTCTCATGTAAAGTCTTCTTGATAACCATTTCTGTTTCAAAGAAAAAAATAGTTGTAAAATCCACAATTTCAGGGACTTTTAATTCCTCACATGCTGAAATTTAAAAACAAACAATTGTAAAAACCTGTGCTATTGTTTAAAATAGGATGCAATCGACAGCAAAAATGAATCAACCTCCGTTTACACATTTAGAAACAAATTGATTGCATAGGAGACAAGGTAAGAATGTTGCATCCTGACGCCACTTTTTTTATCATTATTTATATCTCAATGAAGGTCAGTCATTGCAAAAATGTTTAAAAGACATGAATCTGAGACTGAGAACCATTTCCAATTTTGTTAGAAAATACTTTGAAAATGCACTCGACTCTCCATAGACTTTGAACACAACCACAGAAGTGGCGTCACGATACTACATTCTTGCCCGAGACAAGATTAAATGTTGCTGTGGAGAAAAAAAAAATTAAAACAGATCAGAAATATACCTCATCCCTTTGTGTCATAGTACTTTGTATTCGCTTTGTGGCACCAATTCCATATTCATATAATAATGTTTAAACAGTGGAAGTTTCATGAGCCATTTACTTAAAAAAAGAGATGTATTCTGAATATCTCTCAGTTCTTGTCAATACAATTGGCATTTTAAATGTTAACTACTATTGAAAAAAATATATCTGAGTAGTTTTTTAATTTTTTATTCAGTTATCAGGGGCCATTTACATAAAGCAACTTTAACACGTGTCCTACTTTTTTTGGAGGGGGGGGGGTAGCCTTAGGGAAGGCTGCATGTGAATAACTTGACTACTATGAGAAATTGATTCATGTAACTCCATATGAGCATGTCTCATTTCTGGCCATCGCCCAGCAATTTAGATGTGGCCCGAGTATATTTGTGTGTAAATAGCTAAAATATTCAAAGTTAAATTTGACAGCCTTTATCAATCATGTACAAAACAACAAATTGTTTTACATCTTACTAAAATAGTTAGAATTTCAGTTGGTTTGTTCTGTTCACTGATCTGTACAGCACTGTCTTTGTTACCACGATTAATATAATATTTTAAGAAAAAGTTCAAAAAACCATTTTTATTATTTGTAAGAGTGTGGATTATAAAGTTCCATGAAAATAAAAAGTGCTTTTAAGGTATGTGAATGTACATGTGTCTGAAAAAAAAGTTTGTATTGAAATGTTCATCGTAATTTTTTAGATATGCCTAAAGGGGTATGGTTTGCATTCAATCCTTTTTTGTTTCAATTAGAACAAAGGAAAGAGAAGTGGAATGGAAATGGTATTCCGTCAACGAGACTGGATAGCTCAATTCCGTTTTTAATGCCCTGCCCTGCCCCGCCCCGCCCCGCCCCGCCCCGCCCCGCCCCGCCCCGCAGCCAATGCACTCATTTTCAGCTGCGGATAGCAGCTCTACGAATACTCAAGTTTCTCTGTTAATCCGTAGGTTAGTTAGTAACAAACGTTCACAATGTCTATTGCTCCTACATATTTTGATTGATTTCAAACAAAATTTGTCAAAAGTATCAGTAGCCCAGCCCCAACATTTCACATGACTGAACTGGGGTCAAATATCATGGGGTCAAAGTCAAAATAAGCTCAAATGACAAAAGTAGCGCTGTCAACACGTTGGCCTTGGCCAAACATTAAAAAATGTCTGTGGTGACCTCTTCGTCTGACCTATTGTTATGGGGTCACAGGTCATATTTAAAAAATACTCAAATGACAAAGGTAGCGCTGTCAACATGTTGGCCTTGGCCAAACATTAAAAAATGTCTGTGGTGACCTCTTCGTCTGACCTACAGCTATGGGGTCAAAGGTCACAATAAGGTGAACACGCATCCGTTGGCCCGCAGCTTCCGAGATCTGATTGAGCTTGTTTCTGGTTACGTGCAAATTTCAAACTATGTACACACTGCAACATCACTTGAAAATATCTGCAAACCTTTTCCCCGTTTTTGACACACACAAGCTATTCTGAAAAGTGCTCTTAAAAAAAGTCAACAAAACAACTCGGATGAAATAAATTCCAAGGCTTGGCAACACTGATTATTACAAAATTGTCTCATCAGTTATTTATTTGCTTATGATACAGATACAAAATTGAAATGTATAGAACAGATTGACACTGACCCTGACATTTGAAACCAACTACATGTACATGAACAAAAAAAAGTCAATCTATATTAAACACAAGCACACTTGGGAAAATAAGAAGAAATGTTAAAAACAGACAAATTTTGAACAGACCAAAGTTAAACTCAACGTTGAGAAGTACCAAAAAAAGCATGTAAAAATGTATTTTAAGTTATACTACTACCACTGTAGGCACTTATGAGGTGGTTGCATAGTGTATCATAGCCCCATAAATGTGGCCAATTTACTGGACTACCTCTGTAAATAAAGGCCACATTTGGAACATGTACCCGAATATGTAGAACTTTGTCAAGTTTTTATTTTCACATTTAGACTTTGTAGTTTATTTATGCTTTAGAAGCACACTCACCCTCTTTAAAGCGATAGAAAATTATTCCCCCTTTTTCAGACGTCTATTTTTCGTGTAATTTCGTGTTGGAATTTAGATACGCTAACGTGTGCAAAATGAACCTGGAAATTACAAGAAATGGAGACGTCTGAAAAAGGAGGGAATAATTTTCTATCGCCTTAAAGATGGTGAGTGTGCTTCTAAAGCATAAATAAACTACAAACAAAGTCAAAATGTGAAAATAAAACTTGACAAAGTTCTACATATTCGGATACATTTCCCAAAAGTGGCCTTTATTTACGGAGGTAGTCCAGTAAATTGGCCACATTTATGGGGCTAAGTGTATCAAAGAATTCTGAATTAGCAGTCAGCAGAACATAACCCTACCCAAGACAGGGGTAGACCCGGGATTTTCCAAAGGGGTACGGCTGGGATGTTGGTAAGTCCAAGATTTTTTTCAAGGGGGGTGAGGTGTAGTAGTCAACGCTAAAAAGGCCAAAAGGCCTGAAGCACTGAGTCAAGATTTCCAATAATAAGTGATGGCATTATTCAGGGAACTTGTGGCGAGGCCTCGAGAGTGTTGCAAAATATGAAGTTTCAGTGAGAAGTATTGTACAAATATTGTACAAATGACTCTTAAAGAGTCAGTATTTGTGCTGTTTGACTTAATTTTAGAATTTGGCTGATATATTTTGTCTTTTTAAAAAATGGTGTCTTTGATTCAAAACAATCAAGTGGTTAACCAATGTAAAAAATATATATCCATGTTTGCAGAAAAAAACACACCCTAGTCTGTGAGCTCATGATTATAAGGCAAAACTGCCAGAGTATCAATTTGGAATATTTCCACAACCAATAGAAATGAGGTGAAAAGGAATATGAGCTAAAACTAGACAAAACTCACTTATGAAAATGCCACTCCGAAACTATTACACCTTACCAATGAAACTGTCAATTTGGAATAATTACGCAATGATTGTTTTGAACAATGACATTAAAATTGATCTACATAAATATAAGCAAACTATGCAATGAAATGCAGTAAATGATGACAATTTACGATCAAAATGTGGTAAAAACAAAATTAACTTTTTTGGCATTAGAAATGCCGCTCTTACTTCACAGGAAAGCACGTTTTAAAACTCCTTTCCCAAACAACGTAATTATACACAAGAGTCATAATTGCATTATAAAAAAATAAATTAAAAAACAAAAAAACACATTAATTTTACTGAGAGTAATTTAAATGCACAAATTTCAGAAATTCCCATATCCACTCGAATATGATTACTGTTAATGCTTATAGTACTAGTAGTATACGCCACTGTAAAAAAAATATGCTGAAGATGTTCAACAAGCACCATTCATTACTTCGGCTTACGACTATTGACTTGGCGCACAACCAGTCAATGGCACTTTGTGACCACCTACCAAAGCTCCAGTGCATGGGACACATCATGTGCACATGCTGGTTCTCGTGCATAAGTACGCACAACTAAGATCAAGGGTCTCGCCCAACCAAATTAGTCCACAGATTCAAAGTAAGTACAGTGGAATGCCACTACAACGAACATTGCGGGAGCCACAGAAAATGTTCATAATAGCGATCGTTCGGTAAAGCGATTTCAAGCTGCCGGTGCTCCGGTACTCACTTTTCAATAAATGGCGCCCTTCATAACTTCACCCTGTATGCCCTGGTAGTTACCGAAAGACGACTGCGAACACGTGCCGGCTATTGAATTGTATAATTACACAGTTTTGAGCTTACTACCTACATCGATGGGTGGCATTTCCCTTCTATTCCTTGGGGAAATAATAGCCACTTGTCGGTCTTCTGTTGACATTTTTCAACAACAATGTCGGTTTTTCAACACAAAAATGGGAGCCAAGGACGATGTTCGGTATAGCCGAATGTTCGGTATAGCGGTGTTCGGTATAGCGACGTTCCACTGTACATGAAAAGTTTGATGAATGAAATGGGAATGTATAATCAACAGAACATTTCGTCGTGTCCGTGCAACAAGGTCGTATCTCTTCAGTCGTATCTCCTAAGCCGTGTGACATCATGTACATGAAACGCGAGTTTTCAATGTCAAAAGGTCGTATCTCGCTTAAAACAACCCGTATGTACACACAAAGTCAATGCGATACATGAGATACGACCTTGTTGCACGGAGCGTATTCGCCTGAGACACGATTTCGTTGCAGAATCGACTTACGTTCTTGTTACACTGGCGCGATGATTTATACAGTTTGCCAAAATATATTTTGGTCAACCTGAGTCACTCATAACTGATTTAGCCTGCCCGACGGGCTTGTCTGAAGAGCTTGTCTCAAAATGGGTGGTATGTGACCAACTGCCTTGTGACCACCTGGGCCCTATTTCATGGCTCTGCTAACCACAGCATTCCACGCTTATGATCCACATTCTGTGCTAACAGCGCCAGCAGAAAAAAATTCTTTGCTAACCACGCAAGCACAGAATCTTTTAGTTACGGGATGTACGCATATGCATAAGCCAAAATTCCTTGCTACCCTGTGAAATATGCTTACCGTAAGCACAGAATTTTCTGTTACAAGTAAGAGCAGGGCTTTTTCACTGACAGTAAGAAGAGCCATGCAATTGGGCCCTGATGATGATGAAATGAAATGAACCACATTTGGAACACCATGCACCAGGTAAAGTCAAAGTGGCTGGGCTTCAACCCTAACCGTCCAAAATCCTTCAAAATCCTCCAGGTGGTTTAAGAGGATTTTGTAGGATCAAAGAGGGTAGAACCTTCTTCTTGAAAGTTCAGTATTATGAATTGCACCATTGGTTTCTGCACAGTGGAAGATTCAGGACGGTTCTTAACACAAATGCCAAGGGAATTAGGGTTCATGTCCTGGGTCTATCAAAATCTTACAATCCAAGGTGATTGAATTTGATGGATTTTAAAAACTTTAATCTAGGATTCAGGGTTATTGCTTTGTGACGATACGGTAGATAATGGTAGTCAGGCTAATTATCAGGGTAGTCACTCCGATAAACAGTAGGCCCATGCACTGAAAGACAACAGAATCAAAAGTGGTTATTAGGTAACTCTGTAAAAAAGAAATAAATTCCACATTTTTTTTGTGAATCTCCTTTAAACTGCAATAAGGGTCATTCTACAAATTTAGGACCCAATGTGTGACATTTTTCCTGTCCCTGTTACTTCTGAACTTTGTAATTTGCCATTCAAGTATTATTGAGAGTGACTTCAATCCAAGTTTATTTGTCAGGTAGGTAGTTTGTTATTCATAATCCTTCTTGGAGGACAACTGCATTAAGGAGTGCATCAGAATTATAAAATCAAAGATGTCAGATGTAACAGGGACAGGAAAAAACAGTGGTCCCTAAATTTATAGAATGACCAATGTTCTTTGCATAAAAAAACACAACATGCATTTGCCCATAGACCAATCTCTTCAGCCCCGCCCTGTGACATTTTAACCAACAACAACTGTGACTGCTCAACCAAATGTCTGACAAAAGTCTTACATGCGTAACGTATGCGTGATACGCAAGTGAGATACATGCATGTAACACTGGGGAGATGCGAATGTTGTTGCACACGCACAAAGTGGGCGGGGCTTATGACCAATCCAGAAGGGCTCTTTTACAAATGAGATCTCTCCAGCTCACCACAGGGTGTCCCAAAAAAAGTTGTGCAAGCAGATATCCTTTAATTTCTCAAAAACTACTTAACATGAGTATTTCATCTTGATGGATCATATTAATTATACTCTTGCGTATAATCAGTGAAAATGCCATGGAAATCCATTCATGCAAACCAGAGATATAACAGTTTGTAAAAGGCTATAGGTTTTTCACCCATTCCAATGGGATTTAATATCAGTGCATGAGATTGCCATGGGCCTTTTCACTCTGATGTAAATTAAGTTAACTGTGTAATTTCCATCCCATTGGAATGAGTGAAAAACCCAAAGCCTTTTATAGTCTGTTAGATCTCTGGTTTGCATGAACGGATTTCCATGGCATTTTTACTGTATATACACAAGAGCATGATTAATATGCTCCATCAAGATGAAATACTCATGTTAAGTAGTTTTTGAGAAATTGAAGGATATCTGCTTGCACAACTTTTTTTGGGACACCTTGTGATAAAATATCAATCTTTTACTATGTTTAATTTCAATATTATTCATTTTTTTCAAATTCTAATACTTACTGCTATTTTCTGTGGAGACTTAAGTCGTTCGGTGCCAAGACGTAAGTAAAAGAGAGACGGGAGAATGAATACAAGACTAGTGGAAGCAGTAGCACCTAAAGAAGAAAAAAAAAATAAGCAAAAACAGTTATGAAAACAAGATTTTTTTCATGTTAATACATATACATGTATTATACTTGAATGAGTTCCAGTTAAAGGCATACAGGATCAATTGCTTTTTACGCATTTTGTTCATTTCCAATAATAACACCACTCAAAATCCAAAGAAGAATGTTCAAAACCTAACCTGTTGAAGTTTCAGCTCAGTGGATATGACAGTTTTTGAGAAAACAGTGAAAAGCCATGATCACGAAGCACGATTTTGTCCATGGCATTCTTTATTTCGGCAGGTCACTTTTGAGATAAATGTAAATGATCCTATGTGCCTTTAAACAGTTAAAGACTAAAATGTTTATATTTGAAATATGAATCTTGACATTTCTATTCCAAAAATAAGACAAAACGTGCTTCATTTAAAATCAACTTGCTCAGCAGTTTTAGAAATCTGCTTAGACTAACAAATAAATGCTTAGCAAAAACAGATTACCAGCCAAACCGTGCATCAATGTGTACTACCTGTCACTGGTTCTCAATTTGTTTCTGTGTGTTTTGTTTTTTGTTTTGGATTTGATTTTTTGCACAGTGCTTAATTTTGCAAAGCAATTTTTCCCCCTTTCATAGCACTTCTGTTAAATTTGGCCAAGCGTACATCAATTTCTATGAAGCAAAATGATTATATTCAAGGAATGAACCAAGGAAAGTTAATACCGACCTACAATACCAAAAATCTGTTTGATGTTGGGCACAAAGACGGCTATGCACGTCACCAAGGTGATGAGCACTGCAGTAGACACAAAATGGCGTAACCATGGATACGATGCATCCCTGAGCGGCACCCAGGTACTGAAGATCATCAGCAGAGATTTGCGGGCCTTGGAAACAAATTATTTAAAAATTAGAGAGTCAGTACTGCAGTGGTTCGGTCCGAGTGAGAGAGACTTCAAGTTGAACAATAACTCATTTAATATACCACTGGACTGAACATGTCCGTCTCAGACTAAGCCAAGAGCACAAGTAACTGGTTTAACCAATAAACAGTTTATGCTTTATACCAAAAGGGATAAATCAAAACATTCCATCATAACACGTGGAACTAAACTAAAAGTAACGTTCAGCGTGTAGAGTGGCAAAACAATCATACGCAAGCCGCTTCGCCTTAGGGCTGTCCATGTTGGAATAATTTAGTCTACGATTATTCAAAACTGCGTTTGACCATATATTCGAATACTCAAAACTTGCTGATCAAGTTTACACGCGCCAGCTGAAACTCCGTGCTGCGCACGTCAAAAGTTGCACGCAAAGCGCGCAGATTAAAATTTGCGCGCAGCAATCCATGTTATGGGTCGCTGGAGTGTTGTTTCAGTAACTGTTTTATAACCGTCAAGGGATTTAACCTGCTAAAAGGATAAAAAAAAAAACAATGAACCACCGTCAACAAAAAAATTACTGTTGACAAAAAGTGGCATTTGACAATATAGCCCTCAACTTTACAATTAAAAATAACATCAGTCGTGTACGTACATGTGTAGTTTTTTTATCTTTTGAATATTCGAACCGGTAAAAATTTATTCGAATATTGGGGTGATGATCAAATATTTGAATATTCCGTTTAATTGGGACAGCCCTACTTCCCCAACAGATTGAGGATAGCCTCTGTGCACAGAGAGACTTAGGCTGGACTCTTAAAGCTACAGTCCATCATTTGCAGCTATCAAAAAAGTCTTAAGACGCACCGTTGAAAAATTCCGTTAGTAGTTCCTTTTTTTTATACGGCGAAGCGCGTGCAAGCGTTGACACAACGCATACGCGCCCTCTATGATTCGTCGGATCAGTGCGCTACATCGCGTAGCTGCATTCGGCTCAGTAAGAACGTGTCTCGGACACTGAATTCAGGCCCAATTCAAAACAAGATTCAGCAACTTTTGATTTGAAATCGAGATCCTAGAATGTTGTTTTACTCGAAAAACAGCTGAAGCTGAGCTGAAATTTTATCAGGTTAGTTGTTTATCACCCTTTTTTAGATTTTGAGAACGTTTGTTGCTTTAAACGAACAAAATGCACAAATTACAAATGATGGACTTTACCTTTAAATGCATTAACATAGTACGTCTGGCACTCACTGACATGCTATTGGTTTGTACCCAATCAGAATACCATGACCAGATGCACACAAATCACTGCCGTATCAGATTTGAACCACGTCCAAACCTAGCAAGACCAGTGAATAAGACATCTGCACTAGTGAGCAGTGGGTTAGGGGTTCGAGTCCCACCCATTTTGTTCTCACAGCACTTAGCATACAGCGCTTGCAAAATTATATCAGTGAAAGACAAAACCAATATTTAAATTATTGCTATTATTATTATTATAACTTACCGGGTAGTGAATGAGTGGAATAGTGAAGATAATAGCTAGACACACAGCCACACGTACTATGAGGATGATACGGTCTGAAGGGTTGAACAACTCATATCCGTCTAGTAACTCATCGCTCACATTACCTGCAAATTGAGAAGACAAATAAGTACATTAGGCCAAAAAAAATAAATAATAATTCTACTTCCGATTACCCTACCTACCCTATTTTGACAGCCTCTACCCTAATTTTTATGGGGGAAAAAAAACAAAAACCATCAATTACTACCTTTTACCCTTAACTACAAGCAGACACCTCCATATGATCAACACAAAAAAATGCCAAAAAATATATATAATTCACTACCTACCTACCTACCCTCTTTTCAAATGCCATGTAATCGGAAGCAGTTTTTTTTTGGCCTTAGACATCACTGAGGGAGTGGCTAGCTTCTGTGCACAATAGTGGTTCTATGTCTGTCAGTTTCTATGCATTACTGTTCAAGTGAATTGTATTGCAACAGAAGTAACCCTGCAAATGTAACACGGACTTACTCCATGTCCAAGTACAAGTACCCCCTCAATGGTTCTAAATCAAGAGTTGGGGGAAAGCACTGGTAGGGACATTCGAATACACTGCCAACAACGCCTGACGCTTGCGTGAAGACAGTACAGGTTTGTGCACATTCAGAGTAAAATAAGTTATGCGCACTTGACGCCATACACGTGTGAACTAGTATGCACACTCAGTGTGTCCCTCCCACTGGGCTTTCGAAACTGGTCACAAAGCGCCCTCTGCTGTTCATGCAGGGAGTCTAAACATAAATGAGGTAGAATTTATTTTCAAGTGAAAATCTTTTTTTGAAACTTGCCTGAAGTATACAATTTGTTTCAAACCTTTAATACAACATGAATATGTATTGATGAGTATCAATATGTATTTAGATCATAAATATGTATTTAACAGTGTGAATAATTATGATGGTTGGATAGCTCAGTTGGTAGAGCACCGGAACGGTTATTCGGAGGTCACAGGTTCTAGCCCCGCTCCCAGTCAATTTCTTTGTTCAACTTTTCAATTGTTACAATTCAGTTTCCCTGTGTGGTTCATTTGAAAAAAATGAATAATTATGAATCAAAGTACAGATTATAAAAACATACCGTAAAATGTGAGATAGCCGAAGAGTGCTGAGACCATGTACAGTGTGAATGAGATGAATATTGACGTATTGGCCACGTTCTGCATACGACTCTTGCTTGGCCTTAAAACAAATACAAATAGTTAAATCACAACCAAACGCAGTTCAATTATCAAATGGCAATGTTTTAAATCTCAATGTCTTAATAGATATTAGGTGTTTTTAAAATCAGCACCTCCAAATACAATGATTTCAAATTTGTCACTTTCAGAGGTTCTGACAATTTAGTATGGACAATAATTTCATGAACATCATGAAGAGTAACAATTGGACATTTTCTAAAGGGGAAATGCTTGAATTTTCGCAAAAGGCAAAATTTTCCAGCCAATTTCTGATATACAGCCAAACGCCACAAATACTGATTCGCAAGAGTATTTGTACGATATTTCTTGCCGAAATCTCATGAGTTTCAATACTTCAGGGTGTGCACTGGAGCGTAAATTGTACAACAATAGGCCGTGCACAACGGCCAATTCAAGATCAACACACGGTCTGCCTCCACAGACTTCACAGACTTTGTGTGTGTGTACAAAAGGCACGAGGGATTAGCGTGTTTAGACGTCACCCGGAGGCGAGTCAAGGCAATCTTGACGTCTTAACCCGTCAGCCGTGCCTGTGTATAAAAACAGCCAGTGCGTTGAACTGGTTAAATAAGTATATGGGTTGGAAAACAATTTGAAGCCACTATTGTTCAGTCTGAAGGGGAGGGGCACTTCAAGCAGAAAATAATGGTTGTAAAAATGCCAGTGAATGTAAAACTTACTTGGAAAGTTCACAGTATACTGGAAGCACAGCCGTGTGACAGACAAATGAAAAAGCCATGGTAGGAAGGGCGTATGCTGTCTGGATGAGGTATAAATGAACACGTTTCAATGTGTGTATTTGAAAAGTCATATGTGGTATTTGGGCAGTTCCATCATTACGGACGTTACATTCTGAGCCAAAGACCAATTTGAAACAACATGAAATACTTGCAGTGAAAGCATACATGTATTTTGGTACAACTCTAGCTTAGGCTCTTAATGCACAACATGACATGGTTAACGTAGTGTTAGCTGAATTAAGTAATGAGATATAATTATGTTATATCATTATGAGATAATTAACGTTAGGCTTTAAGACATAAGTTTTTGATTTTCAGTACGCATTGATAAAAGTCTGTGAAGTTTCTTGCAGGAATTTAATGAAATAACTACGGGAAAGAATGTTGCATCCTGACGCTGCTTTTTTCATCATATATTATCTCAATGAAGGTCAGTCATTGCAAAAATGTGGAAAAGACATGAAGGTGGGACTGAGAAACAAATCCAATTTTGTTAGAAAATACTTTGAAAATGCATGCAACTCTCTATAGACTTTGTACACAACCAAAGAAGTGGCGTCTGGAAACTACGTTCTTGCCTAACTTTGTTGTTCACTCTATAAACACACCGATGACACTTTACAAAAAGCTACTTTGATGTTGTGAAAACATCATGTTTTTGTTGTTACAGACGTTATATTATAACCATACGGATGTTACGTGTACAAAATCAACTTCACACACGTGATAAAAAAAACTACTGAATCATGGCATTCTTAGTTCCGTGTGTTATTTTTTATAAAATACGGACCTTTCTCTCTATTGCATTTTGCATTTGAAAACAAGATGCCAAAATGACAACCTTAAATCTATAATTTTAGCCCAAAAGCAAGTTTGACAAAAAATACTTTAACCGCATTCTATCTCACTGGAACAGCACTCAAATATAAAGGTCTTGTTGTCCCCTTTTATTTCTATACCACATTTGAGGTGGTGATGCTTGTAGTTCTGAAGATTTCATAAAGTTTCCACTTTTCAGCTAAGTCCACTTTCGCGTAGAATTGCCCATTTGTGCCACAAAATTTGCATACATGTAAGTCATGATCAGAACTTCGTAAGTAAATGATTTGCCAACATTTATCGACGTCAGGTATGTGTGCAAATATAAGCGGGCCTTTAAACAATGCCACATTTGAAAAGCACATGATTTTTTTTTTCAAATGCCTTCCTTAATGAATATTTTAAAATGATGCAATGGTTTCTCTGCGCAAAGTCTTTTGAAAAATAACACTCACTTCTGTTGTCAGGGAAAAATACTTTGGCTGACACTCTGAAGAGGTGCTGTGATTGGCTGAATCCTCATCTAGTTGACTTTTATATCCAATGGGAGATTCTGTATCATCAGATGAGGAGTACTGAGCTGTTGTGGTGTTGATTCTGTCAGAACTTGTCATATTGGTCCAGATCATGTCGGGTATTGGACAGGGGAAGGAGAACTGCTTGATGACAATCTGTGAGTAAACAAAATAGGTTTTTTTAAAGGTTCATTTTACTAAAGGCACAGCTTCATATCTAGCCTACAAGGTTCTAGTGTATGTTTCCTGGCTAAAGACACTTTGTCGTTATTTGCTTTTTGCAACCGAGTAAACTTAAGGATAGTCAGACAGCCAGAGTCGCGCCAAACTAAATGTATTTAGAGAACCCCAATAGGATTGGGTTTCAGACAGGCAAACTGTACGTACTAATTTTCCATGGACTAGACTCTGGAGCTGTTGTGAATAAATGCAACAGTCGAAACTACAACAGTGCTAACTGTTTGAATTGAAATGTCACACTAACAGATAGAGCAGATCATTTGCAGCTATCCAAAACATCTTTGAAACCTATTTCATCCCTTTTTTATATGTTGACTGTGCATTCACTTCTTCTTCTTATCATTTTCCCGTTACTGGTTTCAGTACACCTTAACCCTCCTGCTGTCTGAACAGTCACAGACAGTCAAAAAAATCAATATTCTTCCGTGCCATGTTTTTTACATAGGCTAGTCACCAACAGTCAGATCATATTTCAAGCAAGCACTGTGACTAGTCAAATTCAGTCAACAGACAAACACAGGCAACTGGTAGGTACAACTGATTTATCAATCACCTACAGTCAAAGCACAGCTGTATCAAGTTACACAAACAGTCACAGCCAGTCAGTCCTGCTTTATGTAGGCTGGGAGCTCTTAACTGTTGAAAACAGTCACTTGATTGATTTTGACTGGAAGGACAACTTTGCACAGAATGTATGTTTGCATAGGCGGGTTAATATTGTATGGGCCTTATGCACGAGTTGGCCATTTTTGTCGAGTTCCCTGAATGTATTTCATAACTTGTTAACTGTTGAATGGGATGGTGCCTATTTATGCAGTCTTATTTTACTGTCACTTTTTTATATCTGGCTTAAAACATTAGGCAATGTTTAGTTACAAGTTTTAAATTATTAATTGAAGCAGACTTGAATTAATTAGTAATTTAGTTGCTTTTATTTCTCTTCCCAAGATCCAAAAAAAATGAAGATTTTACCTCACTTTCAATTCAATATGGCCGACTTGTGCATAAGGCCCACACCAATTGAAAAGCTTTTGTTCTGCAGAATTTTGATATATATAAATATCTCAATATCTCAGACCGTCAGGAAGTTCATGCACAGAGTGCATATGAGCATACCAATACCAAAATTATGTATAAAACATTCTTCAAACCAAATGGTTGGACTTACCACTACAGTGAAGAATACCATACACAGTATGGAGAGTCCACTGGTGTAGCCTAGGAAACCAATCTTGGGCAGGCAGGCCAACGGAACGATGATGATCACCACTACCATCAGTACAAGGTAGGTGCCATTCAAATACCATATACTGCAGAAAATGAACAAAAGTTGAGGAATTCATGACTGCCATGATTAAAATAAACCACAATTGGGAAGTAACCACTCTGTAGATAAATTCAATATTGGGGTTTTATACTGTACACTCAGTGTTGTCCGAGAGATAGCAAGAAAAAGATTGACAAGCTTACTCGGGTGGGACTCAAACCCACAACCTCCTGCTTACTAGTGCAGACGTCAAATCCAACTCTCGTCAAGTGGCCGGTCTTAAACGAATGATAAAGACATGGCTAGCTGGTCTTAAACACTTTTCCAGTGTCACATGAAATTTGGACTCCTAAAAATCCAGTGCCTCTTCTTACCGTTTTATTGGTTGAACGTTCACAATCCTCACATAGGCATGCGCAATACTACCAGAGAGTCAGAATTTTATAGTCCTAAATTCACAACGCAATGCTCCAGGTGCATTCTGCGCAACATCGCGCAGCACGCGCGCGCCTATCTCCATAAAAGGAGTTGTTTACATTTTGCTCACCAGCTGGACACTCCATTATTTAGCTAGAGGGGTGTTTCAAAAAACATGAAGTGAACTTGTGGAACAAAATCAGGTTGTTTTGACCAAAAAGTTTAGATTTTTTTTTTACCGATAAGGTATTTACGAATGGAAATAAATATGTGCTTGGTCGGTATTAATCACTCTGTTTAAGACCGCTTGCAGTCTGGGTGCTGATAATTACCCGAGCCAAAACCTCCCAAGCACACATTTATTCTTATTAAAGGGAATATACAACATTTGCAAACATCGAAAAATAAAACTACCAAGTTTTTGCGAAATACCTTACTAGGATGTTGGTAAATGACAGTCTCAAGCATCTTGTAAAATTATGGCACCTGGTGTGAAGTCATTTTCAAGAAAATGGTATTTTTGTATACATTTCCAACGGTGGTCGGCCGACCAGCGTTGGAAAAACCTAACTATTTTTCAACTACTGCTCCAAATTTACCATTTTTTCAGTCCAAATTTTGTTTGCTATTGGTTACATGTTCATGAACGGGTGCAGGCCAGCTAGACTGGTTTCCTTGCCTTACAATTTTCAATCATCTATAAATTGATCCATTTTATCTTTTGTGGAGTCAGGGAACCAGACTACTTGAACATTTCTGTTTTTCTTAGTTTTTCCAACCTTTTCAAACACAAAACTTCAAAAATGTCAGTGTAACAAAATTTGATCTATTATACTAACCCCTCAAATAGTTCATTTCTGAAAATAACAGCAAAAGCCAATGATGTACATTCCCTTTAAAATGATCTCTTCTTTCGTAATTTAACTTACCTTTTGTCTTCTATATCGCTTAGGAATGTGCTCAGGATTTTGGGTAGTTCATCCTTGACTATGAATAAGTAACTTGACATTGCTAGTGGAAAGTAAAAGATCAGAATCACTAAATAAACAAATCGTATATGAGGGGTTGAAAATCATTTATGTGTTATACTGAGGAAAAAGAAAAACACAACACAGTGACATGACTTCTGTCCTGAACCAAAGTTGGTGGATTTCTTAATTAATAATTTCAGTTTATGTGACAAGGCAAAATAAAGTCATGTGTGATTCTAGCCGAACAAAAGGGTGGAATGACAAAAGAAATACAAATTTCTTATGAATTTCTAAAATTAAGAAATTTCATTTACTACAAAATAGAATCCCCCCCCAAAAAAAACCCTTCAATTACCGAATGATGCAGTGAAACCTACCTCCTATATTTTGAAGTAGTATTGCACTAGCAGCCATTATCTGGAGGAAAAAGAAAAGAAAGAGGACGCACTGATTTTGTTGAATGTTTTCATTTCACTACCAAAAGATCAAAGAAATCCACATAGCTTTTTAACCCAGAGCACTGGGCATACTTAGTGTACAAATCCTTAGACTACTTGACAAAACAACTAAGAGTAAAAGCAATGATTAAAGAAAGCAATATTATATAAATTGTACATTTCCCTTGCCCTTTATCAGAACGTCGACCGTGATTTGAAATTTCTTTTGCAAACACAGGTGCCCCCTTCGTGCCTTTTTTTTGGGGGGGGGGGGGTTAAGATACAATCATGCAAAATTGGGAATAAAGTAGGAAATGCAATTCACAATTTGGCATATATATACATTCCAACCCTTACCTTGCCTGGAATTTTGAACGCAAACAAGCCGACTTCTTCATAGGACTTGACTCCAGTCAACACACACATCTTGAGTAGGAGATGAATCGAGAAATCTGCCAAGACAGCCACTGTAACTAATAAGAAACTGCCAAAAAAAAAAAAAAATTATAGTTTGGATTTTTAAGGCATAAATGTGGTTGGACAAAATGAAAATGCAGAATTAAATTTGATCACATGCATTGGGTTGCACTCTTTGCACTTACAGTACAAAATTTGACCCAGTACGTTCATTTTTATTTTGACAAATATAGTGGTGGTCAGAAATAAGCCAGCATCCAACCATACTATGTTCACCAGATTTCCAAGGTATTCACGCAGGACAAACAAATCAAATGAATCCAATTCAACACCATTTTAACTTTCTGTCAGTCAAAATGTAAAATTATGCATTACTACATAGACCTACAATGGTGCCATATAGTTCAACAAGGGGAAGAGGTTGTATCGCCGAGTTGCCATCCCAGGGTTAAAATGATGCATGTAACATCAAAATAATAAGTCACCATTAATTGACATTGGGTTGAAGTTTCAAATTTGTTCACATGCAACGAGTATGTACAGTGCTACATTGTGGCATTAATTAATGGAATCCTTCTTGCAAATACTGTTAAGACAAAAAATATTGCACATGTACAAAATTGTTTTTGTCATTTCATTTAAAAAAAAAATTACGGGGGTGGGGGGGGGGGGAGACTAAAGATATTTTGGTTGCTCATTGAAGAACAAGGTATTCTTACGTGAATAGAACAATTCCACTCTTTGCCATAGCAAAAGACAGTCCCAGAATGCCGCTGCCCAAGATGGCGTTCATCAAATTGAACACTGACATGCCGAAGGAGGAACGTCGACCCAAGTCATGTTCATCTGGTGCAGGGACATTCTCCTGTACAAGAAAAAAAAATCAATAAATGGTGCATTAGGATGACAAGTCAAATCAAATTCAAAGTGAAAGTAGATTTTTTAACACGCACGCACGCCTGGCGCCCTGAATCGCAAGGCACAAACCGCACAGGAAAATCGTGGTTTCTTCCCCAAGAATCTGTTCAAAATTGCAAACGGGTGTCATTAAAATTGGGAAAAGTCTGCTTTTTATTGTAAAGGTGATTTTTGAGCAATAAAAAACATTTTTTATTCTAATTTGATCAAAACAAAACAGGGGCCTACACTTCACGATCGCCAAAATACAGGTTCTTTTTTTTATAGGCACAGGAAAAAAATTGTTACGGATTGACAAAGACTGTGATAATTTTCACACAAAAAGTTCAATTTTGCAGATTTTGTTTTATTAAAATTTTGTAAGTTTGGCCTATTTCAAATTTAAAAAAAAATAACTCATTGTTAATTAATCAGTGAACTTCAGCAGGAAAACTGCCTTAAGTAATTGCGAACTTTGTATTTGGACCAATAGATTTATTCAATGCCACTACTATTGTCAGAACAACACGTTCATCCCAATTATACCCCCCCCCCCCCCCAAAGAAATCGTCAAGGCACAGACACAAACATGACACTGACAAGTGACAGATATGCAGCATCGGTTAGTAATCCTCATTTTAACTTAAGAGATGGGCTAAAACAAATAATCCTAATTCTATGGTGATTTTGCCTTGTCAATGTATTGCCTGAACTTTAAGCTGTGCATCAAAGCATTGATACATGTTGTTTACAAGAAATTCACAAATGGCCCGGGCTACGTACACCATAAGCGTTTGCAACAAGCGGTGTGTTTATCGACCCAGCTGGCATGGCTGGCCAAAATATCTCCTCCACTGACGTGTTGAATGTGTCAGCCTCCTCGACAGCATAACGTCTGTGCTGATGGCCGGTTATGCCCGGCGATCGCGAGCGAACGATATCCATCTACGGGAAATTCAGAAGCAAAGTTGAACGAACAAAATACTAAAGCAATCAGGGCATCACTCGGATCTTCCAAACAACTTTACAAAAATGACTCTTCACCATCGCATCGTCACGAGTGCAGTGAATATGGGGTGCACAAAGTTGACGTGACGCGTGACACACGTTAACAATAAGAAATCCTAACAAGACTGGTTCTGTCATATTTTGCTTTTTTTGCCTAAATAGTGTTATGGATGATGTCTAGATGCCAGACCAAGTGATAAACTACAGTGGCTTTGAAAGAACGTCCTTTACTGTAAAGTGATCTGTTTATTGGGTCATTGAAATCACTTCCAGATCAAATTCTGATCAAAACTTACAAGATAGGAAGCACTAAAGAGAAGTATGGGGTGAGGATCCGCCCCTTCCTGTGTCATATGTTCAATACTGTGTCCACTAAACGCCTCCACTGTTACCACATGAACGCACCTCAGACTTTTGCAACTCTAATTAGCTGCTGGAGTGTTCGCATACGGAAGATAAAAACGATTGGACGCGCGCCACTAACGCCACCTAACATACGATTTCAATGAGTGGAACGTCATGCAGTGACTTTGTCAAGTTTAGTTATTGGAAGTGTTAGCAACCTGTAAACAATCCATCATGGCGGCACCTGCAGATGAGAAAGAAAGTGCAGGTAAGTTTGCAAAAAAGGGGTCTAATTCTTGAAGGTTTCATGAAATTTATGAATTGAAATGCAAAAATGGAAAATCAGAGAAAGAATCTAGCAGGCTGGGTTGTCCATATGTCATCTGAAACCCTGTAAAGAAGAAAAACACGACAGTTCGTTGACGTTATGTTCAATTTTTCATATTAAATTCATGAATCATGAACAAAACAAAACACATAGACATGATACTTTTACTACTACTAGCACTGATAGACATAGTCTCATCATAATCATATTTTGACCGAAAATTACTGCATTGGACTTGGTAGTTAACATTTGTAAATTGTAACAAATAACCCAAGTTAGTTACTAATATTATAATAATACTAGTGATGTTTAGAGATGAAAGTGCAGTCGTGATAAAACTAAGCACCAATTTTAAATATGTACAAAAAATACAATAAAGACAACAAACTGTGATAAACAAGAAATAAGCATAGGCCTAATCAAAAAATTAACAAAGTGTGTATTTATTTTGCATTTCTGTGAATTCTAATTCTCTAATTAGAATCACTGCTGGCCGAGACACAAAAGAAGATAAGTGATGCTTTTGACATCTTTGACCATGAGTCGAACAAAACTGTGGATGTCAGGTAATTAAAATAATATTATGAATAATTGTTTATTGAAACATACAAAAGCCTCACAAAATCTTGCCCAGGAAAGAAAAGTTTCCCACTTTAGCTGAAGTCCCAATCTATATTTCTTTTTTTTTTCGTAGCAAACATGCAGGTGTTAACTTGAACTTTCTTCTTTGTTTTTTTTTTAGCCATTCCATCGTATATTTGATGTTTATCCCAAGGAAATTGCTTTTATTTAAGCAAGGATACAACTTACAATAGAACAGCCATACTGCCAAATTTGAAGCGGCCTATACAATGAGACTTGATGTAATTGTGATTTTAATATTGCAAACACTTCATTTAATAGCAAATTGTTGATGAGATTCAAATTTTAGTAACTACATAATGAGATTCTTGTGTCTTATACTGCTTCAAACCATTGTTCTGATCTTATGTGGAAAAAAACTGCCATGCCAAAAAAGTTTTAAAAATTAGAAATGAAATTGTAAATTAAAAAAACTGATTATGAAATAGCCTGTCTCTTGTCATTAAGTTTTGAAAAATCATTTCCTGTCTTTAATTTATGCCACTTTTCAGAGAGGTAGGAACAATCATCAGATCGCTCAATTGTTGCCCAAGCGAGGGCGAGCTTCATGACTTGTTGGCCGAGATGGAAGAAGAGGAGCCGACGGGATACATCCGCTTTGATCGCTTCTTGCAGACCATGACGGAAGTGCTGATGGCTAGAAAGTGAGACCCTTCCCTTGTCCATCACAAGTCCACACAAGTCTATCACAAGTCTATCACAAGTCCTCACAAGTCCACACAAGTCTATCAAAAATCCTCACAAGTTCATCACAGTTTCTCACTTAAGTCCAAAACATCCTCACAAGTCCTCACAAAACCTCGAGAATCTATGGCAAGGCTTCATAATCCCATCACAAGTTGATCACAAGTCCTCACAAGTTGATCACGAGTCCTCACACATCCTCACACATTCTCACACGTCCTCACACGTCCATCACAAGTCCTCACAAATCCACTGATCACAAGTCCTCACAAGTCCATCTCAAGACCAGCACAAGTCATCCACTCTTAAGTCAAGTCACAAACTTTTCAAATGAACTGTGACAAAAGCATCCCTTTGTTATTGTTCATCTCCTGTTACTTTGAAAAGTAATGGACTGGAACGGGGTTTGAACCTGTGACCTCTGATTAAGCTGCTCCGGTGCTCTACCAGCTGAGCTATCCAGCCCAATGTTAGCAGTCTTCCATTTTACCACTTTGGTCAAGGGGCTCTATTCAGAAGCCATATAACTTGTGAAAGAACTTGTGATTTACTTTGAACGGACTTGTGATGGTCTTGTTATCATCATCATCACCATGTCGGGGTCGCCTGGGTTGTGACATCACGAGCCAGTCCCTGAGTCCTCTTCCTCCAGCTGTCTCGATAGACATCCAAAAAGGGGTGAAGCCCCTCCCACATCCTCCTTCCCCATCCATCAAAATCATTCAGATTTTCTAATAAAATCATCCTTTTTTTTCTTAAGCTTAGGGGTGACCGCCAGAATTAATTTGAACTAGATGGAAAATAAGTTTTTTCAATAATCAAATTATGAATTTGTTATCTAGGTTTAAGCCATCACCCGAGGACCAGTTGCAGAAGGCATTTGAGGTTCTGGACACAGACAAGAAGGGATATCTTACTGTCGAGGAACTTACAAAGTGCATGACCGAGGAGGGTGAGTATATTGCATTGTATTGGCTGTGTGCATAAAGTTCAGAAATCTTGTTAGAGTGTTTTTCTCTACTACCATTATCATCATCATTTATTTCACTGCATAACTTTGTCAAATATTGTCAGTGTGTTACCTCATCAAATCTGAGGCTGTGTTGTCACTCTATTGGTGGCAATAATAATATTTTTTTTTATGTCATTGCTTTTTTCTAGCGGAGCCATTCACCCAAGAAGAGCTGGAGGAGATGCTATCAGCAGCAGTGGACCCAGACAAGGGGGTCATACTATACAAGGACTATGCATCACTCATGGCGGTGGATGAGACCGCATGAGAGTTGCACAGAGGTTCATTTTGTAAATATCTTGTAAAAATTACGTTAAACACTTTCAACCCATTAGTTCCTGTAACGCCCCATCTGCCCAGCCTGTTACTCCCTGTACAACCGAAAACCATCCTGCCTGTTACTCCTTATATACTGCCCCAAACTGCCCTGCCTGTTACTCCCTGTACCACCCAATTCCATCCTGCCTGTTACTCCTTATACCGCCCAAAACTACCCTAGCACTGTATGGTTTTATGAAGTCACCAGATAAGGGAGTAAATACATTGTAATACAATGTACTTCAAGTACTGGTAGGAACGCCCAAGGCTGCCTTTATAGGAAAACCACTTCTTAATTGTTTGCGGCTGGGCGGGTGACCAGGAATATTCCAAGCATGTGGAGGTCTGTCGGAAAATTTGTTGTCACGATTCCTCCCTCTTAAATTGATCTAGCACTGCCCATGTTCCAGTGGGACATTGTGTTTCAAAACAAGAATTGGGATATCAAACCTAGTGTAAAGGAACATAGGCTCATTTTCTTCATCCTCTATCTATCGACATTATTTGGGCGAAAGAAGCTGTCAAACTCTGGCACTGCAATGGGTGAAGAATCCCAATGCTGATTCCATCACAGTTCACCCCCTAGTAGTTCCTCAGGACTACCCTGCTAAATCCAACAGAGTCCAACCGCAGTTTCCTGCTCAATCCACTGTGCCTTATTTTCAGTTGTCTGCTGAATCCAACGGAGTTCAACATGGCGTTATAATGCGGTTCAGTTGCCTGCTGAATCCAACATTTTGCATGAGGAATGTACACAAGGGGTTAACTGCTCAATCCAACAGGCTCCATCGGGTATATGACATAGTTGGATCCTGTTGGATTCAGCAGGGTTAGGGTTAACAAGTCAATCTCAAGCCATTCAGTCCCGAGGCCTAGTCACAAGCTAGGCAAATGGACTCCGCAAAGCATTCCTTACGAATGGGCTTGTGATTTGCTTGAGACTGGATTTGAGACGGACTTGTGAAATCCTTACCCGTTCAAGAAAATTTGAGGAGGCTGTGAGAAAGTTTGGTGATGTTCACTTTTTGTTTAAGTATGTTCATTAGAACAGAGTTGTAACAATTATTTTTAAGGATGAAATTACATTTTCCCACCGTTGACACAGTAAGCATAAAAGACTTGAGTCTAAAAATTGGCAATTTTCGATCCGTAAATTTATTTACAACAAAATATGTTAAATTTCATTTCCTTGTCTTTTTTTTTTTAATTTGAAATTCTTTTGTTTCAGTTGCACTCTAAAGCTAAGTTGGACAAAAATTTACAAATAGATTTGAAGGTTTCTGATAAAAAGGAACCTTTTCTTTGTAACACAAAGTGAGCTGTCAAGAATACCAGGGCAGTTAATCTTGGAAACAAATAAAAGCGGAGAAATACACAGTGGAACACAAATATAAGGCCCCCAAAAAAACCACTTGTGTTGCCCTCATCTGACCGACCAAAAACTCAGGAAATCTCCGGTGTTGTTTTGGGGTTTTTTTTTCACTTGAAAAAATTAATTTGACTTTACCCTTTCTGTTACCGTTTCTTTTTAATGCCATAACTTTGCATTTCGTTACAAAACATACATACCTAAATAGTAGTATAGTTCGAATTTACTGTATTTTGTACTAGCAACTGAGGCTGAGGACTAGTGCATGTTGTGTGATGTACTGCATACATTGTATGAATGTGTACATGCAATGAACATTGTATTGCATACATGTACATGTACACAGTCTAGTTGGCGCGTGCAGTACATGTAGCCTTAACATTTAATGTACGTTGGTAAAGGAGAACTGGTAACTGAATAAAGGGTAGGCTTATATATGTGAATTGTATGTTTAAACCACCCCCCCCCCCCCCCGAAAAAAAAAATCCCAGACTGACCGACCCTCCTGATATTTTTCATGTGAGGGCAAAACAATTATTTCTTTTTTGGCCTGATGAAAATTTTGGCACACACAAAAATAGCATTTGTCCCAACAACTCAAATTGAGTTTTCATCCGAGCAGTTTTTGTGTCTAATCGTGCTTTCTGCACATATTGTCCATCCATGGTGCAGACATTTGGTTGTCAAATCCTTGGTCTTTTTTTTTTCTTCGTTAAAATAGTGTTCTCCTGTGTATAACGTGGTGGTACCACAAACCTGCCAGTATCAATTAATTTTTAAACTGTTCAAACCGTACAATCGTAATTTGATTTTTTTTTTAATAAACAGTTGTGTGTAAAATAAATCAACTTCTATGTAATTAAAACATCTGAGCAATGCATGTAATTACATTCAACCCATTTCATTTTGTTGAGTGTCGCAGTGTGCTTTTTGTACAAAAGAGACCCAGAAAAGTGCCATTCAATTTGGGTCTTATAATCTTATTAAAACATTAGTTTACCACAGCTAACATGGGTCAAATCAAGCGTTACATTAAAGAGCAAGTTCGGGCAAGGACCATTAGTCTACTAGTGGTTGATTTGTCATTTTTGCGACATAACTTACGCCTGCACACTAATAGCAACATGCGAACGCCTCTAGTCAAACGATGGTCAAAATGCCATCACAAAACTTCTTGATCCTGGCTCCCTGCTGTGTGTTATGATGCCCGTGGCTATTGGTAACCAGTGAATGAATCGTGCCCCTAGCTCCGGTTCCAAATAGTCGACTAGAGTAGGCCAACCATCATGTGTTCCAGTGAAGACAGTAAAACTATGGTTAACCATAGTACTTGCCCGAACTTGCTTCTGGATTCGTCTACAAGATCATTTGGTCTGATATCCATATAGTCATTAGAGGGCGCTTTGGGCAGATTTGATATACCGCAGCACTCCAGAGGTCGCGCATCCCTGTTGGGCTAAAGCTTCGAGAATGTGGGTTCGCTCTTCTGCATAGCTGCAGAGATGGCTTTCATCAAGTCTTCGCTCTGTAACATGCTTGCATTCCACGTTGTCTGTAACCAAAACCAAAAGAAATGACCAATTTATTCCTTCAGATAATTTACGTAAAACCATATCGACTTCAAGGGCCATTCCTGACAATCCCCAAGGAGAAAACCACAGGCAAACTTAAATTTTGTACAATTATTCTGAGGGTTTATGGTGGATTTCAACAAATTCCAAGGCGTATACTAAATGAAAAATATGAATAGTGCTCCAAACATTGCTAACTTTGCAGGGACACACTAAGAGTTTGTCTGGGATAAGACACTGTAATCTTTTTATGAGACAAAACTGATTTCCAGGTAAAATTTAAGCAGTTTTCCACACAGATTAAGCACTAAAAAAAATTCAAGGTCTTTCCATGGTTTGCCATGACCGCTAAAACCCTCAAATACTTTTTTTCGCCTCTTCTCCATTAATGTTGTTCTCCCACCCCCTTCTCTGTCAAACCTTAGGATCCATCTTAAGAATTTGAATACCATGACCCATTTTTACAGATTTGCTAAGCAGAAATCAACTTAGAACCAGTCACAATCAATACAGGTTGCATGTCATTTTGGCTGGTAACCTGTTTTTGCTTAGCAAAATATGTTCTGTGCTTAGCAAATTTGTGTGCTTGGCAGTTTCACGAAACTGGCTCCTGTTCACCAAGTTAACAGTGCCTTACCACATCATTTAGACCATCTGGTACCCCGTGGTCTCTGGAAAACAATAGGCTAGCCTTGGAGGTCTGCACAGCGATGGGGCTCCGGCTCGCGATCAGGGAGGCGATTTCCATGGCGCCCTCTAGCATCGCCTCTCTCGTCTCAAAGATACCACTACAGAGTGAAGAACGTGCAGATATGAAGATAAACTAATCCAAATCACTGTACATTCATGAAAGCCCCAAAATTGCAGCAGACCTTTATACGCTGAGAAGGTGTTATGTCACCTCCTCCCTGGGTCAGGTTCACTTTCTTGACAAGGGTTCACGCCCATCCCCTAACGACGCATTACACGTATGTTTTACAAACTTGATCGTGTTCGAAAATAAAAACAAGAAAATTCTGAATTTTGAGAAATTCCACAAAGCTGTGATTTCAATTTGTTATGAACACTGACCTGACAAGTCCCCTCTCTCTCGCTTCATCGCTGCTGAACTTTCTGGCTGTGTAGACGATCTCCCTCAGCCAACTATCGTTGCCAATGATCTTGGGAAACCTCTGTAGTGTTCCTAGATCGGCAGCAAGTCCTAGTTCTACTTCCTAAAAGACAAGAAATTACAGAGCGTGAAAACAGAAGTGCAGCAGAGAAAATGGTTTCAGCAAATCATTCTTCCATTTCAAAATAATTTTCAAATAAACCACAAACAGAAACTGACTTGCTGCATTATAATAGCTTTTTAAAGGTTGAAGAAATTGACTCAGACTAGAGCTGTTTTTGAACTTACGACATCTGGTGTATTTGAATAAAAAGCTGTATCCTCTATATGAGTGATCTCACACTTGCTATTTCCCAGGTTTGCAACATTGCTAATGTTGCTAGCATCGTGACTTTGGGCGTGATCCCTGGCTTCATGGCATACAAGGGCTTGTAGCTTTTGACTAGTTCCCCTTGAACAAAGACATTGACAAAATGGGGAACCACCAACGTGTAGGGCTGGGTAGCTCAGTTGGTTGAGCTCTTGTATGGTAATCAGAAGGTTGCGGGTTCAAATCCTACTGCAGTCAATTTCTTTTGTCAACTTTTTAACAAAATTTAAATGACTGATTAATGTAAATTTTAATAGTGGGTATAATCTTGCACCGATTTTATGTTATTTCTTTGTGAGAGTATTTCCAAAGTGACGTAAATATGCATTGAATTTTGCTGGTCCCAGAGGGCCAGCCTAGTGTCCTCTTTGCACCTATCTTATTGACTGACAAACTCACTGACTGACTGTCTCTACTGATTCGGGCAGTGCTATCGTATAGGGTTACCTGAGTGGGCTAAATCCGACCCATTGTGTAGACCAGATACATGAAAAGTCTCCAGGACACTGAATAGGATGATGTGCGTTATGGGACCAGCTTCTCCATAGTTGCCTAGTCTTGTTTCAAGATCATGGCAAGATATTCCCATAAATGACTCACCTTGATTTGGAACCAGGCATCCTGTGTGCACAGTCGGATATCACAAGCAGTGATCATGTCAAGCCCTCCGCCTATACAGCCACCATGGACTGCTGCAATGACAGGCTTCAGGCTCTGTGTAATGATAAGACAAACGTGAGGAAATCAGGAACGAGAAGCTTTCAGATGAGAAACAGAGTTGTAGTGAAGTCCACAACTTTGTCCATAATATTTATTATATAAATTCTGGAAACTCCCAAAAACCTGCCGCCATGATACAACCCATGTGTGACCACGGAGTACAGCTAGAGATCCCAAGTGTTGATTTTTGCAGAGGGAGGAAACCGGACAGCCCAGAGAAAAACTCTCCTGGCACAGGAGCGAATCAACACACAACTCTACTCAGAGAGAATCAACACACAACTCTACTCACATATGGTCTGATCCGGGAATTGGACCCGGGCCATACTTAGTGCTTAGCGTAACAGTCCAGCAGTCACCATCTCCTCTGAATACTAGCAAGTACTCATACATGCCACATGAGGGTTGTCCCACTGCTATGTACACTGCAATAGCAGCAGTCAAGTTTGATAATCATTAATCTCTTTTCTACCTTTTCCATGACTGTGTATGACTCCTGCATTTCAGACACCTTTTGCTTCAGGGCCATAGCTTTACGTCCAACCTCCAAGTCACCAGAGAAGAGACCCATGGTATCCATCAGATCTAGACCTGTTGTTTAATATGAAAGGATATACTTCAAGAATGTGAAAACAAGTGGGAAAACTACAAATTTTTGACAATTGATGGTTGCTCATATTTTTATTTACAATATTTTCAGTTCAATGGTTCACACCTTGCCTTGGGGTTCAACATTTCACTGTGAACCCTAAAATGTCTCAAATCTCCTTGCCAGGGACAAATTGCTGAAATTCTCCAACTATCTGTCAAATTTCAGAAATGCCAATGATTGTGCAAAAGTCCCCCCCCCCCAAAAAAAAAAACCAATGAGAGTAAACTTCAGACATATTCGTTGTGTTCATGATCAGGCTTTGACACCTCATCACATACAAAATTACCATAGTTTTTATGTGAGAATATTACTGAATTGCACTGAAATCTGAAATTATGCCAACATTGGTGTGAGTTCAGTTTGGTTTCAGAAAGAAAAGCTTGACAACACTTCGGTTGGTGTGGGTCTCCCCCAACTCAAAATGGTACATTGCACACGTATCAACCTAATATTTGATTGTAGAGTTAACTGCCCCGATCAGATGGGGAAAAATGGGCAATCAATATTGTGCCAATATTGTCTCTGATAAGCATAATTTTAGAGTTAAAACATTGTCGTAAAAGGTACTCTATTATGACCCATACCTGCAGTAAACATTTTCCCAGCTCCCGTCAGCACAACCACCCTGCAATCCCCATCCACAGCCAACTGTCTGAAACACTCCCTCATTTCTCTGAAAAGATTCAATTTCAATAGCTGGTTACACCTAAATATCCTTGTCATTTTTACTGTCATCACTGTGCAGAAACCCCCCAAAATGTCTTTGTACCCTCCCCCTATGCTAACATACGTTCTGTGCCAAGTTGTCCTTTCAGTCAAAATCAATCAAGTGACTGTTTTCAACAGTTAAGAGCTCCAGCCTACATAAAGCAGGATTGACTGGCTGTGACTGTTTATGTAACTTGATACAGCTGTGCTTTGACTGTAGGAGATTGATAAGACAGCTGCGCCACCAGTTTCCTGCTTTTGTCTGTTGACTGGATCGGACTAGTCAGAGTGCTTGTTTGAAATATGATCTGACTGTTGGCGACTAGCCTGTGTAAAAGGCATGGCAGGAAAGTGGATGGAATTTTCTATTGTTTAAACAATACGAGGGTTAAAGGGGAACCAAGCCCCATGTGTACTGGCTGAGTCTTACCCAAAATTTACAGCTGTCTTATTCATTTTCATGAGTAGTTTTTCATTGGATTCTTTCTTATTGTGATGTTTAGTCTGGCATCTGATCAGGGCACAGTGTGCTGTGTGAGGGTATGCTTCAAAAAAGTATTTCAAAAAGGAGTAATCCATTACATCATTAAATGTGCTTCCTAACCAAACTTGAAGTTTGACAGTTTATACTTTGACTTTGAGGAAGAAGGTGCAACTTTACCACACATTTTTTTTTTCAATAGACGACAGTGGGCCCAGTATAGCTCTACTGAGTGGAGCGTTGAATTACGGGTACCCCTCCATACCAACGCTCCACCGATTCGCCATACTTTGGTGGCACCGTCACAGTAGCATAGTCACAAACCCACGCGAGGACAAAAAGACCCCAAAAAAACGGTAAAGAGATTACAAATGAGAGAGACAGTTATCCTGGATTGATCTATACATTCTTGACATTCCACGAGACCCCTTATATTGTTCCCAAACAGCGAACATTTTGAAAAAAACCAGCAAAATAGTCTGAAAACTTACAGCTCAATGTGTTTGCAGGGAGGCTCAGTTCTTGAATCGACTGGTCGAATGAGGGCGTCTGACGTGACGTCACCGTCGTTGCTCGATCGCGAAGAAAAATAAGTCGCGCTTTATCAACGACTGTTTCGTGTAATGATACGTGCTCCTTGGGTGTGTTCAAAGCCCATACTGTTGTACGGCGCAGATCGGAGCACATATCATTGAATGACACAAAACAGTCGTTGATAAAGTGCGACTTGTTTTTCTTCGATCGGGCAACGACGGTGACGTCACGTCAGACGCCCTCATTCGACCAGTCGATTCAAGAACTGAGCCTCCCTGCAAACACATTGAGCTGTAAGTTTTCAGACTATTTTGCTGGTTTTTTTTCAAAATGTTCGCTGTTTGGGAACAATATAAGGGGTCTCATGGAATGTCAAGAATGTATAGATCAATCCAGGATAACTGTCTCTCTCATTTGTATTCTCTTTACCGGTTTTTGGGGGTCTTTTTGTCCTCGCGTGGGTTTGTGACTATGCTACTGTGACGGTGTCACCAAAGTATGGCGAATCGGTGGAGTGTTGGTATGGAGGGGTACCCGTAATTCAACGCTCCACTCAGTAGAGCTAGGCCCAGTACATAGAGGCAGTTAAATATGGGCCCCATTTATGGGACTACTCTTCCATACCCTTTTCACAACTGTGCCGGGGGGGGGGGGAAGGATTGGGGGATTTGGGGGGAGGATTGGGGATTCCGGGGGGAGGGGGATGGGGGATTCGGGGGGGGGGGGGGGGGGGGGGAGGGATGGGGGATTCGGGGGGGGGGGGGGGAGGGATGGGGGATTGAGGGATGGGGGATTGGGGGGGGGGATTGGGGATTCGGGGGTGGGGGGGATTTACATACAAATCCCTTTTTTCTCTTGTCATTCAGCCCCCTGGATCTGCCACCTGAATGAGGCTCACCTGTAAAATGTCTGGTTCATGGCATTTCTTTTCTCAGGTCTGTTCATCTCCACTTGCTTGACATAATCCTTTGGCTGGGTCACTGCCAGTGTCTCATAGTTGTAGTTGAGTGGTGAGTCGGAAGACATGTTTCGCAACAGCACAGCTCTCGCTCCTAAACTGTTACCTGAAACAGTTAACATGGATCAAAATTTTGATAAATACATGTAAACTATCCCTTTCACATACCTCTTCATTCTGTATACTACTAGATACGTTAGGCCGGGGCAGTGTAGGGTAGGTGTTGGGGGTGGGGAATGCCAGGGGGTGTTAATTCAAGAATGAATGTTACACCTTATTTACGACCAATTAAAAAAAAGACCAAAAAAACATTATTTTTCCATGGCAAAACACAAATTCGGGTTGGAATTTGAAATAACTGATCCTCAAACTTGAGGTGTCAAATCCAATTAAATTAAACCTTCTATTCATGTTAATACAATTAGCCCAATAGGCCTACAATGTTGGGCAAGTATTATTGACTTTATGTAATCAATTTTTTAAGTGACTTTGCCTTTCAATCATAAATTCATAATAGGCCCTACTGGAGACTGCTTTTCAAATCAAAGGAGCCCTCTAAGCTAAAATAATATTTAAAATAAATATTAATATTAAAAATAAAATAAATTACAAAAATTACAATTGTTTTTTTTTTTTTTAGTCTCAACATTTTTCAACATTTTTGCAATGACCATGGAGGAACCTTCCTCCATGCAACAACTGAACATCGTTGGGGTTACTTCCAGAAGTAGCCCCATAAATGTGGCCAATTTACTGGACTACCTCCATAATTATAGGCCACACTTCCAGATGTACAAAAACGTGTCGAACTTTGTCACATTTGGGTAATCCTTACTTTTAGGACACCTCTATTTTGTACGAGTTCTGTTCAAAACTGACTTTTTCAGATGACTGTCCAGTACCAAAGTGACTTTTGCAGGCTACAGCAGTCTTTTTTTCTTCAAACTCATGTTAGTTGTAATTTTGAAAGCGCTTTCAAAGAAAATGTGACTAAATTCTACCTTTTTTTGCAGTTTGCCATCTTGCTTTTTTACTATATTTTCTGTTTGTCATCGTCGTCTTTTACCCCTCATAAATCAAAGCCCTGTCCTTTTTCTACAACATTAAACCTGCTGATATTCAAGAGGTGTCATTGCCAACTGTTCAAATGTGTTAAGAAATATCAGAATGTCACTTTTGAGTGTCATTTAGTCAGTTGTTTTGGTGAGTCTTTTAACCTTATAAAGGAAAGGGGTCCTAAAGGTAAGGATTACCAAATTTTGATTTTCACATTTAGGCTTAGTTAGTAGGGTTTTTGCTTTAGAAGCATACTCACCCTCTTTATAGGCTAATCAGAAAGTGCTGCCTTTTTCAGATGTCTAATTTTTGTGAAATTGCACGTTGAAATTTTGACACGCAAACGTGTGCAAATGAATCTGGAAATTTCACGAAAAATAGACATCTGAAAAAGGCAGAACTTTCTGATTAGCCTATAAAGAGGGTGAGTATGCTTCTAAAGCAAAAAAACCCTACAAACTAAGCCTAAATGTGAAAATCAAAATTTGACAAAGTTCGACACGTTTTTGTACATGTGGAACTGGAAGTGTGGCCTATGTTTACGGAGGTAGTCCAGTAAATCATGTAAATTGGCCACATTTATGGGGCTATTCCAGAAGTACAGTCGAGTCTCGTTATAACAAACTCGTTCGGACCTAGCCAAATTGTTTGTTTATATATCAGAATTTTGTATTAAGAAAAACATCAGTCCCATTCATTGTGCATATAAATGCACAGTCAGGTCAGGACCAAGGATTTATGTTTGTTATAACTAGCTGGAGTTATCCAGCCATAAATTTTATCATTGGGTTGTCAACCCAATGATAAAATTTAGGGCTGGATCATTGGGTTGTCAACCCAATGATAACATTTAGGGCTGGGTAACTCCAGCTATGTTATAACCAGAATTTTGTATTAACAGAGTTTGTACTAATGAGAGTTGACTGTAGAAGGCTTCTCTCTAATTCTAGAAGTTCGTTGGGGTTAGAAATGGTGAAAGAGTGGCGTTGAATACCGAATTCTCATGGAAAAGTGTGTGGCCCGTGCGCGTAACTTAGCCCTACCCAACCTTAATACTAGTACTTGATTAGTACTAGTAATAGCGCAGCGTGTCCAGCACAGCCCGCAGCCGTGGCGCGCCGAGTCTGCGAGCGCAAAGCACCAATCGAACTCCTGAGCTCCCGGTCCCCCTCAAAGTCCCTGGTCCTACTTTGAAATAAAAAGGAATATCACACACCATCCATACAACACATAAAGGGTCATACATACCGCTAATTCTACTTTGAAGAACCTGAAATAATGCCCTTTGACACGATTTTAATGCCATCTTTCAAGTACCGATATCGTGCAATGTCGGCGGTTTACCGGCACTTGTACTTTTTACTTTGCTCTTTGAGCTTGTTGTCGCTGGTATACCGGTACATGTGGCAAGCATTCACAATGCACATTCGATATAGAGGCTGGGTACCAGCTCTTTGATAAAAGTCTCATTTTCATTATGCTAGGCCTAGGCCGGGTGCATTTGGCTGGTTAATGATTGATGGGCCGGAATTTTGATCAAAAATAGCTTTACTATGGGTTTTTTTTTTTCAGAAACCGCACCCTCAGTTGAATATTTACTTATTTAGTTCGTGCTAACAGCTGCTGGTTGTGTTTTATTTTAGTTCTTAAGCACTGCATTCACCAGCCATTCCCAGCCAAGCAGTCCTGGTGTTTAATAATATTAATACACTGTTCTAGTTGGCAGACCAAGACACAAGATCCTGAGTTTGAACTTTAAATTGATAATTGCTCAGACATAAGGTGAATATAGATTTCAGCATGGCTGACTTTGAATTTGATGGGACAGGACTTGCTACAAATGAAACCAGTGGAATTTGGACCAAATTCGGCCTAGTTCTGGGCATAGGAACTGTCTGCCTGCTGTTTTTCAGACGGTATTTCCACGGTGCGAAATGTCAGAGCCTAGCCCAACTGACTGGCAAAACTGTCATCGTAACGGGGGCCAATACGGGGATTGGGAAAGCCACAGCGCTGGACCTGGCCCGTCGACATGCCCGGGTCATCCTGGCTTGCAGGGACGTTCAGAAGGCCAAGCAAGCTGCAGACGACATTCAGCGCTCCACTCACTCCCAGCAGCTCGTGGTCAAGCATCTGGACCTGGCCTCCTTGAAATCCATCAACAAGTTTTGCGATGACATCCTCAAGACCGAGCCGCAACTGGACATTCTCATCAACAATGCTGGGGTCTCTGGGCTACCCAAGCTGACCAGGACAGAGGACGGGTTGGAGATGCAAATGGGAGTGAATCACTTTGGACCCTTCCTCCTGACCAATCGGCTTCTCGGTCTCCTCAAGAAATCCTCTCCCGGTGCCCGCATCGCCATTGTGTCCTCTTCACTGCACCCCAAGGGGAAGATTGACTTTGCCAATCTCAACGCGGAGGGGGGCTACAAACAGTTCCAGGCCTACTGCGACAGCAAACTGGCCAATGTGCTGTTTGGGCAAGAGCTTCACCGTCGTTTGGAGTCGGAGAAAGCGGGTGTGTCTGTCTACACCCTTCATCCTGGGGTCATCAACACTGAACTTAACAGGCACATCATACATCCACTTCTCCTGAAGTTCTTTCTCCGTCCACTGCTCGGGCTCTTCTTGAAGACCCCGACCCAGGGAGCTCAGACAACCATCTATTGTGCCGTTGCTGGCGAGCTGAAAGGGTTGAGCGGCCGTTACTATAGCAACTGTAAGGAGGAGCCATTTCCTGCGGTGGCATCGCGAGCTGACGAAAGCGTTGCTAAAAAACTGTGGGAAGTTAGTGAAAGGCTTACAGGCCTTAAAGAGGACTAAAGATGAGTTACAATACAACACTGCATGATCATGAACTTTTGTAGACATTACTTAAAAGTAACGGAAGTGTAAGCCCAGATTTAGAATCTCAATTAACTTTAATTAGTTCTCCCCACTTACCCGTTGACATCTTTAAGATTATTTTTAATTACTTTGTGGTCCACATAGACAGTTCTCAGAGAGGACACTCCGTCTCCAATTGTGTGGTCCCACTGGGCTTAGTCGTAGAACCCAAAACCACATCCTAGATTCTTAGTATTTGCTGTCCTTGGTTTAATGAACTTACACACAATCCATTATGTTTCATTTCTGTATTTAATCAGCCCCTCTCCTCCTAAGTCTTCACTCTCTCTCTTCTCTCGTCTCTAGTCTTCACTCTCGTTCTGAACTTCCACCAGAACCAACTCTCTGTCAAGTGATTTTAGTCGGTGATTTAAATAAACACACATAGACCCGTATGATCCTTGTCAGGAGTTTTGTTTCTTCAAATGTTAAAAGTTTCTTCTCTTCAACTTAATCTTCTGTCTGCTCGGGCTATACGCGCTACATGGAGACATCATTTTGTATCCATCTCTCCTATTTGATAGTAACCAAGACTCTAGGACTGGTATAGTCAGATACCACCTATGAACAAAACGCTTGTGTTACAGAAGTAATAATAGAATGCTTGAAATGTCTCTTTAAGTCCCGAGAGTAGCTTTGTCTGATTGATTATTTTCTAATGTTACTTCATGTCAGTTTTGGTTTTGTTTGAGTTATTTCAGTTTATGCAGATGCTTCAGTGTTACATTTCCTTTTGAAGGAAAAAAAGTTTGCTTTTTTGCTGTAGCCATTTATTGCTTTTATCTGAGCGTGTGTATCATTTGTATACGAATGTGCCCAAAAGTGCAGCATTCAGAAAACAAACAATTTAATAAAACTGTTTAATATTTGTTTTCTTCAATGAAATTATGTATTACACTATAGCCTGACTTGTTCTCAATCCGCTCCTTTTTACCCCATTCCATTTGGGTCCCTAGATCCAGAATACAATCAATTAAGTGACAGGGTGTACTATGTTTACTTGGGCCACTCTCACCTGGACATGCTGGATCTGTGTTGAGCATTGAATAGACATTGAAATTGGTGGCATTACAGGCCAGAGTGGCCCGAGTAAAAGTTACACCCTTTCTGGATCTCAAATCTATTTCTGGAACCCAAATGAAATGGGGTAAAAACAAGTGGATTGAGAAATAGGCTATAATAAGGAAATAAATGTGTTTAAATCGGGAGGTATGATAATACACTCTATTATCAGTTTATCACCCATTCAGACTCCCACCGGTCTTAAACAGCTCGGTTTAATACCGACCGAACACATATTTGTTGCAAGACATTTTAAATGCATGTACATTGTACTTTATCCTTCTAATCACCTGAAATTTTATTAAGATTATTCAGAGTTCAGAATTATATTCTGACATTTTACATTGTGGAAAACCAATTTAATTATCTTGCTATTGATTTATAAGTCTTTTACAATTCTTGTCATGAATCATGTCAGTTAGTAATTTTTAATAATTTATGTAATCTTTTACTCTACAGTGTTAAAACTGTATTTGTATTTTTTGTTTTACAATTTGCACCTCAGCATGCCAAATATTTTTAGAAAATTTATAATCTGCATGCTTAACTTAATTGAAAATTTTGTACATGTAATAAAAAATAATGATTTCCACAAGACTTGTCATGCAATCTGAAATTCCTTTGCCTCTATGTTCAAGAAAATGTTCATTTGTGTTAGTGTTGCAGGCTCTCTCGGTCTCCAAATCACACCAACCTTTGCTGAATAAGGCCAAGGTTTGTCTTCAAAAGAGTCGAAAATGGGTAATGAGCTTGTATTGCATCACAAAACATATGGAGGTACTGTCTCATTTTATTTGTTCTGTTTAATTTTATTTATTAACATGTTTTTCTGGTAATGAAACCAATGATTCCCAGCTCCTGTAGCTCGCAAGTCTGAAGAACCGCGTGTGTAGAGAGAAGACAATGAACCAGTTTGGCGGAAAACCCCAGACACAATATTCTGCATGGGAAAAGTAACGGAATCGAAAACCAGATCCACCTTTTCAGTGACTTTTCTCAGCAGTCAGATGTCGAGCTAGCTGGTAGCATTTTTATTTGGATCAAGTTTTGAAGTACTGCAGCTTTCTTGGTGTTGTTCACTCGTACCCCCCGCCCTCCTGTTTGCAGAGGGCGGGGGTCCGGGTACGAGCGTTTGTCGTCGGTTGGTGGCGCGAAAGCTATGCACTTTTGTAATGACCGTTTCAGCCGATTTTCGGCTAACTTTGACAGATTTTTTGTTAAAAAAACGAGTTTGACACAAAATTTGACAGAATTGATTTCTTGGCAGATTTCCGGCAGAATTCTGCAAAAATGGTTATTTGACAGAAAAACATAGCAAATTGAAAAAAAGGTAGATTTGTTTAAAAAAGCTTCAATCTTTTAATAGCACAGGTTGCCTTGTCTATGTGCTGACGTTCACTGGGAATTGGATTTTGTCGTGACGCAACTCGTTTTGACTGAAACTTACGCAATTTCATAACACCGGTATTTTATATAACTGTATAACGTAATTTGACTATATATTGTAATTTTAACCCTTATTAAGGCAATGCTACAACATGTACATCTGCATGTGATTTTAAGTGTTTATAGTGTATTTCGAGTAAACTCATGGGAATTTGGCAGATTTTTGATAAATCTGACAGATTTTTGAAGTGCATTGAGCAGAATTTGGCCATGACCTTACGGTCACCTTGGCACCTTTCCATCCAGATCCAACGCGCACGCACGGCGACCGCGGGCCCTGCATGCTCTATGGCAGACCTACCGTACCTAGCTATAGACACAAGATTGAACTTTGAATTGATAATTGATCAGACATAAGGTAAATGTAGATTTCAGCATGGCTGACTATGAATCTGATAAGACAGGACTTGCTACAAATGAAACCAGTGGAATTTGGACCAAATTCAGCCTAGTTCTGGGCATAAGCACTGTCGGCCTGCTGTTTTTCAGACGGTATTTCCACGGTGCGAAATGTCGGAGCCTAGCCCAACTGACTGGCAAAACTGTCATCGTAACGGGGGCCAATACGGGGATTGGGAAAGCCACAGCACTGGACCTGGCCCGTCGACACGCCCGGGTCATCCTGGCTTGCAGGGACGTTCAGAAGGCCAAGCAAGCTGCCGACGACATTCAACGCTCCACTCACTCCCAGCAGCTCGTGGTCAAGCATCTGGACCTGGCCTCCTTGAAATCCATCAACAAGTTTTGTGATGACATCCTAAAGACCGAGCCGCAACTGGACATTCTCATCAACAATGCCGGGGTCTCCTGGCTGCCAAAGCTGACTAGGACAGAGGAAGGGTTGGAGACGCAAATGGGAGTGAATCACTTTGGACACTTCCTCCTGACTAATCGGCTTCTCGGTCTCCTAAAGAAGTCCTCTCCTGGTGCCCGCATCGCCATTGTGTCCTCTTCACTCCACAAGAAGGGGAAAATTGACTTTGCCAATCTCAACGCGGAGAGGGGCTACAACCAGTTCCAGGCCTACTACGACAGCAAACTGGCCAATGTGCTGTTTGGGCAAGAGCTTCACCGTCGTTTGGAGTCGGAGAAAGCTGGCGTGTCTGTCTACACCCTTCATCCCGGGGTCATCAACACCGAACTGAACAGGCACACCATGCATCCTCTTCTCCTGAAGTTCTTCCTCCGTCCACTGTTCTGGCTCTTCATGAAGACCCCGACCCAGGGAGCTCAGACGACCATCTATTGTGCCGTTGCTGGGGAGCTGGAAGGGTTGAGCGGCCGTTACTATGGCAACTGTAAGGAGGAGCCATTTCCTGCGGTGGCATCGCGAGCTGACGAAAGCATTGCTAAGAAACTGTGGGAAGTTAGTGAAAGGCTTACAGGCCTTAAAGAGGACTAAAGATGAGATACACAACAACACTGCATGATCATGAAATTTTGTAGGCATCTTTTACTTAAAAGTAACAGAAGTAATAATAGAATGCTTGCAATGTGTCTGTAAGTTGATGAAAGCATTGCTATGAAACTGTGGGAAGTTAGTGAAAGGCTTACAGGCCTTGAAGAGGACTAAAGATGAGATACAAAACAACACTGCATGACCATGAACTTTTGTTGACATCTTTTACTTAAAAGTAACAGAAGTAATAATAGAATGCTTGAAATGTCTCTTTAAGTCCCAAGAGTAGCTTAGTCTGATTGAGTATTTTCTAATGTTACTTCATGTCAGTTTTGGTTTTGTTTGAGTTATTTCAGTTTGTGCAGATGCTTCAGTGTTACAGTTCCTTTTGAAGGAAAAAAAAAAAAAATTGCCTTTTTTGCTGTAGCCATTTATTGCTTTTATCTGAGTGTGTGTATATATGAGTGCGCCAAAAAAAAGTGCAACATTCAGAAAAATAATTTAATAAAACTGTTTAAAATGGTTTTCTTTTATGAAATTATATATTACAATAGAGCCTGACCTATTCTCAATCCGCTCCTTTTTACCCCTTTCCATTTGGGTCCCTATATCCATCGAGAAATACAACCAATTAAGTGAAAGGGTGTAAATTTTACTTGGGCCACTCTCGCCTGGACATTCTGAATCTGTGTTGAGCATTGAATAGGCATTGCAGTTGGTGGCATCACGGGCAAGAGTGGCCCAAGTAAAATTTTCACCCTTTCACTTAATTGGTTCATGGAGCTATTTCTGGATCCAGAGACCCAAATGGAATGGGGTAAAAAGAAATGGATTGAGAAATAGTCAGGCTTACTGTAATACATAGTTTCATTGAAGAAAAAACATTCAACGCTTTTAATTATTTGTTTTCTGAATGTTGCACGTTTTTGGGCACACCCTGTATTCGTCTTTATTGAATTATTAAATGACAGCCAGTCTATTTGTAAACCTTACACCGTAAAAATTAGCTACATTTGGAGGTTCATAGTTTGTGCAAAAAAACCCATCTGTAATGCGAGTACAGTTGCAGTGCCATCAGATGTTACAAAATGCATAATGCAGGGTCGTCAGTAGAAAACATTTTTGTGTTGCATGACATTTTAAATGCATGTATATTTGTACTTTATCCCTGTAATCACCTGAAGTTTTATTAAGATCATTTTGAGTAATCGCCTGAAATTTTAATAAGATTATTTTGAGTTTAGAACTATATTTCTGACATTTTACATTATGGAAAACCAATTTAATTATCTTGCTAATGATTTATATAAGTCTTTTACAATTCAATTCATGAATCATTGTTTATGCAGTTTAGTAAGTTTTAATAATTTATGTATTTTTTTATTCCTGTGTTAAAACTGTATTTGTATTTTTGTTTTAGTTTTGCACCTCAGCATGCCAAATATTTTTAGAAAATTTATAATCTGCATGCTTAACTTAATTAAAATGTTATACATGTAATATTAAAAATATTATACATGTAATAAAAAAAATAATGATTTCCACAAGACTTGTCATGCAATCTGAAATTCCTTAACCTCTATTTTCAAGAAAATGCTCATGTGTGTATAGTGTTGCAGGCTCTCTTGATCTCCAAATCACACAAACGTTTGCTGAATAAGGCCAAGGTTTGTCTTCAAAAGAGTCGAAAATGGGTAATGAGCTTGTATTGCATCAGAAAAGATATGGAGGTACTGTCTTATTTTATTTATTCTATTGAATTTTATATATTAACATGTATTTCTGGTAATGAAACCAAGGATTCCCAGCTCCTGTAGCTCGCAAGTCTGAAGAAACATGTGTTGAGAGAAGACAACGAGAATATTTCAGTTTTAGGAGGCAAACCCCAGACACAATATTCTGGGAAAAGTAACGGAATCGGATAGACTGAAAACCAGATCCAATTTTTTCAATGACTTTTCTCAGCAGTCGGATGTCGAGCTGGTACTTGTGGTAGCATTTTTATTTGGATCTAGAACTATGACTGCTACACGCGGAGCAGCCATAGTTCTAGGGGTGGATAAAGTTTGAAAGCAGACGACGTGCGCCTGCAAGCGAAGCACTGCGTGTTAATGTTGTTAGTTTGTCGTCGGCTGGTGGCGCTATAGCGCTTCACCAGTGCCCGCGATATGCCCATGTCCACAAAGCGAGCGGTAGGGTGAGTAATTTTGCACTTAAATAATGTAGAAATGTTGAATAGAACAGTCTTTCATACATTGTCATAAAGTGCAGAGAAGTGACAATCTTTATAAAATGTTGTAGTCGGTATTGGTGCATTCTTAATGACACGAAGCCGCCACCAAAAGGAAGATTTTGCTTTCCTTTCAGTTTCACGAGACGCCATTTTGTATTTTAAAACGAGGCTTGAGTCTCATGATAGTGCACCAAGATGACTTACTGCTGTGTACCGGGTTGCACACACTGCACGCGTAGTGTCCGTAAACAGTTTTCCTTTCATCAACTTCCCACAACGAGCCATGGCATGCGAATGGAATGGATCTACAGAATAAGACACAATGCATGCAAGAACGGTGCTACTGCTAATTTCAAGGTAGACCTATTTCTGTTGTTTTGTACGGAAACGATGTTTTTATGTAATTTTTTAATGATATATTTTTATTTAAATCATTATTTGTTAATATTTTTTTAATAAGCACTTGCACAGTAATAATGCGTCACTGGACAATGTTAACAATGTGGATTATTTGGCATTATTTTTCAATCCCATGAAAGTTCTGCAGTAGTGTATTAACTCTATCTTGGCAAAAAAGGCATAACTTAACAATGAGCACTTTCACCATGTTCACAGTAATGTTGGTGTCATTTTCTCATGATGGGACCTGAAGACCATTGAAAGTGTGAATAGTAAAAGTGGGATATTGGATAACCTGCATAGTAGAGGATTAAGGAGGATTTAGGAAATTTGCTAGCAAAAAAAAAAAAATACCAAAGGGGTAACATTTATTAACTTAGGCAAACTACAAAAGAAAACTACTAACGATATCTCCCTTGCTGTCTTTATTGTTTCATAATTATTGTTTATACAAATTTCAGGTTGGAAAGAATACAAGTGTATGCTCAGCCCATTTCAAGCCAGAGGACTTTTCGAGAACACTTAATGGACGTTGGAAGCTGAGACCAGGGGCTGTACCATGTATTTTCCCGGAGAGTGCACCAAAGAGGCGAAGGGTTGGCCGGAAGAAGAAAACCTCAAGCGAGGCTCTAACAATCAGGTAGGCTAACACTTAAACTACCAGATTCTTCACCCTGCCTGTTACCAGCCCAAACCACCCTGCCTGTTACTCCCTTTACCAGCCCAAACCACCCTGCCTGTTAATCCCTGCACCAACCCAAACTGCCCTGCCTGTTACTCCCTGTACCAGCCCAAGCCACCCTGCCTGTTACTCCCTGTACCAGCCCAAGCCATCCTGTCTGTTACTCCCTGTACCACCCCAAACCACCCTGCCTGTTACTCCCTGGTCCAGCCCAAACTGCTGCCTGTTACTCCCTCTACCGCCCCAAGCCACTCTGCCTGTTACTCCCTGTACCGTCCCTAAGTGCTCTACCTGTTACTCCCTGTACCGTCCCTAAGTGCTCTACCTGTTACTCCCTGTATCGCCTCTGCCTGTTACTCCCTGTACCAGCCCAAACTGCCCTGCCTGTTACTAACTGTACCAACCCAAACTGCCTTGCCTGTTACTCCCTGATTATTTTTTTAACCCATTAGTCTCTGAGCCATATTAAACCGCCCTGCCTGTTACTCCCTGCACCAATCCAAACCAGCCAAACAGCTGAGAGAGCAGTTAAAATCAAGTGGGGCAAATATCAACTTTATTTCAAGCCTAAAGATAATTATTTATTGATCTCATTGATACTTCAGAACCCTTTGTCATATGAAAATCCGACTCCTATGAAAATCGGACCCCTTTTCCTCATTATTGGTTAATCCCTGGCACGTGACAGGTCCCTCTCCCGTATGTGATCCTAAAAATAACGCATTCTTGTACTTTATTACGCATGCACAATACTACCAATGAGTCCACACTTCATGGAGTCGGATATTCACGCTACATTGTTATTCCAAACTGACATTACGGTTCATTACTTTTCAGTTCTGTTTAGAAGTGTGTTTGCATGATTAATCTAAGGAAAAGCCTGTTCCAGTTTGGAGCACATTGGAAAAAACGCACTGTGTTACTGACTGAGAATTGCAGAAGGACCGCTTTGGTTTTGATACATTCTCTAAATTGTTTGTTCTGCATTTGTCCACAGCTGTGATGACAACCAAACCAGCCAGGCAATCGGCAACAAAACTGGCGAACCGAAACTCAACACAACCAGCCAACTGAAAGGCAACAAACCCAGCAAATCAACAGGCAACAAAACGAGTGATGCATACCGAAACAAAACAGACAAATTGGAATGTAACAGAAAACCCGATAAATTGGGCAGCAACAAAATTGGCAAATCAGAAGCCGGCGAAAGTGGCATTCAGTCATTGCACCATGACCACACCTACCCTGATCAACAGAATCTGGAAAAGAAACAGACTATGCCCGATGAGAGGTTGAACCGTTTGGAGAGCATCTTAGAGAGGCAAGAGATTGATAGATTCGGCATCCAGCGCATCACCTCCGACCCAGCAATGCTGCACTTCTACACAGGCTTCGCTGACTACAAAACCTTCAAGGCCATTTATGAGAGCATACAACCATCCGCGGAAAACATGATGGGTTGGTTGCAGGACATAAGGAGTGAGGCAACCCAGGGGGATTCCCTTCCCCTGGTGGACCAGTTTCTCATGTTCCTGTGCCGAGTCAGAGCGGACCTGTCCGAGCGAGAACTTGCCCTGAGGTTTGACCTATCCGAGGAGTCCGTGAACAGTGTGGTCGCATCGTGGGCCAGTTTGCTCTACTTTGCTTTTAGCTCTCTAGTCATCTGGCCCCCACGGGACCAAATCCAGAAGAACTTGCCAGAATTTGTCAAAGCCACGTACTCTAAAGCAAGGGTCGTACTGGAATGCAGCGAGGTGAGGGTGGAGATCCTGAGATCAAAGGCTTCACCCCTGGAGTCGACCGAAGCGAGCTGTTCAAGTCACACCACATTAAAAGGTCTGGTTGGTTTGACACCAACAGGCTCCCATTCATTCATCAGTCGGCTCTACGCCGAGGGAGTATCGGACCAAGATATCACCACCAAATCAGGAATCCTTGATCTCCTAGAAAAAGGAGATCAAGTCCTAATGACACACGAAGGCTTCCCCATGGAAAAGCTCTTACGAGACAAGGGCTGCACTCTCGCGGTCATCCCTCCTTTCCTGCGAGACAGAACACGGTGTGATGCGCGCAGCAACATCGCGCCAACGTACCAGATCGCGAGGTTGAGAATACACATCGAGCGTGTGTTCCGACGTCTGAAGGAGTTCCACATATTTGACGGGGTGGTGCCAAGTGGCCTCGCTGGTGCTGTGAATCAGATCTGGACAGCATGCTGTATCCTCGCCAACTTCCAGGGAAAAGTACTTTGAAACTGTAGCTGCAAACAGAACACACTGATTCATGAAGCCCGTCCCATGTTTTGACCAATCACACTCAGTCACAGCTGTGGTTAATGCTGGACATGCATTGAGAAAAGTCTGACACGCATGCCACACTGGAACCTGCAGTTGTGCCATTGGAGAGGCACATGTGCGCAACGGGTGGGGCTTACTGGATTGGTCTATCTAGCAAGGGAACATTAAAAATTTGTGATTTTAATTTTATTTTAACAAACTAATAATGGAACAACTTCGAATGCTTTTTTGTAGAAAACCAACATTGAAACATGAAAAAATATAGGCTACGCAAGTAAAATAGTTCCAAATAGTTCTGTTTTAGGGCTGTGCATAGGAACCGGGTACCCGAGTACCCGACCGTTGATGTCAGGAACCGGTTCCAGATTATGGGATCGGGTAGCCGTAACCATCTTAACAAATTACTTATTAACTTCTTAGACAGTAAAAAAGAAAGGCTTTGAGCGTCATTTGTGGGGAATTTTCAAAATGAAAACCAAGCTAAATGGGAAAACAAAGCATATTTCACGTTAATGACGCTCACGAAAGTTGCAGTTTACCCCGTAAAGCTATAAGCTTACTGTACACACTTTTATCTTGCTGTATTGATGTACTGGTGTGATTTAGAATGGCTAATCACTGGAAGTCTTTTCGTGCATTTGGTGTGCACAGGGGAGACAGTCGGGAAGTCAGTCAGTCAGTCAGTCAGTGAGATTGGCGCAAAGAGAACACAAGGATTGCCGAAGGTTTTTTTTTCTTCTCAATTTCCGGTATTTGTTGATATTTTAAATTTTTGATTTATCTACTACAATTTTCTAATGAAACAGTGTAAAAATCATGGATTCAAAGTGTTTTTAAGGAAATACAATTGGCACCTTTATTCTCATGACTACAAAACTGGTCATCAAAACTTTTAGTGGCCTTTTTTCTCACTATTTTACTTTTCTGACATGTTGATAAAAGCGAACTGTAAACAGCCATAACTTGTCAACAAAATATCTGATTAAGTGCATCAAACAGTATTGTAAGGAGGATTATATTCCTAATACCTGCAACCATATTGATGAATGTTCTCAATCATCCAGGTAGTTGAATATTACACTGAAATAATATAATCTAGTAAACTGGACTTAATATTTAAACTTGCGACTTGAATATTTACAGTACAAACCCTCATTTCGACCTCTGCCCAGTTCTGTCTCATTTTTCCTGAATGCCTCACATTTTGCACATTTTTTTTTTTTTTTGGCTTGGAATTTACTAAAGGCTTTTTTTTGTACTGAACGAGAATCAATCTTCTCCCCCGACCCCCAAACTGGCCATGAAAGTTATGTTTTTGGAGCTCTTGAAAGGTTTTCCATCCTCGAAGATGGCTGTCTAGGTAGCTTGATACAATGTGCCTTACTCTAAGTCAACAGGTTTTTTTTTCTGGTTAAGGGTAAGATGACAGTACTGATGTGTCTTTTTACAGTGGCAAAATATGAATGGCCATCTTTGATGGAGTGAGTTGTGAAGATAGGATCATTGATTAATATAGACGATTTCATGGATACTGCCATCTTTGTGCTCACTTGGTAATCTTTATGGGCATTTTATTTAAAATATGTCCCATCATGCTCGGGATACTGTGGCATGATGGGATGTGTTTATATTGAAATGCTCCCTGAGATTATCGCGTTACCGCTTAGATTGCGGTATTCATAAAACATGACTTTTGATGTTGCAGACAAAATGACACTGATGGATATATATCCTTTGACACCTGTACAATAAAAGATTTGGATTTCCATAATCAGTTCATGTGTGATTGTTTATTCTTTGGAAGAGGACACTGTTGTTTTTTTCTCCATTACTTGTATTTTAATGTTTGGCATTGGATATGTTGCTTAACTCTATGCCACCCAATCCATCAAAATCCACCAGCATTTTTGTGGGATTTTGTGGGATTGAGGAAGGCAGAGCCAAATTGTAACAGTACAAAGAATATACCATTGTTCTAATTCTAAAACGCTTATTTCATGAAATGCCTGAAGGGCATTAAATATAAAATTGTGCTTAGTAGCAACATCTAGATGTAGTACACTTGAATATTCCTGGAAATTATAGCAAATTCTGCGTCTCAAGTTCTCTTTCTGGCTTAAAATCTGCAAAGTATCTGTTATGCTGAAATTCGTGCACTTATCTTAGCAGCTTCATGATGTGCCTAGCAGTGCAGTTGGACAACCAACGTCGCACAATGTAAAAGACAATCACACAGGGCCTATTTCTCGAAACGTCAAGACACGTCTTAGGACTTGCTTAACTCCTGACTTGTCCTGAGATTTCACCAAACTTGAGATGTCTTTAAGTGAAAATCAATCTTAGAGTGAGGACTTGTCTAAAATCTTAGAAATCTGCCCCATTTGTCATTAAATCATGCACTTAACCACTATGTGGTTGTCCAGAGTTTACTACAAGAGGGTAGCACAAGCATCTTGGGGGGGGGGGCTTTAGGTCTACAAGTTAATTTTCTCAAAGACTACTTATGTTGTCTTGGTTAATTGGGCTGCCTTTTTCTCAAAGCGGTGGGCTGGGGGTGGGGGGGAGGTGTGTGCCCCCCCCCCCCTCCCTCCCCCAAAGTGCCACAGATCTCTGTACATGCAGGGTGGCTCCCACTAATGGCAGAAGCATTATACCTGCTATTGTTGAGGGTAACTGTCATGGAACCGTCGTTTTTGTACAATAGCTTGCACAATGCTTCTACCATTACTGGGGGCCACTGGAAGTGCACTGTGCCTGGTCTGTACTAGTGGGAGAAAAAGTCCCTGTTGATGTCATCTAGAGTTTGACCCCAATACTCCACCGGAATCAGAATGTCAAACAGGATGAACTGATAAAGGAAAGATACTGTCATCGATCACTCAAAATGATTATCAGTGTAAATACACATAACATCAGCCCTCGGAATATTTCTATTCATACTTGGTGATGTTATGTAACTCCTGCAGCTAAACTGGTCATTTGTCATATAGACAAGTTTAGTAACCCACACAGTTTTCATTCACTAGTTCGAATACTCGAGGGTAAGTTTGTATCAAACAAAAACATTAAAATTGGAGAGTAGACTAAAAGATTGTTGAAATAATTGAAACAATTTGCAAACGGTTTGGTATTTCATATGGACCAATCTGGGCATGCTGTTACTTCTATTACGAAGGCCCCCTTCAATGGCAGAATCATTGTGTGAGCTATTGTTAAGCGGATAATCTGTCACAGAGTAGTTGCTTTTGTACAATAGTACAGTGTGCACAATAGTTTCTCCATTAAAGGGGCCCTTGTATGTGTACAAGTGTTCAAGTGCCTTGATTCGTCTGTAGAAGTATGTAAGGTGCTTGTTTGATTGAAATTTCCACGTTTTATTTAGTGCCATATATGCCCACATGTATAGCCTGATTTTGTTGAGTTATGCATTGAATTTTTGTGTGTGTATTTTTTCTTTTTGTCAGGTGTGCTTTTGGAAGACTCAGGGAGCTAGGCAGTGCCAGAATGACTGTTCAGCTGGAAGACATTGCATGGTGGACTTTGTGTGTAATGGTCCTCACCATCGCTTTCATATTATGGAAGAGGTATGCCGAAGGCGGGGTTTGTTATTCCAAGAACCGCTTGGAGGGGAAGACGGTGATCGTCACTGGCTCCAACACGGGAATGGGTAAAGAGATTGCCGCTGACATGGCTAGCAGGGGGGCCCGAGTCATTATGGCCTGCCGTAGCATAGAGAGAGGGAACCGGGCGGCTGAGGACATCCGCAGACGTGTTCAAGACGGGACGCTGATCGTCAGCCAACTAGACCTGGGCTCCTTGAAGTCAGTGCGGATGTTCTGCAAGACCTTCCTGGCAACGGAGTCCCAGCTAGACATCTTGATCAACAACGCTGGGGTGTTCTTCTGCCCCTACATGCAGACGGAAGACGGGTACGAGTACCACTTTGGCGTCAACCACCTGGGTCACTTCCTCCTGACCAATCAGCTCTTGCTGCTCCTGAAGAAGTCCCCCAAGAGCCGCGTGGTCAACGTGTCCTCCTTCACCTACGCCTTCACCAGCTTGGACTTCGACAACCTCAACTACAAGCATTCATACAGTCGCATGCAGGCCTACATGCGCAGCAAGCTCGCCAACGTCTTGTTCACCAAGGAATTGGCGCGGCGTGCCAAGGACTCCGGAGTCGACGTTTACTGCGTTAATCCGGGTGGCGTTCACACAGACATCACCAGATATCTCCTACCTCAATGGTCCCTTCCGGTCCTGGATCCCATCATATGGTTGGTGATTAAATCTCCTCGTGCCGGTGCCCAGACCGCAATTTATTGTGCCGTCTCAGATGAGGTGAAGGGTCTCAGCGGGCACTACTTCAGCGATTGTAAGGAAAAAGCTGTCGGGAAAGAAGGTATGGATGAAGGAATTGCAAAAAAATTGTGGGAAGTAAGTGAAAAGATGACAGGGTTGTGAAAACATTAATGTTCCACATCAGTATTAAGGCCAGTTATTAAGGTCAAGTCACATGAGGCAATTTCTAAGTAACTTGGATGCAACCAAATGCACTTATAAATAGAGGAAACCTCAAGTAGAGCTCAGTACTTTTTCCAACAGTTTATCCACAGTCCTTAGGAAATGACATAAACTTCAAATTTACCTCTTGTTTTCATCATGGAGATTCCTTGGAACAAGTTTTCTGCAAATTTGTTCTTTACATTTCTAGGGTTATGTTTCATTTGTAGGTTACAGTTGTTTATAGGGCAATTCCATGGTAACTCGCGTTACGTTTGGAGGGGGTCGCCTGTCAACTCTGTGCTGTTATTTTATAAAGTCAAAGCATTGAGAGTAGATTTTTCTCTTAAAATTAATTGACTAAACTATAAGAAAAAAAGGCCAACAAATTAACCTTCTGTTAGTTTGGCCATAAGATTTTAGTCGGTAAGTCATGTTGCAAGAAAAGGACGTAGCAAAAATGTAAATACCCTGTATTTGAAAATTTCCTACTGTGTACTGATGGGAAAATCTCTTTAGTGCCCTTACATAATTAAGGTGCAAATCACATGCTACCATTTCAATTACTAAAAAATAATCAGTCAAAAAATCTCTAGAGGGATATATTTCAGTAACTCACGTTAACTCACGTTAAAGTTTGTCCGACAATCTTTGGTACATAAAACATATAAGAAACTAAAACTCAAACCCCAAAAAATCTTTTTTGCATCAAATATAAACCTTTCTCTCTGCCTTAAAAATAAAACTCACAATAACACTTCCATTTTGTTTGAAAGAACAAGATACCAAAATGACAACCTAAAATCCATACTTTTTGCCAAAAAAACTAGTTTTTTGACCCCCAAAAATACTTAACCATATTCCATCTCACTGCCACTTCACTCAAAGTAAAGGTCTTGACAACCCTTTAATTTGAGACCACATTTGAGGTGGTGATGCTTGCAGTTTTGAAGATTTCGTAAATTTTCCATTTTTCATCCATGTCCATATTCTTATGGAATTGCCCATATTTTCATATGATTTTTTTTTTAAAAGTGTCAGTAAAATGTAACATCATTACCAAAGAGTTTATTGTAGATATTTGACAACAACAATTTTTGGTACTTTGTATAGGCCAGGCGTGGATTATTTGCCAACGGCTGAATGAATACTTCATTACATTGTCTTATTGCCCAAAAATGCAAAATTTTATTGAGAAAATTTGTCTGGAAAATACTTTTGTGTGTGTTTTTTCCTTCTTTTTTTTTTTGGCTATTGTATTTTGTGCAATCAGGTATTTTTTGATCGAGTATCATCTGGATATTGTCTAAATAGTTAGGATTGATAGGCTAATTATAAATTCTACGACAGTACTGAGAATTATCTTTGAATAGAACTATGTACTTACATGTACTTAATTTTGCTATTTTTTATTATTGATGTCTTGCAAAGGTGATGATGTGTGTAGATGTAAGATTTGATGTTGAAATGTTATTTTTTTGTAATTAGCGAGTAGGAAGGTGTTGTAAAATGTTTTCTAAATGAGTTGTTATTTTCAAGTGTGTGTTAAAATTTTTCAAAGCCAAAGTTTATTTAGATTAATTACATTATAGATACCAACGTACAAAACAGGGTACCAGTATGTGTGTTTAGATATTTAAAAAGAAAATTACCAGGGTTTGAGTTGTAAGATATTTTTTTAATGTTCTTGTGTTCCTTCACAAAGAGTGTTTTTAATATGCTTTACAGGGTACTTATTTAGAATTGTGAAATTTATAGGGACGTCACTGTGACTGATTTTTGTTCAGTCATGTCAAGTTTTTGTGTCCGATGCCCATTTTTCACTGTTAGAAAAAGTGTTTGTTTTTTAATTAAAATTAAACTATTAAGGCATTAAAATTTATTTATTGAAAGAAACCATATGATATGGTTTTATCATAACTGCCAGGGCATGGTCAGATATTTCTAAAAAGTGGAATTAGTGATTTAAGCACATTTTGACATGTTTATATTGTAACTTATTTTTCTTTTTTTTTCTGATTTGATAAAGTTAATTAAACTACCGGTATTAAGTAATTAATAATTTAAAGCTACAGTCCATCATTTGCAGCTATCCAAAAAGTAACTGACGTAATTATTGTTGAAAAACATACTTGGTTGAAAGATAGTAAGGGGACTAAACTCCCTGTGAAATTATTCTTTCAGGCATGCTGTCATTTTGAAGAAATCAACGACGAAATATAGACGCATCGTTGGAAATCTCCGTCAGTAGTTCGTTTCTTTTTATTCGGC